TGATCGGCGACACGAACAGAATCGGGATGCAAAAGATAATGGCCTTGCGACCGGACAAAAAGCTTGACCCGGGATAACTGAAACTGGCGAGCGAGGCAAAGGTCGAGAAGTAGATCGTTAGAGCAATCAGATAAAGATAGAAGATTATACCAGCACGAGGGCCTCTGACGGCTGAGATGGCAACGAAACCAATCAAACCACCAGCGACAGTGAAGGCAATACCAGCAATCAAGCGGATGAGAACGAACATGTTAGCAGCTGCAAAGGCCATTGAGATGAGGTAGTAAGGACCACCGCATGCGATCCAGGTACCAATTGCACCAGAAAGCAGCAAGGAAATCATCAGGGCCATTGTTGCGCTGTCTTGTTCTTCGTGGCTCATGTCAGCAGAGAGATAAAGACCGCGACCGATCATGGTGAGCAAGATGATATCAATCAAGGCCGGGATAGCGAAGACACTCAGGAAGGTAAAACGCTGGTAGCCACGCATAACCTTGGGCTGTTCATCCGGGTTGACATCGATCTGTGCTCCAGCATAGGATGTAGCAAGCTGCGGAGCACCGTTCGCCCAGTTGGGAGGCTGGTGTTTGTTGTAGTAGGCTCTGAACCGATTGGACAAGAGCCTACCGAAAACACTGGGAGAAACATCGAAGTAAGCCTCGCATCGGGAACCAAGGGCGAATGACTCGGCAAATGCGGCAGCTTGATCGGAATGATTGTTAAACAGGGGGTTGCGATCGGTCACTTCCTGGTAAATTTCGTCAAAGGCACCCTTTCTCGCGGCACAGAAAAGGGCGAGGGCCATCATGTCGACATAGGCGTCAACAGAGCCACCCTTGAGAAGTGCGCATAGTCCATTAGTGATAGTAGCAAGGTCATCTTCACGGCGCACTCTCAGAACCCGACCAAGCACAGTTTCGACTTGGTTGAAAAGAGAAAGGCATGCCTTGATGGAAGGATGCTTGCACCCCTGGTCTCGGTACCACTCGATACGAGATCTGATCAATTCCTCGGGGGAGACAGACTGATCGAGGTAACCAACGGTGTTGTGTGCCTTCAAGAGAGCGAATGAAGGAGCATCCATGAGTTGTTTGCGGATATAAGCGCAGATGACCTCAACCAGCTCGCTGTGAACATCGGTCAAAGACAGATGCTGCAACATGAGGAGGCGTTCTTCGGGAGTGAGAACATCGATATCCTGAATCAATCGGCGGGGGAGACCAGTTTCAGCGGAAACATCCTTAGACCAGGTCGCGAAGGTGGCCTCGGCCTCGAAGCAAACATGCCGAGGGAAACCCTTGGCTGACAGATATGTATGGAGGATGGTTCCAGCGAGACCCTGCGCATTCTTGGATACGTAAATCTCAATACCCTCATTGTCCATCTCATAGACAGCCCAGAAGCGGAAATCGGAGCTCTTGCGCAGACCAGAATCGAGAGCAAGGTTCACATGCAGGAGATCATTAGAGGCCCAGTTCGCAAGTTCCTTGATGGAATTGGCGAGCTCATCTTCATCCTCAGAGAGGTCCAGGCTGTCATGGAATTGGCGAAGGAGAAGTCCGATGCTCTGGATCTTTGTCGTTGGAACAGGATGGAGCAGGTTGAGAGACTTGAGACGCTGCTGGGATTGAACAATTTCCGCGAAGACCATCGGTGATGACTCGGAACCGAGAGGGAAACAACCGAGAGAATTGTACGCCATTCCCGACATGGAGATCGAGAGAGGGCTACCCTGCGATTTGACCTGAGCAACCCATTCAGGGGGATCACGCAGTCGAGCAGTCGGGCTTTCGGGGGCCTTGGAGTTGTATTCTTCGGAATTAAGCAGCTCATTAACAGCAGGGAAAATGGGCTGGAGAGCATCCCAACCATTGTTCATATCAGGCGAAGGCAGGATGTTCAGGTTGGAACGCCAGGTGTCATGAGCCTTCATAATCTCAGCTTCTTTCAACCATCCGAAGGCGGGAAGGGGCTCGAGAGTCGTGATATTCAAGTCCGCATCTCGCAAAGCAGCTTCGGGACCGATCCAGGTAATTGCGCTGTAGAAGCTCGTCCATTGGAGAGATCTGCGAACGATCGCGTTGGTGACAGTCACATTATCGTCAATAGTTTCCCAGGCCATCACAACAAAATCTCTCATGCATGACTCGGAGACAAACGCCTTAATGGTTGATTGAAGCTCGGCCATGGCGAAGTAGTCGCGCTTCTCGCCCTCAGGCATGACGCTGGCATTGCGAATGACCAAACCGGCAACGGCATCGGTTTGAACAGCCGTTCTGTCTTCCAAGAAATGCGGAGGTGCTGACTCGAGATAGACTGCCAAACCGAGGCTGCTAATTATCTCAAGCAACTTTCTGCGAATAGAGGGAGAGAGAACATCCTCCCAGTTGGCGAGAAGGATACCAGAGAACTTTGTTTCATTGAAACTGCTTGCGAGTAATTCCTCGACCTTCTCGATGACGGTCAGGGCCGAGGACTTCGGGGTAACGACTCGGGCGAAATCGACACGACCCAGCACTTGACTACGTTCATGTCTGGAGATAGCTTTGGAAACACCGGGCTGGAATGGATCAACGATAAGAAGATCCCACTCTTCCAGCAGTCGTTCTTGTGAAGCAGTCGGTGGGTTTTCGAAGCCACCGAGATACACGCCAAAGCTCAAGGGCTTTCCCTTGCGTGCACGTGTGTCAACAAGATTGAGTTCACGGTTGGCTAGCTGGGCGAGGCGTTTAGAGACATTCGAGGGAACAGTGTCTGGTGGCGGTCTCGACTAAAGATGAACTCGAGTTAATATGTAAAACAATCGAGTTCTCGAGCTGCTGTTACCTTGTAGTATTTAATGAGTCTTCGCGCTCCGGACCATATAATAGAGACCGTTCCGATAGTGATGGTTAGTAGCAGAACTCCGATAAATATCTAGAAGAATTGTCAGAACCGCTGTCTCCACGTATCCACCCATGAATGCTCAAGGTCAGGTTGTAAAAGGGACCAGAATAAACATACAAACTGCCACCAATGCCCTTTCATGGCACCCCAGCCCAGAGGGTGGGCCTGCACGGGAAGGAGCTTCCTTTCTGTCATAGCGAGGTGTCGAGGAGTCCTCGTATCAACAAGAGTTGGACGCAATATAAGAGGAACAAGGTCGGAGATAACCTGTAACTAATGGAGCTGAAATGTTCTCAAACACTCATAGCGACATGGTTGAACGAATGACTATACTTTGTCCTCAGGTGCAAAAAGCGAAGGATGGCGACACAGGATAGAATTGGAGAAGCACAGAGGAGCTTGGTCGACAGGGTGATAAGGTAAAAAGAGTAGTGGGGGGAACAGTGGCTAAAGTGAATACCCACTTTTCCAAGCTTCACAAAAAGTGATAAGTTCGCGAGTAATAAGTTCGCCTCCCAGGGTCCCTTGTCAAGTTTGTAGTCAAGGGGCTTGAAAAAAAAAATATATATGGTTTCGCCTTTTTTAGACTGTTTTAGGAAAAGGACCCAATAATTCATGACCGGGGGAAGTCTAGGCGTTTGTGAGGCGGATATCTAAAAAACACGGGGCAAAAATAGCACACTAAGTCTTTTGTTAGATGCAGGACTAAAAAGGCCTAAGAGACGCACCAGGGCTGACCGATGAGACAGGTGAGTGGGGCCATGCATGCTTCAGTGCGGTGCCATGTGTATGTGGCAAAACCATGCGATCAATATCGTGGCCATAGTTATTGACCGGAGTCGTCGTTCCGAAGCCTTGGGCCGGGTACCTGAACACAAGCTGTGCTTCCGGGGAGCTATCCATTCTTCATTCTGGTCTACTTGTTACTGATCTCAATTCTCATGTATCGAATTCTCTCGTGTTTCGCCTTCGGCTGCAAGAGAAAAAAGAAAATATGAAATTTTAAATAAATTATGCGTGCCGTTAGACACGGGCTAGAAGGCAAGGATTCGCTGGACAGAACGACCGGGAATGGTGAAATCTTGGCAGCACTGGCAAAACAGAAAGAAAGGAAATGGTGAAATTCGCGTAGCGGGGAAGAGATTTGAAACTAAGAGTGCAGCCACACTCCAAGGGGAAGTGGGAAGTGGTCGGGAATAGAATTTGGCATACATGTACGGACAGGTATTGAAAATTACACCGTCACACCATACGCGGTACCGTACCCGAGATACCTCGGATTTACTATACATATCCACCTCCCTAATCAGGTCTACATACATTGACGCCCCTTTCCCCACGCCAAGTCTGGATGTGCTCCGAACTTGGACTTTGTAAGAGCCCCAAGTCAGGGCTGTGCACTCGGCGATAAGAGGTCTTTGCGGCGATGCCGAGCCCGAACAGCGCATTCAAAGCAATGTGCCTGCTCTCGGAACTTTTAGCCCTGCGTTGGCGTCTTTCATGTCTCGGTTCGTCGACTCGATTGCCTAATACAGTCCTTTCCTTCAAATTATTCGATTATTATTTTTTTTTCCCCAGGACCCAAAAAAAAAAAAGGAATTATTCGAATCCACCGAAGCCATGGCGACCCCTGCAGTAAATTTGCTCCCATGCCCTGCCAAGGACAATTGGTGACTAGCCAATCGTATGCGTGGCCTTTCGCTAAAGCACATTACAGATGTCTCTCTAATTCCCCCATTCCCAACTCATCGGATCTCGTCTCCCCGGGAAATAGGGCCAATTTGCCGTAGTCAATCCCATCCCATCGCTTGACGCCACATGGAGAACATATGGGCGCAACCTAGTGTGATTTCGGCTCCGTGCGAGAGCAAGTCTTCTGTATGGACGTACAAAAATAGTTAGCTAGAAAAGGCGATAGGTCTTTGGGCCCGTAACCTACTCCACAGGGGGTTGTATAAAGATGACGATCATGCACTTATGGGTAGACACACGCAAGCCGATTCCATTCGTTTACATACATCGCATCGCATTTCCTAGCTGTCTGTCGTTAGTGGTACAGGCTTGCATATCTAGCTCCGTGTGACCTTCCAAGTGTGTGCCTGGATACGATCAAGATGGTCGCCATTCCAGTCTGGGCCCTGAAGGTCGGCTGCTTCTATGGCCTTATAACCTGCGACTCGGCCCCAGGTGTTTGGCCTAAGAGTACTCCAACTGTCATCGCCTACCGTCCCCCGACCTCCACCCCTTCTAGCACTCCCAGCAGTTCTGTTGGTGTGACTAGCTCTGCAGTCGTTACTTCTACCCCTTCAGTGACCCCATCTGGGTCTGGGTCTGTGTCTGTGTCGTTGTCTTCGTCTCTTGGCGGATCCTCCATTGTCCCCACCAGTACCCCTGCACCCTCTACATTCATTACCGCTTCCTCTTCGGGTTCCATCCCGTCGGGTTCTGCTTCAAGTTCTGTCATTGTTACTGTCTCACCTTCCTCGAGCCCTCTTGGTACTTCTACTCCCTCGAGCCCGGCCTCTAGCTCTGCTGTTTCATCTTCTGGAAGCGCTTCTGCTTCCTCTCCTGTGTCCAGCAGCCCGGCTTCATCTAGCCCAGCAACCTCGTCGCCTGTTTCGAGTGCCGCCTCTTCAAGTGCTGTTTCATCTGTGCCTTTGTCCTCCTCAGCCGTCTCTTCTTCGGCTGTTTCGTCATCGGCCGTTTCTTCGTCAGCTATCTCCTCAGTTGCTTCGTCTTCGGTAGCTTCGTCTTCTGCTGTCTCATCCTCAGCAATTTCGTCTGTTCCTCTGTCTTCAAGTGCTACCGTGACTCCCAGCATGTCTTCCACCGCTGTCTCCATTTCGGCCTCGGCCTCGGCCTCTGCTACCCCTCTCAACCACGCTGCTGTAGCAGCTAACATCCTGGTCATCGCCAGAGATGCTGCCTCGGTTGGTGTTGCAAGCTCCGGTCTTAATGCCTACGGTATTCCGTTCACCAGCCTGATTGTTCCCTCTGGTGGTGTTGCTCTCCCTGCGCTCAATGGTACTGCCGGTGGAAACTTCGGCGGTATTGTCGTTGCTTCTGAAGTCAGCTATGACTATGGTACTGCTGGATTCCAGAGTGCCTTGACCACTGATCAGTGGAACCAGCTCTATGCCTACCAGCTCGAGTACGGTGTCAGAATGGTCCAATATGATGTCTACCCCGGTCCCAAGTACGGTGCCACCGCTCTTGGTGGATGCTGTAATGGTGTCGAGCAGCTCGTCTCCTTCAGTGATATCAGTGACTTCCCCACCTCCGGTCTCAAGACCGGTGCGGGTGTTAGCACCAGTGGTCTCTGGCACTACCCTGCCTCTATCAGCAACACAACCTCGACCAAGAAGATTGCCGCTTTTGCTCCCACTACTGGCTTTGACACCGAGAGTGTCGCTGCCGTCATCAACGACTTCGATGGCCGTCAGCAGATGGCCTTCTTCATTGGTTTCGACACTACTTGGAGTGCTACCTCCAGCTACCTGCAGCACGCATGGATTACCTGGATTACCCGCGGACTCCACGCTGGTTACCGTCGCGTCAACCTGAACACTCAGATTGATGACATGTTCCTTGAGTCTGACATTTACTACCCGGCTGGGAACACCTTCCGTATTCGCCCCGAGGATATGGCCAACGTGGCTAGCTGGACTGATGCCATCAACGCGAAAATGCCTGCTGGTAGTTCTTACTATGTTGAAGTTGGTCACAACGGTAACGGAAACATCGAGAACTCTTCTTCGACTGACGCTGGCAACACTGCTTGCAATAATGGTGCCATCGAGTATGAGTCGCCTGCCGATACCCCTCTTGAGTGGATGAAACCCATTGGAACCGGCACTGACCTGTGGCCCACTACCCCCAAGGCCTACGACTGGAGCGCCACTTGCAGCAACATGGATGAGCTCCTCATTTGGTGGACCACACCGAGCAACATGAACAAGTTCGGTCACATCTCCCACACCTTCACTCATGAGGAGCAGAACAACGCCACTTACGCTGACGTCCTCCGCGAGATTACCTTCAACCAGGCCTGGCTAGCTGATGTCGGCATTGACAAGGCAGTTCACTACACTGCTAATGGTATTATCCCTCCCGCCATTACCGGTTTGCACAACGGTGATGCTCTCCGCGCCTGGTGGGAACGTGGCATTACCCAGTGTGTTGGTGACAACACCCGCCCTGCTCTCCTGAACGCTGAGAACGCCATGTGGCCATTATTCACCACCGTTGAGGCAAACGGCTTCGCTGGTATGCAGGTCAACCCCCGCTGGGCCACTCGTATCTATTACAACTGTGATACCCCTGCCTGTACTCTCCAGGAGTGGATCGACACCTCGGCTGGTAGTGGCACCTTTGCCGACCTCCTGGCCACCGAGAAGGCTGACACCATGCGTCACCTGTTCGGTCTCTACCACGATGGTTACATGTTCCACCAGGCCAACCTTCGCAACACTGACGTTGACCCCATTACCATTAACGGTGTCAGCGACAAGTACAGTATCATGCAGGCTTGGGTTGAGACCGTGGTTCAGGAGTTCGTCCGTCTCGCTGAGTGGCCCATCATCACTCTCACCCAACAGGAGGTAAGATAAGATTCTTCATGAAACGTTGGATAGTATTTTGTTCATTTGCTGACCCGGTTATAGTTGTCCTCTTCCTTCCTGGCCCGTTTCAACCGTGACAAGTGTGGTTACTCTCTCAAGTACGCTACCGACAATAAGCAGATCACCGCCATTACAGTCTCTGCTACCGGCAACACCTGCACTGAGCCCATCCCGGTGACCTTCCCTGTTGCTCCTACCAGCACCCAGGGCTTCACCACTGAGCAGCTCGGTGCCGATCCCCTGACCGTCTGGGTCAAGCTTTCTGGCTCCCCGGTCACCTTCACTCTTTCCACTCCCATTTCGTTCTAAAAACCTCGGAAGAGAATTGACTCGTCTTGATTTGGCGAGCTCATATACCTCCCAGCATTTTGTTGATCGCCTAATTTCTCGGATAATGTTGTGGATATTGTTTCAAGATGTCAATAATGGTGTCCAGATATGCGAAGGAAAACCCTCTATTTTTTTTACTGATACGAAGACTGAACGCCCTACATTTCATAATGCCTGGAAGAACATGAAGTATACTTAATGTATAATATTCAGTGGTTTCTTCAGAAAACAATTTTCCCGACCTCAACGATGTAAAAATTTCCAAGTCGAATCCATATCTCCTTCCCAAACTAGAAACTGGTCTACATGTAGCTCACTCTAACATGCCATCCGGTGGTCTGACAACGGGACAGACAGTATTCCCGCACTGCAGTCCGGAAGCAACAATGATTACAATGCCATGTGCAATGTTCCCGCACATCAGTCCCTCAGCTTGTCAAATCCAGGAAAAGTTTTCCAGAAAAATCTCTTCACTGAATCGTATAAGTACTTACAGTGTACACTAAAGAAAAGAGTGAAAAAAGAAAAACGGGTCCTACAGATGAGGCTAAGCTCCGTAAAAAAACCCAATCGTCCTTGGCAAGAAGGGAGCGACAAGGGCCCATCGGGACCAACAATACGAATGTCTTAGAACCCAACTTGTCTCTCAACATCCCGCTCCAACTGTCAACCAAACAATCACATCCGTGCCCAATGATCCCTCGGGGAATAAAAAATCTGTATTATGTCTCAGAAGTCTACATGTACTCGTCAGCCAAGCAAAGAAAAAAGAAACCTGCAAGCCCATTGTCCCATCCAATCTGCCCTGTTGCACTGCGCACAGCATGTCTTGCCTTGCTTTGCTTTGGTACACTGTTGATGCATAGGGCAATCCCCAAGGTCCACGCGGTGGCGGCGGAGTGCATGTATACGATGTTCGCCTATGCACCGGGTCTCGATTGAGTCAGCAAGGAGGCTCAAAGTGGAAGAATGACCGCAGAATGTGTCCATTTCAGGAGAATAGAGACGGGGGGTGCATGCCCAGACATTGAAGCCATCCCACCATCCCGCTTCCCCGTGTCGGCATTATTGCGTGGCCCTCGGGTTTAATTTAGGGACGTAGGTACCATTTACAGTACCTACAACCTAAGTCCGAGATACATATTTCGGCGGTTACAATGTACACCTACATTTGCATTTACACTTACATGTAACCTCATCCGGCTTTTCGTTTCTCCTGCCTTTCTGTTCCCCAACTCTGCAGCTCAGCTTCGGCCATGCAGTGGTGCGGGGTGTGTAAGAAGTAACCTAAAGCATGGAAGGAAAAAAAAATTTGCTTGCATGCTCAGCTGTCAGCTTCACTGAGACTACCCGAGGCAAGGTTTATTTTTTTACTTCTCACTTCTGACTTTACATCGTCTGATCAACGGATAAACTTCATTCATGACGACTTCTCACTACTAAACCACCTAAGCGCGATCTTGGAACGGGATGATGGCTCCTGATTCTCCGTATATTCTCGACTCGTTAAAATCATCTCGTATACATTAAATTGCCGTCTCAGTAGGCGGGTGTGGCGTCCAACGGATTTGCGGGAAGGGGAGATTCAAGCGATTGGGTTATCTGGGACTAGATCCGCGCGCCATACTGTTTAGCGTCTTTAGCGTTTCTTAGCGTGTTTTCCATCTTCTTTAGGTACTCTCCTCGGCTGCACAGCCCAAAACGCAGATAGTAAATGGTTTCACGAGTCTTGGAGTGCGGGTCCGTAAAATCCGACGGGTAAGTCAAGCGACACAGACACATTGCTACAATACCCCTTTGTCAGGGCGTGATTCGAATTTGAAATCCCCATTGCTTATCCCGGTGTAAGCGACCCCTGAAGGTTTGAGATTTTCCTTGTCCATGATTCAGGCCCGACAAGTCACTGATGATCATCCCATCCGAATTGCCGGATTCGCACGGACGGATTTGCAAGTCGACTGATCATCAAAAGTCAAATGTTTTGACCCCGATTTAGTTCTCGGTTAGGGCTAATATATTTGCAAAATACGGTGTATTCCCTCGGATCCGAATATTTCAATACACAAATACCAAACAAAGTAAAAATACCTGATCGACCCAAAAAATCGACGTCCCCACCTAATCGGGACATTTGTGACCTCTTTTGGACACCTCACACCTAAGGCGCTTGCCAGCGCATGCATTGGTGTTTACTTTGGCCATTGGCAATGTTCCAAATGTATGTTTCTGATGTTTTTAGATTTTCCGTCCAATGCCGCTGGTGCCATCATTTCGTGATCTGTTTAATCGGAGGCAATCAGGCGAAAGACTCATACCTTATAGCTCGAGTGATCTCCGAGACGTCATGGACCCGATTATACAGTAAAGCTTCCAGACTTGGGCTGGCGTTTGGCGGCCCCCAGGCCTGTTCAGGTGTAGTCATTCTTGGCGAACAGAGATTTTACTCTTTGTTGAGCTAAAGAGCCAAGGGATTGGTGGTGTCTATTTTAGGCGGCGCTACTGTACTCTAGGAACGCCCGTCGCTTCACAGTCTTTTGGGCCCGGTAATAATGTCCTTGGCAATTTCCAATCCGACTGTCAGCCCCCCTGAAGTCCTTGACTGGCGGTGACTTTTCGATTATTTTTCGCTCACACTGTAGAATTTTTTTGCTGTCCAAAAGGCACTATATTGCGAAGTACTATATACTCTGCTTTAATATCTTTCGGCAGAGATATTCAATTGGATCAGCAGGTTCCACCACCTTAATTCGCCCTAATGAACCTTGGGGACCCTCCCGGGTAAATTGGTCTGTTTTGCAAGTTCTGCAAGTCAAAGAAGCAAAATGTTGTGGCTCAGTGCTCTTGGCGACCCCTTCCACCGCCTCTAGGCTCCCGAATTCTCTACTCTTTGTTTTGTCTAGGTTTCCCTTTGAAAGGCATATTTTCAGGGTCTTCTGACATGTTTTTCTGGGCCTTAGCCTTACATTCCCCAGGGTAACATTCGGATCGCGATCGCTGTAACCGCCCTGAAGGATCGCCACAGCCTCAGCCCGGTCTGGCCGGCACCCTCACCCTAAGCTTAAAGATACCCATCTCCCGAACTAGCTGATCTTCAAGTCTTTCTTTCTATTAATTTGTACCTGGGGTGACCTCCTTCACTTTAATTGATCGAGTATGCGGGGTTGACACACCTGATCTCACCCAAGACACCTCTTTCTATATCACTCGTTCTTTTAGCCCTACACTATTCCTCAATGGGTGAACTATCCTCGAAGACCGGCTGGTGGGCCTGGTCCACCAAGAAGAAGGTTCTCATCTTCGGAACTATTGGCTTCATCATCGTCGCACTGGGCGTTGGTCTTGGTGCAGGACTCGGCATCGGTTTGAACAGCGGAGACGACGACAACGACAGCGGCGGCAATGACACCGGTAGCGGCACTAATACCACAGTCCCCACCAATACGACCGTGAAATGGAAGCCCGCCGCTGGCACCAAGTGGCAGATCGTGCTGAAATACCCACTGAACGACACCTCCATCGACGCGCCCATTTACGACATCGATCTCTTCGACAACCCCAAGTCCATGATTTCCGAACTCCAGGGTATGGGTCGCAAGGTCATCTGCTACTTCTCCGCTGGAACCTACGAGGACTGGCGCTCCGACGCAGGTGATTTCGACAAGGCCGACCTCGGCAAGAACCTTGACGACTGGCCCGGCGAGAAGTGGCTCAACCTTCAGTCCACGAGTGTGCGCAAGATCATGCAGAAACGTCTTGATCTTGCCGTCACCAAGGGATGTGATGGAGTTGACCCTGACAACATTGACGGATACGATAATGACAACGGACTTGATCTTACCCAGGCGATGTCTATCGACTACGTGAACTGGCTTGCGACTCAGTCTCACAACCGTGGTCTTTCCCTTGGACTAAAGAACGGTGGAGATATCATTGGCTCGGTCATTGGAAATATGCAGTGGAGTGTCAATGAGCAGTGTGCTCAGTACAACGAGTGTGATACCTATGCGGCCTTCATCGACGCGGACAAGCCTGTCTTCCACATCGAGTATCCTAAGGGTGACACCAACAACGATATCTCTGTCACCACCAAGCAGGTGTCTTCTGCTTGTACTGCGAGCAGCTCAGGCAACTTCTCGACTGTCATCAAAAACATGAACTTGAACAACTGGGTTGAGTACTGCCCTTGATCTGGGAATGCAGACTTAATTCCGGACTCGGTGCAAATTTATTTTACTTTAATTGGGAGTTGATGTTGCATGTATAAATAAGAAGTATATTTCTGATACCTTCAATGAATGTTCTTTATAGCGTCATGACATAGCAAATCCATTCTTTTCATATTTCTAAGCGTTGTCTAATAATTGTATCCAACATCTTCGCTCTTAACTCTCTTTTTACAATCTCACATAGACTTCCTTCCACTCTCTTCCATCCCCCGTTCGCCCAAACCGTTAAACCTCAGCTAGACCCCAAGGATGACAAGAAAACAGGCATCTCGCAACGATGTGCATGACGCCTAGATATCGCAAGAACCCTGGATAATCAGGAACTGTATATCCGCCATGCCAGCACACAGCGCACACCGTCGGATCCCCCGAGTCCATGGAATTGCATGAACCTCCTCAATTGAGCCAGAGTATACTAATTCGGCATCAACTTCGGCTCTTCTAACCACCAAAGACAAATCTGACAACAGACAAGAGAACCACATCACGCAAGCCCAAGGAACCAAAAGCGCCATAGCACACCAACCCAACCACCTTCACTAAGCACGACACCAATGCGAGCACCGAGTCGCCATTTCGCACCTCAATTGCAACTTAGCCTTTCAATAGTCGCTAGTGACGTCCGAAAAGGGTACATGTAGAGGCGCAACTCAGACTGACTAGTAATCGTCATCGCCTTCGCGAACTCCATTCCACACCGGAAAGTTGGTGCCATAGCCAGCAAGAATGAGGAACTAACCTACACGCATCACACCCATAAGCAGAGCCAAGGTGTAATTGCTCTCGCTCTCGCCCATCGCGCATAGCCACCGCGTGATCTCGTGTTCTGTTCTCTGGCTCTGGATTCCTCGCTAACTCACATCCGACGCGTCCCGGTAAGCTACTCCTCTGCAACTAGTGAATTACCCCATACTAGAAACGGTTCCAGGCGTGCCTGGCGTACCTGGTGTGGCTGAACCAGATTTTCTTACGGTGTACGGATTACAGGTGTCAGAATAATTTCGGCCGCCAAGCACGGGCTTGATACGGAGTCAGCCGTCTGGCAGTAGTTGTTTCTTTCTTCGGAAGCTGGTTTTGGATCCTTGATTTCGCTCTTTGACTAGCAGAAACAGGAGTTCATCCTTGCTTTTTTGTTTCTTTGGCTGTCTCTTGTAGATTGTTAGTTGATAGGTTTCAACTGAGCCACTATCAATCAATATGCGACGGCCTTCATTGGACAGAGGGGAAAACAAATGATTCTTTGGGCACTTTTGTGACCAGATCGGTGGTTGATGTTCGATTGTTTGTCTTGGCGGTCTTGGCATCTGCGGTGTCTAATGCTCTCGGGGAACCTGATTGGGCAGGTTTCAAGGGGTACTGTTAGCTTGTTTAGTGTGCAGCTTGGGGAAGTGGATTCATCCGGTATTTGAAAGGTTCATTTTGGTCTTTTTGATGTCGCCATTTACAGTACATTATTTACAATACATGTAATTAATCAGTCCCGTACTGTAACTTGTGTATTCTCAAACTTCGTTTGTATTTGTTCAAAGACACGAGACGAGCTTCACCGACCAATCCTGTTGGATATATCACACATGTTATGGTGCGAGATGATGGCACTAGCCATCGCCCTTGCATAACTCACCCGCGGCCTGAAAATAAAGTCGCACGCACATCGTACCTGGGCATGTAAAATTCCCAAAGGCCCTTCGCAAGTTCTACCGTTTATAGTTAGATAATATCAAACGAGAGAATTTTCTTAGTCCTAATATATCACGATAGAAGTGCCGATGAACACGGACTGGGTCTTCCTTAGCTCCACGATCTTCTGTCCGATCGGAATCGCCGTGTATACGTCGCCTCGGGCATATTCCTTTGCTATATCCACTCCAATAAAACAAGCTAAACCCGTCGGGTCGAAAAACGCAAAGGCCTAGGTAATAGAAAGAGAAAGCGCTAAAATCGGCAGCCCGAGCGGCTCCCGGGCGGATCTGCATGGTTCCTGAACCACAAACCACGAACCATTGGAGAGTTCGACCTCATTGGCGATGCACTTTGGATGTTCGGCGGTTGCCTTGATCATCACCTCCACTTATGCTACCGTTGGCTTCGTGAGGAGTCCAAAACTTTTGCATTGCACGCACCCCTGAACCGAAGCTCGGTGGGAACTTAACTCTGAGGCGATCCGAAGGGGCGGGTTGCCTGGTCGGTTGTGGTCCCCGCTGGGCTAACTAGGCTAAGGGTTCCAGAATGGTCGGCCCACGACGGTCCCAAGCGGCGCAAGCAAGCTCGGCGCGAATGGTCATTTCGGCCGTATGGCTTCTTAATGTGGTTCGCCACTTATAATGAACTAACCATGCATGGCAACCTATACTTCGAGCTCTTGAACTTGCCTTCGCGCCCCGGCGAACGCAGAAAGAACGGCTCGCCAAATCTTGAGATCTAGGCGTGTCCACCCTTGCATGTTCAAAACAGATCGCGCCGCAAGCCCCAGCCATGGACCCATCCCGGCCTCCTGTCCATTCCCGGACAAACGCCGATCTTGTACTTTATACCCTTAGTGCGGTACTAACGCACCCTAGTGAACTGCCCTGTGGTGTTAGACTCTGAGCGGGTCAGTTCGCTTATGCACGACAGAAGGGATTTACAAACCTTCCTACTGTATTTGTCTAGGGACGCTCGGCAACTACAAAAGTCAGTTCTAGCCAAGGGATAGATCGTAAATCCTGCCAGCCACGCGAGTGACAGTTATGCAAGTCCGCAAATCCCCGTCGCCATCACTGGTTCCGAAGTAGCCGACCCATGCCACGAGGTGGTGGCTTCCGCCACCAGCGGCCAACTCAGGGGTATCACCTGCAAAGAGCATGCGCTGAAGAGACAAGGGTAAGGCATATCGAGAATTTCCATTAACTGTATCATCCAGCGATTCACGTAGGGATAAACCTGCGTCATATTGGTCATGCATCCCAATATATCTCCCGGTTAGACTACCAAATATTATCCGTTACAGTAGTATTGCGGCTGGGCAAGAGCTTCCCAGGAAATTGAAGGCGCGACTCGACTTACAGCTGTGCGTCATGTCTCACCAGTCTGGTTCCTGGAATATACTGTGGCTCCGTTTCCGCTGAAATGGAACAGGTCTACTTGTGAACCTGGCCAGACGTACTTCGACCACGTTGTACATACATGCATTGCTCCTGTTTCAATGCAGCGTTGTATCGTGCTTTTTTCTCACTTATAGTACCTAATGACTGGGGCTATGGCAGTGCTAAACCCCGAAATCTACATTTGGCCCTATGCTATGTCCCACCTGCTGTTTCAGTCATATGACTCACTATAATCGACACCTGAACGAGATTGAAGGAAGAACGCTGAATAGAGCGACTTAGACTTTCGTCTCAAGATGTTCCAGACTAATGCAGCAATAGATCAGTCTCGCAAAATGGGATACGATGGTCTCCATGCTGTTGAAACACCCGTGGCTCAGATATACCTTGCCAAGACTAGAGCGCCAACACTGCAGGGCTATTTTGGGGGATTTCGAAACCGCGACACGGTATTGGTCCTGGGCGTACATGACACCACATGCAGGTCTCATGGATTGATCGGATCCCCGGTAACTCAGAGACATTGCAAAGGACCCTAGTCTGGATCGAGATCCGGGAAGGGAATGTCAGCGTCTTCACTGCTATATTCTTATTCTGACGATATAGGATGCTCGGTCATCTCGTATTTAGATCTGGATCGAGAAAGAGCGAGTCCCCTGTAGGGCAGCACATTTTAAATCCGGTCCCAGTCACCAGGTAAGACTTCTTGAACCTACCAGACTTTTCATTATTGCCACCCCCTTCATAAGTTTCTGTGAATGGGCGGAACAAATGCACCGCAGAGCCTAGTGTCGGAAAGTATGTATTGAATCCTTGGCGGAAACTTGAAAATTTGAAAAATACCGCGTATTATACGCTCTCCACCTTAACAGAGTCAGACCGATCACCCAAACAAAGAGAGAAGATTGTCAGGCAAATCACAAAAGTTTTTCATTCTAGTTGCTGCCTGAGGAGGCCAACAGTATCAAAAAAAGTATGTTATCGTAAATCATTAGAAAATAGCCACAAAATCGAAAACATGACCCAAGAAATGCTAGCTATGACAATTTGCACGCTTAATTGCCTCCCCCATATCAATATAGATCCAATGAACAAACCAACTTAAGCCGCCATCAAACCGACAAACTCGTTCATCTTCTGCCCAAACGAAGCATAGTAGTCGGTAGACAAATGGGTGATGTACACCTCATCAGCCACTCTGCGCACCTCCTTCACAAGCCCTCGAAGCGACTTGCCCTCAATAGTCTCCGGAACGGAGTGCACAATGGCGCAAAGCTGAGAGCGATTGCTATCCTCGATACTTGTGAATAGCTTCGCGCCTTGCCGTTCCTGGAAAGTGCTGTACGCTGCCTCGAACACGACGGTGGAGTCAGCTGTAGCCAGGTACCGGGAATCTGGGACGGCCCCAGGGTTGTGGACGACCTGCGGGACATGTCAGTTCTACTGTTATGGGGTTCGCCTGTTTATCCCAGATGGGGAACCCGATGTGACACAGGTTGGAGAAGACCTGTATGGAAATGTGGAATATAGGAGGCGTTTTGGGGAGGGGAAAAAGCAATAAAGCAAGTTTGGAATGTGAGTGGGCGTTGGATACGCCTGGGGAAAGGGAGCCTTGGAATGGGAAAGGTAAAACGGAATTGCAAATAAAGAAATGTAAATGCAAGAGTAGAATAAAAGACAGGGGGGTTGTATGGTAAGGTAACAATGGCGGGTTTTGAGAATCGCACTCACGAATTGATCAGGACCAAGACCCTCCAGGTCTTTGACAAAGTCAGTCAGACCTTGCAAGTAGGTCAAGGTTTGGGCATCGTATTGTTGGGGTGTTTCATCGAAGAAGATTCCTTGAACCGCCAGGTTGGGGTTAGAGGAATTGGTTGGCCAGTCTGCGTAAGTCTGGATATCATTGCGAATGGCCGAAACATTGCGCTTTGCGTAAGAGGTGTAAACATAACCCAAAAGACGGACATTTGCGTAAGAGGAGAGAACAGGAATTTCACGGGTATAATTCGCATCTGGGAGCGAGTCAGGCCCTGGTCCGTTTCCTGGATTGATTACGACGGTAAAGTTGACATCAGGGTGGGCAGAGATACTGTGGCGTTTATAGCAGTTAGGTATAATTTTTTTCTGGAGATGTGATAATTTTGGCGCCCGAACGGCGTAACGATTGTGTGGCGGACCACCGGCCGCCTGAGATGCAATATGGGATCTGGGGGGATGGGTTGGGTGGGATGGAAAGGGTTAGAACATACACATTTTCCAGCGGTGTCCACGCCCCAGGAGCAGGGTATACGTAGAGAGGCACGAAGACCTTAGCCTTAGGACCCATGCTGTTGTTCTTTTTGTGAAGAGTAGTGACAACGACAGAGGGGACGACAGCGGCAATAATCACGACGAGAGCGACAATTGCCAAGATGATTCGAGAGCGAGTGGATTTTAAACATCCGCGCTTGCTCACGTGTTTCTCCGAGGTATCAGACATATTGGTATACGTTGTTACAGAGTTGAGAGTTGAAGGAAGTGGATTCAAGAGCACTCTAGATATCTGGATCTGGACAGAACTAAAAAACAATAACGAGTTGTAGTTAGCCACCCCCAAGACTTTGCGGCCGAAATACGGAGCGGGTCTCGACCCAAGATGCAGAAAGGGTCTTGGATGAGAAAAAAAATAATAATAAAAAATAATAAAAATACATTTATTTTTTCGTTTGAGTTGAGGCCCTGACGTACCAGCCAGGTGGAGGCTTTCTAGGGCATTTCGATGTACAAAATGATATCCCCAAGGCCCAGCCGCATGTATGGTCCACAAGGGGGATCCTGCCCGATGGTTCTATTCCGATTTTGCTTGCTTTTGCCCCTATTATAGTATCTTTTTCTTTTTTTAATCCGCTTATGCTTGTTCCGTATGTTACTGGCCTTTCCATTTTTGCCGGCGGGGGACTGTGCTGACTGCTCATTCGTCCGGCAAGGATGATACAATAGATGAACTGAAGCGAAAGGTCTGAGTGAGGCAATATAGGCGGCTGTCTTGGTTTTTTGTATAAAACCTTGGTGGGAGGCCCGCTAGAGAGCTTGGGTATCTCGGTCTTGATCACAGTTTAACACCAACATTTCATCTCTTTGCCTTTGGTAGTACAGCTGACTAGGTTTTGGTTGCTTGTTCAATTATCACAATGTTTGTACCCACATCAATGCCTTCTTCAAGGTCGGACAGTCGTCGACGCTCTGATGCAAGCACTCCGTCAGAGCTTGAGTCTCCTGTGGCTGTAGACACCCCAGCAACAGAGCGTGGTGACTTGTTCGATAATATCGAGGAGCTATTGCGCAATATTCCTTCGGAGAGCCATATCCTCGTCACTGGTGGTCTCGGCTTTATTGGAAGTCACACCACCCTCGAGCTCCTCAAGGCCAATTATAATGTCATTGTGATCGACAACCTCAGCAACGCGTTCGAGAATGTTCTCGACCGCATCAGCATCTTGGCTAAGAAGCACCACGAAGAGAATGGTACCAAGATGCCTTCTTTGCGGTTGCACGCACACGACTACCGCGACACCACGGCCCTCAAGCCTTTGCTTGAGGAGTATCGAATGCCCTCCCGTTGGGGAAACGCCAAGTCAAGAATTGCCGGCGTGATTCATTTTGCAGCCTACAAGGCTGTCGAGGAGAGCATCCGCAATCCATTGAAGTATTACTCCAACAACGTCAGTGGCCTGGTCGACTTTGCCACCACTCTTGGAGACTTTGGCATCAAGACTTTCATCTTCTCATCCTCCGCCACTGTGTACGGAACCCTGGCCACTTCTGGTCTGCCATTGAAGGAGGAACTTTGTGTGCACAAGGAAGAGGTGTATACGAACGAGGAAGGTACACAACAATCCATTCAGCCAGGATGCACCGGTATCACCAACCCATATGGACGCACCAAGTGGATGTGTGAGACCATCCTGGCCGACTTGGCCGTATCAGACCCTGAGTGGACCATCGTTGCCCTTCGGTATTTCAACCCCGTCGGCTGTGATTCCTCCGGTCTGTTGGGCGAGGACCCCAGACAAGCACCAACAAATCTGCTCCCTGTCGTGGTCAAAGTCATGACAGGCCAGTACTCCGAGCTTTCAATGTTTGGAACTGATTGGGAGACCGAGGACGGCACTGCTGTTCGTGACTTCATCCACGTCAGTGATCTAGCGCGTGGTCACATTGCTGCACTCAGCTCTGCCAACGAAGGCAAGCTGAGTGAGAATTTCCGTACATTCAACCTCGGGACCGGAAAGGGCAACTCCGTGATGGATGTGGTTAGCACCATGGAAGGTGTCATTTCCAAGCCCATTGCTCGACGGGCTGCGCCGCGTCGTGAGGGTGACGTTGGGTCATGCGTTGCTGTTGTCGATCGGTCCACCGAAGAGCTCCAGTGGAAGACCGAAAAGAGCCTGAAGGATGCTTGCCAGGATATCTGCAACTTCTTGGAGGTCAGTGGTCTGTCTTCGTAGCATGATCTACTGTGGTCTGATCTGTTATTTTATTTGTTACTTTTCCCCTGTTCTTAATACCTGCCTCCCGGAACAGGGGTCCCTTGGAAGCATATCCCGGTATAATGATTATGTGTTATTTATTTGCATCAGCCTGTTGATTAGAGTTGCATCACCTGTCTGCATTCTCAGTTTTTGTGTTTTGTGGGATGCATATAGTCATCCATGTACTTTTCTGTATCGCTAGATGCGAATCGATCAAAAGTTTTATCAGTGAACATTGGCAACTGGTAGCTCGGCTTGGTCAAGTTTGTAGTTCAGAACAGTCCAGCAGTGCGGAGTTGTTGAGGGGAAGCAGCCTAGGAAATCAACTGTAAACGCCTGAGGCACTAATATGATGGATGATGGCATCACGTGATTTAGTATCAATCAGCGAACATCGTGTAGTAGGATGATGCCAAGGACGATGATCCTGTAGTATACTGGTGGGCTGAGCGCAGTAGAGATTCTTCATCTACAGAAATAGAGGATCTCATAGCAAAAAAGATACGTATTCCAGGTTGGACTGCAGATTGTTAACCACGTGACCAATCTCCGGCTTGGCATCAAATATGCCGCAGTTTTCTGCGACTCCGCCAACGCGACAGTCTCATCAGGTGTAACTTCTACGCATTGGGATTCTTCATCATCTCAGGCCCCAATTGAATACCTTGAAAGGCCACTCTACTAATTTACGCCTTTTTCGCTCTCTTTCGCCATCATGATCTGCAAAAGCTGCCGCTCGACTTTGCTGTCTCGGCTCAACCAGCAACCCGTTGTGACCCGGACAGCCTCTTCATGCGCGCGCCAACTCCCCATTGCTCGCACACAATTCCGGTCATACAGCAGCGATAACAATGCCTCCGTCTCTGCTCCTCCTTCTCCATCAGCTCCCCGCCAGCCCACGGTCGGCGACCTCACCACCCCGTCCGCCGTCTCCTCCGCTACCCCAGGCGTCTCCCAGCCTTTGAGCACCTCCGAAGGCGTCCACGTCGATGTCAACCCCGGTGCCTCCACAAAACCCACCGCCGTGCGCCCACTAAGCAGCTGCCCAGCCGGCACTAAGATGACCGGACTCAACTACTTCAAAAACAAGCCGGACGTCTTCGCCAAGGAAGATTCCGAGTACCCGGACTGGCTCTGGGGTCTCCTCGGCGATGCTAGCAAGGATGCCAAGACTCAGAAGGGCGGTGTTGACCCAAGCAGTATGTTCCCTGGATTGTTGATTATTGGTGATTATAGGTGAAGTGCTAACCCCGTGACAGCCTTGAACAAGAAGCAACGGAAGCGCTACGAAAAGAAGCTTGCCGCTCGCACTGGCCCTCTCGCCCCTAAGATCCCTGCCCACCACCACGCCCACGATATCACTCCCGCTCCTTACAACCGCGACGGTGCCTCAACGGACGCCATGGCCGATGCTACCGATAGCTTCGGGCAGCGCTCGGAGGTCATCAAGAGTGCACGCGAGGCCAGACGGAAGGCCATCAAGGAGTCTAACTTCCTGCGTGGTCTGTAAGCTGATCTCATGGAAAGATCAGCTGAAAAATTGTGAAGCGATTATACTTTCTTGTTCCGCAGGCGATCCAAACCGCCTCGACATTGCATTGAATATTTGATAGACCGGACTATACATGGCCGGGATGTATTATTACATTGATTTGGTTTTTCGATTGTGCTATATATCAAATGACAGTTGTCTTAAATCTCACTTCTTCTCACGAGCATAGATTCATCAAACCACCTCGCAAAATGCATCATCGCCAAGCACGATCCATCGATCTACTGAGGAATCGGCCACTCCCTCTCCTCACCCTGACCTTCCAACCAAGGCAAACAAGCCTCATAAAGCGCCTTAAACTCCCCACCGCCAAGAACAAGAATCTTATCAAAAACATCCCGATCAAAGCGATTAAAAAACGCCAAGATACAAGCCAAACTAAAATCCGCATAACCAGGCCTCTCCCCTTCCAAAAACGGCCCCTTCTTCCCCTCCCGCCCCTTAAGCATCTTAATCAAAGGTTCGCTCTCCTTCTCAATGATATCCCACAAAGCAATCAAAGACTCTTCATCCTTAGGCCTAACCTCAGCAAGCGGCTTCCCAAAAAGCTCAGTACGCGTCCGCTCAAAGTACTCCTGACCCCGAGGATCCAAATGCCCAACGACATTAGGTATAATCAAAGATCTGAAACTCGGCGAGATCAGCGCTAAGATCTTCCGCACGGCGATTAGGATCGCGTAGCTCGCGTCGCCGGAGGGGAAGAGCGGCGGCGAGGGGTACAGCTTGTCTAGGTATGTGGCGATGGCGTCGGAGTCCATGAGTGCGCCTTCTGGGTTGGACTTTATGGCGCCTTTGTGGGTGATTGCTGGGAGTGTGTAGGGCATTGATACCTTGTGCGGTGGGACGTCCATGCTCTTTAGTAGAGGTGCGATGTCTGGGTATGAGACCCAGCTTTGGGTGTAGGGGATTCCCTTGTAGTTTAGGACCATTCTGGTCTTCAGAGTGTTAGGGGACCATGACTTGTCCGCGCCTGGCTTTGGTTAGCTTTGGGAATGTTTGGAGGGGGTTGGTGCTGTACCTGGGAAGTCGGACCAGAGGTCGAAGAAGTGGATTGTTTCGGGGTTAGTCATTTTCGGTCTGTCTAGAGTGTTTGTCTTGGATATTGGGGGGGGTTGATACTGAGAAATGGTTAGGGGGATTATGCCTGTATATAGCTGCCTCGGTGGAATGCGGGGCATCTGATTTATCAGCTCGGAGATCCGGTGTGAGGGCTACTAGCGATTCTTTGAGTCATTTCGATGTTGGAGGCTCATTGGATGCATTGGCTCAATATACTCTTGCTTGAGCTTATTCTTTGTTGATTGGCAGTGTGTCCAATGGCGTAGAGATGCCGACTCGTGCAAGGCTATCATCTACATATTGGCCACGCCTCATAAGATAAACATGGTACAGGGTTGTTGAAAGACCTCGGATATAGAGAGACCAGTTGACTTTGGAAGTGACCTTTGTAAATGTATATCTATGCAAATGTTCAAATGCCAAGTTCACGCCACGTTGACTGTGGGGAGAGTCTCGTGGACGCACGGGTCACATTCAAGACTTCACTCCTGTCCAACATCATCTCTTCCCCTTTCTCTTATCATTACAATACGCTATAAACGCTTCAACTCCGAGACACAACAGCCCCTGAAACAAGCTAGCGGGGCACCTGTGGTCCTTTGTCAATAAGCACAGTTGCCCCTCCAAGGCAACATATCAGGTTACATTTCTTATCAGCCTACATGGAATGAACACTAACAAGAGAACAGTGCAAATGGAGAAAGTAGAGGAGAAAGTCGAAGGCCTTGTGGACCGTGCTCGGCATTTAGCATTGCGTGAGCCGCCTAAAGAGGCACACACTGTCGACAGGTTCCACTCGACTGTCGACGATCATATCCAGAGGTTATACAAGTCTCTTCAGACAAATGCGCCAACAACGAACTACTTCGTCAACGAGATTCAGCATGATTCTCCTATCCCAGCTCCTACTGGGGAGGCAGTTGCTGATCCGTTAGCCTCTGTTGATGCCTTTCGGGCATACATGAAGAGTGAGACTTCTTGTGCTATGGCACCGGAGGAAGGCCTGGATATTTCCGCTCCTCTGTCGGATTACTTTATCTCGTCTAGTCACAACACGTACTTGACTGGTAATCAGTTGTACAGTGATGCCGCCGCTAGTGCTTATACATCAGTGAGTAGCAAATCAGCTTTGCAACTAATTCCATATTCCCCATGGACACTGGAATCTCAGGGTCCAAGTCCATAGCTAACCCTCTCATAGGTTCTCCTGCGTGGGTGCAGATGCGTTGAGATCGATGTCTGGGATGGAGAGTTATCAACCCCAGACTCGAGCGACGGCGAGATAAGCAGCGACAGTAGCAGCAGTAGCGACTCTGAAGACGAAGGCCAATCCTTCGGGAGCAAGCTGAGAGAAAAAATCAGCTCGAAGTCTGATAAGCAGGAGAAGCCCGCCAAGGAACCTAAACAATCGGTTTCATCGAGACTGGAATCTAAACTGGGCGGAGTGCTGCGCCGCAAGTCTGTCAAGTCGCCGCCAGCACAGGTGAGCGAGGAGACTGCTACAAGCCAGCTTCCAATTCGAGGTGAACCTCGTGTGTTACATGGTCACACTCTCACCAAGGGAGCGACCTTCCGTGAAATCTGCTATGCAATCCGCGATGGTGCTTTCGTTGCTAGTGACCTTCCTGTGGTCGTCAGTCTCGAGGTCCATGCGTGTCTCGCACAGCAGCAGATGATGGTGAATATCATGGAGGAGGCGTGGAAGGGGATGCTCATTGAGGCGCCCCAAGGCGAGGAAAAATTACCGTCGCTCGCTGATCTGAGAGGAAAAATCCTGATCAAGACCAAGGGTATCCCGCTAGGTGGTGAAGAGCAGAAGAATGAATCTGAAGAGAGCCTCACTCCGCAAAAGTCGGATGATACTTCTGCATCGCCGCAGCCGAAGCCATCGAAACCGTCGAAGATTTTCGAAGGTCTTGCTAAGATGGCTGTTTATACTCGCGCGTATCATTTCAGCCATTTCGAGCAGCCCGGTATGCATCACCTATCCCTAATCAGACATTAGTATGTTAATCTGTTCCACAGAGGCCAAGGTCCCCGTCCATGTATTCTCACTGTCTGAAAAGGCAGCCCGCGAAGCTCACGCCACCCATCGCGATGCCCTGTTCGAGCACAACCGAGCAGCCATGATGCGTATCTACCCATACGCATTCAGAGTGACCTCCTCCAACCTCGACCCAACATTCTACTGGCGACGCGGCGCCCAGCTGGTAGCACTTAACTGGCAGAACCTCGACAAGGGCATGATGCTCAACCACGGCATGTTCGTTGGGACCCACGGCTGGAGACTCAAGCCACCAGGCTACAGAAGCAGCGAAGCATCAACCAGTATAATCCCACGCCGCAACGTAACCCTCTCGATCGAGGTATATGCCGCACAAGATCTCTCCCTACCCCCGGGTGACCACAGCGGAAAGGGATTCAAACCCTACGTGAACTGCCAACTCCACGTGGAAGAACCAGACGGCGACGCCGCCCCGGACCAAGACGACGCCAGCTCCGACACAGAGAAGAGCAGCTACAAGCGCTGCACGAAGAGTTCCTCGGGTATAAACCCGGACTTTGAAGGCCAGAAATTGGACTTCCCGACCGTGACGGGGATAGTCGAGGAACTGAGTTTCCTACGGTCAGTGCACATCCATCCCCCTTCTTCCCTTCCCTTCCTACAGTACATGTTCTTCCAGTACTGCACATGCATACGGAGTAGATATCAAGCCATGTTCTGTGCTGTATCTCATGCGTCATATTTGTCCGTTGCATACTATGCACATTTTCTGCACGTCCCCTTCGTGTCCCCATCGCGTATCATATAACATCACATTTCGTTTCTTCATGCATGCAGGGATACACCCTGCATTGTGATACCAGCCAAAGGAAAGCACATACCCACCACCCCCATGCAAACGCCCGCATGTCCTGAAGGACTGGGTATAGTCCTTTTTTCTTTTTGCTTCTTCCAGGATTCCCATTCGGGCTGCTGATGCGTCTTTGACTTGCGGCTGGACACCTACACCATCCTCTCTCACTCTCTCACACACACACAATCTCTCTCTCCCTCCCTCCCTCACTCACGGTCACGCACCCTTTCTTTCTTCGTGGTTATCCACCTGCACGCAGACACAGGCGCGCACGCACAGGCGCACGCGTACATGTCCTCGCCGTGTCATGTGTCCCAATATGATTACTTGAATATCTATGCACAGGTCCCACTGACTCCACATTTTTATTTCATTTAGGGTCAAGATCAAAGACGATGAGATCGGTCGGGATCCGTTGGCTGCGTGGGCTTGCATCCGGCTAGACCGGTTGCGGGAGGGGTATCGGCTTGTTCACCTCCATGATTGCTCAGGTGAGAAGAATGGGGGTGTGTTGTTGGTGAAGATTTCCAAAGTGGTTTCTTAGACGAGAGGAAGAGGCCTGTGGAGTGGAGATTGATGCTAGCGCAACATTGGAGACATATTGTGAGATTTTTGTCGGTCGCTGTAGATGTGATAAACAATCTACTACTGTACTGTATAGTTCCTGATTTTCGATCTGGCGCTCGGGTCAGGCTATCGGGCGTGTCGTACGGCTCATTTCCTATATTGGAAGGTGGCCAGCGAGAGTGACCTTGGAAGTCGAGTCTGATCGATCTTCAAACGCCGATATCACGTACATATGATTCCGAGTAAGGTGAAGAGGGATCTGATCTCGATCGTGGGTGGGTAATCGCACAAACCATAGCAAGAAATCGTAAGGCAATGGTTACACCGACGAATTCGCTTTCTACTGCATGCGCGACGGGTGGACGGGTGGACGGGTGGATGGGTGCACGACTGGAACAACGGCGTAGGCAGATAACCGTCTTTGAGAGAGGATCACTCGCCCTGTACTGTAGTGTCGGGTTTGGCACCTGAAGAAAGGCACTAGCGCCGAGCAGGGAGCGGAGTACCGGTGATTCCACATTCCAGCTAAGAGACACCCTCATTAGCCTCATTAGCGTGGAAGGCTGTCATTATCTTTGAAGGCTAGCTGCGTCATGCGCGGCATCGGTGCAGTGCAGACCTGAAGGATCAAAGAGAGTCGGGCATTTGTGCAGAAGCTGGATGCTTGCACATTATGTGCATGGCACCATCACAATTGGGCGAAACATGCATCCATGTATCCAGGTGTGAGATCATAAAAGTGGCGGTGACCGGGGGGAACAAAGAATTGTTGAGGCCAAAATAGGGACATCAGGGCGAGAAAGAGAACGTGGGGTTGGATAGTCCACTTTTGTTCCCACGCAAATAAGAACGGCATGCATGCGAGCCGCTGAACCCATCATATCGGTGAGACCGAGGTGCTCCGAAGTAATCGAGAGTGAACGGAAGGCCGCGTCCACTCAGGGAGCGATCAACACGCCAAGCGACATGCATCAGATTGATCAACAGCCTGGTGGGGTCACAAAGACCACAGTTGATCGGTAAATCCTCCGACGATAAAGTTGCCTGTTGGGATCGCACCACTGCGAGAAGTTATGTCTATAGGTCGGCCCCCAGGCCGGCAAACTGGCAAATATCAGACGGTTTTTCGCGCCATTTGGACACGTTTACCAGTTGTTAGTTTGCCAATTTGTGAATTTCGCAGTGCGGAGGGGTTCATGCGTGACGTCGAACAACCATGAGTTTGCATGCATATTCACAGAGCCCACCAGGGCAGCAAACAGCCAAAATGCAACCCACCAATAATCGGGGCTGATCGCTTTTTCAGTGCTGGACATCCTTGTCTGTCGGCAAATCACAGCGCTCGGGCGTCGCGCTAGGCCCATCTTCGATCTTCTCTGGGGTGCTGGGGTCGATACGTCAACTTTGAATTACTGTGAGGGTCATTCCCCCTACTTAGTTGCCCCCCTTTTTCAGGGGGTTCTTTACTACATTGCGAGTCAATTTGCTCTGACTCGCGTTCAAACTTCGCAGTATACTCTGTAACTGCTGATCCTATTCTTGAGCACAATCAAGAATCGCAAACGTGTGAAGCTGGAGGCCTCGGGAGGTACCGACTGTAATGTGATTGGCTTTCAATGAAGTAGTGGCGCGAAACCGACGAAGTGGACTACCTTTTTTGGCTCGAATCCCTGAAAGCCAAACCGTGCATGACGGCAGCGATCCATCAGCCCTCACTGGCTAATCGACAGATCCTACATGTAAACTATGAAAGAGTCTTTAAATGGGAACTTGAGCTTCCACACAGGTGGGATAATTTATTTTATTTTATTTTCTTGCCTTTCCCTTTCATCTCGTTTCCTTACTTTTCCACTTAGCCGGTTCCAATCCAAGCGCGGGGCCCTGTGAACTAGATCTCTCCCTGGGACCTTATAAGGACCGTCGACGCCTCACTTCTTTGCCTTATCTTTAGACTTCACTCAGAATATTTAAATCACGCCTGTTCGCGATCGTCTAGAGTCAGAGAACTCTATTCACCGTTCCCCTTGACCAGAATACCCTCTAGCACTATGACTTCCTCACAGTGTGCCACGGCGTGCACAATCCCTGTTATCAGCAAGGTTCGTCTATCTCCCGCACTGCATGTGTGGTACCTGTACTTTTGTGTAGAGATGCTTACACTTCGAAGATGCCTGGTGTGCGATGCCCCAACTGTCAAGCTCAGGGGAAAGAGGTCTGGGTGATCCCAGGCAAGAGCTGCCACATCTGCCACACTCCTTGTGCATGAGACAAGGCGTTCTACATATCATTCACTCGAGGGAAGCTATCCTCGTCTCCCTCGACACGAAAACTTCTGTGCGGACATGCACATTCCTCTTTTCTTCATTTGACTCTCTTCCCGGTTCAAACCCACATCATTCCGGATACTTTCCATCCAGGCCACAATCTCCATGCGCCCAAAAACACGAAAGGGACAATGGAAAAGGCCCTGGAGACAGCATTCCAGCCCTGGAGTTTCTTGCGTCTCAATCAGCGAAAGGCGCAATAGGCTCATACTACGGTGTCACTTCTTTGTTTGCTTTTTCCTTTTTATATAACGAGACATGACAGGGTCATGTTTGCTTTTTATCTCTCGCATGTATTGTTAACAAATATAAGTTAATATCGGGGTCCATGTTTCTTAATCGGGCCGAGTCCCACCACGGCTTTTCTCCGCCATTCAGAAGTACGAGAAATACTTTATTCGATCCTTCTCATTAGCACTATCGGTAGTTATGCTCGATGGGTTCTTCTTGTACTTTTGCACTGCATAGATGGATCCCTTGGCTCCCACGTGATCTTTATCCCGCGTGACATCATTCCCTCCTTGACCATACAGAGGGGTGGCATTAATCATTAATAAGGGTTACACACTTTCATCCCAAGGTCTCTATTAAATCTGATCACCTTTTCTACTTCAAAACGAAATGTCAGAGAAATACCCCATCGGCACTCGCAAGGAGAGCGAGCATCTCGTTACCGAGTGGGGGTTCAAACATGTATTCACCTGGTCAGATGGAAGGTATGAATATTCATTGTCCATATTTCTGCTACTGCCAATCGAGGCATCTATTTATACTAACCATCTCATTAGCGGCGCGCATTATTCACCACACTCCCACGGCGGGCTAACAACACATCTCATCCGCCGGGGCTCTTTCACAATCACATACCCAGATGACAATGCCAAATTGCATCACGGCGAAGTAAAGAAAGAGACATTCGGTGTTGGAGAGCGGATTGATGTTCCTGCTGGGAAGGTCCATGAAGTTTGGATTGGGGATCAGGGGTGTGAATATGTTATTGGGGAGTTACTTGAGTAGTATCTTCGCGCTACGGCTTACTTGATGAATATAACGGTGACAGACGGTTGATTTAATTCTATGTATCTCTATCCAATGAGCCCAGCTCTTGGTATGTTCTATTTTTATCTTATCTCATCTTCGAGTCTTCGTCGTTTTTTGGATCCCATGTATGCCAACTGTAAGGGTATATCTAGTGCAAAAATTTGAAATCGACTCTGTGGAGATGTCAGTATACACATTCATAAGTTTGACAGAGCATATGGAGTAAGACATACCTCTTGTTGCCAAGGTCTTTGTTTTCGGCGACGTATCGCTGTCTCTCTTCGCTGGACATGTTGTTCCAGATTGAGGCATTTTTCCTGTAAGAGAGGGAAAATTAGCATCGAGGACTTTGTTATCAGACCAACTAGGGGATGTCAACATACTTGTTCCGCCACACATAGTAGTACTTGGCAATAATAAACATCACCAGACTCCAGCACGCGATGCCAATAAGTACCTTGTTACCCGTGCGGTACAATGGTTTATCATTTTCACGGTAGATCTGATATAATAGTTAGTAAAACTGACCCGAACCAGAAAAAAAGACAGGTGGGACTCACATTGTTACCAATGATGTTACTGGCTTGGACCATCATATTGTAAACCGCGCTCGCAACCGTCCGAGTCCTCACAGAACCCGCATTACGAGACGTAATAGCCACAATAATAGCATGCACATAAGGCATAGCAATCAAAAGGACCAAAAGAATCCAACGAGCCCAGGTACTAGCATCTGCGGGAAGCAGCTCGAGGGCAATCAAAAGCGCCAAAGCCCAAATCTGAGCACCAACCCCAAGCAACAAGCGCTGGTTGAATCGCTCAGAGATCCAAGTCCACAACAGCAAGTTGATAATGAAGATCACGTAGGCTGGGATGGTCAACAAATTGGTATGGAAAGTGCTGAAACCAAGCGACTTCAGTTGCAGACTGATATAAGATGTCGCAGGGGTATTGGGAATCATCCATGTCAGACCGAGTAGGTAAATTGGCCACATATCATAGTCCTTCAGGGCCTGCCATAGCAACTTGGGAGTAACCGGCTGGCGGTTGTGCATACTTCCCTTGCTGGGATCATCGCGCAGCACGCGATTAACCATGATCTTCTCCTCGTGCTCACTGAACCATCCATCCTTTCCACGGAACCGGCCTGCGGTTTGGGTAGGCGACGCCGGCATCCAGAAAGCAGCGACAATACCAATCAGCCCGGTGATCAAGCCTTCGAGGGCAAACAGGTATCGCCAACCACCGGTACCGTCTGACATGCGGATATGCAGGAATCCAAATGCCAAAAAGGCACTGATAATCGAGGTTGCCTCATATGTTACCCAGAAGTAACTGAGGCGGATTGGAAGTTCCTTGGACTTGTACCAGAAGGAGAGGAAAAGAATGGTGTCGGGGATGAAACCGCCCTCGAGAAGACCAAGTATAGCGCGAGTCGCGAAGAAGCCACCTTTGCCCTTGATAAACGCCTGGCAGGCTGCAACGAGACTCCAGCTTACCATCTGGATGGGAATCCAGCGATCCGGTCCGAACCATTTTGACAAGAGCTGCGATGGGAGTTCGGCAAAGAGGAATGTTAGGTAGAAGATTGTTTGGCCGGTGTTGTAGTCGTTTGTGTTCATGCCCAGGTCGCCTAGCATGTTGTCTGATGTGGCTTGGACAATGTTACCGCGGTCCAGCTGCAGTGCGAAGAAAGTGACACAGGCGAATGTGCATACTCGCCAGTCAATCTGAAATCCGGTCAATTATTCGAACACACAAAACAATACCTGATGCCACAAGTAAAAGAAGAGATTTATCATACCTTCCGCACAACCGCCTTCTCTTCTGCCTCCGTCCACTCAAAATCAGGGTCCCAGCGGTGAATACCCTCATATTCCGGAATTGGCTTATAGAAGCGAGGATCCTCCGTTGTATCGAACGTAGAGTCCATCTGCTTGGAATATGCGCCAGGACCATCATAGGACGACGAAGACGAAGACTCTGCCGACGAGACTTTTCCCGTGGCCTTGGAGTCCAGGCCTTCGTTGGAGGCCTTGTTCTTGACTTCTTCGACCGACATCTTGAAACTAGATATGGGATCGAGGCCTGGGTCAGAGATACAAGGAAATTGTACTGGATGGGAAGTACGCTCCTATAAAGGGAAGATTTCAGATACGATATTGCGTCCTTCTATCACGCCATTTGTGGCAGAATCTTATGTTATCCCACACCTCCATCTGGAAGTGTACCCACGAGGAACTACCGGCGCAATTAGGAAGGTGCCGGGTGCGTGCAGTAGTTGGGTGTCGCGCGCAGGTGCAATCTATAGACTCGATTGCGACCAACCCTGGGTCCCACATGGCATGTTTTTATCTTGTTTCGGACACCTTGTTTCGAGCATCGCTTCAGAATTCTGGGTCCTCGAATTGACGTGGATTATATAGGGAGATAGGCGTGTCGATCGAAAGTATCGGGAAATTTCCGAGAAAAGCATCGGATACCGAGCAATCAGAGCTTGCGATTTGGCAAAATGAAAAGAGCCGAAAGTGTTGACCACTTGCATCTCATCTTGGTTGGATCACGCAAGTTAAGTTCCGGTGACGTGAGGTTGGTGTGCTCGGAGCCCTAACGAGGGTGATGCCTTGCGATGTATAGACTTGAGCTCCATTACATCGACCCCTAATGCCTAATCTTAGTTTTGTTTTGTATATTAGATATACTCGCGACTCAGGATCGGGATCTATTTACTGTTCTCTATTAATAAAAGTCCGAATAACTTGTTAAAAAAAAGTGATGTTGGTGAGGCTATCACGCCATCAACAGGGAACTTGACACCAAATCTGATAAGAATCACGACTGTGAGAGGACGAAGTTCAGCACGTCATCTACGACAAGGATAGCGAAGTTGCTCAACACTCAACCCCGCAGTCGGAAAGTCAACTGTCAACTCTTCGTGTTGTCGTTGATCAGACATTGCAACCCCGCAACATTGCGCAATCCTCGGGTACAAAGTGCCGAGTCAGCTATATATCGATGTAAACCCTTGTATGTGAAGAAAATATCATCTTTGGTCTAGACACAATAGACAACCCTGCTTCATATCCAAAGCCAAAGCATACTAGAAGTATACAACATGGCTCCAGGTCTCACAGAAACAGTCGCCCTCCGGGCCCCAACAGTTGCGCCTCCATTGAAGGCTGACGCCGGTCATAACAAGGAGAATTTGATTGGCTACAAGTACGAAAAAGATCGAGAGATCAAGGGAACAGACAAGTTGCCTCCCGCCTCGTACCCTAACTATCTTCCTGTCTGGGACAACGAGACTGAGAGGTATATACATCTCTAAAGCAATGTAGATGTTCCCCATCACTCACAATCCTACAGATATCCTCCTTTAGAGCCTTTTGAGCACTACGACCACGGGAAAGATGCCGATGCCTCCTTCCCAGACCTATTGCCCAAAGGCCAAGTCGAAGTCGACGAGATCACACCCTTCATCGGCTCTGAAGTGCACGGCGTGCAACTGAGCCAACTTTCGGACAAGGGCAAGGACCAACTAGCTCTCTACGTAGCACAGAGACGGGTAGTAGGTATGTGATATGCAACTACTCTCAACACCCACCCAGCTCCCAAACCTAACATATAACCCAGCCTTCCGCGACCAAGACTTCGCCTCCCGCCCAATCCAAGAAGTAGTCGACTACGCCGGCTACTTCGGCCGCCACCACGTCCACCAAACATCCGGAGCGCCCAAGGGCTTCCCAGAAGTTCATCTGGTATTCCGTGGCGCCGACGACCGCACCGGCGCAAAGTTCTTGGAACAGCGCACTAACACCATCACCTGGCACTCGGATGTTACTTTCGAGAAACAGCCCCCGGGCACAACATTCCTATATGTTCTCGACGGCCCAACGACAGGCGGCGACACTCTGTTCGCCGATATGGTGCAAGCCTACAAGCGACTGTCACCAGAATTCAGGAAACGGCTGCACGGATTGAAAGCCGTGCATTCTGGTCTTGAGCAGGTCAATGCCAGTCTGAACGGTGGCGGTATTGCCCGTCGCGATCCTATTACCTCCGAACACCCTATCGTCCGGACACACCCTGTTACCGGCGAGAAGGCACTTTATGTTAACCCGCAATGTAAGTTTTCGTATCTCGCAGCATGGCCATCCCCCGCGTGGGAAGCGGACTAACAGGGTGAATAGTCACCCGCTTCATTGTCGGCTACAAGAAAGAGGAATCAGACGCTCTCCTAAAGTTCTTGTATGATCACATTGCCCTGTCTCAGGATACCCAAACGCGTGTCCGCTGGAAGGCTGGTACCGTCGTTGTTTGGGATGTGAGTTTCCCTCCGAATCTGATATGCTGGTTCACCATATACTGACCCTCGCAGAACCGCGTGGCATGCCACTCGGCCGTCTTCGACTGGGAGGATGGCCAGCGTCGGCATATCGCTCGTCTCACGCCGCAGGCTGAACCTCCATATGAGACGCCTTTTGAGGGTGAGGAATAAGCGATGAATGAGTCGCTGGGAGACTCTTTTTATATAACGAGTGAATTGCGTACGATGATAAAACCAATTCGAGATATGTATGTATGTATGTATGTACCTAATGAAGCTGCCTAGTGCATTTGACTGCGCTATGCAGGTCGGTGCACCCGGACTGGACTACTGTAGAGGTGAAAAACAGATTACCATTTAGACACTCGCGCTTTCTCTCCCAGCGCCCCACTGCGGTCGCACTAAACTGAATTCGGTCGGGGGTAGTCTCCTCCATCTTTTGTTGATGTATTTCTGGTAAATCATAAAAAATACCGTAATTACACTTCCCGGCATTGGAAAAGGTGACTTAAGAGCCATTGGCCTGTTGTGATTTCCACCATTAACCGATATGATCAACTTCCCTGTGTTCCATTAAATTGAGCCTAGTATGTATTGTCGTTATCTGCCCTGACACTGACCTATGACTCACTCTCCTCCCCGCTGCCCTTTTCCTATGCAATCTAGCGTTGACTTTCTTCCACCAACAAGCATAGTATCCTTCGCTTCGCTGACCTATTCATCATCCGATCCTCCCAACCCTCCCTTTCCCCGACCATGGGTCGCACCGCCCTATTTGTGATCGATATTCAGGCCGATCTAGCCCAGGATCCTCGAACTGAAATTCCTCACGCCGCTCGAATCCGAGATGTCGGGACCGCCGTTCTTTCAAAGGCACGAATGGCCATCGATAATGAACTTAGTCGCGGCCTACGTGCTAATCTTAGCATAATCATCGTCCAACACCACGAAACTCCGGAAAATGGCTCTTTGGTGAAGGGCAGCAAGCCGTGGGAGTTAGTTTTCAATCCACGCAATGAAACAGAGAGGATTGTAGAGAAGACTACCAGTAAGTTATAAAATTAACCGTTTGCTTCAATACAAACACGATCTCTTGTTTTACAATAGAAAATAGTGTCCCGGCAACTTACTATACTTATACAGGGGACACGTTCGAGTCTAACCAGCAACTCGCAGATCATCTGAAAGCCGAAGGGATTGAAGAGATTGTGGCTTTTGGAATTCAGAGTGAATATTGCGTTCAATCAACCTGTGAGGGGGCATTAGCCGCTGGCTTCAAAGTTGTGTTGCTACAGGGAGCCCATTCGACTTATGATATAGGAAGTCGGAAGGCAGAGGAGATTGAGCGGGAAGTTGAAGAGAAGCTCCGCAAAGAAGGTGCAGAAATTATTCCTTGGGATACCTGGCAACCTTGAATCCTACAGAACAGAATCTATCGTTACGCCTTAAATCCCGCAGATAATGACCGGCTAGTTCGTAGTGCTTTCAAGCGACCGAGTGGCCAATGGTTGCTTTGGTTGGTATTGTGTTGATCACACCAGCTAGTCTCTCTACGGGTGTCTTATTCTCAAAATAAGTTTCTCTTTTGTTCTTGCTTGCTCTCTATATATCGAAAGCAGCCGCTTTCGGTTTATACGGCTGCTATGAGCGGCTCATATACTAGTAAGCCAACTAGACAGTGGGTCTATGAAGTGAGTTGTTCTTAGAAAAGGGTCGTTTACGGATTAGCCCAATATAGTTTTCAACTTTCAAAAGTAAAGCAATAGAATATCTGCTGTTGGCTGTGCACATGACATAAACAAAGTTAGGCCATTTGACTCTTCGGGTCGGCCTTCCTTCCTTGGAAGATCTTTGCCTCGAATACAACCATCATCGACGAGATCAGAATGGCACTTTCATCACCGATCCAAGATGTACTGCTTGTTTCACCACGACAGCGAGACGCCTACCCGAATAAGAGAAGAAGAACTACACCATCACCCGAATCCCTGTTGCCCAAGACTTCCGTCGTTTTGTGCACCGATACGATACAGCCACAGATTCTCTTTGCACCGGAAGAGTTTAACTTCACTGTCATCGGTAATTCAAACTCCTATTTACTAAGAATGTTCAATTCTAACTGCGATTTAGAACCAAGTCGTCCCAGCCCACATGAAGATTCTCAGAACTTGACTCACGGTCATCCGCACGGAGGCTCTCAAGTTCTTGTTTTACCCACCGCTCGTGAGATCATAACATCGTTCAACCTTAGAGAACACCCGGCGAAGTTTTTAGAACGGGAAAATCACGACATTCTATTTTGCGCAATGCCTAACGTTCAACGGGTAGAATTTGATGATCGCATCTTAGTCTATCTTTTCACTGAACTTCCACCGAGACCGTGGCCAAAAATGATCGCTGGTGTGCCATGTTATTTCACAAGTGATCCGAATGACCGCGGTCCCTTGCTTCCCATTTTTCGAAGAAGTCGCTCGGCTATCACGATCTCTCCCTCGATTGATCTACGAGATAACGAGGCAGCCGTGGGCTTGATTTTCGATTTGACACGGGATTTTTTCGTGAATGCCCGCATCTCTATCACTGAGATACAGTTCTGGGGCCATCTGGTTATCATTGTTCTGGAAAGCAACGCCGGCGGCGACGAAGTTCTACGTGCTGTTCCTAGATCTATCGCAACGTGCCAGTGTTTTTACCTTTTCGAGTCAGAAATCGGGAGGCCCACTACCTTGCTGGCTAAGCGAATCAAAGAAGCTAGCCTAGGCACAATCGATGAGTCTCATTACGACACCTTACGGCCAGGCATAATCCTAAGCTCTGGTCTCAACGATAAAGGAGAAGAGATGCGGACTTCTTCGGGAGTTCTGCTTCGGAATCAGCAAGGCATCGAGTTTATAACAGCGGCTAGCCATGGATTCACTTCATCGGGCCAGGTTTATCACCCAAATTCGTTAGGCCAACCCATCGGAGAGTTTATCATGGAAATCTCTCATACAGATATTGCACTCATTAGACTGAATGAGGGCGTGAATTTTGTGAACGAGACCTTCGAGAATAGTGTCTACCCGTCCCCCTCGTTCACTCTGCAGCCTTTCATTCGCGCTGCCGAGACTCGGCTTGGGGATCCTGTGTTCTTCGATAGCCCTTTTTCTGGCCTCGTCATGGGAACTAAAATGGCCCACTCTCTACAGCGCATCCCCATTGATGATCCACTAGAACCAAAGCAGATTTGGATTAGATGTAGCTGGGACTATATCGGCCAAGACTCGAATCGTGACATGGTAGAGGGAGTCTGTGGCTCGGCTTTGTGGAATGTAGACCATAGAGTCCTGGGCTTCTTCCGTTACGCGCTCACTGAAGGGATTTTCAGAGATTATTGTTTGTCTGTTGCCGCGGACCATCTCATTGAGGAAGGATATGCTGTTGTGTAATCCTGTTCGATGGATATCTCTTACGCTGTTTGATGGCTATTGCTTACTTGCTCTGATGAATGAAAATATCGTGAAGTCTGGCCAGGGAGATACTAGAGTACATTAATCTTTTATTTCCCCTGCACCATCTTGACTTCAGTGCAGCATAGGAGCGGATTGTCTTCCAGCAATCCAGTCTTAAATTCCCGGTCAAGACGAGCGTAGTCCGCATCATCCAGCATCTTTGCAAAATGCCATATCGACGGATACCACACGAGGGCAACATCCTCCCAGTTAGAATCTTTGCTTCCCTCTTCCAGTCTTGAGGACCAAGATGTGGTGCCAGAAGCGAAACATATTGCATCACTACCATATTTCGGTCCGACTGTGCGCCCAAAACCAGCGACGTATCCTTCCAGGTAAGCTAGTCTCTTGCCTGGGGCATACGAAAGCAGATTCAGAACCACAACCGGGCCTTGATGGGACGAACCAAAATCTTGGGTAAAACTTTTGACTGTCACTCCATCCATGTCCTTCTGTGACCCAAGGAGCCGAGAACGTGTGGTTAATGACAGTTTCAGATCATCTGGTGAAAAAGATGCTTCCAACTCGCTGGGGTCCTCAGCAGTCCACCCGGAGGGGAGATGAGGTTCTCTAGCAAGAAGTTGTTCAGCCACCACCTCCGGCTTCTGAGCATCATCCGCAACGTTTGCCGTGATGGACCAGCTCGATGCAATCTCGAGGCCTAGCTGCTCTGCTATATCTTTGGGTCCCACAAGGAGATAGTCCCATTTGGTCATGATGTTTCCGGTCCCAATGAGAGCCCCCGCAGACAACCGCGGCTCTAGAAGCCAGTGGTGCACTTTTCCAACCCAGGTTGGTTGACTATGAGGGTGAAGGTCCCTAACCTTTGACGCTAACACTTCCGGCTCTATAGGTCGAGAGAGGCAGATAAGTTGAAACGTGGTTGGTGCCATTGTAATAGCCAGGGCAAATAGTTTATACGCTGAGTTGAAAGAATGCTGTCAACGTAAACTTCCTCCAAGGTGCCGCCGTAGTAATTCTAAATAAACATGATTCGGCAGACTCAGCTTATTATATGCAATTCAGAGCATGACTCAAGCGCCAAGTTGCATGACTCAAGCGCCACGTTGCATGATGCTGACCACGGGTTTAGCCTATCTTATGTCCGTCAAATAGAGTGCCCGTAGAGAGACATATCACTGGTGGAGTGAATTCCCCCTTATTAAATATTGGCAGTATTAGACAGTTTAGTTGAACACGCTCAATATATGTTATAGAACCTGCCATTGATCTTTTCGTATACCAACACGTACCGCTTCTCTTGGAATCGACATAATAACCTGGCGGCCCCTCCGACTCCCATATCCTTCTCTTTCCAGTCTACATCTCCCCCTCCTGGTGCCAAGGCACATGTCCGAAGAGGCGTCGGCGTAACCAGCTCTCACAGCCATCCAAAACACAATAACAACCGTTCTCCAGGACGATCGAAGGTCAACAAACGTCGTGCTCTCGGAAGACTCCAACCGCCACCATCCAACATACGGCGGCAATCACATCCAACCTAGGGTTATAGATGATGCGCGGGAACTGATCGACTTCTTGCAATCCCATGGGCCGCACGGCTGCCGAAAGGCTCACGGGGGCGACTGCAACCGCGGTGGATAGATATACTCCTAACTAGCGACCAAAGGCACACGCTGGCGGTGAAACACTTCATTTGCGATAAGGAAACTATCCGATAGAGATTTTTTCACTGTAGAGAAATCAACATTAACTAGGTCAACTCAGCGCCCAATAGCTTTATCTGACTGAGCTCACAGCTACTTCATTGATTACATACTGAAACCCGACGTGCGTGTGAGTCGACGATTTATCTAGTAAATATAACCCCCAATGTCGACAAATTCTCAAGGGCTAAGATTTCCACATTGACTTCCAGCCTGCATCCTGAAAAGGCCACCCGCCAAGCCCAATACTAAGCTGAGTACTCTCTTCGATCTCCTTGGCCTTAGTCTTGAGCTCATCAACATCCCAGTTTGCCCACAAAAACTTTCCCTTCAAAAAGCGAGCTTCGGGGCTTGCAAGCCAAACGCTGAAGCTCGCCGGTAGAGAAACTAAACAAAAGTCAGATTCATGATCTCCTATACAGGGAACCGACATTTCACTTGCCGTGATCCTCGATGCCAGTGGCTTTGACACCTCCGGCTTCTTTGTTCATTGCGGTATCCACGATACCAGGCTGGATATGAAACACGCTTAAATCTGGGTTCGCAAAGGCCAAAGAATCCCAAAGGCGGAATACGGCGAACTTCGCGACGCTGTATGCAGCAAATCCAGGTCCAAAATTCACATGCGCAGCAGACGAATTGATATCGATAGCGACCGCATCTGACGACGCATAGTGAAGAAACGCCTGGGCAACCGACAATGACCCTTTGAGGTTTTGCCCAATCGCTTCAAGGAACTTGTCGCTGTCCACATTTCCGACTGGATCCTGGGGCCCAATCATAGCAGCACCGCTAACCAAAACGTCAATTTTTCCGTCGCAGGCAAATTCGGCGAAAGCTGCGTCCACTTGGTCCTTATTTGTAACATCTGTAGCGGCCACGAATACCTCGACGCCCGGGAACTTGTGCTGAATGGAGGATTTGGTGTCGAGAAGAGGATTTTCTCTACGGCCAAGCAGGGCGATTCGAGATGCGCCTGCTTCGGCAAACTGGCGAGCTGTCTCTGCACCGATGCCCGTACCCCCTCCGGTTACTACCACCGTCCTTCCTTTGGCAGAAAGCTCGGGACGGGTAGGGGATATGGACTGGTACGTTTCCGTGTGCCATTTTGTAGTTGGGGATGGAAAAGGTGCTGCCATAGTTGCAAGATGTATGAATAGGTAGAGATATTGGATTAATTTTTCAGTGATGAGAATACTTTTCAAAGAACAATATGTATTCTTATATGTTGTCCGGTCTCTTGGTCCATTTTGGTGACGGAACTGTGCAACTTGCATCCGTTAGTGTAATTATCGGAACTACAAAAGGTTCCATCAAATTTTGAATAGTAGAATCGCTGACCACACTTAACTAACGTGGCCAGAGAAAAACGTCCCGGAATCGTTGAAATGCATCTTTGGATATGCTCGGCATTACAGAATGTTTCGCCCGAGCTGACAAATGCCCATCGATTCCTGCCGCCCTGGAGGGGCAAGCCCCTTGATCCCAACGAATCTAATGGAATTCTAATATGGCACTTATTCATGGTTCCCAGGATATACAAGCGTCAATTCATCTTGAAATGTCCGAAAAAGATGTACAATCCGTTTTGCGGTGCAGGCAATGTAACAAACCGTTCGATAAGGGTAAGTTCCACTTCCACTGAATACAACTATATGGCCACGAGTTTTTACCAACATTGACTAAATTTTAGAGTCTACGCTGAAGCGACATGGGTACTATTGTCGGTCTCGAGGAATTGAAAGAATTCCTCGGTCTCGATCTTGTCTCTATTGTGCAAGAACGAAGACGCGTTGTGATAAGAAGCAGCCCGAATGCTCGAGGTGCAAAGCTAAGGGCACTGAATGCCATTATATCTCAAAGTCGCCCAAAGCCAGAAGACAAAGCGTTCAGAACGGCAATTCTCTGAGTATTCCGAACTACCAAGAAACAGATCACGATAGAGATACAATTTGCGATAGTGAGCTTGGTATTTTAAACCAAGAGCTCCCAGACTTTGGAGGTGAATATTTCAACTGGGATGTACCAGATGTTATGTTACCAGATAACGGGTTCGGGGACTTTCTGAATCTTCAGTCAGACGAAATCGACCATTATCCCTCAACAGGAGGGTCAGGGGGGTCTCCAATCTCTCGCACGGCACCTCCCATCAACGAAAAAGTTCAAACAAGGCAGCCCATTCCTCCTTCCAGCCGGTCAATACCAGCAGTGCCGACTTCCAATCCTCGTTCATTTATCCAAAGATCAAATACGAAGGCTGGAACGGAAAGAACCGCCACTCTCATCCGGCATATGCTAAAATCATATGTCTTGAAAATGCTGCGTCACAACTCACTTCCACCGTTTATCCATCCATATTTGGTATCTGCTGAACTTGCCATGGAGCCACTTGATAACTGCATCAATTTGGTCCATATGGTCAGCGGCGAGATGAAAAGGGGTCGAAAGCTGTTCTGGAGAAATGTGCGGATGGAGTGTGAACGACTGTGTGCTGAGGTGCGAGGTGTTGGTAATTATTCGGAGATTTGTCACACAAGAAGCTAATGAATATCTTCAGCATTTGGAATTGACGAAATGGGAACTCCTTGCTGCTATGCAAGCCCTTTCTATTTACATTATTATCCGGCTGGATGAAGGCGAGACGGAATACAATGGCCTTGATTCACTTTTATTCGCAACAGTGATTGTGAGTCTGGCCCGATTACGCCCTATTAACTTGATCCTAATGAAAAGAATAGCTCATAGCCCAGCGGCTCATGGATAGTGGCATTGCGTGCAACTACAGTCTGGACGTAACATGGCAAGATTGGCTCTTCGAGGAATCAAGGCGAAGGTTTGTAATCTACTAACTCATTTGCACTGGATCGGCCGTGAAGATACTGATCAAATCCAAGACTATCCGTGGTTTACCGAGTTGTCAATATGTTGTTCTACTTTGAGCCAGCAGCGATGTGCAATCTGCCAGCGGATCTAATTCTCGCACCGCTACCAGGGAATAAACAGCTTTGGGAAGCGAGTAATGAGCTGCTGTGGAAGTTGGAAAGTGAGAATCAAGGTGGAGTTCGGACTAAATTTGGTCTAGCTAGCAGTGGAGAGCTGGTCAGACTAGGTGAGGAATGTAGCGAGGGAGTGCTGCTTCATACGTCTATCACTGCCAAGAACCAGGAAAGGACTACTGCAAATTGGGAAGAGTGGTGCGAGGGAATGGATGGGCTTGGTGGGCTTGTCATGCTTGTTGCTTCTATGGTAATATAGTGTTTTTGAATCTGATGGATGTTAGGTATACGAGCGCAACAAGGAGCTATCTCTTTATTAGAGCAATTCCCCGATAGGCGTCCCAATATTTGTGATAGTGATAGAGACATAGAATCCTGTAAATCAAATCGTCAGGACAAATTGGTGGAATGAGTATGTGTAAAATAACTAATTTTGCTCAGCAATCAACTGACCAAATTGTATACCTCGTCGAATCACCACTTCACATTCCCTGCCATGATTCCGACCCAAACTTCAATACCAGTACTCTCAACAATTTGCTCTCGTCCTTTAGGTTGATACATAATTACCATTAACAATCGTACTTGGATAAGTTGGGATTTTGCATTTTTATAATGGCCTTCTTCAATTACCATCCCTCAGAAATCATTGTTCAGATCTTACTTTTTCGCTTCCCAGCCCCTATAATTTGTTGGCCCCGACCAGTGTGCGGGTATGTTTTTGTATTTGTTCCGCTTGTTCTTTGACCAACTAGGCCCAGTGGTAACCTCCGGTGAAATATAGCGTCTCTCCGCGCCTGTATACTCAAAAGATAGAAGAAAACAGACTGCGAGCTTCAGTTTTGGAAATTAGTTTTTTTGTTACAAAGGAAGAAAAAAAAAAAGTGTCCGGTTAGGGCGATGATGTGGAGAGAACATCACTCTGGTGCACCGCAGCTGGCGGGTATCTTGACGTTGTGAAACTGCTGGTAGCGCAGTCTCTTGCTAAGAAAGGGTCCGCGGACTTCACGGGCAAGACAGCTTTCGCCATCTTGCAGTACTGCAACTGACTATGATCAGAGAAGTTTGGTGTTCTTCCGCGAATTGGGCCTGTTAAAACCTACTATTCTTCGTGGCTGCATCTCACGTGGTGGCTATGCACAGATGCCAAGAGATGACAGTTCCAAGTGGAGGGAGCCCAATGATGGTCTAGCCGTAGCTCTCCCTTTTCCAAGAATGGATGGAGAGTTTTTTACCAGACAATATGTGACCTGCAATTGCCCCTCCCTTCTGTCTACCATACCGCAACGATGAGGTTCACCATTTTTTCAACCGTCGTGATACTGATTCTCGTCTACTTCTTTTATAAATCGATATCGTTCCTCCGGTTTTATATCCATGCCCGCCGTGCCGGCTTTCCGGTGTACCTGTCACCTGTTTTGTCCAAAAGCATTCCATGGCTTGTGCTCGCGCCAGCCTTCCAGCCTCAGCTCGAGAAATATCTTCCGGGATGGATCTATGAGCGACTAGATTTGTTGATTCATGGTTGGGAGTTCCGCAGAAAAAGAGAGTTCCACGACCGATTGGGTAGCATATTTGCCGTCGTCACTCCTGATGAATGCTCGGTTTTGTGAGTTCAAATTAATGGTCATCCCTTGGAAGCGACGTTTCTGTTTCTGATTCAGTCCAGCGTGGCCGATCCCGCCGTCGGCAATGCCATCTTACAGAGAAGGCATGACTTCCTCCTAGCACCTATTACGGCTAAGCTTTTAGGATTCTTGGGTCCCAATGTGTTTACGGTGTGTGAAATTCCTGACAGAAGAGGGCCAGAGCTTCTTTTACTGACCTAGTAAATCCAGGTTAATGGTGATGAATGGTCGGTGGCTTCCCTCAACCCTTGCTCATGTTTGAGTCTGCCCTCTTGCTAAAGAAGCGCTGTCTCAGGAAGCGGCACCGCAGGTTGTTTGCCGTCAATCTGGATGAGCGAATCAGCAGAACGGTTTGGATTGAAAGCTGTCAGCAGGCGCAAACTATGCTCGAATACGTGGTAGACCATCCGGGTGGCGAGACATTAGATGGTTTGCGCAGTATTGCGATCAATGTGATCGGTCAATCTGGGTACAGCCAGAAGCGGTCATGGTCACCCAATCCGCGGGAGTTTACCGTGGAGGCAAAAAGTGAGAGAACGGCATACTTTACGACGCTCTCCATGGTGACAAGTATGTTCCTCGAAGCGGCGATACTCCCGACAAAGCTGATGAGATTGCCGTTAATGCCACCGGCGCTTCGAAGCATGGGCAAGCACCTGGAGAGAATCCCCCAATACACCAAGGAAGTGCTCGAGGAAGAGAGACAGGCTGCCACGATCGGGTCAGTCCCTCGCCATAACTTTTTGAGCTTGCTGTTGCAGCTCTCGGATGAAGAGAAACGCCGCGGACAGTCAGAGTTTTCACTGACAGATGAGGAGATTACTGGGAATCTGTTCATCTTCAGCAGTGCGGGTTTCGAAACGACCGCTAATACCATGGGCTATGCGGTGACCCTGCTGGCTGCGCACCCGGAATGGCAGGACTGGATTCGTGAGGAGCTTTGCGGTCTGGACGCGGACGTGTCGACATGGACTTATGAGGAGGTGTACCCCAAATGCCGACGGACACGGGCAGTGCTGGTAACTCTCCGTTTCTCCTTGCCACCATTATAAAAGGTAGCTGACTTGCTTCCCACAGTTGGAAACCCTCCGCCTCTTCCCAGCAGTTCTTCATTCCACTCGCGCCGTTCTCTCACCGCAGCGGCTTATTAGCGCCGACGGTATTCACCACCTCGCGCCTCCGATGGATTTCTTTGTCAGCCACGTGAGCATCCACCTGGATACTACAATTTGGGGTCCGGATGCCGAGGACTTCAAGCCATCGCGATGGTTCAATGACGCCGGCGAGATTATCACGCCACCAAAAGGCACATTTTTGCCGTGGTCGGGCGGACCGAGGGTCTGCCCGGGGATGAAGTTGTCACAGGTGGAATTTGTGGCGGCAATGGCGACACTATTCCGATCTGCACGGTGCGAGCCTATCCCGACTCTTGGGTCACATAATCCGGAGGACCTTCAGCGGAGACTGCAGCACTTGATGAGCAACTCTGTTTCCAAGTTGACCTTGCAGGTGCGGGATGCTAAGGCGGTGCAATTACGATGGATTCGGGACTGAGAATTTTGGCCTTGAAGTATTTTACAATGATTCATTTAAGACCGCCAGTCGATACGATACAACCAAGCAGGGGTTGTTAAGAGAGTATGTAACCAAATCTTGATTAGAATACTTCAAGGTATGTGGGAGAATCTGTTTTCGAATCCTACTGTACTGTATCAGCGATGCGAACTACTTATGTATTGAATTTTCAATCAGATACATTCCGCCAATGCTTATTCAAGTCCCAGCGTAATTCAAAACAAAGGTCGGGAACGATTTTATGTGGATAAAATCGTAAAAGTTCACCAGTAACAGTTCCTAATAACCTACGCGGATAGCCCTTACGATATAAACCTACACAAGTTATCGGGTGGTTAATATCCCGTTAGTTATTCGATAGGTGACGGTAGGTTCTTAGTATAGTTTTCGTAGTCGTAGTGTAGTATTAGCCGTAAGATATAGTATTGACTAAGGGTGCGGGCGTATATTGTATTTTCGCCATTAGCTTATATCGCCGGGCCGTGCTTTCGAATATTCATCGACCAGGTGTGGAGGGGCAGGAGAGACCGACGATAACGACACATGGGCGCTATAGTATTAGCAACTAGATAACCGAGAGCTATTCTATGCGGCTGCACCCATAGCGACTCCACGGTTCTCACATCAGCCGGCTCCAATAGGCGTCCTTGCTCCAGTGCGACTTGCCGAGACTCGCGGTTGACGTATGCAATAGCCGGTATCTGAGTGTTTTGGAGTGTCATGCGTAGGTTCCAGCAGACATGTTTAGATTCGTAGCCATCGAAAAAGCCGTCAGGGGTGTCTTCTTCTGCTATACGATACGGTAGACAGTGCATCCAGATTATACGGCGTAGCTCTGCAGGTAGCTGCAAAAAAATAGTAGAATAAGTCGTTGCTCATCTTACGCGCCTCATTTGTTAGCCGCTGTCATATAAGGTGCGAGTATCAAGAAATTAGATAGAAGACAGACCACAGTTACTACTAGCGTGTCACATGACACGAAAGACCCCAGGTAGTTTACCTGGGTGAAAGAAGAAGGATATAGTCACTCGCGAGGGTGTTTAGTCTCTTTCCTTCCACGCGATCGCTCAAATACGAGGAGAGAGCGCACTCACCCGGGGGCGACACCTACCCAACTATAAGCTGTAAAAGGGCCCGGACGTTGTAAAGCGACAGAGAGTAGCTATCAGGGTAAGTGTAGGTGACTTGTGTTTAAAGTCTAGAAACTGAAGTGAGGAGCGGGCGAGAAGGTGAGTGAATATGGGGAAAGCGCCCTCCGATCACCCCACCGTCACTTTTCGGTAGATAGGTCAACAAAACGAAGTACTTGTCGCTATGAAACCCAAGCATGATGATTGGGATATTATCTGGATGCGAGAGCAAAGACTCGGATGCTATACTAAGTATTTGATCCGTATTGACTCGAAGTGGCTTGTGTATATAGACGCCGACAACGGTGGTTCACATTTCGAGTCATTCAACTTGGAGCAAGAGGGTCGCCGACGCATGGATCTAGGGGATATGGGATATGATGCGTGCTGCGAAATCCACGAGGATCTTCTTTACTACATCCAGCGAAAGGTCAAGTTTGTGCCGGAACCAGGTAGTTTCTTGGTCAGCTACCATGGGAAGATCTTTATAATTGATGAAGATCAGGAGGTTATCTATCTTGATAGAGAGATACTTTAAGCTTATGTTGTGTCCGGCAATGTCAAGATTGCCCAAAGTTTTTTTGAAGTAGGTACACATACGAAAGGTTTAAGAGCTCCCAGGAAGTCCTATAGACTGTAGCTAGAATAAGGTATTTTCTAATTGCTAGTTGGAATATATTAGGCAAATAAGGGGCCGCAAAACTCGCCAGGGGTAGCTAGATCACCTAGTAGACACGCTCGGTTGTCTAGAGCATTTTTGCGGATATCTAGGTCGCTAGAGGTATTGTCGTATTCCTAGGAGCAAGCGGTAGGTAGTAGGAGCGATGATCTGTTGTTATTCAAGCGAAACAAAATCCAAATAATAAACAAAATTTACAAATTATTCAATTGGGTGTTTCTAAGATATCCCTAGATATTGTAGAACCAAAAATTGGTGGTTGGATATTTTCCACGACTGTGTAGAGACGGTATCGTGGATGCGAGAACTCGACGAGTTGAATAGTGGCATGGCCGCAGAATAGTTTTCAGGACCACTACCTGACTGATATTGAGACTCGAAAGAAGTGCGTTACTCAAGCTTGGATGGCGGATGACGACAGTGGAAGAGCCCATTTCGCGGTGAGTAACTCGGTTTTGCCGATGAGTCCTCTGTATCACGCTGCGGAAGCCCGGGGTAGCTATCAGATTGATCGATGGAAATGTCGGATACTTGGCGCTTCAGTTTCGAGGATGCCTGTAGAAATTGACGCTTGAACAAACTGGTGCGCTTCTTGGCTTGTTATATAAAAGAAAAGTTCTCCGGAGATACACTAACATTGATAATGCTATTGTTATCAATTGTTACTGCGAGCGATGCCGTTTCAAGATCCCGTACACGTCTGTTAAAAGCTATCATAGCGTCGTTTGAGCTGTCCGGCTGCATCGCTTGCGATCTGGGTGTCGCACAGCGGGGGGTATAGACTTCGGGAGTGCTACGATCATATCTGCTAGGTTCATTTTACATCGGCTAAGGGCTCGTCCGAGTTCTCATGCTTGCTTTATCTTCGCTAAGGTCGTCGCTGCTTTTATGAACTAGAAGTATCGAACTAAAGGTACACGATACCGCTGCGGGCTGGATCATTTCAGTGGCTCTGCTCCTATGCAATTACCATTCCAGCCCTAGGGGCGCGATCGAGATGGCGTCGGATCTAGCGGCATCTCCGGTAAAATGAAAGGGGCAGTGCGTCGGGCTGTAAGCCAAGGCGCAGTGGTCGGTGGGGGGCGAGAGGAAAGAAAGGGGGCGGCGATGAGTGCAAGATAGAGGAGTTCCAGGGAGTGGAAGAAGGAGAAGACATACCAAAAGGGCGAGGTCGGGTCTTTTATGTCGAGGCGACGATGGGAGAGGTTACAGAACAGCTAACTGCATATAGTAATTCACAGGTCCGCCGTTTACATATTCAATCTTTATCCCGCCTAAACCGACTCAAAAGCCCAATATCCCACTCCCCAAATCTCCTCGCAGAAAGCGGCAGCATGCTATTGCTCCCCCGCAGCGCAGTAGACAAAGCCTCGAAAATCATAGACGGCAACTCCAGCTCCTCAACCGATAAAGGCGACGGATTCCCAATCTCGGGATGAAGCAATCCATCCACATCAGCGCAATCCTGGTAAAAGACTTTCATAGCTTGTTGTGCCATGATACTATAGTCTGCGCTGGAATTCGAGTATCGCATGTCTGGATTGAAGACCCAGAGCTGGAAGTGAATATGTACGTTAGCGGGGTGTGTCTTGTGGGAAATGGGAATGTGACAGGCTGGGTTGGGAGTGGGACTTACCACCAGGCCGGTTTTCTGACCACAATGTACCACGAATCGGCGTGCGCTTTCTCTTTCGATTAATTCTAGTAGTTGGGCTGCGATGATCATTTCTGTCGGTTGGGATTTCCATTCTGGGGTTCCTGTGTCGGAATCGCTGGCCGGGGCGGTGTTTAATGAGACGTTTGCTTTTAGGAGACGCCATCCGTTGGCGATGGGGTCTTCCATGCCGATTATTGCGTTGCAGGTTGCGCAGTCCAGTGTTCTTTGGTTGGAAGGCTGGATCGTCTCAGTGGTTGAGTTTTGTTCTTCTTCGTTGCCCTATAACATGCTGCTGTTAGCAGGTCGTTGCATTGCATAATACAGGGAACAAAAATAAGGCGAAATTGGAGATAAAGACATTATATTGCATTCAAGTTCAAGTTCATCGTTTAATAGACATGATCCACATCACATTGCCAAAGACGAGTATAGGTATGTACCTCAACTAATCAAGCCAGCTCCACTGCTCCAAAACCGGCATTGAAGATATGAGGACGCTTCGAGTCACGAAACAATAAGATGGCAGCCTGGGACGAGTCCATGAACGCGAATGACAAAAGCGAAATCCATCTGCGAGGGAGGATAACTGCGATTGTTGCTCGTGAATCTGGACAGGTGCTTGATATGCCATCGTCTTGAATCGCAGGTACACAAAGTGCATTTCGTTTCATCTTGGGCAATAGTATCGGAGACCACTTCACTGAGAACTAAGCGGCCTCCTTCTGGTTGCCCGGGTCGAAAAAGCAAAAGCAAAAGGAACTTAAGAACAGGGCGAGTCATGCTGTAAACTCAAACGAGAGATTTGTCAATCTTACCTTTTTCAAAGATGTGCAGTCTGATTCGGCAAGAAGGAAAGTGGCAACGTCAATAAGGACTGTTCCTGGTATAGCCACGACTTGACTATCGGCTCCATATCCTTTTGTATGAGCATGTTGGTCTTCAATCTGGAGCGCAACATCTTTCTCATCTTTTTCATGGCCTTCATGGGGGTCGGGTTTATGGCAATGCCAGAAGTCCATCATTTCGGCCCAGTTCCCACTGGGGAGATCCTTCCAAACCCAGCCCACGGTAGAGGCCTGGGAGTGCTCGTTTTGATTTTCATGAGTGGCGGGAGATAATAAAAAAGGCGTCGCACATTCCCGACATCGAATCCTCGTTAAATGCGACATCTCCACAGCTGTCCAGGGCACAAAATCATCAATTAGTTCATCCTGAGGCGCCAGCGCCTCTTCATTGGGATCGACTTGCATTCGGAAAGAATAATCATGGCTGCTATTCGAGCCAGAAGCAGATGTTGTTGCTGGGTCAGCTGTAGCATTCAAAGCGCGCCGAGACGCGTCACTAACACGCGCTGGCAATTTAATCGTCTCAACCACATCCAGGAATGGCTTTGGTAATGAGACTATCACTGCTTTTCGTGACTCTGAGAGTTGGATATCTGGTCGGATACCGTTGAATTCTGGACGTCCCGGGAGGGAGACGTAGAGGGTTATTTGGCGGATGTTGGGTAGGAACTCTGCGTGGAGATACAGGGGCACATTGATGTCCTGCATCTCTGAGTTTCTGTCTGCGTCCTGGTGAGAAGGGACGGAGGTGCTTGTTAGTGGAGAGAGTGGTTTATGTGCACGATTCCGAGCTTTCAAGGTTCCTGGTTGGTGTTTGATGTTCTGCGTGTATTGTGTTTGTCTTTGGTGCAAACTGCACAAACATCTAATTTGGCAACGCAGTCACAGGCTCCATACAGCGATACCAACATTTTGAGTTTTGATCACAACTAGGCAGGTAGAAAGGAAAAAATGATTTGGCATTTTACAATAACTTCCATACCCATACAATGCAACTAATTATGTGGGATCTATAACTGGCATGGAATTTTTAGATGCATAAAAAGAGACAAAAAGACCCTACAATTCGTCCCCAACAAAATCCCCCTCCAGCCTTGGAACTCATCAGTAAACCTCACAGCAGCCTTAAGGAAGAAACTTTCCGAATCACCCCAAGTCAAGGACAATTCTTTCAATGCGCGGATAACCTTGACGAACTGTGCATCTGTCGAAAACTTCCCCTTCACAGCCTTCTCTGCCGTCCATTTCCAGTCCCTTCCCTTGAGATCATAACCAAGAATTCGGTCTGAATCAATCTCGGGTCGCAGCTGGGAGATGTAGATTGAGACGGTGGTCAGCCACCACTGACGCAGAAGTGGAATCTGGAATTGTGCAGGGATTAAGGGTAGCACCACACGCACGGCATGGCTAGTTGTGAGAAGAACAGCAAAGAGCGAATTGTATGACCCGCTTCTGGCATTTTCTGGGTCGGATGTTCCAACAAGCAATGCAGCGGCAAGTTCTTGACTCTCGCGGAACTGTTCCATTGCGCTCTCGATTCTCCATGCACACCAGTGCTTGAGCAACAATGGATTGCGGGATGTGATAAGGGACTTGAGGTTTTGACTGTCTGGCTTGCTGAACAGATTGTCTAACTCTTTATCTTGGCGGACAATTTCCAAGATTTCGAAAAGAGATTTTGATTCGTATGTTGCCTTGTTCAGTGGCGCTGCATCTTCCAGATCCTTGAACGTACTGCTGTGGCAGGTTGCAGCAAGGCCGAGGGTTTCCATTGCCATCTCGCGACTGGAGAACTCAAAGGCATGGGCAAGATGAACCAAGGGGGCTCCAACTAGAATCTGGTTAGATAATTCAAAATTTGGGAGATATATTGCTCTTCAAGAGGGAGGGAACATACGGCCACCCATGATAGAATTAAACATAGGCTCTTTGTCATCAAACAGGTACTCAGCAACGACTTCTCTCCAGTCATAGCCAAGGCGAGCTAGCTCATCTTCAAAGAAGTTCACAAATGCACGGTCATATCTATATCCATGCGTATAAGTATCCGGTTGGACCTTAAAAGAAGAGAAAGGCCGGCTCAAGACAAGGGTACTCACTCTCGACATCCCAAATAACCCTTCCAATCAAGATGAGTAACTTCAGCAGGCGAATCCTCCCACTTGACTTGAGAATTAACATGATCTTCATAAATCCGCCCTAGATCCTCATCACCCGCGCCTTGCAGAAAAGAGGCGCATAATAGCTAAAATATGGATCAGCGTCATCGATCAAAAACAACAGTATTATCCGGGAAGGGCTAGGAGACACGTACTTCAGGCAACTGACTCGGCAAATAGCGCTGCACAAACAAACCATGCTCAACATGATTCAATTTCAATAAGTGTTTCAAGGCCCGGCCAGGTTTGTCCTGCGCAGTCTCGCTCTCATGGACCTTGACTGGGCGAAGGTCGATCGCGCCCTTCTTGGAGAAGAGTGATAGGCTGAGCTTCGGTAGTGATGGCCATGAGATTGTGAACATTGTGGATTCAGTTGTGTATAGGTGTAAATGGTAGAGGTTTGGCTGGGATTGTTGGGAATTGTGGCCTGAGGCAGAATAGTCTTATGACATAATTTGGGTTATCAATCTGGTCACGTGGGGTGGTTATTTCTGCGGTGAACAGTTGACTGGCCAGGACTACAAGGTCAGCTCTCAAATACGCCAAACGTCATTATTTGGCCTTGTGGACTGTCTGCAGATGTGGTGAATTTGGTCAATGTCCTAGTACATATTCAGACGTGAGACAGATCTACATTATCCTACAAGAAAGCTCGAGAAGAAATATAACATAATTGATCTATGAATTACAATTTGCATAAACTACTCCATGCTTCCAGCCTAATCCTTGCGAGGCTCAATAACTGGAATCGGCTGCTCTGACTGGGGATCAACCTCTCCAGCCAGAACTTCAACTTCAAAGCGAGGACCGACGAAGTTCTTGCGTCCGTCCACAAACCACTGGATAGTAGAAATGATAAAAACGATACCGAAAGCAGCAACACAGTAGTCTGTAAGATCATGAAGTCAGCATTTCGTTCTGGTGATGGGAAAGAGCACGGAAAACCCACTCATGCTGCTACCAGTGGCGGGCAGTTCAGGGGGGAAGAGGAAGAGAATAGTAGTGAGGGCAATGTAAGCCAATGAGACCTGGAAATATACGGTCAGTCGCAGTCCAAATTAAGGATGGGATAAGCCACATACAAGGTTCAAAGTCCAGCCAACAATGTTGGGCAGAACAAAGGAGCGCTCCGGGAGCATTCTCCGCCCACGAAGGCAGTTGACTACAATCGGCATTCCATATGAGAGGTCGAGAAGCACCACTGATGCTGAGACAATAGCGTTGAAAGCGCTTGAGGAGCCCAGGAAGATGAGACCGAATATAGTCACAAGGGCCAGGTTAAGGTAGAGCGAGTTCAAAGGGACCTTGAGCTTGGGGTGGACGCGGGAGAAGAATGGGGATGCAGGGAGACCGCCGTCACTGGAGTAGATGTCAGCATATGCCGGCTTGGGAAATTATTGATGGGTGACGTGCCGTGCGAATGCGTAGACCATGCGGCTGCTGGTGGTCATGATAGCCGTGGCGGCGAACAGGACGCAGACGAGAGGGAAGCTGGAAGGCCTGTGAGTTTACCGGATACCAGAATTGGGAAGAGGTTGTTCTTACATCAACAGGCAGATGGCGCCAGCGTTGCTAGAAGTAGCATTCTTCAAGATCTGGAGGAGGGGAGTCGCAGCAGATGAGATAACTTCTTTGATATCACCAGCCACGAAGAGCAGGACAACAAGGAAGATTGTACCAGTGACAGTACCGATGCCAACACAGGCAATCATAATCTTAGGTCCCTCAATAGATGGGTTGGGGATTTCTATAATCTGTTAGTTTCGTGCCCGGTCAATTTCAGAGCTCAATTCCTCGAAAATACCTTCAATCATGTGGGCAACACCGTCCTGATATATCATTAGCTTTGTGTTCAATTTTAACTTTCACAGAGTACTCACAAATCCAGTAACACCGAGACCTCCTTGCAAGAGCTGTGAAGATGTTAGATTTGACCATATGTCTCTACAACGCGGAACATACCCCGAGCAACCAGGCAACACCGTCAGGCCCTATAGAAGTCAGCTGAGGAACTGCAAAGAATGGCAAGATTGTATACTTACATCCAGTTTCATTGATAAAGTCAGTAAAGACGAACCTGTATATGTCAGCCTATTGGTTAAGTGTTTCATCTGCAAGACCAACATACTTTCCAGAGTTATAGTTCGGCGAGGCGCATGAAAGCACAGTGATGCAAATGACAGCGAAACCAGTCAAGGACCAGATGACTGAGAAAGTCAGTAACAGACCATCTGTAAAGAGTATGTTCAAAAACTCACAGGCACCCTTGGTAATGTAAGGCAGGACATTGTTCATGAAAGCGTTAATAAGGAAAGCCACAATGTTGTAGCCAAGGTAAATCAAGAACTGGTGCCAGCGCTCAGGGCTGTAGGTCTAACATTGATGGTCAGTGAAAGGTTCCAAGCCAGAGATCAAAACAACATACCGGGTTCATCAGAGAGATAACACCGAGGATAAGCTGACTGCCCAGCAGACCACCGGTCGCGACCAGCGCAACCCATCCAGAGCAATTGACCCAGCCAGTGATCCAGGACAGGATTGGCATCCAGCTTCTCCAGGAGGTGACAGCAACCCAGTGGTATTGGCCCCCGGCAGTAGGGTAAGCGGAAAGGAACTCGGCCAGGGAAGCGGCCATACACAGGTTACAGATACCCGCTGTAACCAAGCCTGCCAAGATTCATGTCAGTTCTGTGCAGTAGTACCGATTCGGAATAGATGCATACCCCAAACAACACTCGCGCTACCTCCGGAGGTCAGACTGAGGGACAGACTGGCTGATAATGCGGTCCATGACTGTGCGATTTCAATAATCGATCCTCTTGCTGTTAAGCATGCTGGTTGAGTCACGTACATTGAGAATAGCAAAAGCAAGACCGAGCATGGATCTGTCACACAATCACGGTTAGCCCATTCCGAGATATCGATCAGTTGTAGGAACTCACATCAATGAGTAGCTACGCTTCAGCTCAGACTTATGGCCCATTTGGGCCAGCTGCGCGTCGTCATTGTTGTATTCCTTCTCCATGGTGAATGCTCAAATCAAAGCAAGGGAGGGTAAAAAAGAAAAGTGAAACCGAGGAGCAGGCAGAATAAGAATGCCCCGAGCTAATATGACGACCTTCGAACATCACCTTCCCTATGTTTCTCCACGCTCACTTCACGCGGGGGAGTACATACAGTAAGAGCTGTTAGGTAACGAATTTGGGGTAGGGCCAGTCAAGGCGATAAACAGGGGTGGCGCTCATTGGCCAGGAGCACCGAATGCGGCACTATTCACCAATCACAGACAGCGATACCGGCGGACGATCCAAAATCTTGGCATATCGCGGTCCGATGCATCCATGGCTCGTGGCGGCAGCCCCAGAGCTTATCCCTGTACTACCCTCTGATTGGTCGTTGAATCCACCTAGTTGACGACGCGGGGGAAGATGCAGTTTGGGGAAAGTGGGCGATCCTTGGGGATTGTGGGCTAAGGGTAACGTTCTATGCATAGTCTGCATGCTCCGTGTATATAAAGTCAATTCCGGCCTTGGCTGGAGCCCTTGGCTTGGATTGTACTACGCGGGTTTTGTCCGGTTTGAATGATTCGGCCCGATGTGTCTCCCTGATAGGGATGCGTATTTGTGGAGCGCGTGGGTCGCGGGCAAACCTTGCTATCTGGGGGAGACAAATACTCCTATGTAAAGATATCTCTCAGAGGGCTGGTTCACCGGAATGGAATGTTCTACTATTATCGGAACAAGCCCTGAACTCTATCGAGATCTGCAGGGGCTGAATAACGTATCATTTAGTCGGACCTTAATTTCTGTTCTCTATCTAACTGCTGTACGCACGTACAATATGCGGCCTTTTTCTATTCACCTAGTTTGCTTACATAAATAGGGATTGCAACGTTTCCCACTCGTTCAATATTATAGTGAGGGATGGCATAATAGTAATCAGACATGATGACATGTGAGATGGATGATATCATCATTTTAAATTAGAGACAAAGAAAAATGTCGATCTCGAGTCATCGGAGTCACCGAACATACAAGTAGTTCCTGAGGCCATCAAGATTGGCAGTTCCCTCATCAGAATAGCTCTGATAGCAACTATCTTCTATTCAGAACATTCCAGGTTCCTTTCTTTCCACGTGATCTTTTATGCCCTTATTTTTGAGCACCGATGAAGATACTCACCTACGAACCTATGTCACAAATGGCCTCAATCATCACTTCTAAACCCACAATAAACCAAACCTAGTTCAAATCATATCATGAATTTACACAACAAGACCACAGGTGTATATATATCAACAGAATAATAAATACAAAGACCACCATCCCCAGGCCAAATGAATCAACACGCTAGCACGAACAAAGAAAGAGAGAAACTGTACTCATGCTAGAACAAAAAAACCCATCTATTCAACCTCCTCCATAGGATTCCCAAGATGACCAGTCCTCACAACATAATCATCCTCATCTTCATCCCCGTCCTCCGCACCCCCACCAGCACCATCCCCCTCACCATCACCATCTCCATCTGCATCCCCGTCCACACCTCGGGTTTTCCCCTTCTTATTACTAACACTCCTGCCCTTGCCCTTGCCATTACTACTAGTGGTAGACTGCCCACTAGGACTGCGAATCATACTGCCAGGCCATTGTTTCAAGCCTTTGATGCGGTCGTGGATGCTACCCGGGCCGTGGCTGTCGCCATTTGGGAGGGGTGTTTCTGTTGGTGGTAGGGTTGCTGCACCGCCGTCGAGGTTGAAGGCTTCCATTGCTTCGGCGATTGTTTGGGCGCCGTTGGAGGCTGCTGGGTCTTGTTTTTGTTTGTCGACTGATTCGAAGGTTTGGCGGATTCTTTCGAAGTGTTCTAGTTCCTTGGCGCTGGGATGGTGTGTTAGTATTTTGTTTATAGAACGGGTGAGTGGGGGTACATACCTAACACTTGGCACGAGCTCTCCTTGAGCGGAGAGGAAGTCGTCTTCTGTCACTGTGACAGATACATCCTCTGGTGTTGCGAGGTGGTCGAAGAACCAAGCAGTGCTGACAGGACCGTTGGGTAGACTCTTGATCTTGTCATCGACTGCCGTGGCCTTCCTTGTAATAGCCTTCAGCATGGCATCAGAACAAAGCGCGTACAGATCAGCACCGGTGTAGGTGAGAGGAAGACGTTCCGCAACACGGTCAAGCGAGACATTGGGATTGAGAGCAAACTTCCGAGTCAGGGCCTCGAGGATAGTCGCCTGCTTTCTGTGTGTATCCGAGACACCCAGGTAGAGCATCTTATCGAAACGTCCAGGACGGAGCAAGGCTGTATCCAGCAGATCAGGACGGTTGGTAGCACCGATGACGAAGACACCGCCGCTATTCTCTTCACCGCCGTTCATGCCGTCCAATTCTGCGAGCAGTTGACTGACGATCCGGTCCATCACACCACCGCTATCACCTTGGTTACCACGCTTGGGGGCAACGGAATCCAATTCATCGAAGAATACAACGCAAGGACGAGCATCACGAGCACGCTGGAATACACGACGGACATTGGCTTCGGATTCACCAATGTACATGTTAAGCAATTCAGGTCCCTTGACAGAGAAGAAGTTGAGAGAGAACTCGGTGGCAATCGCCTTGGCCAGCAGGGTCTTTCCAGTACCCGGTGGTCCATAGAACAGAATACCACTACGCTTCTTCATACCCTTGGCGAAGAGTTCGGGGCGCTCAAGTGGCAGCTGAATAGTCTCGATCAACGCATCCTTGACATTGGTCAATCCACCAACGTCATTCCAGCCTACATTCGGAATCTTGGGGGCACCAATCGAGTCGGCGAAGTTCTTGCGCGCGGCTTCCACGGCAAAGTCGAAGTCTGCCTTGGTGACACCTCGTGCACCGTCGCCTCCTGCCAGCAGAACATCTCTGACGAAGACCTCCGAGCCAGACTGTTGCTTGCTGGCTTCAGCGAGGCTTTCAAGGCGAGCAGTTCTCGCTGCGGCAGCTCGTTCCACGACGTCAACCAGGTCTCCTGCGACGAGCGCGGCGGTCTTCAAGGCAACGGTTCCCAGGTCCACATCAGTAGACAGCTTGATACTGCGTTCTGCGACTGCGTTCTTGAGGATTCCTTCGCGCTCTTTCTCTTCCGGGGCACCCATCTCGAACTCATGAGTGAAGAGACCACGAATGCCTTCGGGAATGTTTTCGACGTCGGTGGTGGTGGCAATGATGACTCTCGCGTCATTCAAGATATCAGTCATTGCTGTCACAATGCGATCAGCGGTAAGCACTTCGATATGCCTGATCAGCAGCGAGGTGCAGTTGGCTCCACAATGGAAAGCCCGCTCTGCCCTGGCCTTTAGGTATGCCTCAGTCTTAACATCGCCACCGTTGGCACCGCCTTCTGTCAAAATATCATATGCATCAATGGGGAATGTGTGGATACCGATATCGGAACATGCCCGAGTTGCTACAGTTGCTTTTCCGACATGTCTCTGCTGAGACCGGAGGAGAATGAAAACGGGCTTCATACCGAGCTGGATAGCTCGAGGGCTAGTCGCAGCAGACATGAGATCCCGAATTCGCTGCTGCAGTGGAGGGATAAAGGCCTGAGGGGGCTCAGCAACAATGCCATGGGGAGCTGGAGTGTCAGTGACACTCTTCGGGATTCTCTTGACACCAAGCCAATATTCCCATCCATTATTCAGCACACCAGGAACCCGGCTCACGTCGCTTCCGGCCTGAACCATCCTAGTAGTCGCTGGATCAAGGACAGCAACTCCACCCCATTGGTCTTCGCCTGTCTCCTCCAGCTCCTCCACAGAAGTCGGTGCAACCTGTCCAACGCGGAACCAAGCAACGCCAATTTTGCGAGCTCCCGCGTTACCGGCATCGACATTCTGGCCGAGTCTAGTGGTGATATCATCTTCTTGATTGGCACTGTCCCCACCAGCGGTTCCAGAGAAGACTGCTCTGCCGAGTCCTTCGTCAACACTGATGCCGACCAAATCGCCGCTTTTGAGGATACGCCGGCGAGACTCGAAGTAATGCTTCAGTCCTGCAAATAGTGCTGGCTGAAGTACCCGATCCATGGAAAGTGGAGTAGACACCTTAAGCAATGTAACCTCTTTCGCCAAAGGCGGGTTCTTGGCAGCAGTGTTCTTCATTTGGTGCAAAAGACCAGGCTTTGAAGAACTGTTGGGTGTAGCAAAGGTCATAGGAGAGATCCGCAGGTACTTGGGGTTTGCAATGTTACCCAGAAGCAGTGGAGGAACGAAGACAGAGGGGGTCAAGCGGGTGGGTGGGCGTTGAGAGACGCTAGACCGACGTTCGCCGGAGTGGTTAATGGCATAACGCGGCTTAGAGGACGGAAGGCCAGAGAGACCGAAGATCTTGACTGGGCGCCAATCGCCTGAGTCTTCGGGGGAATCATTAAAGCTTCCAAATTTGAGAGAGGCAAACATGTTCAGCTGGGGCTCCTCGGCAGCTTCAATCCGAACCCAGTCGCCAGAGAAGCAACCGATCTTGGCCAGGGTGCTGATGTCTACAAAGACAAAAGAGTCAACGTCTTCATCGTCGCGCGGCCTGGGGTGCAACACATCATTCGGGACTTGTTGCAAGAGACCTTCAACCTTGAAGGTCTTACCTCCACCACGGCCAGGGCGCATAGTGGCCGATGTAAAATTCGATGCCACTGATCCTGGAGTATGGATTCCATCTGTGCGTCGACCACCGGCTCTTGGGGTTGCCGATGTCAATGAGGACATCACTCCGGATGCTGGCTGTGGCAGTTCAGGTGCACTGAGGGAGATCATATCTTCCAAAGAATCATCCGACGAGTCGCTCATTGAGCCTGCCGATCCCTCTGTTTCAGACTCCTCGGCAGCCGATGTAGCTTCCATCTCGGTCCCGCTTTCACCAGGCTTGTCTTCTGCCGCAGAATAGAATTGTTCGTTGGAAGTGTCATCGGCTTCATCCTCGGTCACTTGTTTGAGAAGGGCAGACCTCGGAGGGACGATTTGCTGGGCACGAATTCCTTGTGCACGAGCCTGGATAAGGACAATCTTGGTTGCGGGCATCAACAGGCCTTGCGAAACAGGCTCACAGAATGAGATTCGCGCAGGGGGTGGCGGCGCATAGGTGATAGGGTGCGGGGGGAGAGGAAGGGGCAGTACGTCTCCAGTATGTACAATGCGTTGCGCTCCCAATGCCTCACGAACAGCTGCGGTGAGCCGTTGTTCGGCATCCGCTGCCGCTCTCTTCGAATACTTCTTGGCTTCTGCCGTCTTCCCCGCCTTTCCCCAAAGACCATTGGGCCCCCGCGCATTCTGAAAACCACCACTAAACTTGTTCTGAACGTCATCGTGGTTGCGGAGGAGATGGCGCTCTACGGTAACAAATATTGTATCGAGGTGAATTGGGGCGACATCCAGAATCCGAATCTCTACGGACCGATGTGCCTGTAGGGAGTTGCGCGATGGATCAACCTTCCCCAGAGCCTGGAGGAAAGGCTGCAGTGAATCCGCTGACTCTGGGAACAGAACAGTCGAATGTGATAACGGGACTGGCGACCTTTCTGTGGGCTGGATGCGTACTGGAAGTATCGTCCAGGCCTGGTCCTCCACCGAGGTATACGTAGGGGTATGCGGGGCAATTGCAACATAGAGAACTCCATCGTCTGAGGTCGTGACATCTAATAGAAGCAAGACAAATTGGTTAGCCTTTTCATCGACGATGGCCGACTGGGTTGACACTCACCTTGGAGGGCCTGCTGCTGGAACAGGTCATTCGCTAGATCTTCGGATAAGATGCCGATCTTCCCACGCAGCTGGGGGTCCAGCGCCAGACGTGCTGCGATCGGAGCCTTGTTATTCAATCGCCGCTTTCCGGCTCTCCTTCTCCGTTGTCTGGGTTGGTGGGAGCTCTGTCCATATTGCTCGAAGTCCATGGGGGCGGTGTCTCCGGTTGTCGACGGGAAGTAAAGCGGGGGAGATTGAGGGAGAGGTGGTGAATAACAATTGGAATCACCAGATCATCCGGCCAACAAGCTCCTGTCAGAGGATACACACGATCCGACACCGACAGAGGTACTGAGGGGAGAAGATGAGTGGTTGCCGGATCCAGAATCCGGGGGAAATCAACACGCGGGCATCTCGGCACCGCCCGCCGTTCTGCCATGTCCCGAAGCCGAGGTCCAATCGGCCGATGGATGTCGTTGAGTAGTAGAAGCACTTGAGGTATATGTATAGTGCATGGTTTATAGGTCATGGCTAATTGGAGCTTTGAGAAGTCTATAATAAATGGTGTAAATATGGTTTCGAGTTTAGCAGTTTGGGAACGCGCAAGCGTGCCCTGACGCTATTGGCTATTCCTTGCCTGTGATTGCGATGAGCTTCCCCAGCTTCACACAACTGACATCATTTTATTTGGGGATATAGCTTTGTCAACCGATTCTAACGAAGCTATAGGCTATATTGGTAAGACTTTTGATATTATTGGTGTATAGGTTCGTTGCTATCTAATGTTTTGAGAATATATATTTCCGCCTCTGACAAACATTGGTATCTGTAAAATGTATGCCTGAATTTTTGAGAATCAACCAAGATATCTCACAGCCTCAACAAAAGGAAAAGCCCACTAGGCAGTTGAATTTGTAGAGCTAACGACATATATCGCGTGCCGATGACAACACAATGTGAGGCTGCCACATTCCCAAGGAACCAAATACTGTTGACTGATGTCCCGGCTTATCGCAGGAATAGGCTGCCATGACTGAAGGGCTAGAATGATCTGTCAATCCGGGTATCTACAACGTCATTTAGAATGTGGTTGGTGAAGATATTTCTCCAGTGCCCTTGCAGATAATGCCCGATGCATAGTGAATTACAGTACTGCAGATGCCACAAAGACTGAGGAAGAGGGCTGCTTTTGACCTGCGCCGGGGCTTGACAGGTGGGCTGTGCAATGGGGGTCAAATGGGGCGCAGTCGAATGCCTCTCCAGGGTCCAGCCGTGTTCTGCAGATGTACTGTAGGCAGACAACAAAGCAAACGCCCCGGGGCTTCGTCCACCGACAGTTGCAGTCCAAGTTGGTCCGACTTCGGCCGATTATTGGGCTGGAGGGTGTGTGACCAGCGGTGACAGGCGGCTCAATTGCGCAGGTTCAAATGCGCACGCAGCTCGTATCCTCGTATTGGAAACAGTTAGAACGAGTCATTGTATGGGCCTGTGGGGTGTGGGAGTGTGGATTGGCTGTTCAAGACCCTCTCTCTTGTCCAGAGGCCAAGACTTTAGAACATGTCGGGCGCAACGCCAATCATGCCCTGTGATTCAGGGATTATGGCATGATCCTGAGTGACGTATCCCACAAACGGGAAGATGAAAGAACAAAACAGTTACCTGAACTCAATGAGGCTCTCGGAGAACAAATGTCTCCGACTCCGAGTTTCCAAATAAAGCAGTGGGGAAACGGTACGATACCCGCTGGGGTGCCACCAACAAGGCTGGTCCTGGTAATTACCAGTATTGAGTTACAATACAGTCCAGTCTACCAATCACATGACGTAGAATGTGCTCAGCCATCGCAGTCTATACTACTTTCGGGTTAGCGTCTTCGTCTATCAGGCAGACATCCAACGCGCCATCAGAGCCTCCAGTTCTTCTTTTCCTTGATCCGCTTATTCCCCCCATCGTTGTCAAGCTTATTCTTTTTATTCTTCGTTTCTGCCCTTTTTGTCCTCCATAGCTGCCTTCAAGAACTTCCAATATCGGCTTCTGTAGTGGGGCTGTCCGCCATCTCAAGACGTTATCGTTTCTGATATCCAGATACTGGAAGACATCGCATCTTTATTCTGGGGTATCATATTCTCTTGGACGATCGCCGTTGACGACTGAACACCATTTTGCCTGGTTATATCAGTCCGATACTCCTTGGACCACGTTTTGAGGCCTTCAGACCCCTCCGACACTTTTGGTTCAGGAGTGCATATGCACCCGGAGATTATCAGACTATCGCGATCGTGATAGATCTCCACAGCCTTGCGCCTGTTGAAGGGTGTCGATTTCTGTCGCTTTAGATCATCCACGAGCAGTGGTCGCCTGATATATATACCAACGGAGTCGGAAATCAGAGGCTTACATCTCTGACTCGACCGTACGTCACTTCTCGAATCATCTGGACACAGATCCTCGGTGAGTCATGGAGTCGGCCAATCAGCCGCAATGCCCTGTCCTTTCCTGTTGGGATCAGTGTGCTAACGCCTGGGTTGATGCAGCACCGCCAATAATGTCTTCCGCCCAGCCAGAACCATCGCGGCTGCACCCGCGTCGCCGGCCCATCTTAAACACTGAATTGCCCACCCTGTCGACCGACCCTGTTGAATCTGAGATGCGACTGAAGAAAGGAGAGACCTTCCACACTCCCACCTCCCCGCCGTCCAGTGACAGTGATCCAGTCTTGAACCTTCGGTCACTGCCTCGTCGTTCGCCGACATCTTTGGAAGCGATCACCGCCGCCGAGGAGCGTATGACTTCTATCCTTGGTCGTCTTAGCCTCAATACCACCGAGGATAAACAGAAAGCCTCAGGAAGTACTGTGCCTGATACCATGCGCAGAAACTCTAATTCCATGTCGAACCTCGGTTCCTCGAACGAGGAGAAAAGGACAGAGCAGGAGCAAGATCATAGTCACGATTCTGACAGTGGCATTGGGTCATCGGTCAGCAGCGAGGAAGAGCTCTCTGATTCAAACAGCAAAGGTAGGCTCACACATCGTTCCTGTATTGTTCCTTCATTGAGGTTCCGGGCTCTGACGAATAGCAGATAATGGTATTCACGACAAACAATCTGCCATTACAGACTCTATTGCCGCATTTGCTTCAGGATCCTCATCCAAGCGTCAACTAGGCCCCGCTGCCTGCAAGCAAATTGAACGATATGTTCTTGTTCCCATCCTCAAAGAACCTCGCCTTAAACCGTTCCACCCACTGGTACGAAGCATTCCTCAACGTATTGTCAATAAGCAGATTGTCTGTCTGCGGGATCTTGAAAAAACCCTATTGTGGTTGGCACCGGTAAGTTCATATATTGTTCTCAATGGGTTATTGGAGTTCCGGCGAAAGCTTATCGTTTTTTCCTTCTTCTTATAAAGAAGTCTGCAAACTCTCGACTCTCGTATCTCAGCTTCTGCGAGTTCACTATTCAATGCTTGCATACTTCGGCGTCTCATCTTAACGATCGCGATCAACGACTACCTGCCGATCGCCCTTATACTAACGGATACTTCCTTGACCTTGTTTCACAGGTTCGACGATACGCCGCCATGATTCGCGCTGAGCGTGAGCGGGTCCCAGCGACCCGGGGCGGCAAGCCCGAGGAGAAATCTAATCTGTATGTATTACCCTTTCATCCCAAGTATGCAGTTGTGCTAATCCGACATAGGGTGCACCAAGCTCATCTGGAACATGGCATTTCCAAGGACGGAAAGCCCCTGGAGCTTGTCGTCATGCAAGATGGAAAGCCCATTTCCATGCTGACTGGAAAGCCTTATGAAGTGGATTCTTCCATTTCGTCTAGTTCCATCAAGCGTACCATCAACCTCGACGATGCAGTCGACGAGGGCGTGCAGCGCTCGATGGCTCGCCGCAAGAAAAATGCTCCTCCTATGGACATTAACCAGAAGTGTTCCCACTGTGACAAGGTGTTCAAGCGCCCTTGTGACTTGACGTAAGTGATCTTGTTCATTCAAACCAAAGTTGACAATGCTAACTTGTTCTAGCAAACACGAGAAGACCCACTCTCGCCCCTGGAAGTGCGAGGATACTTCGTGTAAATATTTCAAGGTTGGCTGGCCCACCGAGAAAGAGCGCGACCGCCACATGAACGACAAGCACTCGGATGCCCCCAAGCTTTTCCGCTGCGGCTTTGAGCCATGCACCTATGCCTCGAAGCGCTCGAGCAACTGTAAGCAGCACATGGAGAAGGCTCATGGATGGAAATATGTCCGATCCAAGAACAATGGTCGTAGTGGCAGCACCGGCAGCAAGCGTGACTCCTCTGTCCAGGCAACTCCTCAGACACCCAGTGTCTCTACTCCTGCCTCCAAGGTCACCGACTTTGCTACCCCAATCACTGGGCCCAGCCCCTCTCCCAGCGACCAGACCTACAACTGGCCTGAGAACCCCAACTTCAACTTTGCGGAGCCTCCTGCGCCTCACAGCGATGACTTCCCCTTGTTCGGCGAATCCCCGCCTTACTTGATGAATGATGTCAACTCTTTCCCGACTTCGATGAATCTGGACGGTTTCCAGGCTCAATTCGGGGCTGGCGACCCAAACAGTCTGATTCCAGCGCTGGAAATGCACCGACAGTCCATGAACTCCATGTCTGTCCCTTCGTCAGAGTCTGTTCCCGATCTGATGGGACCTGTGTCATTTGATGGATCCCCTCTCGCCGGAACCGACAGCATCAACTTTGACCTTGAGTGGAACAACCTCGAGTACCCACTCAACGACGAGTACAACGCTATGTCCATGCGTATGCAGGCGCCTACCCATCCCATGGAGGCCATGAAGGGTTACTCGAACGAGTTCACCCAGATGAACAACAACCATCTGTCCTACGCCCTTCCCACCAAAGTGTCCGGCCTCTCCCCGGGTGCCCAGGGCAACGCGATGCTGTACTCTCCTGACTCATCCAATGTCGGCGACACCCTCTCGGAGCGCTACGAATATGCTCTCCAGCCCCAGGCCGGAAACGATTTCACTCTGTTTGACCCAAGCTCCCAGATGGGTCATGCTGCTCCCCGCATGACGCAGACCAACAGCAATGAGGCACTCCAGTACCACCGGACCCAGCAGACTATGTTCCATTCTCTGAATGAGCAGCAGCGTGCTCTCATGAACTCCTGGAACGGACAGCCCATCCAGGGCCACTACCTGCCCCGCGACAATATGGAGATGGATTTCAAGTAAAAGAGGAGGACCCACAATATCGCACCTTTAATTTTTTCCTGTTCCCAAGCGACCCAGCGATGATAATAAGGCTCTACGTATTCGTATTCATATATTTTTAGTTAGTCCACAGAAATCTCCACGTGATTCTTTCTCGTCTCTCCACGTAAATCATGCCAATACTGTACTTGTATAGTCAGGTGGAGATCAGAGGCCTGATCACGCAGACTAAATAGTCATAATCAGAATCATAACCATACCAAGATCAGGCTACGCCCTGTCGAGTCCATGACAGACGCCGAGAACATCCCCGCCTCATAAGGCTCGCAAACGAGTAGGCAACACCATAATCAGCCTTGGCATCCAAGACCTCATTGTAAGTCTCTAAGCCAGTGGAGACAAAAGGCCGCGTCAGGAAGCCGATCAGAATAGTTCCGGGGGCGCAGTTTAGCAAAGTTAGCAACAGCCCTACAACCTGCCACCTGCAACTGCCAAAGCGGGTGTGACGACATCTCCTCTTCTCCGCCTCCTTTCCCGCTCGCCTTCTTCCCCATTCATTCACTCTCTTCCTTTCTCTCGATCTAGATTAAAGAGCTTGTGCGATTTATCCAACAGCCTGACTTAGCCGTTGTTGGAATTCCGGCGTCAACCAGCCTTGTTAGGCAGACGCATTCCCCTCGTTTCACGACCCTTCGTCACAGTCACCACAAATCAACTATTTGTCCGTGTCTATTTCCTCGCGCGGGAAAAGCAAGCCCTGATTTTTCATCCCAGGAGAGACAACGAGTCTATTCACAATGCCGGAATCACAATCGTCTGATCCCGCATTCCCCAGCGGCAAGGGTGCGGACTTGCCTGCGCAACCCGCTGCCCCGCCAGGCCAGATCCTAACCGGAAAGCAAGAACACTGTGAGTTGATCATGGTCGCAATCGTGATGGAAACTGTGTGGTATTTGTGATAGTAGTTGCAGTATTAGTTGCTGACAGGTGGGGTATTCCACAGACCTCAAGCGCGAGCTCATCGCCCGTCAAGTCCGCGCCGAAATCTCCGAGCTGAATTCCCCGACCGCGCTGCAGCGATTCGGTGCGCCCTTTAGGTCTGAGTTTGGTGAGGTTGCGCCTGTCGACTCTGAGCTACCTATTTTGCGGTATATCTTCGTGCATCACGTTCGGAATTTCCCGTTCCTTGACCAGGCGCGGGAAAAGGAGTTTTGGCAGGATAAGCTACAAATCGTGGGTCTTTCTTTTCTCCATATGGGATCATGGTGGGGGAGACTTGCTGACTGGCCCGTTTCGCGATATAGTTCTTGGAATCGTTCGCCAATAAACATGTTTCGTCTTCGGAGGATCGGCTGGAGGAAACGAAGCGTCGGAAGTTGGCACGGAAATGCGAGAAGCTCGTGGAGCTGATGATGGTTTCGGGTGTACCGACCGCGTCTGGCTATGAGGAGCGCATTCAGTTCTCTGAGATGGAGGTTGTGGAGCGTGGAGCTCAGGAGTCGGGCTTGCTGGTTAATATGCCCGAGGGTAATTCGATTAATGGCTGGGATGTGAATGTTGCCGCTGTTCGGACGACGTCTGTCAAGCGGACGATGCGATACCATCAACACGCAGTAAGTAGTATATTCTCGAGTTCTTTTCGTTTTGTTGGAGACGTTTGCTCACGACAGCATGAACAGGAATTTCTCATTCGAGTTCGTCAAGATGGCAAAGGCGAGTTACATGTTGGGAGGAGATATGGAGAGTTTGTTAAGCTCCACAAGAGATTGAGGACTGAAATGCCTGGCAAACATCTTCCACCTCTACCTCGCAAAAACAAGACTTCTACTTCGAGCTGGTTTGGTTCAAATGCCGATGATGATGCCTCTTCAGTCTCATCTCTTTCTACACAGGGTAACAGCATGCCCGAGGAGCTGCCTTCCTCGCGAACCCTTGCCCCTTCCACGGGTAGCATTCGGCGTTCGCTTTCACGGAGTTCAATGCGATCAACCAAATCACCCCGTGCATCGACTACCGATGTATCAAGAGAGACCGTATTATACCGCGAGGAACAACGTGTATCGCTGCGCGCGTTCCTGCGCACAATATTGCAGAACAAGCGCGTTTCGGAATCCAAGGCAATGGAAGAGTTCTTGACTGCGCGTCCCATTAAGTTGAATGAGGAAGAGGAGCTTGATGTTCAGAAGCGGAAAGCCATGGATGCGGTGAGAATTGAGGAGCAGAAACGCTTTTATGAAATTGCCAGGCAGCGAGCTGCCGAGTTGGACGTTTACATGGAGCAGTTCCGTCGGGATATTGTGGAGAGCAGTTAGTCAACGTGAGCCTTTCGTCAGGAAGATTGCTAATCTCGCTGAATTTAGATGGACTAACAAAGCTTTTCGCTGAGATCCGGGAGAAGCCTTCTATTCCAGACCTCAGCCCGCAATATCAGAAGTTTGCTGAGTGGCTTCGTATTGAGTATGGTCTTCAAGCTTCAAGGGTCTTCAACTACTAACAATGATCAGAGTTGCTGCAACGATATACCACTTGTTCCTTGCTGAGGATAACTCCCCTGAACTTTTCGCGCAAGCGAAGAGGATCCACGGTCTCGTCCCTTATACGCTGATGAAGAATGTCATTCGCATTGCCAACCCAGCCGCAGTCATGTCTGGTGTTCTCGACTTGTTTATGGCACAACCCTTCGGATCGCGGTCACTCTTGCAGCGCATTTTCTCTTTGACATTGAACGAGAGCATCAAAGACTTCCAGCGGCATATCAACTCGCTGGCTGCCAAGGTCGAGGATGAAGTTCTCACCAAGAAGCTTAAGGCCTTCGCGGATGCCGAGGAAGAAATCAAGAATGAGATCAGAGCAGAGGCCGTGGCCGATGACGTTGATCTTATTGTCGCCATCCTTCGCTCTGAACTCATATCTCCAGAGCTCACGCCAGAGCAGATTGGAAAGGTATTCAACGGCTACGTTGCCTGGAACCACGCAGTCGATAATGTAGACCTGGAAATGCAACAGGGCGCTCAATGGTTCGCTCACATGAAGCAGCTTCTCAAGCTTTACACCCGGCAACGGGATAAGTCGATGATGCTGAGCATTGTTGAAGAGCCTGTCACATTACAGCTCTTCCGTGATCTCTTCACTATCTTTTACGAACCCCTGGTCCGAGTTTACAAGTCTGCAAACGTGTACAGCAGTATTACCGACTTTGCGCAATTCGCTGACGACGCTATTGGTGTGATTGAGAGTTCCCAGCGCCAGGATGCCTCTGCCGATCCAAACCAGACTGTGCAGGCCTTCATCGACCTGTGCGCTCGTCACGAGGCCAACTTCTACAAATTTATTCATGAAGTGCACCAGCATGACAATGGTCTGTTCCAGTCTCTAATGTCTTGGATCGAGGAGATCCTCGATTTCCTGCGCAATGGCCCCGCAGGAGGCAAAATGGACATCAACGCCTTGTTCCAAGGAGCTGTTGGCGTCGGCCAGGTCGACAAAGATATTGCCCTGACCGAAATTAACGCTTTGATTAAGTGGCATGAAGACCGCAAACGCTGGCATCTGAACAAGACCCGCCAGAAGATGGCCACTGAAGGTACAGCAGGGGAAACCATCCCTGGCACTGGTGCCTTCCGTAGTGGTGATTTCGGTCTTGACGAGGTATGTATTTCCCACTCGACCCAGACTCAAACTTAAAAAGTCATACTAACCCACTCCCCAGGGCGATTTGGAAGACCTCACAATCTCAGATGAAGCATCTGACGCCTCAGACGAAGACACCGAAGACGAAGACATGGATGACCCCATTGCCGTCGAGCGTCGCCGTCGCACAAAGAAACAGGACCAACTCCGCCGTACAGCCGGTGAACCTGTCAAGCCGGAGGTCACCGAGATTCTCAAGCTGGGCGAACCATTTGTTGTCATGTTGCGGCATGTGCTTGCGGATTAGATGGGATCGGTATTTTGGGCGATTCTTTTTGCTTCGCATAGTCCATGATACCGCCATAGACATGGCTCTCTGTGCTTGCTTTTATTTGACTTTCTCTTGATACATCGTGTTTTAGATTCTCCCTGCCTTGGCCTTGGTTTGGCTGTGGGTGTATGGAAGGGTAGATGGTGGTCGAATCATTAAAAATTACCAATAGGGCAGTGAATAAGGTTTTTGAAACAGGCTTCCTAGGGTCGTGCTTCAGGCACTGAATCACTTGGACAGTACTCTCAACGCCCGATCTCAAATGAGAGTATCTACGGCGTCGATCGGTACGATATCGGAGGTCTTTTTTCCTGCATGCAATAAATAGCTAGGAGAAGCACTTAAGAGTTCTCACGGGCTGCAATACTGTATTTCATATGCCATTCCTTCGTACATTGTTACTGTATCAACAAACCAAAACCACAAAATGTTCAATCTCAATTCTAGCCACGGCATTCAAACTTTCAAACTTTACAACTAGAATCTGAGGCGAAGAACACATCAAGGAAACTAAATACACGATAGGCTTGAAAAGGTATCAATCGATTAGATATCCCAAATACATATTTCAATCAAGATCTTAGAACTGCAAGTCTTATAAAATGCCCCTGCATTCCCTTCCACCAGAAATCATCTTCCTGATCGCAGAGCATTTGACGTCGGTCAGCAATTTGTTCAACTTCTTGCGAGCCAATAGACAGCTCTTTCATCTCCTTTTCAGCCAGGTTTATCTGAAAAACATCAAAGTGGATGGCGGGTCCGCTTTGATCTGGTATGCAATTCACGGAAATGAAGAGGGGGTTGGGGCCATGCTCCGTGCCGGAGCCGATGTTAACGGCCGATCATCGAAAGGTGCACAGTCAACGGCTCTGCTGGAGGCGGTCATCCATAATCACGAGCCTGTGGTGCGGTTGCTTCTATACAATGGAGCCTCGCCGGATTTGGCTGACGTCCGGGGCCGACGGCCCTTGACGGTTGCCGCTACGATGCGAAACGACGCAACTATCACAACGATACTCCTGAAGCATCACGCCAAAGTGGATGCCATCCCCTGTGAAAGACGTGCCCCGCTCATGGAAGCTGTCCGGTCAAACCAGGCATCTAAGGTTGCCCTGCTTCTGGAACATGGAGCCAAGTGGGATATCGTCGAGCGCCGGGGCACGATGAACCTGCTCCACGTTGCAGCTGCGAGGAATGCGGGCCAGGAGATGATGGAGATACTGGTCGACTTAGGTATACCGATAGATCGTGTACTCGTGCAGTGCGGCTACTCCTCCAGCATGGCGCCAATCCGAACGTCGCGAACCTGCGAGATTACCACGAGGGCAGACGGCGTTGTTCTACGCGACCAAAAGGCCTAGGGCAGCCAAGAAAGATAATAAAGCGATCATTCGAGCACTCATCGAGCATGGAGCTCAGGTCGACTCGACAAACGATGTGTGCGAGACACCGCTCCTCTATGCGATCTCGCGGGGAGCCATCGAACAAGCAAGCGCTCTATCACTACGGCGCCAGCCTTTCGGCACGGAACAACGATGGCGAGACGGTACTCCACCTGGCGACGGCGGCCTGGATCTGGTGTCCCGACATGATCGGGTGGCTGGTCGAGAGCGGTGCCGATGTGAACTGGGCCGGTGGAAAAGTAGGGGAAACCCCCTGTTCTATGCCACCCGATATAGTTATCGCCCGGAGGGTGTGCTGCGAGTCCGCACGCTGCTCTCGTTCGGTGCGAATGTCCACTTTCAAAACAACGAGAAGCGGACACCCCTGCCCCTGGCCGCGCGGGCCCGATCGGTCGAGCTGACCCGTGAACTGCTCGAGCATGGGGCCCTGGCCAACTCGACAGACTTACACGGGCGGTCGCCTCTGCACCACGTTGCCGAAACTACATTTGGGCCCGGATCCCACGAGATCATCGCCCTGCTCCTTCAATCCGGAGCAGATGTCAACTGCCAGGACAACTCTTGGTACAACGCACTACACCGATTGCTTGCAACTGATGGAGGCTGGGAGGCAGCTGGGGCCCAGTTTAAGGTCGGCGCGAATTCACGCGTCATGTCGAATGACGGGAAGCTCCCGGAAGATATGATAGCCGACGGGCCCTGGGCGGAGACAAAACGTCTTTTAGTCCGTTCTTACGCGCCGTGGCCGTGGTCCAGGAACGCGCATATTCAAAACCAGGCATGTTTCAGCCAAGCACGAAAGCGCCATGCCGCCAGGTGATCGACGGGCTTTATTTCCTTTTCCCCGCATATCATCGTGGTGGTTCCCCCGCTGGAACGGGGGTTTTTCCTGCAATCTTCAGGCTGAAGATTACCTGCCCCGGAGAGCCGGGGGTTGTGCAGAATGCAAGCGCTGGTTTCTCGGATGGGTTGGAGAATTTCCGGTGGGTAATTTGCAGTAATCTGTATGTAGGGATGACTTGGGGAGGCTAATTGGATGAATGGAAAGGTTGTGTGTGGACGGTTGTTTGCGCTTGATTGGGATTATACAGAAGGGGTTGCTTGGTTTTGGTCTGTGTTGTTAGGGCTGTGGATCGCGGTCTGTTGTGGGGGTTGAAACCGGACACGGTTGTCCCTGACTTTTGAAGTTTGGATGCTCCAACGTTTTGGTTTCAGGTACGATATGGTGAAGGGGGTTTGTTTCATTCGGTTCCACATGTCATTGTGTCATTTGGGATGTGTATGATTTCAAGTCGAATCCTTCCAGCACTTCAACCGAAGACCAAAAGCCAAAAAGCAGAGACATCGTCAACCATATTTTTCCAAGTAATCATTTGGCTATGGCTTAGTACTGCAATACTCCACTCTGTTTGTTGGTCTACTGGTGGTCATTGGGCACATCTGACAATGTTTAGAATGTTTAACTAGGTGCCTATTCCAGTATCATTTATATCGAATCTCCCTCCCCCAGCGCACGCCATCGGTCCGAACGACCGTAAATACATCCTCCCACTTTCGCCCACCATCCAGAAGGACCTCATCCTCCCCTTCCATCTTCACCCCAATCTGCTCGAGATACAATCGCACCTCCTGCATCATCTCCCGGGCATTTTCATATCCCCCGTTCCAGGCCTTCACCAGAATCGGCCCTAATCGCTCCTCTTCTAACAGCTGCAGCTTGCCCTCCTTTAGCCGTTCCTTATGATACTCCCACGCATCCTCATCCTCCCCAGGCCCCTCCGTCTCATCCAATGGATCAGTCGGCAGTGACCACTTCTTCCCCTCACTGTTGGCATCCGTCCGCATCAACTGCCAGACAAAGGTCGCCCAATCGGAAAGATCGATTTTTGGCGTCAGCTCCGGAAACCCATTTTCCGGCACGGTGGGATAATAGATCTCTGTTTCGTATCTGGTCCCATCCGGAGAGTACGGCCATTCATCGGTCGGGATGGTTGCGTTCACAAACCCTGAGAGGGCAATCGAGAGATCCTCGCGGATCCATATCGTGCTCGAGCTGAAATCCATGAGGTAGACCCCGTGTTCATGCAGGAAGGCTAGCATGTTGAGCGACTGCAGTGCCCAGCGATAGTAGAGCAGTAGGAGAGGCTCTCTGTCTGCCTTATCGGTGGAGGAGTCCTGGTCATTGGAAGACGTGCGCGACGCAGGAAAGGTGGTCAAGAGTGGCAGTGTTGTAGAGGCCAGTGGCCCTGGATCCAGCTTCTCCAGTAGATATCCCACGGGGAGAGGACCGAGGTATCTACTCCCACCACGCAGAAATGCGGTGTTCTAGCAGCGATCGCAAGGGTGACAGATAGGGAGGGTGAACTCACTTGACGATGCGGGGGTGAAGATCAATCGGTCGATCGAGATCTACATCTGGGGTATTGGTGCTATGGGCCAGATATTCATAGACCCGGGGGATGCGCTGGGCAAGGATATACCATCCCTCGGGGTCGACGCGTGGATTGTCTTTCTCGCAATTTTCAAAGGCCACAATGGAGTCTTGGTTTTTATGCTGCACGAAATATATCTTGTCGTACAACGCGTCGTAGAAGTCCTCGAAGCGGTCGCCACAAACAGAGGGCACTACGTCCCCGTAACAGCGAAGGTATTTGGACTGGCTGGGTGGATCGGGGGCTGTTCTAGATCCGCACCCGAGTCTGAGGTTTTTTCAGGGTGGTTTGATGACCAGCTGGCCCCCATGGTGGTGGATTTATTTTTTGGAAGAAAGGAGAGCGAAGAAGGAACATTGGAGCGCTAGGCCGGGAATGGCAAAATTAACCACATAGAGTAATTCACAGGTCCGCCGTTTACATAAAAAAAGTTCATACTTCATAGAGAGAGCCTCCCCACCACCCAACTTTAAAGGCAAAGAGAGCACTTTAAGGGGGGGAGGTACTTCGCCCTAGTATCAAAATTTGATTGTAATCAGGGTAGAAGACAGAAGAGGGTCTATAAAGCTCAATCACCTATAATTCCCATTGGCCTTGTTTTTTGGCCTCTTAGCCCCATGTCTGCAGTGAAATTAGGGTTTGGGAGGTGTTACCTAGTAAAGCCCAGATAAACTGCTTCCAGTGGAGAAAAACGGGTTGGTCTGGCTTTAAATCCTCTCCACCCGTACCTCTTCACGAATACGGATGCCATCAATATTGTTCCCATACTGACCCATAAGGATTTCCTCATCACTCTGGTTATTGCGAGCAATGTATGCCTCAGTGATACTCTCCTGCGCGACACTAAACATTGTAGATCTCTTCGTCGGGTTCTGCATGCGAAAGCGGGACGAATGAGAAGAGTCATCGTGTTTGACATATCTGCTCTCTGAGCTCTTCACACTCGAACCATGGACGATAATGCGGTAGAGGGGGCGGACAGTGGGAATGCCAACGCAGATCAAGGTGACGGCCATTTCGACGCCCGACCAGATGACCAGGTCGACGGTATCCTCTGGAACAGAGAGCCACGGATAAATCAGCCGAGCCCACAGCTGGTGAAAACTGGATTGAAGTGCTTACCTGTGTAGTTGGTGCTGGATAAGCCGCCCAGATCGATAGTTCTTATTATTCCGCATACACAAGCTCTGTAAGTGAAGATTAGTTGACGCTTATAGGGGAATGGGGTGCTGTAGCGACACACATAAAACCCAAACTCAAGCTGATTGCAATAGACATCTTCTCTTTGAACTTCATATTAAGATTCCAAATGAAAATCCACGGAAGAAGGGCAAAATAGAAGTCCACGGCAGCACACCATGCTATTAACAGCAACATCAGTATATAGCTCATAGCAAAAGCGAAAAATCATCAGACACGGAACATACACCCAAGCAAGATAGAGAATGGCGTGACATTGATAATGCTACGCCCTGGGACGCGAGGGTCGTATATGGATTTGGACGGCACGCGCTGGGTCCAGAAAATAGTTGCTGTCATCACGGATACAATCGACAAACTGACCATTGATACCCAAATGGAGATGCGATGCCATTGCTTAACCACAATGCGCAGCAAAAAAAGGCCCAGGGAAAGCTTCGCAATAGCCATTCCTATCACTGCAAAGGTCTGTCCAATCATTTCGTTGTAGACAGCTTGAACAGCCGAGTCTATCGGCAAGGTGGATATGGGCTGTCCGAATCCGTACACGCCTGCGACTGTGATAAAGATAGTGTATAGGAGCAGAAACACCTGAAACGTGGTGAGCGTTTAAGCGGGAAATCGATTTCGAACGAGCTGTAGCTTACCCAAGCCAAGTTGAACACATGGTCGTCTACCCCGAGTGCTTCGATAATGTATACTCGCGTATAGAGTCGGAGAGGGACCAGAATGAAAGAGATAAATGTCATCGCCCACATCACCGCAACGGCACGAATACCTTTGCCAGCCAACATCTTTAATACACTTGTAAAAAGCTTTTGGAATGAGAGACGGTCAATGAGCATGCGCCGAGGATCGATAGACCACAAAGCTTTGTCGGAAGGAGAGCACCCTGAGAACACAGGTGATGGCTTCCTCGCGTATTAAATATGTGATACTGTCGTCCCAAATCCCCATAATGATGACAGGTGATAACAAAATGACACCCTGTAGAATGATGTGGGCTATCAATTATTGCATTCAGACCCTTCAGATTCAGCATCAGTGAGGATGATTATAATTGATTGGGAAGATCCCAACTTATTGCTGCTCATTTCTGTTTCAGGCGCGAGAATAACGCCGCATTTTGCAGTGGCCTCTGTTAACTCGAGAAAGACATACTATGTTGGGATAGTAGCAGCGTCTAGTTCGAAAATGCGTGGTGGCGCTCGCGCCAGAGCTCGTGTTGACTCCGGGGAAATGGGGATGTGGGCCATTTCGACTGCATGAAGTCCGCGCATTCGACAGGTCAACTGTCAGCGGGAAGGCTTCTGGCAGCGGGAGCGTCGCAACGGTCTAAGCACCTTCGGCCCGTCATTCAGAGTTGATCTCTGCCACATATCATTGGCCAAATCAACGCTGCATCAATTTAGTTTAAGCCACGCGCGAATAGACCCACGGTCGCACTTGGAGACCATGCAATGCGTCCATTCGGGAGAATCCAGGCAAGGCAAACGAGGCACCCAACTAGAGTGCTGATGATCGGCAGTGTCAGGGGGAGCAAGCCTGCACTATGTAAGAGCCATCTATATATCACAGATGCTCTGGGCGGGGTTCTCGGGTGTGTCAAAATCCCCCAAAATTCCCTGTCACATACCATATTTATTTGTATTTATATCATCATGATATTGGAGGTATCTTTCGCAGCGGTGTCTGGCTTCAGCGTCTGGGATAGCGCCACCATCCTTGTTTATGCTATTCTGGCAGCTCTGTCCATCTGGAGCTTGACAACGTATCTCTTCTCCCCCCTGCGCCAGTTTCCTGGCCCCTTCCTCGCAGGTAAGCTAAGCGGGATTGTACTTTAATCGAGCTGACCTATTTCATTAGGATGGACGAACTTGTGGCGGATGTTTCATGTGCGGCAGGGGAACTATCAAATGGTGGTCCAAGAGCTACACAAAAAGTACGGTCCAGTGGTGCGTATAGCACCCAACGTGTTAGACCTGGATATCCCCGAGTTGATCAGAACAATCTACAACACCAAAGCGGATTATTTGAAGGTGAGAGTCTTGTGCCTCATGTGGTGAATACTGCTATTAACCTGTAACAGACCGAGTTTTATCATGGCAGTAGCGCCAAAGCCAATGGCAAGATAATCTATAACATCTTCAGCGAATGCAAACCTGAGGCCCATGCGCGGCAGAAGCGACCCATCTCTAAACATTATTCCATGAGCGGAGTGCTTCCATTGGAGCCTCATATCGATGAAATGACCCAGTACCTCTGTCAACGCCTGGAGGAGAACTTCATCCATGAACCTAGCGCTACCAAAGCATGCGATCTGGGCAAATGGATTGCGCTCTGTGAGTTCAGCCTCTTCTGCATACATTCCCGACTAGGGCGAGAACTAATGCCATGCAGATACTTGGGATGTGGTCGGTAAGACTACATTCAGCCAGCCTATTGGATACCTAGAGAAGGGCTATGACTTTGACAACACCCTGAGCACCGCAAATACTGCCATGGACTACTTTTCCATAGTGGGTCAAATGCCGATCTTGGATCACCTGTTAGACAAGAACCCTGTTTACCGGATCGGGCCGCCGTCCTTCGGCACTATTACCAACATATCGATTCAGCACCTAGTGGACCGACTCCAGGGCAAAGACGCCGGCCATCATGACCCAGGCAAACCGGACTTCCTCGACAAGTTCATCGAGGCTAAGGGAAAGTTCCCGGACATTGTAAATGAAATGCAAATCATCTCGTACCTGATGATCAACATGATTGCAGGAGCCGATACAACAAGTATCACGATCAACGCGGCTCTGTACTTCTCCTTAAAGCACGCAAGCGTCTGGGAGCGCCTCAGAGCCGAGATCCCAGCTCACAACCACATGTCTGGGACACCCGTGGTGTCCTACAAATCGGCAAAAGAGTTCCCATACCTGGATGCTGTGGTACGCGAGGCAATGAGATACCATCCAGCGGTCGCAATGCTCCTCGAACGTTACGTACCGGAGGATGGACTTACCCTCCCTGATGGGCGTTACGTCCCAGCGGGCTGCATAGTCGGCATGAATCCCTACGTTGTCGGCCGCAATAGGTCTGTCTGGGGTGAGGATGCCGATATATTCCGTCCGGAGCGATGGATCCGCGATGAGACTCAGGAGACTGAACATGAGTTTCAGCAACGTCTGCGTCTGATGAACGACGCTGACCTAACCTTTGGGGGTGGGAGTCGTGTCTGTATCGGGAAGCATCTGGGCCTGCTGGAGGTGTACAAGGTGCTTGCGACTCTTGTTTCGCGCTACGATATCAAGCTGGTCCATCCAGATCGGGATTGGGTGACCCACAACAGCTTTTTCGTTCGACAGACTGGTATCGAGGTGAGGTTGTCGCGTCGGACCTAGGGTACTGTGATTTACAAACAATGAAGATAACTCCGTGTGACAACCATAGGTCTTTCAATCTATCTGTAATAGTGGAGACCCTACAATTGAAGTCAAATAGTATTGGATTACCTGAGGGTTCTATGCAATGAGAGTGCATATACATTTCAGCCCATGTGTCATGCAGTCTTGGCAGTAAATTCGGTACCGGACATGTCATCACATGTCGAAGGCACTCATTAGGAAAGAAGAGATTGGTTAGGTAAAGAGAATAATAGTAAGAACAACAGAGTCTGCAGAGGACAAGAACATGATCCGCCTCGCGCTAGTCAACTTTCTCAATGCATATAAAATACACGGAAGATACTTCATACAGTATATTCCGGCTACAAGGCTCTTTTATAATGTCACTGAGCAGCTCACCAGGTCTGGATCCGGACTGAAAATCTATGTAGCGAGTTGTGGACAGACTCGTCGCGAAAGTAGACGACGAAGTCATGCCACCGTCAACAGAAGTCGGCTGTCTCATGGCGAAAACGACGGCTTCTGAAGGAGATAAGAGATCTATATACAAAGGCCTAGGAAAATTCTCATTTAAGATCGGTTAAGAGTATATATGCCACGCTTCCTATCAAGTTTGCTACTTGAATATGCGTTACCTGTTATCTAATACCTCCACGACCTGATAGTACTGATTCTCCATCGCCACCTCAACCGGTGTCTTTCCTTCCATATCTCCCAATCCAGGATCAATCCCCTCCGCATATAGTAGTGCTTTCACAACCCCTAGATGCCCACAAAAAGCAGCATTAAACAGCGGCGTCTGCCCATTCTCATCACGAGCATTGGGATCAGCCTTACGCGGCCCACTCAACAAACGCCTCACAATCCCTTCATGGTTCCCATACGCAGCAACTCCCAACGGCGTAGTCCCATGCATATCGGCAATCTCCAACCCAACCCTGTCACATTCAACCAACAGATCAACCATATCCTCCCTCCCCTCCTCAGCAGCCGTAAACAAAGGCGTCTGCCTCTTCCAATGCGTCTGCAGATTGGGATCCGTAGCCTCCCACCCAAGCAATATCCTCACAACATCCAAATTCCCCGCCGCCGCAGCAATAGTAAACGCACCACGCCCATACCGCTGCCCATCAACATAAGAAAACGCCGCACGCCCAACCCTCTCCCCACCAGCATTCGGATCCAACTTCTCACTGAAAAATTTAACCAAATACTCGACAACATCGGCATGACCCCTCACAGCTGCATAAAAAAACACGTGCTGACAATGCTTTGCACTGTCATCCCCATCAAGGATCAACCGCAGGTGCCTTGCAAGCAACAACCCCATCTCACAATTGAAATCCCTTGCAGCGCGCGACAACGGCGTCCACCCATGCCGATTGGCAATCCGCGGATCAACTTGCCCACTAAGCAAAAACGTCGTCATCATGGCGGGTTGATGATCGGCGCAGATCATCAACGCTGTATCACCGGATTTATCTTGGAGATTGACATCTGTGCGTGGGTCTGATAGGAGTGTTTGTACGATCTCTGTGTGGCCTTGCTTTACAGCCCAGGAGATTGGTGGTCTGATCCATTTGTGATCGCGGGTATTTGGGTTTGCGTCATCGTGCAACAGGATAAGTTTTAGGACTGCCAGACTGTTGTGGAAGGATGCTAGGAGGATTGGGGTGCATCCTTTTAGGCGAGGGTCTTTGTCTGTTTTGGAGTTGGGGTCTGTGTTTGCATTTAGGGCTAGGAGGGCTGTTGAGGGCTTGTTATGTGTGCTGGCCCAGAAGAGGGCTTTTGGGTCGGGAGATATGGCGTCGTTTTTGTAGAGGGTTCTGTTTAGGAGGGCGTGGATTGTTTTGTTGGTGCGTGTAAAGGCGTTCAGGTCCGCTAGCTCAGGGAAGAAATCTGAAATTGTAAAGTAGAGCTCTTTAGGGATTGTCGCAAATGGTCCTTCTGGGTTGGTGCATGGTGTATGCATCTGGACCTTTTATTCAGGTAGAAAAGCATGGAGTATGGACTTTTCGTTATAAGGGTGGGTCTGGGTTTCTTAAATTGGGTGTGAAGATGCGGACTCAACCTCAACGATCTGACACGAAGCATACCACTATCTCCACATTAGGCAAATGGATTAAAAGTTATCAGTGTCTCAGTGTTTGTCTCAAGCGAAGAATTAGAAGTGAGACAGTTGGAGATGACGATGCCAAGAGTCCGGGGCGATAAGCGATAAGAGCGTCTCCATGGCGACGTTTGTCAGCTTGATCTTCCTTCAACCTCAGCACGTCTTTGCAGAGGAGGGATATAATGGCTTCCCCCAGAAAGACTTTCCGTCTTCACCACGGGCCCGTACGACGGGGCCTGGTCTCTTCAAGGATGGCCTTTGGTGCTGTAACTGCCCAGATCGGCCCGCTGCTAAACAACATCAAGTTAAGAAACAGAGCCCAAACCACGGGAGATATTGTAAGTCAAATTTACACCAAGAAAAGAGCGGCGGCTGACATGAATAGTCTGGACCTGCGATCAACCCCAGCATCTTAGATGCAAGTTCTTCCTTTGGGCAAGCGACGCCGAGATCCGCGAACAAGCGACTGTTCTTTCCAACTCTCGATCCGAAGTCGATCCTCCGTCTCTGACACCCTCCAAACCTAAAACCCCTGGCGGCGTTAGAAATGGTCTTATGACCCCTCAAACCGAGCGCCGATTCATTGACAACCCTCCACGCAGCTTCATATCCCCTCCGAAAACGGCCAAAGCCAGAATGATTTCCGAGGCCTCTGACGAATTTGGATGGAATGACGACTCCGATGAGAATGAGGAACTCACAAATGTGCTATCATCCAGCCAGGCTACGGAGCCTTTCGTGTCACAACCAGACTTCCACCGCGAATCACCATCAAAGGTGCCCCGCACACACTTATCTACCTCTCCGGGCAAACGGAAATTCTCCGAAGCTTTAAATACCAGCTCTCCTCAGACTCAATCTGCACTTGCCACACCTTTCTCATCCCGTTCCTCTCGAACTGAGCAGTTCCCTCCATCATCAGCGGAGCTATGTATGACGCCTACGCCGGGCAAATATAGCGATGTCCTCTACGCAGACTCGAAGTATGACATGACAGATCTGTCGAAAAATCTATTAGATGTGCTGGACAAGCATAGTGTTGTGCTACCAAGTCATGCACAGAGAGAGATGGTCGCGCTGCTCAATCAGCACGATCTTAGAACCAAGGGCATTAGCAAAGGGCGAGACATGGCACGCATGCTGCTCAAAAAACGTGATGACGAGATCGTCAAGCTGAAGGAGCGTATCTCGAATCTTGAAGCTCAGAAGGAGTTGGATCGCAGCCTTATTGAGGGGATGAAATCATCTTAAAGGAGACATGTGTCTAGCAGATATTATCTCAGACTGGGGCCTACGCCAGTATCTGCTTGCATGTGTAATTTTGGTATAACTACTTTATGAAATTACGATGATATGATAGCCTGCAATTGGTGTTTGGTGTCCTTTCAGCTCTAGACAGTATATAGGAATCGAATCTCGCGTCTTTCTATACCCATCGCGACCATATAGCAACAATGAGATATTCGTTCACGTTTGTCTAATTAGATTTAGCTTTAGGGTTGCCCCATGGTATCAGTGGCGGTAAGGTCCACTCATTCCCACTAATCTCTCAAGTTGGCGCAGACACCCAATGAGAAGCAAATCTTGTAGATCAACGCTACAAGAACACACGTAGGGACTAGTATCATCTACTGAACATTTGCAGGGCTTGAAGTTTCTCTCAGTCCGTGCTGTGTATGCAGTACTGATGCAAATATTCCCGATATAATTGAAGATGGGATAGCTGATCTTGATTCAACGCCGTTTTAGATAGTGCTATGCCTTGCCAACCCTAACGCTGTATACGTGGGACCCGAAGAAACTTTTTCCAACACTGCGGAGGACCACATTGCAATGCTGAATGCACTGCGAGCTTCTAACAAATCCGACCAACGCTTTCAAACCTGGTGGAACTACAGCAATGCTACCTTTGGTGTATTGGTACAAGTTGCTGAGGCCGCTTCTGGCATTGATTTCTCCGAGCCGCTGAAAAAGCGAGTTCCAAAACCAACAGCTAGTTTCAAAATTCCAATCCACAAACATGTCTGTTGCATTTAAACGCAATCCTACGTGTCAATTACCTCTGAAGCGGTGCTTATCATGCTACTCGAGTTGATTGGTATTGGGAGTTATAAAAAGAAAAATGCATATCGGAATTGAATAACACACAAAAAAAAAAAAAAAAAGGAGCAATACAAAGATACCTCAACGAGCCTGTTTGGACACACTTTGACCCCCATATATTAGCTGACCTAGCACAGCCAAACTGACTACCACCTGATAACCTTCTTAGGGAAGAACTCATCAATGAGCTCCAAATAGTAGGGCTGTCATGTTTTTCAAGTTAGCCCTCATCGCAAGAAAATCAGAAGACCAGACTCACCTTCAACTTCTCAGGATCAGGAACCTCATCACTCTTGCTATACAAATCATAGGGATTGAAAGCCCTAACAGCCTCCAACAGCTTATGATCATGCTCATCCATAAGCTCATGATAAGCGCCCTCCCGATGCCACGGATAAAAAGAGTGATACCGAATCATAGCCAACCCCTCCTCAGGAATCAACGACTGATCTTTAACAATATGATAAAGATACTCATCGTGACCCCAAGCAAGCATAACGTTCCCCAGTCCACACCTAGGAGAATAAATGCCGTACTTCGTACTATAAACAGGATTGTAATAATCCTCATTATTCTTGAAAGACTCCGTGCCAAAGATAATCCTCTCATCAAAGGCACAGCCAACAGCGAATGTATCACCAACAACATCCTACTGCCCCTGAGCACCGAAGAAGAAGAGCAATTTGCCTAGGTCGTGGATGAGTCCCACAAGCTGCATCCAGCGTGGCTTTCCGTCGTTGCGAATTGCTTCGGCGGATTGGAGGAGGTGTGTCATTTGGGACTCGGATGTGTCTGGGTCACATTCGTCGATGAAAGTGTTGAGTTTCTCCATTGCTTCCCAGACTGTCATGTGGGCGCGTGTCTTGTTCTTGAAATCGTTGCGCGCTTTGAGGTTGTAGGCTACGGTTTGAAGGGTGTGTTGTTGCGCATAGAAGTTCTTGACTTGGTCGCAGGCGTCGTTGAATTGACGGAATCCGGTTTTGTCTTTGGCTCTGTCAAATTCGGATTCGTCGTAGAGGTCTTTTTGCTTTTTCAAGTCTGTTTTGTGGACGTTCACTGCGTCGATGTTGTCGGATACTTGCTCCAGGGAGATTGGAGCGGGTTGGAGTGCGACGGCCATGTTCGCGGGTTGAAGCTGTCAAAAGCGAGGTTGACTTGAAAGTTTCAATAAGATATGTGCTTGAAATGGATCTCCAAACTTGGTTGCTTTGATATTCGTTTGAGGGGATGTAGGGAGAGACTTATATACCCCGTGTCCAAAGTCATAAATATTGATCCACCCGGACAGTATTTTCCGCGGTATAAGCATCATTTCACATTAAGTGTTTGTTGGTGATCGGTATATTGCTTCCGGCATACATCACGTCTGCCACACTGCATGGTTTCTTCGTGACGTCTATCTGCAGCTTGAGATGGAAAGCGAATTCCGTAACTTGAGTTGCAAAATCTGTTATCCCTGTTACCACAAACTTTATAGGACAAGTAAAAGATCATCTGGTCGTTATGGACACTGAAGCACCGTTCGGCGTCCATTTTCCGAGTCCGACATATGGCAAGTTGAATGGCTTCGGGATGTATTGAGTGCCTCTTGGTCTAGTCTTGGGGTGCCAATGGAATAATACAATTTGTTGTTCTCAATGAGATAGGACCTGCAGTTCCCCTGATGGCTCCCCGATGGTTCCATACCATCATGCCTGGTTATAGCCAAAATGGGACTCGATCACCATCTTCAAGCTATACCCCGCAGATTAATAGCTCAAGGACTAATTATAGATACAAAATAATGTCTATGTATGCTTAACATTCTTTTAAGCAATACTTACTTCATATCTCGCTTTATATGGATTTTTGTCTGCACTCAATTTTTTTCTTTGAGGTTACTTCAACAGCAAAGGACATGGTCTAAGATAAATTCTCTCCTTTATACGAATAAACTATACCACAAAACTACACATCCCTATACAAATATATTCAAACCCAGTATGTCCGAGGTCGATCTATAGATCTAGATACGGTCACGTGCCCGATAAGAAATAAATCGCGAGGCCGCCATGCGCCTCGAGCGCCGATCAACAGCAAATCGCAAACCGCCACAACCACCCCTTCCACCTCCAATGGAGTCAAAATACAACGAGCGCAAGCCGATTCCCCGCGAGCTTCCCGAAATGTTTCGACCGCCCATCAACCGTGCCATGCGCACTCTCGACCGATCATTTTTCCGACGAAGCGTGCCCCTCTCCGCCGCGCGGATATTTAAAGCTAGCGATATTTCGAAGATCCGGAAGGAGCTGACCAAGAGCAATGATGTTTTGTCTGTTCCTCGCCTCAATGCCATCCGTCAGGTGGAAGGTCAGGATGGGTCATCGCTGAAGGCTTTGTTGTTGCGGGAGGACTTAAAGGCCGATGGTGGGTTGTTTCGAGTCGAATTGAAGGCGGGCTATGAGGAACTCATACTGATGGGACTTTCCAGACAAGTCAACTTGGTCGCCGACTATTAAAGAGCTTGTGGAGAAGGGAACTGTGGATCTGGGACCTTATGACTTGACATTGGACTATGACTATTGGACATATCGTACGCCCGTTATCCTACACAGCGGATTTACTTGATACTTACCTACATGCAGCTGAAATCATCCACTCCATTCTACCCGAGGATATGGATGAAATCCCCCAAGGCTTCACGCAAGTGGGCCACGTCTGTAAGCCTATCCCATCCTCCATACTTCCAATACTAACCCAACAGTGCACCTCAACCTCCGAGCAAACTATCTCCCATATAAGAATCTGATCGCCGAGATCCTCCTGGACAAGAACCCAACCATTCGCACCGTGATCAACAAAACCGAAGACGTCGGCTCGCACAGCCAATTCCGCACCTTCCCATTCGAACTACTGGCAGGCGAGAACGACCTAAACGTCATCCAACACGAGCAAGACTGCGAGTTCCGCTTCGACTACGCCCGCGTCTACTGGAACAGCCGCCTGGAGACCGAGCACCGCCGACTAGTCGAGAAGTTCCGTCCCAGCGAGATGGTATGCGACGTGATGGCGGGTGTAGGACCCTTCGCCGTGCCAGCAGGCCGGAAGAAGATCTTCGTCTGGGCCAACGACCTCAACCCGCACGGGTACGAGGTGATGCAGGATGCAGTTCAGCGCAACAAGGTGGCAGACTTCGTGACGCCGTTCAACGAAGATGGACGGGATTTCGTCCGTGCCTCAGGCCGCAGACTCCTCGAAGCAGAGCCTGTTACTGTTACCATGCACCACAAGATCCGCAGGGATAAGAAGCGCAAGATTGAAGCCGGGGAGGAGGAACAGCTACCCCCGCCGCCAACTTATACTCGTCCCTCCTTTGTCGACCACTATGTTATGAACCTGCCCGCGGATGCTATTGAGTTCCTCGATGCCTTCCCTGGGGTGTACAGCGGCAAGGATGCTCTCTTTGCGCCTCACACTGAGCAGAAGTTGCCCATGGTCCATGTCTACTGTTTCTCTGGGAACTCTGATAACGAGGTGGATGACCATATCGATATCTGTCAGAGAATCTCTGAGCGTATTGGGTACAAGATTACCGTTGATGACTGTGTTGGAGGTAGCGGTGACCAGGAGGTGGAGCTTGCCATTCATAATGTGAGGCTTGTCAGTCCCAAGAAGCAGATGTTCTGCGCTAGCTTCCGCCTGCCGAGGGAGGTGGCTTTCCGCAAGGTATAAATGGTTACATAAGAGGCGTTCAAAAATCATAGACCAAAAGAAAATCGATACCCTGAGATCATTCTATCAGAGTCATACCTTGAAGTAATTAAAATGGTCGCACGTATAGTCTAGTCTATAACCATCGGACGGTGTCTATTCAACTAGTTGACAGAAAAGCGGTGAGTTCATCACCGCCCGAAACTGCCAAAGAGAAACTGCAGAGTTCAACGTCAAGAGGAATAACCGCATCTCATTAACCCCACCATCTCAGCCTCAGACAAGTGTTCCATCATTGAAATTACAATTCGCACATCGCTCCCCGTCACCCACTTATCAGCCCCCACACCGCAAGATGAGCGTCCAACTCCCGCCCGCCACGCACCGCAAGCGCGCCCTCCCCCAAGGCGAGCTCGAAGCCGCATCAACCCTCAAGCTCGGCGCCGACCAAAACACACATACGCTCTCCCTCTCCGAAGCCCGCCTAGTCATCCACAAAGTCCTCGAGAACAAGCGACGCGGCGGCAACAAGTATGAAGAGCCGGAGTAAGTAGCTCCAGATGGAAGAACGATGGTCCGATTTTCCAGCGATCAAACGCTTATCTGACATATTATCTACTGTCTAGGAACCTGACTAAGACGCTGGATTACCTAGATGTGTTTGCGCGGTTTAAGGATGAAGAGAATATTAAGGCAGTTGAGCGGCTGCTGAATTCGCATACGGAGCTGGAGATGTTTGAGCGGTCGCAGCTTGGTGAGTACCCTGTATTTGTGTTGCTTTTGCACAGCCCCTGCCTTCTAGTCCATGGATTGGATTGGATAAACTTCGGGGAGATTTGATATTAACGTCTGGGATAGGGAGTCTGTGCTGTGACAACGCCGAGGAAGCCAAGTCTTTGATTCCGAGTCTCCAGAATAAGATTTCTGACGGGGATTTGCAGGAGCTGCTGGATGAGCTGACCAAACTGCGCAACTTCACGGAGTAAACTTACGGTCAAGGTTGCATGTGCATAGCATAGCTCAAATTTGGGAGCATGGCGTTTTGAGGTGTATGTAATAGAAACTAGGATTGTTAATTACTTTTGCCACCGGGATAGTGTTTAGCATGTGCCGGGGATGGAGTCATTGACTCCGGCGTGTTCCACTCCGGCATCAAAGTATTACCTGAATAAGGTACATCGCGTGTTCTCTGAATGGTTCCTCCACAATTATTTTTCCCCAGTTCTGCCTCGGGCACTACTGCGTCTTGATCTAATTGGCTGGGGAGAAGAGTGTTATCATGAGGCTGTGATTGGGCCGGAGATCCCAGTACTATGGATGAGACCAGTCATGCACACTTACATGGATGTGCCTATTACCACCCCATATTTAGCCTGTAAGTCTATTCTTATTATCTAACACCCTTCCATTGGCGGCTCTTGAATGGTGAGGGTCGACTTGGAAATGCTGACATAAGCGTATTCAGTACGTAATACCACGGGAGCTCAGCACATCCACCAATCAGCAGTGGTGAATCCTTATCTTTGACAATTTGGCTTGGATAATGGCCACAACGGGTTCAAGTTCTTGTTACGAGAGCAAAAGGTGATCGTCTGGTTCGGGTGCCGACCTTACTGTTCTCGGTACTTGTAGTATACAGAGATGTCATCATATACCATTTCTCTTTCTTTCTTTCTCTACACTTTACTTTCTCCTCACCCCGGTTACCTAGTTACTCTCAAGACTTCCTTTTAACAGGAATGACGGAGCGAACTACTCGGCATCTCCTTCTACTGCAGTCACTTGCAGACTCGTCTGCTTGATTACTTCGGTGATCTCGGAGATAACCAACTTTTTTTTCTTGATAAGCCAAATTGTACATCTCGTCTTATCTCTGGTCTCTGCCAATGAAACTGACCAGAATTCAGTAAAATACCTATCTACAATGGCTACAATCACTCTCCAGCCGGGATACTCCCATTCCCCCCAGACCCCGACTCTTTCCCCATCCCCCATATCCATCAACTCGACCCTTCCCCGCGTACGGGATGGAGCCTGTGACGCCTGTCTCCGAAGAAAAAGCAGGTGTGCTATGAACGAAATGGTCAACAAGTGTTATTCATGCGATTTCCATCGCCAGGATTGTACTTTCACCCTCACTGCCGCTCCCGAAGCTCCCAAGAAAAGGAAGCTATCCGAAACGGAACCAGCAGAATCGGTCAAGCGGTATGTCCACTACCAATCCAGAGCTGAGAACCGCGGAGCAAGAACACTGTCCTAACAATGGTTCCAGACCTGCCACTATGCAATCGCAATCTGTAGAAGCCGAGTCGGCACACCCGCTTCCGCTGGCCCGGAATATGATTCGCCCGGGCTTCTTTAACCAGTCTACTCAGCATATCGGTATGACCACTGAGCTGGAACCGACTTTGCTGGAATATCTCCCGCTGGACGAATATGATGAATGCACAGTTTCTAACTCGCGTGTGCGGAGGTGTGCTGATGATGCTACCTTCATGCGTGTCGTTGATACCGTGCCTGTCGGTGACTCGCAGGCTGTGTCGCTCGATGCCATTGAGAGTTTGGTGGCACCGTATGGCTCGACCTTGATTGAGAAGTTCTTCGACCATGTACACCCGTCGTTCCCGATCCTGATTGAGGAGGCGTTCCGCCAATCGTATCGGGAACGTCGTGGCTTGTCGCCGCTTCTCCTGGCTGCTGTCTATGTGTTGACGTTGAAGTTTGTTGACGTCGGTGCAAGCTCGCAGACGGCTCGGAAACCGGATGCTGCGCGTTTGGAGGCTACGGCGTTGAAGTTGCTGATGGATTCTTTGCCTTCCCCTAGTCACTCGACTATCCAGGCTGGTTTGTTGTTGACGCAAAAGTCAACTTTGGCTACGGCTTCGTTGAATGGGCAGCTGGTTACAGCTGGCTTTGAGCTGGGTCTGCACCAGGACTGCACGAACTGGCGCATGAAGACGTGGGAGAAGGGCCTTCGGAAACGACTTGCTTGGGCGTTGTACATGCAGGATAAATGGTCGTCACTTGTCCACGGCCGCCCGTCTCACATATTCGCCTTTAACTGGACGGTTAAGGATCTCGTGGAGCAGGACTTCTCAGATGCCTTTGCGTCCGGCACAGACTCCTCGCATGACGAAACAGCCGTCGGCCACGGCCCCCTACTCTTCTGCCACATGGTAGCCCTAACAACCATCCTCTCCGACATCCTCGACCGCTTCTACACACTACACGCCATTGAAGAATTCCAGGCCGCAGGCAATCAACGCACACGCATGATCCTCGAAAAAGCCAAACCCGCCCAAATCAGACTAAAAGACTGGTTCTCCTCCCTGCCCCCGTCCCTAAAAATGGAAACCTCAACCGGCGAACTCGTCGAAACAATAACAGACGAACACGCACGGAACGGCGCCCTTCACCTCGCCTACTTCGCCACCGAAATCACCCTGCACCGTTGCATCGTGCGCTCTCTCCTCGCCGAAGGCACAGACCCCTACCTAGCACACATCTGCCGCTCAGCAGCAAAAACCCGCCTAATCTCCGCAATGGACTTCGTCAACCGCCTGCGACCCGCCCACCTCCGCTCCTTCTGGCCCGCTTCAGCCCGCACAAACTTCTCCCTAATCGGCTCCTTCGGCATGCTCCTCCGCATCACAGCGCCGACAAGCGAAGAAGCAGACTTCTACCGCGTGCGTTTGTGCGAGTATCGCTGGACGCTAGGCGTAAGCCACAAGAACGCCGCGTTCATGGGCTTCGCGCTGCAGAGTCTGGATAATGCTACCGCGTTGCATAAGCATGTTCCCGCGAAACCGGGTATCGAGGAGTTGATGGCTACGACCAAGTCTGCGCCGCCGCGTTTGCCTACTACCGCGCATGGTACGTATGACGAGGCTATGATGGAGGCAGGGACGGGGACTTCTTCGTCTGTAATTTCGGGACTGGCTTCGCCTGCTACTTCTGTTAGTGATATTGAGGACGGGGATGCTTCTATGCCGCCTCTTTGATTTCACTTCTTCGCTCATTCTTTTACCTCTATTACCTTCAACTTGAACGACCCTCCTCACGACTCTCACCCTTTGGCGTTTCTATCTCTACATTCTGTGCCAAGCGATATATTTGATTATACTGATATTGCATGCATGTATGCATTTTCACATTTTACCCATGTACGCAGTTCTGCAAAATGCAGAACTCACTATTCACTTTTGTGTGCTGTTGTGCGTTTGTGCTTTGTGATGACGGAATTACCCTGGCTCGGAATGGAATTTGGAATTGGATCTGGTTTGAATTTGTTTTATTGCGTTGGTCTGGACTGTTTTGGATTTTATCCTTCTTATTCTTATCCTTCTTCTATTTTGGATGTTTATAGATGGATTGTATCCCCTTGTACATAGATCATATCATGGATTATGATTACTTTTTCATTTACTTTTCTCCTTGCGTACCTTGTACATGTATGTACATCTGTGTAACATTACCTGAACGAGATGTGATGTGTGGCTCTTTTACTGTACCGAGTACATATAGAGCCGTATAGAAATATGCGCTATAGCTGGATCTGGACTAGATCCGTCCAAAAATACCGGAACTAATACTGGAAGAGACACGCGTTGCGCGCATCAGCCCTGAAACGAAAGCCAGGAAAGGCAGGAAGAAAAGTTGAAAAGATTTGTAGTTTGCCGTCGATAATCGACCGCCAGGACGCAGCTTCACGGTCACCTCTACCGGGTGGGACTTGGCAACATGGATTGCGTCGGTAAAAGTGAGATCCTTGAGAATCTCGGGGTAATATTGGCACAGGACGAGATTGATCTTATTCTCGGCCGAGAACTTTGGAGCAGAACCTCGTAGAAGTACAGAATAGCACGCACAGGCTCCAGGAAGCCGTCAATATAGCCGCAGCGATTGAGTAATCCTTCTATTAGCCCTACTATAGGATCCTCCTTGAAGAACTCGACGTATGTTAGTACTGGGAACAGGCATGCCGCACGAGAACAAGCAACGTCTCGGCTTGCAACCGTCATTCCCTTTTCAAATTCAGCTATAGACAGGCGAATATATGAAGTGCATATGTCTGAGGGGAACAAGCTCGAAGCAACCACGCGAGAGTTATGTCTGTTGAACCCTGGATCACCAAAATTTGCTGAAGTTTGATTTACTAGACATTGAGGACGATATACGATCGAGTGGATGTCAAAATGAATAGTCAATCCGTGTCAAAGGATACGGAACTGGATATAGCCGACCCTAAGTGCTTACTGGCCTTTGGTCCTTAGGGGGAACCTGCATAAGGGTCATGGAGGAGAATGTTGCTTACAAACGAAGAGTCAGGTCGGACGACACCTGTTTTATTTTGTAAGTCAATTAGCCTAAGTAATGGGACTGAAAAGCAGTTTTATGTCCTCAACATTGACTGCGTGGGGGAAGTTTTATGCTGGGTATCTTTAACTATATACAGGTTAGTCACCCCCCTAGAATCGCAATAGGCTGGAACGAGAAAAGAGGAAGGTCATCTAATACCAAAAGGATGCGCGATGAGTGGGATGGACAACTTGACGCCAAACAATACATAACTAGGGAACAATTGATCTAGCAGGTTGTCTATAACTTGATGCGTTGTCATCCGCTATCTCGTTATCTTAGTCCATACTACTGGCAACACCCACATAGGGAACACCATTATCAGCTACGGACATATCATTTGATCGCCTGACCGCTTATGTAAAGTGGGTGGCATTCTGGAGTTTCAAGACGATATCCCCGACACTATTCGTAAACAACACTTTTCAGAAGAACTGTAACAGAATGCTCGCTCTAGGAAATTGCGCACCTATCAATGTCAACTTCATAGGAGGCCAATCTCACCTGGAATCACCGGCGGCCAATTTAAGTCATCTAAGAATGGTCATTATTCAAGCTAAACCTATGTATTTCTGACGAGGGCAAGGAGTAAGGAGTATATATAACGAAACCAGTGGCTGTTAAATTTATGGTACTGGCTGCTGTGCATAGATGATTGAGGTTCAGTTCATCAAAATGTAGGAAATCAGGGGGACGAATAGGAACTTTCTGTTCGCACTGCCCGGTGACCGGATCCTACATCTTGACTGCTTTATTTGACGTTGATACGAGTCAACATCTTTCTTGCGACCAGGCAACCGAGTTGATTTGTTGAATATTCCCCTTGATTACTGCTTAGTGGAAGCGACGGAGGAGGTACGCTATAGGCATCCGGACTGGCTCTGCCTAGTTTGGGGGAAACTGGGTTGCTAAGTAATGCCACATGCTCCATGCGGGACAAGAGGGCTTCGGACCAATTGAGCCTAGTTGTCAGAGTGTTATTTAGACCTGTGGTAAGATTGAAGTACTTACGGAAGATGGGGTAGCACTTCTCGTAACAGTACCAACTAGACTCAGTTACAATTTACGCTTCCCATGTTACCCGAGCCGAATGTAGTGCATTTTGATAGTGAATGGCAGTAAATACAAGCCACTACCTTTGAATATAACATAACAAGATGGGATAGAAAGGGAACTAGTATGAGGGGCCAAAATGGCGTGGTACAATCCGTCAAACAGATAGTAAATCAAATAAAGTAAAACCACTATCTACGGGGTTCATGTCTGTCCTCGCCTTTCTAACTCCAAAAGGGACTGGGCAGCGTCCAACACTGAATTTTGGAGTGTACGGTATTTAATCCCGAGGAGCTGTTTGGACTTCGAATTATCAACACCGTAGACCTCAACGTTACCCAAACCAGACTGAGGCATACCGATAGGCACACGCTCTCTGATTTCGGACAATTTCTCTCGAAGGATATCTGCTATCATTTGGTAGCTAAAATTTCCTTCAGCCACAAAAAATCGTTGTCCTCCTGCTTCTGGAAGCTCATACGCTTTCAAATGGGCATCGGCCACATCGCGCACATCAACCCAAGCCCAAAAATCATTCGCTGGCACAGGGTCACTTGGCTTTGATGTTGGTGACATGAGTCGGTAGATATCAGCAGAGGATGTATTTAGATGTGCCAAATCTGTCGTTGCGTTTTTGTTTGGACCGTAAATCATAGGAGGGCAGATTGTCGTCAGGTCCCATGAAGGGCATTCTCTTTTTACAAAGTCCCAAGCCTCACGTTCGGCGAGAGCTTTTGCTGCACAATACGCTTCCGCGCCGGAAGTCCCTTTTTTGGCAGCCTCTTGGTAACTCATTGGATTCCAGTCCTTTTCGCTGTATACATAACCTGGTCTATTCCCTTTGGACAGATCAATTATGGATGCAAATGATGATATGAGAACCAATCGTCGCAAATTAGGTACTTTTTCGTTGATCGACCGAAGAATGTTCTTAGTGCCCTCAATCGCAGGTATGAGAAGGTCGCGCTCGTTGTTTTCGACTTGCATCTGGAACGGCGTAGCTGTATGAATGATACCCGTAACGTCCTTCACTGCTTCGTCAAAAGCATTGAATGAACTTATATCCCGCACAATCGTAAAGGTCAACCTTCTGTCCCGGACGTATTCCGGAAAAGCCTGGCTGACTTTCTCAACTTTGTCATAAGATCGCACCGTGCCACGAATGAGGAAACCGGACCGAAGGAAAACGTCAATTATGTGGGTTGCAACGAAGCCTGAGGCACCGGTTACTAGGATCAATTGGTCAGACATTGCTGGCGGATATGGAAATCTGGAGTTGGGTAGAATAGCTTGAGGAAGTCACATAGGAGAATCGACACTTTATGCCTAGATGTAGTATGTCCTTACATAATGACCTGATATCATCACTTACCATGTGGCATCTAAACTTTTCGGTTAGGCCTTAAAACCAATGGGAAACTAACATCATGACGATTTAGAACATTTGCGCTATCAATCATAATGACACTGTCCTATTTCCCCACGAAACATTTGTTTTATTATACCAGCTTAACAATCTGATGGTCCAACGTCGAGCCTGAATTGTTGACGATACAACGACCCTATCCAACTACTTCAATATATAAACATACTATATTGACAAAAAGAGTAGAATCGGTTGGGTTGACGATTTATAGTTGGAGGTCTCAGACACAGAAATGAGATCATTTCACCCGTTGCGGATAGTGTACCGGTAGAATGACTTACACCGCCCCACAGGTGGTCCGGACCTTAAATGTTGAATTGCAATCAAAAAGAGGAAAGAGCAAAGAAATAAAATACGACATGCTACAATCGAGACTTTTGTTTGAACTATAAGAGATAGTTTGAACTATAAGTATCTCTTAGAAAGGAAGGACACCATATTCAGAGTTTTTATCAATACTAGCTCAAGATAACACCCAGTTACCACTTGCTCACGTATTCAACTTGTTTAATATCACCTTCGCCAAATTCTTAGCGCTCTCTGGGTTCCGACCAGTCAGCAATCTGCCATCCTTCGCCACGACCACATGCGAAGCCCAGTTAGCGGATGCCTTCTCATATTTGCCTCCTAATATCTCGTTCAGCTCGGTTTCAAGCATGAAGGGCATGTACCTGAAGAGTTCGTTTCATCCTCTTCTGAGTTAGCGAAGCCATTGACCGGGGTGTTGGATAAAAGGAATGACGAATTTGACAGCTTGACGTTGAGTATGGCTGCGGTACCATGGCAGACGGTGGACACGATCTTGGCCGACTCCCAGAATTGCCGGATCAAGGCGATAGAGTGGCTATCAGTAGCAAGATCGAACATTACTGTATTGTGGTCAATCACGGCTTATAGCTCTAAAAGCACAAAACGTACGCCCGTCCTCCCGGGTAGAAGATCGCATCGAATTCCTTTGCGCACCTAAGGAAGGTCGAAATTCACTCAGTATTCTCCCAGAGGACAGAGTTTAGCTGTAGAAACTCGGTACACTGCGGATAATTTTTGTAGGCCTCTGTAGAGCCAGGATTTGAAGGTGCATAGCCACCATTTAAAAGACGCGATAGTTAAGTTGGCGTGAGGTGAGAGCACATAGTATGGATGAGCAAATTTAGGCTTTGATTCGTTAGAATAGAGAGAGTTTACTAGACAAGATCTGTGTTTTATTTTTACCAAATATCAGCCTGTCTTCCTGCCAGTGAAAACCAACTGCTCGTGGGATGAAAAGACGTTCAAGACTTTTTTAGGGGTTATAAAGATGAAGATTTTTTCAGATCAGATCATTGATCTCAGTCTCAATCTCGTAGAAGACTTGTTTGTAATTTATAAAGAGACCCGTAAGAGAATATATCACAGTTCTAGATCGCGATCTATACATGGTGAAAAACTTAAAAGAAGACGGTGACACAGCGGTTAATAGTGGCATAGCGACTCCTGTTCATCTGACACGGATTGACATAGTTCTGCCCCACTTGGGTTGGACCGTCATATCATACTGTAGATGCCATTACTGCACGTATGTAGTTTAAGAAGGAATAATCGCGAACCCGCTACCATGTGACTTACCGGCTTCCAAGGTACGCTACCAAGGAACGACTCGTCTGGAATTCAGGTTCCTCATTCACTCGAAGAGGCAAGAATTATGCCCTTTTGTTAATAATTAGTGATAATTGTATAAACCCAGCCATAATTAATTATCCACCCTCCGTAAGAAGGAATACTATTAAAGTCAAGAGTGGGCACTGAGGACATGAAAAGAGTGTCCCTCGGTTAAATGCGGGCCTCAATGGCTGATCTGCGCGAATGCCTTGGCGGCCAGTCCAAAAAATAATTATCATGTGTGTTGGTCAAACCGATTTGAAGGATGAGTAATGAGTGTGTTGTACTGGAATCGTAAAATTCAATAAGTGGTATGGCAGAAAAAAGAGCACCGCAGTGGAGGCAACGTTATCAAAATTGTTTGTCCCATTTCATGTGTCTAGTTGTTGCCAATCATTATTTCGGGCACGAAAGTAAAGTACCGGCGGAAAGTCCGATTTATGCAATCGATTAGATTACGTCGTGCGTTGTTGATTCCGGGAACTTCTTCATCCGTTAAGGATCCAGGGAGAAGGTCATGCCTCGCAAGGGATGATCCAAGGTCAAGAGCCCATCCATGCTCGTGTTCTTTGAAGTGCAGCCGTCCTAAAATTCTGACCTAGGAAGATCCCTCACCCATCGAAGAAGCTCACCAGAAACAGCCGTGAAACCAGGGTTCGCGTGACTATCGAATTTCGTCATGCCTATGTGATCCTCATGTATTCCTATTGGTATGTACCCAGGCAGGATAGCGGAATGGGATGGAACAACCTGATCAGTATTAGTCATGTACTGTAATGGAGCAAAGGATACTCACAACCCCCACAAACCTTAATGGTAATTCCTCAAAAAAGCAAGTAATAGCAATCGGCTGAAGCCCATTTTGGACTCTTGTCTGAACCAGATGATGGAAAGTGTCTTGGATCATGGCGAGTACCTCGGAGTCATCCCTTAAGCACTTTCGAGATATCCCTGTTAACTTGTTTGAGCACCCCAACAACATGCGCGAGCTTTTCTGCCCATTGGACGAGACCCGACCCATGATGTGGTGTAGCCAGGAACGCGATATCTCGAGTGTAATTTGATATTTTCTTGAGATGCTCATCAGAACGTCGTGCAGAAATAGTCAATGCCTGTAATCGTCAAATATCGTATCTTGGTTATTTCATTGTGGATAACACACATATTCACAAACAAGACCTCCCAGGCTATGGCAGACAAAGATTATGGGGCGGTCATTCTGTTTCAATCAGCTAGATACCAATCAATCCCATCCATTGGAGCACACAGTGTTATCAGCCTCCCTATGAGTTGCAAGCCTTGTCAGCAGGTTCCACGAGTGACAGCCTAGCCTGTTTTGAGACAACATGGTTTTCCAGTCAGTCACATAGGCATCATATCCAAAAGTAAGGATTCGAGCATTGGGAATTATGGGTGAGAGCAAGGTCTTTGGCCATGGATCACTTGAATTCGCCGCCGCTCTCCACGTACTCTCGCGATCTTCGGTGAGGCCATGTATGAATACGATAATATAATAATATGTAGAACAAACATTTGAAGAATGTCTTTAGGTTGGTATCTTCGGGGTTATTCAGGGAGAACTCACTCGACTACACTGTTCTGAGGAACATGAAGTGAAATGATTCCAGAAGGAAATGATTGTGTCGGTGTCGGTGTTGACCCATACATATTCGTATTCTTTTGGTGCGATTAATCTTTTTTTTTTTTTTTTTTTTTTTTTTGCGTTTCTTATGCGCGTTAAGAAGTCACGAAATAAAGGATCTTCGGACTGTCTTATCTACTTATTAAGAATGATACCGCTTTCGAATCGACGCTAAATCAGCCGACCTACGGCATCGTCATTATTGCTATATCTGTCAGGACCCCGACCTGCCAGGTGCCTTATTGATGCCTGAAGATATATAGCGAGCTTTGGCCCTCGCATTGCGAGGGTAGCTGATCGCACGCATGGACCAGGCTGGCCGTGCATGTCGCTAAATACATTAGCTAAGCGCACTATGTATTTATTATGCTCGCTGGTCCTCGCATGGAGGACCAGCAATTAGTCTCCTAATACACCTGCACGTACATTCGCCGATAGACTCTACTTCCCGAACTCATACCACTACCCTAGGACCTCGCAGGGCCCTAACATAGGGACCCATATGGCAATGGCTCTCATAATATGTAGTAGACGGGAAATGACTAGATCTTTGACTTTATGGCTAGTCTCTAGATCTTGCAGCGCATTGCGACGCCGATCTTCCGTAAGAGAAGAAATATCGTCGATAGTTGATAGCTAGTGACGACGTTAAAGGACTAATTTATTCGCGAGAGAGGATTTCCGAATTTGTAGTACGTCGTATATAAGATACATAAAGGTTTTGTGGCGCGCGAACCTGCTCTAGTCAGAGTCGGTAGCTCACTAGGTGATAGCGTTAAAGCATACCTCCTGCTATGGTGCTTTAGTGCCTATTCGACGAAAGAGGACAAGGAAACGTTAAGTAGACGGTCGTCTAGATAGCCACTAATACCAAGCGGAAACAAAGCTAGAAAGGCGGCAGTAAAGTATGTTAGATCTTCCTAATGATCTACGAGTGTGGCCTAGCCCTAAATTCTGTAAAAAAGCGTAGGGATCCGTTGCTAGCCGTGCCTAAGCGTACGTTAGGTAGACGACACGGAAGGACTTAAAACCACGCTTAACAAAGCATTTAAGAGGCGCCTATCGGGATTTTGACGTTCACTATTAATATTGGTAGAGACGGATGTAGTTATTAGTGGCGCATTGCTATCTATATATAGATCACTAGCTTATGCAGCCTAGAAATCATTCTTATAGTTACCTATATCTAAGTGAACTAAGTAACCTTCTCGTTTATGACCATCTAGCAGATCGACAGAAATAATATTTTCTTGAAGATCGGCTAGAATGAAGTCGTTATCCTACGTGCCGATTATATCATAGTTGATGGTCACATTATAAGCATGATTATGACGTGTTAAATACTAGAGAGCCGCAATCACCCTATGTTTCGGTACTAATAGAAATAGAGATAGATTCGCGTAGGTGGCAGATTGTTTTCCTAACTAGAAATCCCTAAATATATCGTGCAGCGTTAACGCTAGACTCGGGAGAATTTCAAGGAGCGGCTCCGGGTCCTATAGGATGACGACAAAGTGGCCGCGCAGAGCACGGTAAGATATCGGAGACGTGCGGCCGCCGGGGCGTAGCTTCAAGACAACCCTAAGGGGATGGCACCTAGCAATCAAACACTCCTCGACTAGGGTGAGACTTTAAGTACTGCCGGATAGTTCTGACACATTGTTATGTTCACACGGTTTAAGGCAGAAAACTTTGGAAGGGTGTTTTAAGACAGAGACTTAAGGTAGGTCAAATAGACATCCCACTCGTTATTATGTTTCCCATAGTAGCAAACTTATCTTCTACCATAATATTGCTAGTCACCTGAAATATCATCCTGGCATCGCGGAGGCTTATCTCACTCGTCTAATCATATTTCCGTCATATCAGTGAAGGCCAATGGTAGGGAGCTCGCACAACGCAGAAGGATGGACGATATTGAATGCAAGAGCTGCCAGTAGCATCATCCCTGCATCCAGAGATATAAAGTAAACCTCATGAGTGATCAAATATCCACTCCATCCCTGAAGCAACTCAGCCGTACGATAGATACATCGGATATAGATGCAGATGACTGAGACGACCATCGCGCGCAGCAAGGGTACAATTGGAGTCTTTGCAAACGTTGAGGAAGAGGCGGAGAAGATGACACCAGCAAGAAAATGAACAACACAACAGATAAAGCCAGTCATCCACACTATCTGTAAAATAATACCAGCTAGCATTATATGAGTACCTTGGGATAAGTCCCCATTGATTCGCGCCATTTCTGACGAAGCAAGGCCGCCTCCTATGCCTTGGAGAAGCAACGAGGTGCAATCGCCCAGGATAAAAATCCAAAAATAAGATATAGGGCTTAGATACGACGAGTGGCACCCCGGTATGCTGATAAAAACGCCAAAGAGGATGTAAAGCCCGGCTGCAAAGAAGACTGGAGCTACGAGGAACGGAGACATGTTAGATGTTGTATCAGCCGTTTCATTTCCCAGAAGATTATTTCTACTTACCCATTATAAGTGTGGAAATTTGCATGAGAAATGCATTTAAGTTATATGGGCATACAGCAGACCAGGTTCGAGCGACCCATCCGAGAAGTTCAACTGTATCATCATTAATTTAGCTTCTTGTGCATAGAATAAAAAGAGACGAATTGGAGAGGCATTGACGAACTGAAGCATCCAACGGCAAATACCAGTGACCACCACCTCCTTCCATGAGTAGACTGAGCGATGTGGGCAACTGTCAGAAAGCAGAAGAGAATAGAAAAAACGATTCCTGCGGCCAATGAGGGTTGATAGCTATACGGCGTTGGTACACCTTGAATCAAAGACTGGCAGCCCGCCTGGAGCAGCTGCTGGGATTTTAACATCAGTAAAAGTTTTCGGTATAAGAAAGAATAGTCACCAGGGAAAGAAAGAGGGCTAAAGAAACAGTATTCAGTGAGCTGGGCGGATGTCCAACGGTAAAGAAGTTCAGCGTATATATTTATTTGCTTTAGGGAAATCTTTGATCACTTCATACGAGTTTACCGAATCACAAGAGACCTTACTCTTTTAATATTTGGTCCACATGTCCAGGTAAACTAGAATCGATAGTTCTAGCAAGGCCTTTACATCAAATTTTGCGTTCAAATTAAATATGCTGCCTGCATGTGATCTATACACCTTGCGTAGTCGTACAGGCTTGTTATTTTTCCAATATTAACTAGAGGCTTCCCTTCTATCATTGTCGGGATCTATCATTCGGCCAGAACAGGCTGGCGGTAACTCACTGCTAGTGACCGAGAGATAACATCCCTTGCTTGGTGTATGCATTTTTGCGCGAAGCTGCGGCTCCGGTGTTGTGGCTGCCGAGTGTCCGCATATGAGATTAAGGGGTATCTGGGAACCTGACATAGGAGCAGAGGAGGGGGAAGAACACACGAAAATCAGAAACTTTTACTTAAGCGCATAAACTGTTCACTTAACTGTACGCACAATATTTAGCTGGCAGTGTGATACCATGTTTTTGAAAGGGGTGAGAAACCCCTTTATCCCACACGCGGACACTCGGCCGTCACAACACCGGAGCCGCAGCTTCGCGCAAGGATACAGGATAGGGGGCAATTTCTAACCACATATTTACCGCTGAGTACTGAGTTTCAACTAATAAGGAAGGGAAAAAGAAATTATAGACACATCCTATACAGGGCGATGTGCCCAGCTAGACCTTACTATCTTCTAGGTGGCCAGAAACAACGGAAATTTCGTGGAAAACTTTAAATAGTGGATTAAGGTGAAAGCTACAGATAGCGCAGGACTGAATGGGTTTATTAGTGGAGCTTATATTAAACAGGAAGTAATATGTATCTGATGATCTATCGGATTAAGTCTCATCATAGATATATAGTTATCGACTAGTTCAATTTTATAACAGCGTACTCCAGAGGAAACTAAAAGCTAATTCAAGGTGACCTGTAGGACTTACCTTTCACCATTACTACCACACCAATATACATATTGAAATGGGGATGGCTCGATGGCAGTCTGATATGGCAGACGGGTCGATATCAATGGAGAGAAGACAACCAACCACTCCCATGCCCACCGTAGGCATAGAGAGTAGTCTCAGGAAGCGACTGAAGTACTGATCTCGAAGCTATATGATGAATGAAGAATCTGGTGGAAAAACTGTAGTCATATTGATGATGGTAGGATGCTGCCCTCGAAGGAGAAGATTGCATGCAAGCTTCCTAAGGCATTTGTGATACCTCAGGCCACTAATACGCTACTGTCATGGGTTCCACCACTACAATATACAGGTTAAGTAAATCATATTCTGGTATACCTATCTTCAAGATACCAGGGCTATGGGAGCATTTGGTAACACGCAGAATTCAATAAATACATGGCTTTCTGGAATGCCTATTCGCGGGCTGGGACGCATGCCGAAGTAATTCTTTCATGCAACCTGCAAGTAGCTAACTAGTGCTTGTAATCACTGACTACTTTGAGACATGTCTGTTAGACTTGTCTGACCTGGGTTAGGGGGTTCTAGGCAATCTCTGAAGTCGGTAGTAGAATCACAATTTGGTATTAGGGTGGCATATTGACCGGTCCAACGCCCTTTACTTGCATGAATATCGAGGCTTCCCTCGCTGATTAATCTACTATCCAGGGATCTGGCTTACTACCCAATAAGTGTCTCCATGATAATGTCACAATAATTCAGCTAACGTAGTTCACATGCGAGTGGATCACACAAGCGAATGGATCACCGCAGAACACCATAGTTAAGGCTGTTTTTCGATATCTATATATTTTGACAACCGCAACTTGAATCTGAATTGATTTCTTTTCCTATGGATCGATAAGCGTCTTATATAGCCTGTAGAGTTTTGAAGTGAATTGAAAGGCTCAATAATGGCGATACCATAAATTACCTTGTAATTACGCTATCTCAGCTGTAAACATATATATTTTCCATATTTTATTATAAATTTCCTCTAAACTTTGTCAAAGTGCTATATTAAGTATTTTAAATATACTCTCGATTCCAGAATCTGTCTAAGCATCTGTTGTGGGGAAATAGTATTGTAATTTATCGCCTTAACTATAGTGTTCTGCGGTGATCCATTCGCTTGTGTGATCCACTCGCATGTGAACTACGTTATGATAATTCTTAAATATTATGTATTCACCCTACTTCAAATTAACCCGCGAAAACCTCACATTGTCCACTCGTTTGTTTCCTCCATTCTACTGCCTCTTTTTCCTCTGTCATATTGTACCCTGGAGAATTCTGCTCATTTATTTACCTCTGCTGGTAAGCTTACGTTTTGGATTTGGCCCAAAATCCTTGCTGATCTTGGGGATTATAATACTTCAAGTCGAGTGCTAGGACCTGCAATACAACACTATACCTTATACCACCCCCATATGGCAATGCTAGGTGTCGCCCTTTGGATCTTCCCTATAATTTCAGGAACTGTCTGGTCAAGTCTGATGCCCATCACTTTGTACGCCATGAACTCTGGGCTAACTCATAGCAGCAATGCTCCTGGGGATGATAGGTAACTGGGTAATGTCAGGGAAGCCGAGGTATAATACAATGGTAGAAGGGCAAACAATCCCGTGATTATCCCCTCCAGCACGTTCTTATCTGAAGCAATCCTGGCTGACAACCTCACACTAGGTACATTTCCAACATAGGAGCAGACACCAAGCTATTATTTGTCACTGGAAGCCTTGCTTCCACTCTTTTTCTGAATGTTGGCTTAATCCTTCAACAATGGCCAGCTAGACGTGCAAGGACGTGGAAGTGGGAAAGGACAACAATCAACCAAGTCTGCCCATACCTTTGGATCACACTTTCTATGATAGGAAGTGCTGGTCTGGTCTCCTTATCATACTTTGATTATATTTATTACACCCGTCTCCATTATGCTTCCTTGACCATGTTTATGTGAGCTTGTTAGTGAACAGAACATCATTTAATACGTACTCACATATGGCTTTAGATCGGCATATTCTATTAGCGCGGCCCTGCTCTGGGTTTATGCTCTGGAGTCTTGCATCTTCTTCAGTTGGCGACATCAAAACTTGGCTACACTGTTTGCCATTAGGACATGGGTCGGCACCCTTTCAGCTGGTCTAGGCATTGTTTTCTACTTTAGTTTGGGGCATCATGTGCTGAAGAAAGATTTCTGTGCGGTTATCGAGTGGGGGAAGTGGTAATATCCTGTCTTTGTATCTCCATCACATTAACTAACTGTTGTTCTAGTGATTGCATTTATTTTTACGGGACATATACTCTGTTTTGCTATCGACCTGCTACCGTCAACTCGCATACTTCTGGGACCAGGCGGATACAGCACGGACTTGATCTAATCATAAAAACTGACTACCCGTGTTTGTCATGAAGCCGTCCATATGTTGTTGCCCCAGGCTCTTAAGGGGCCTGAGGGTTTTGCCGAAGCGGGGACTTCCAGGTGGCCGATCGTCACCCTTCCGGTGGTGTAGCTGAAGGGAAGCCCTGCACGCAGGACCACGTCGGCTGGTTACACAAACTTCCTACCCCTCTATATCGTACTTTCTATTGTGAGAGAAGACTGTATATCAATAGACCGTGAGGAGTGGGTCCGGAACTCAAGAAACAGTCTTGCCACAATTGAATTTTTTCATCCTTACCTGCAACTGATCAGCAGGCCTTCTACCCTACAAGTAGATTTGAACTTAACACTACCCCTGAATGGTTTTTAGCGTTTATCGGATATTGATTAAATCTGATGTATCTTATGCAACCATTCAGTTATTGCTGAATAGCGGATTTCTTTGTCCCTGATTGTCCCACATTTACTCATTTACTTCTAGACTCGTGGATTGGATATATGATTTTGAGAGTCGATACGTCAAGTCGCACCCGGGTGCTGCCAAGTCATGCCCGAACGGAATCCAGATTAAGTAAATGATGGCAACCTATATGCTCATTGGAAACAATAGAGTGGCATTATCAGTCAATCTGTCGGCTCTCAGTGTCAGGTATGCCTTGACTTTCATGAGCTTTAAATACCTTGGCTCCTCCATGGCTAGGGTACGTCTTTGTTGTACACCCACTGCACCTTTTTCTCTGTACCTTTATCTGTTCCCAGTCAATCTTTCCATGGGAAGAAGTCAACTAGCATGTTGGATCCCTTCCCACCTCCACCAATATGGCTCAGACAGCTTGTCGAGCCTGGGGTGCTCTTCCTCAATCTCCCCGCTCTCTCTAACCACATCCATGAAATCTTAATCTCCTTTGCTGGATACCAAATTATCCAATTTTTCCTCGGCCCCTGGATGTCACGACGATTGTTCCCTCAGTACTATCTTCAATTGGATAAGCGTACTAAACTGAACTGGGATGTTCATGTTGTATCTTTAGTTCAGTCTATCGTTGTCAGTTCGTTAGCACTGTGGATTATCTTCGCCGACAAGGAGCGCAAGACGATGAACACTAGCGAGCGGATCTATGGATACTCAGGTGGTTGCGCGATGCTCGGAGCTCTAGCCATTGGTTACTTTCTCTATGACCTAATCATTAGCGCCGTTCATATTGAAATATATGGCGTTGGCATGCTCTTTCACGCCATTACTGCTTCGTGTGTATTCAGCTTCGGATTTGTAAGTCGTCTCGCCTTCCTATAGACCAGAGCCCTATATCGCATGAGAACCTCAGCTGAGCAGAGCAAAAGAGACCGTTCCTAACCTACTACTCGCCTGTCTTTATTCTCTACGAGCTTTCCAGTCCCTTTCTCAACTTTCACTGGTTTCTTGACAAAACTGGTATGAGCGGGAGCAAGCTTCAATGGTATAACGGGATGTTATTGCTTTTGGTGTTTTTCTGCTGTCGGATTGCCTGGGGAACCTGGCAGATTGCACTCGTCTACAACGACATGTGGCATGCTCTCTATCAGCCCAGCCTCGCACCTGCTTCGCAATTTCAGTATTTGGCGGCCGCCACTCAAGCTTCTCATCAGTGGGATGGATACCACTGTCCCGACGATCCGCGCGAAATCTCAAAGTCCTCTACCTCCAGAGCCAGAGTAATACCAATGTGGCTAGTCTTGATTTACGTTGTTTCAAGTTCAATCCTCAATATCTTGAACTTCTATTGGTTCTCGAAGATGATCGAGGCAGTCCTAAAGCGCTTCCAATCTCAACCAACGGGAAAATCGAAGGGGAAATTTTTGACCAAGTCTTATGGAAGCTGCAAAATTGTACAATGAAGGAGGCCTGCCTCAAGACAATCCCATTTGCAAGAAGGTCACATTAGGTGCGGGTTGAGGGAAGCCATAAAAGAAGAGGATCAGAAGAGACGACTGAGCTTGGAGGTTGAGAGATTAGACTTAGATTTTGGCACCCTGGAGGATATACTGTACTAGGTTTATTGCGCGGGACACCGTTTGCATTGGTTCATATGTGGTCTGTTATTGTACGAACAGCGAATTACTACCAGCGTTCAATAATTTGTGATGGTCAGGCCAAATCCCCTTAAAAGACCTGTACTATGTATATTTCCAACCATAATAGCCATGGAAACCATTTATTATATTTTGCATGACTTTCTGTACGAGATTTTCTTTTCATTAGGCGTTGGTGAGCAAGGCTGTCTAGTCAATCCACCGACGCTCAACAACAGGACCAAGTTCCCATGGCGCTAGGATCCACCACAACTAGCCGGCTGGGCAAAATTTAGGTGTGCATGGCCTATGCCCTGTTTATGCGAAGTGTGATGCTGTCGGTATCACCAGTTAGGTACTGTGTACACAGTTAAGTGAACAGTTTATGCTTCTACATGTAAGCAAAGGTTGATTTGGTTCATGTGTGTGTCTCCTCTGTTCCCAGGTCAGATTTCAAGATAACCCTTTTACCCCATATGCGGACACCTCGGCGGTCACAACACCGGAGCCGCAGCTCCGCGCGAGAATGCGTACACCAAGCAAGGGTTCTGATCTGTCAGTCGCTAACGGTGAGATACCGTCAGCTTGTTCTGACATATCCCGACGATGATAATAGTTGCTGCCTAGCGAATAGGTCTCGCACTGATGTGGTTCCTTGGGGTTTTAGCAGTGAGACTAAGAGCTATCACATCCCAACTCTCAAACTATTGTTCTCTGTAGTACCGCAGATCATTATTTCTTTTTGTATCTACTCCCTCTCATCTTCTTGTGCAATCCGTTTCCCCTTACTTTCACTTCGTTCGTTTCAGAGCATAAGGTTAACACAAAGGTAACATCACACTTGGCGGATTATTCTTAGGATATTCAGTAGAGTTATGAATAGCAGTATAGTGTCAAAAGATCAGGTGCAGTTGTACATTATAACAAAATAATCACTGTGATGACATAGCAGCCCTCACTATTTCATTGGACATGTTGTGCAACCTTAGCCAGAGGCCGAAGTATGGTGTGGGTATCACCGTGTAACATTTTTTGACCATCGGATGTGCCTGTATATTCCGACATGATCTTTTGTTGTGATTGATTCGATATTTTATTCTTACTACGTCAGGAATTACGGGTGGAACTCACTATCCTCGCGAGCTTGGGGTATCTTTGAGGCTTATTGAAGTCATCAACTTACTTTCCAAATAACTATTCAAACAATAGATAAAAATCGATCTATATAGCACAAGTCGAGATAAGCAACACTCAAACACCTTCCTTCCAATTCTAGTTTCCTGCGTCAGAATATCAAGCCAATGATGTTATCCATCCCTTGCTACAAAACAATCTGGCGATGATCGACCATTCTTCACACTGTACAGCCCCACCCATCACGAACTTTCCCTATTCTATACTGTACCAGACTATACCATCTCCCACTGACGATGCATTATTGTAGATATCGATGATCTCTGTGCCTCTTATGATGTCACCAACTTCGGCATTTGGAATGAGGGTGTATGATATGCACGTTAACCGGAAATGCCGAGTCCTTCAACGAGGGTGATGCCTAGGCTATAAAAGTAACCCCTCAGCTTTGATCCCAGGAGAATATAGAAACAGATCAAGATCCACAATATATCAGCAAGAGTATAATAAAACACAGCGCCCACAACAATGGAACGCAAAACTGTTCACAACCCAATCGTCAGGATACGCGCTATACTCATGTGGCCTTTCCTGGCATTATGGAATACTATATACTTTATTTTGAGCCTTAAGGTCTTCCCACTAGTCTGGCATGTATGTACGCAATCTCCCCCTCTCCAAGAGCCGAATATTAACCCTCCGCATCGCCAGGCCCGAGTCTTCTACTCAATGCTCTTCCGTTGGCGCCTAAACAAAACCCCAATCCCACCCTCAACCTTCAAAAACCTAATGGTCTTCCAACCAACAATCTGGAAAAGCAGTACACCGTTAGGCGAACTCGATTTCCTAGGTCACAAGTCAAACGCAACATATCTGACAGACTTCGACGCCGCGCGCGTCTACCACCTCTCATCGATCCTGCGGGTGGGATTGCATAAGTGGTCGAAGGAGCAGAGTGGCCTTCTTGCTCTTCTTCCTGTTCTTGGTGGTGTAGAGTGTTCATTTCGGAGGTCTATCAAACCGGGTCAGAGATATGATATCGTTACTAGGATTATTGGTTGGGATCAGAAGTGGTGTTTTGTTGTCTCGCATTTTGTGAAAGAGGGTGTCTTTAGACCGAGAGCCTTTTCGGATCAGGGGAAGGGAGTGAAGGTGAAGAAAGAAGGTAGGGATGAAAATGGGGATTTGGAGAAGGGGAACTTTGGTGAGAGTGAGAGTGATGGAGATGGGAAAGATGCTGTTTTGGCGGTTGTTATGGGGAAAATGGTTTTCAAGCATGGGAGGAAGACGATACCCCCGGCCGAGGTTTTGAGTGATTGTGGGCTTGTTCCTGCTGTTGAGGAGGGTGCTTCTTTTGGGTCGCGCACTATGGGTAAGCCTGTTGATGATGCTGGTGCTGGTGATGGCTCTGAGCTGAGGGTGAATGCAATTGATCAGCAAATGGTCATTGCGAAGGCTATTGAGGAAAGACGGTTGAGAGGACTTGAGGTTGCGCAGAGTATCAACTCGTCGGATGAGGGGGTTCCCTTTGATTTTAATGAGGATGTTGCTTTTTCGAAGTTCTAGATTTGATGTTTGATTTTATAGAGCTGGAGTGGTTCTTGTTACGAGGTGGATAAAGTCTATACACTTAAAAGAATTGAGCAAAACATTGATTGAATTAAGTGGGTGGTACATGATAAATTAGAAGGAAGAAAAATCATTCCCAGCACCGAAAGCAAAGTCCTCCAATATACTCGGGTTTACCAGGTTCGCCAACATCTTAGCTCGAGTGCGATCGGGCTGCTGTTGTGTCTCATTGCTGAACAAGGAAAAGAAGAAGTCCTCATCATCGAGATTTATCCCATGGTCTGTGACAGGTTGGTGTCCCATGATCGACGAGGGCGTGTCGAGAGAAAATCCCGATGTAGGCAGAAATGCAGTTCCTGGAAATTGGGGCGATACACTAGCCACTGGATTTGCACTGGTGTGTTGCTGTATTGATGATGATCTTCTTGCTTTGCAAACCGTATCAAGAGTAGGTAATTGAGCCTGAGTCTGATTTTGGGCATTGTGCTGCCCAGAGCAAGGAACTGCACGCCTCCGCGTGAGACACGTACGCGCTACCTCGAGCACTTCCCGAAGCATCTCAGCACAGCGACGCGCGACAATGATATCTTCCATGGAGGAAAAAATCTCGAGGGATTTCTCGACGTCCTCGAGGAGCTCCTTGTCTGGGAGGCCCGGGTAGTTTGATAGGATGACGTGGAGGAGAATCATTGAACCGTAAAGTGCGTATGTTGTGTTGTACCACCTGTTAATCATTAGTTGTTTTCAGAGAGTAATTGGTGACAATGGCGTACCAGGTGCGGATGTAGATCCTATGCATGAATGACTCGTACTGCATATTGATACTATCACGTGCAGCTGTGAGACATGTATGTAGATGGATGGAAAGATCGTTTTCGGTGTCTGTGCTCGCTGTTGCTGCTACGAGGAATGGTTTGTGAATGAGGATTCGAGTATTGTAGTATCCTTATGGACCAATCATCATCAGTATACAGCTCGGATTCTACGATCCGGGACATTGATTAACTCACTCAATCTCAAAACCAATTTTTGTTTGAATGCCCATTCAGGATCATTCAATGCATGTGCATCTAAATCCAAAAATTCAGGCATATTTGCTTTCCATTGAAGAAGTCGCTGATCCAGGGCCATTGCTAGACGGGATTTTTCGCTCATTGATCGCTGTGTGGAGTGGTATAGTTGGTGGGATGCTTCCGTGTTGATTTGGCTCAAGGCCACCATTACTGGAATCATTGCGATGTCGTTATCTTCAGCGTCGGGATCAAGATCACCAACATCGGACTTGAGCTTGGGAATGGAGGCCTGGTAATAATGCAGCTCTTTCATGCTGTCTAGACGTCCTGAGGAGCAACACATTTCTCTGGAGTATGTTAGCATGGTCGCAAGACAATCCTAGCTCAAAGTACTTACATTTCATGGGAATAGATGCACCTGTAGTTCAACCAACGTTAGATATGATCCTAACTATCGGGAAATAGTTTTTAGCATACCACCATGTACGTCGAGCCTCCCGTCGAGCAGCACTAGGAGGCAGCGAAGACAAACTCGACCCAAGTCCAATAGCTGCTGCTGTGCGAACGGCCATTCCACTGTACATGTAACAGCTATGAGGCTGTAACGAATTTTGACGAAATACACTCTTGGATTGGAGGTCAGCTTGTTTCTTAGGCCAGGTTGACAGGAACCCACCAGAAGCAGAAGAGCCTGAGCCGTTTCCAAGCAGGAACTCTCTAACAAATCACCCATGGTCTGTCTCGCGAGCCCAAAATAAAACTTGGCGAAATTAAGAGCAGAGAACGCAGCTCCTGTCCGGCCTCTTGTTTGATCGTTCGTCAGCAGGCAGAAGTGGTCTAGTAAAGAAGTCTCATTTGGACTGGCATTGATCGCGCCCAAGGCAACAACTGCCAAGTAGAGTCCAGAAAATGTGGTGACGCCTTTGAAGAGGCCTGCACGTCTTGAACTTGGCCATGCTTCACCTTCACAGCGTCTCATGAATGAGCCTTTGGAAAGTATCGGGTGGATGTAGTGCTTGTTGGCGAAGTAGCTGCCAATGAAGATTTTCTCAATTTCCAATTGTGCATTCTGCGTAAGCCGGGGAAAGACAGCTGCAAGGTTATTTTCACGGTCTGCAACTTCCAATTAGGAACTGGCTCATACGTTTAGGAATTGAAAAGAGTCCTACCATTGCTGGATCTGTTTCTCGAGTTACCTTGAACAGAGGGAGTTGTATGCGCCGCAATTACTCGATCGCTCTGAGATTGAGGCGAAGGGTGACCAGGATAATCTGCATTGTAGAGCAGGTTTACAATTGAGAGTTGTGAGTTGCCCGATTTTCTGCCATTGAGATCTTGGCTCGTCTCTGGAGACAAAGGCTGATCACGCTGGTTAACAGGAGAAACCGGAGTTGGCTGCGAAGCGCCACGATCGAGTAGATTCTGGGATCTGCTGCCTGCTTGATTTCGAGCTCTTGCGTACAGATTTTCAAGGAATGCTAGGTTGGAAGAATTGCCATAGAACTCGGTCCCGTTGGTGTGCAGATTGACTCCGCTCAAACCATCCCTCGACGCTGCATCGCCTACCTCGGAAACTGAGTTTCGATACGAGTAAGCTTCTGACTCTTCGGTGCAAGAAAGCACAATACTCACTGTGGCAACAGTTATCCTGTGCGATTGACACACTCGGTGTTTCGAGTGCAATGTTGACACCGGGCGAGTAATCTTCTAGCAGGCCCGGAGACCGGTTCGGTGACGAGTCTACTGGCCGTGTATCTTTCATAGTTTCAGGCAAACTCTGAGGTATCCCATTTTGTTGTACACCAGGCCATGGTGATGGCCGACTGACACTGTTTTCGCTTTATTCAGTCAGAACCCTCGGAAATGGCTCAGGTGAGCATTCCAACCTTTGCTGAACCTCACGAGTAGCCCGTTTCCTCTGACTCGATACACTGGGGGTACCACGACCTCCTGATCCTCGAAATACACAGTCAAACGAGTGATCTGTGATTCAGAGTTAACGTGGCTTCCATTGACGTCACGGGGCTAGGAGCATACATGCGCAATAAGAGCAGGGTTGTGCTTGATCACACTATATCTCCATCAGGAAATTACTCAAAATAAGAGCAGAAAGAACCCAGCTGATGAGGCCCACCTTGGTTTTCCGAGTGCGACATGTCTCGCATGCGCGGGACGCTCGCGGTATACGATGATGTGAAGTCCGTTTTATTTTCATCTCGGACGCATCCATCATCGCTATAAAACTATATGGCCCTATGTATTCGGACTGAGCGAAATTACCATGCTGTGATGTTTGAGAAAGGTTGACCGGATCGGAAGGCAGCACTAAGTCGTTCGCTTTGCCGAGCCAATCCCCACTCAACTTCCGATATCTTTTTCATGGATCTCATATAGGGACCCTTATCATGCGGGGTCTGGGGAAATCTTTGGGCCTTCTATAAGTTCTTTATCCGTATATACTTTTGTCTATTAATTCCGGGACATCCATATGTCGGGCTTTGTGGCTACTCCCGATCCAGATAGGGCTGCTATATCTGCCCCAAACGTGTCTATCACAGGATTAGGTTTCTTCATACAGCTACAGTTATCTTCGGATGGCTTATATGTCACAAGAAGAAAATGTTGGTCAAAATAGATATTGAGGCGACAAAACTGAATGTTGTTAATGTACGCGATGTTGCTTCCGACGGAAGCCAAACACATTCCGACGGATATGCAACGGAACGACCTTGCAACCGTCATTCAACTTCAAAAAGAACGAAGCATTACGAAGCATTACGAAGCGTTGGGCAAAATGGACAAAATCACCTGAAATAAAGGGGATAATAATAGGCTGCTCGGTTAAGGATGGCAAGCACAACTGAGGCTAATGTTCCTCATCCGAAACCGTATATAATCTATCCGATAGCACCGAACTTAGAGGCGACCCAGACAGTTCTTCTTTGGTAAATCCCTGTTAATTTAGGCTTTTAGACCTATCGACCTTCGGCTATTGATGGGCTACACCAGACGAATGGACGTAACGAGAATGCGATGGCCAATGCGGATAGCAGGTTCCGAGCGATATCCAGTAGATTGAGAAACATCTGAGTACGTCGAAATCAGACCATGGTGGATATCTTCTAGGCCTCCTTACCTTTCAAAGGCCTCTACTTGAATGACATTCACTAACATCTAGCAATCCGATTTGTAATGCTAGAGCTATTTTTCCTAGACGCTTGAACCTTTCGATGATTAACCTAGGAGCTGCTTCCTGGCAGCTTCTAAGTCGGTGGTTTCCTTCTGCAGCTGCAGCCGTCTCCGCTTTGTGCTGCTATCCTCCCCGGCAGGAAGACAGAGCAATATTATCATCCTTCTCTCCCTGCCTAACAACGGTCTACGTGCCTACGTACCCCCTTATATCTGGTAGCATGTTCTAGTTTAGGGACGGGCTTCTCTGAAAGATCACTAAGAGGCTATATCATCCCCACAAGAGCGCGCAGTAATAGTATACGCCGTGCACTTTTACTAACGTATAAGCGGTTGTCCTTACAGAACTAGTATACGGTACATTAAAGAACAAAGAAAGGACGGCGGATCCCGAGGGTAACGGCACGCAGAGATCTTTCTAGCGTAACCAAAGCCACACAAAAGCTGACATCCATTTCAACGTCGTAAGGATAAAAGTTTGTCCCTCCTGGTCAGAGTTAGGAGGTCAGGAATGACAATGAAATTTGGGGCTAGACCGGGTTCTTCCGAGAATGAACGAGCGGTACTCTAATCTAGATGCAGCCACTGCCTTAAAGAGTAGACGGATCCCTGAGCCTTATTGTTATAACGATAAGCCTATATCGCCCCCAGAAGGGTGCGTAGTAATAGTATACGCCGTGCGCTTTTACTAACGTATAAGCGGTTGTCCCTAGAGAACTAGTCTGCGGTATATTAAAGAACAAAGAAAGGACGGCGGATCCCGAGGGTAACGGCACGCAAAGATCTGTCTAGCGTAGCGAAAGCCACACCGAAGCTGGCATCCATCTCGACGTCGTAAGGATGAAAGTTTGTCCCTCCTGGTTAGAGTTAGGAAGTTAGGAATGAGAATGAACTTTGGCGCTAGACCGGGTTCTTCCGAGAATGAACGAGCGGTGGCATCACACCGACCCTAGCACTTCTAGATGTTATGGTAATTCGAGAGATTTTAATCAATTGTTACTGGTTAGATATGCGATATACTGTTCTAACATTAAGAGATATAGGACCAGTACAAAGTTGAATTTTTGCAACATCCGATCAGCTTACATATCAGGCAAAAAAAACAACTAGATACTCTTTTATAAATCATCAGCTATTAGCTTGGCCTACAGCTTTGAACTGATAATTATGCCAACTGCACCGGAATCACTTACTCTATGTCTATATACCTCGGGGATACGGTGTTTCTCGGCGATGAAGCGATCCGAGGACCTCATCCCATTGGTTTGTTCGGAAACATACCCACGAGCAAGTGACCCTTGTTTACGACTTGTCATTTCTTTGGCATTAATATTACGCTATAGAGAATGAATGGATTGCAAAAAGCAATCTATGACTCACTCCCCTCGAATCGGATCTAAGATGGTTCCTAGTTCTTAGCTAAATTATGTTATGTAGATCATCCCGGGGCCGATCCCTTATCTCCAAGAGGTTAGATAGCGGATAAGCACGGCGACGGCAAACAGGTTCGATACCACCCGATGTGTAAGAGAATAGCAGTGTACATATATAAGACACGGCATGTAAGACAAGTCTGATCTTCATTTGAATCTTTTTTTACTTTCTACCACATCACTTTTCACACCCTCTCATACAAGTCTCCTATACTCCAACCTCTCAGTTCATATCATACTTTTCGATTTATACATCCTACACAAATTCCCACCATGGACTGGGACCAAAACGATATGCGCTCGCGCTTCTGTCACGCTCTTTCAGAAATGTATAAGACCGAAGTTCCCCTATACGGAGACCTCATCGACGTAGTGTGGGAAGCAGACGCGAAAGCAATCCAAGACAGCCAGACGAACGGCAGTTCCAAAATCATCAATCCAGATGATGTTCTGCCCTCACGGCATCGTGTTGAGAGACATGGCGCTATTCGATTAGGAACGGCGCATGAGCTCGCCACAATCCGTCGGATGTTTGCTGTGATGGGTATGCATCCAGTGGGCTACTATGATCTTAGCCTTGCGGGGTTCCCTATGCACGCTACTGCATTCCGCCCGAAAACCCAAGAATCCCTCGATAAGAACCCATTCCGTGTGTTCACGACGGTTTTGCGAATGGAACTATTGACAGAGAAGACCCGGGCGCTGGCCCAGAAAGCACTGGAGCAGAGGAATATTTTTACTCCAAGGCTCATGGGTCTTTTGGATATTGCAGAGTCTCAAGGATACATGACGCCGGAGCAGTGTACGGAGTTTATCACAAATGGTCTTGAGACATTCCGATGGCACTCAAAAGCGACTGTCACACTTGACGAATACGACCAGCTGAAAGCTGAGCATCCTCTTATCGCCGACATTGTCTCTTTTCCCAGTTCACATATCAACCACTTAACGCCTCGGACCATTGATATCGATCTTGTTCAGCAGTTGATGTTGGACCATGGGATGCCTGCCAAAGAACGCATCGAAGGACCGCCGAAACGCACATGCCCAATACTTCTGCGGCAGACAAGCTTCAAGGCACTTGAAGAAACTGTCTATTTCCGGGATATATCGGGGTCCTACGTGAAAGGCTCACATACAGCAAGGTTTGGTGAGGTTGAGCAAAGAGGCTATGCTCTGACCCGGGAAGGGCGGCAGTTATATGACCAAATTCTGGAGCGAGTCAATGTAGACTCTGTGAAGAGAGGATTGAAGGGAAGTGATTATGACAAGTTATTGGAAGATCACTTTGAAGAGTTTCCTGACAGCCTCTCAAAGCTCCACGACTTGAAGCTGGCATATTTTTCCTATCAGGTGACGCCACTGGGTGACCAGCTGGCTCAACAAGGCATATCAGAGGCTGAACTTTCGCTTCATGATCTTCTCAGCAACGGGATTCTAAATTATAAGCCTCTTACATACGAAGATTTCCTACCACTATCTGCGGGCGGTATCTTTAATTCCAATCTTGGCAGTGTCTCTCAGTCAAAGGATCTTATAACGAGCGCCGATCCAGACCTCGATGGCTTCCAGCGATTCCTTGGGACGTGTGTGGCAGATGAGTTCCACCTTTATGCCGAGATGCAACAGGAATCATTGGAGGGTTGTCGGCAGAAACTACAGCTGGGGGCTATTTTATTATAGCATGGAGCAACTTCATATCTGCATCAAATTTCTGCTGCTGCTTTGGAATTAGTAATGCATGCTTTTGTTAATATTCGTTCGAATCAACTACATAACGTTACTAAATAAATATGTTTCTCGATCTTTTGGTCCTTTGCCTCCCGATTCCTATGGCGTGGCGTGTGAAGACTACCGTTCGACAGAAGTGGGTTTTGACGGGAGTGTTTCTGCTTGGTGGCTTGTAAGTTATTTTCCAGTTCTGGGGGACTTTTATCAACATGAAATAGCCCACTAACAATAACACAGTGTCTGTGTAGTCTCAATTCTCCGCATCGTCAGTTTCGACCTTTCAGACGTGAATGATCCCACTTATACGAGTATCGATCCATCAACTTGGTCCTCAGTTGAGCAGTCTCTTGGAATAATTTGTGCCTGTCTTCCTACTCTTCGACCTCTTATTCGACGGCTTCTCGGTTCTTCGGTGGCATCTTTGAGCAGTCCTGCTTCTGACTCCCAGATACGGTTGCCGGCGCCTGTTGACGAGGAGAGTGGTATCATGGGAACTACCCTGTCATCTGCACCGCATGCGCACATTCGCGCCACTTCAAACCAGCTATACATGTTCCAAACTGTCAACCAATCTTCAGAGTCCCGCCAGGGTGATATCTGTCCTATTTCTCGATTTTCTCAGACAAACGAGATGAGTAGCCCTGTTTCTGCGGCTGAATCATTTGCTTGAAAGCTGTTCTAGAGCGATATGCAGCTGTATAATATTTTTACTTGTACTGCATAAGATACCCAAGCTAAAAGTCTTCATCTATGATATTTCACTACCCTTTAGGCTTGTTTCAATATTAGAGCTTTTACTGTAACTAACTAGTTAGTTAGTTAGATCCAAATCTTACACCTGAAAAATGGGGCATCAACAGCCCCCTTCATAGTTAACTATGCATCATAATTTTGCTCAAACCATTTAATCGTTTATTAACGAAGTATGGCATGACTGGAACAATTTTGGTGAGCAATACATTCTTGAGGCTGAGGTACTGCACAGCAGTCCGAGGTTGCACACCGGCGAGCCTTGTCTGAGTGATCGACATGCGTCTGCCCAGTGACTCGCAACACAAATCTTCCTGCCTCGAAGAATTCCAGTCAGCATGGTCTGGAAATGTACACAACCACACTTGACATTCGTTTGCTCGCAACAACTCTTGTGGGATCTGCATTGGCAACCTCCCCAGAGCTAAATCTCTTTGCGCATGGCAACACAGGCCCATTGCTAGGAACATCTTTCGGCACTCCAGGCGCGAGCGCAACCTTCGACTATGTGATCGTGGGAGGAGGCAATTCCGGCCTCACAATTGCAAGCCGTTTAGCCGAGAACCAAACGGTGAGCGTGGCGGTGATCGAGGCGGGCGGCTTCTACGAAACAGACAATGGCAATTACTCCATTGTACCGGGGTATTCGAGCTATTACACGGGTTCAGACCCGATCGACTACCAACCACTCATCGACTGGGGTTTCAGTACACAGCCTCAGCCTGGATCAGGGGGCAGAGTCTTGCATTATGCCAGGGGCAAGACTCTGGGCGGTTCCTCTGCCAGGAACTACATGCTCTATCAACGGCCGACGGTTGACAGTATGCAGCGTTGGGCTGATGAGGTGGATGACCAGAGCTATACTTTTGAGAATTTGCTGCCCTACTACAAGAATTCAGTTCATTATACGCCTCCCAACGAGGACTTGTACAGCAACTCCAGCAACAGCCAGACCGCAGATGCGTTCAGTTCTCTTGGTGGGCCGCTTGAAGTCTCGTTTAGCAATCTCGTGAATGCTTTCGGGACATGGTGCCAGACTGCATTCATCAATCTCGGCATGAAACAGATTGATGGATTCAACAGCGGTCAACTGATTGGCTCTGCCTTTGCGACTTTCACTATCAACCCGCGGAATGCACATCGATCCAGTTCTGAGTCAAGCTTCCTCCAGAATGTGCTACGCAAAGGTGTGAGCCCTACTATATACAAAAACACCATAGCGCAAAAGATATTGTTTGATCGCACCAACAAGCGCGCAACCGGGGTCCAAGTATCGACTGCAGGTACCTTCGGCACTGAGTCCATCAATTTTACACTGCATGCTCGCAACGAGGTCATTCTTTCAGCCGGTGCTTTCCAATCCCCACAACTGTTGATGGTCTCCGGCATCGGATCCTGCAAGTACCTGCGCAACTTCAACATCCCATGCATCAAAGACCTTCCAGGGGTGGGTCAGAACATGCAAGACCATCCTATTTTCGGGATAGCACATCGCGTTAATGTCCTCACGGCCTCTGCCTCCGCCAACAATGCAACAGTGGCAGCTCTTGCGGTGCAAGAATACATCCAGAATGCCACAGGGGCATTATCAATCTTTGGGCCGGGTTATTACGGCTGGGAGAAACTGCCCAATCCATTCCGCTCAAACCTCAGTCGCGAATCTAGACACGCCTTGTCGAAGCTTCCATCTGACTGGCCGGAACTGGAATGGCTGCCTATCAGTGCATTCAATGGCTACAACCTCAACAAGGTGACAGCTGATCCGAAAGACGGTCATCAATATGCAACTATCAGTGGAGCGTTGATTGCACCTTTATCGCGTGGCTTTGTTCGGCTCGCTGGTCCGAGTATGGGCTTTCCGCCTGTCATTGATCCGCAGTGGCTTGTGGATCCAACCGATATGGACCTTGCTATTCAGATGTTCAAGCGGCAGCGGCAGATTTGGGCTGAGTTGGCTAAGTTGGGAGTTGCAGAGCATGAGGAGTACTTCCCTGGCTTTAATGTTTCCACTGATGCTCAGATCCGGGAGTACATCCAACAAAGTATGACCACTGTCTACCATGCGTCAGCAACTTGCAAGATGGGACGCCAGAATGACACGATGGCTGTGGTAGATAGTCATGCTCGAGTTTATGGTATGCAGGGCTTGAGGGTTGTCGATGCTAGCAGTTTCCCATTTCTGCCGCCTGGCCATCCCCAGTCTACCGTCTATGCTTTTGCCGAGAAGATTGCGGATGAGATCTTGAAGAGTGATTGGAGGAGATCAGACCAGGCTCTTCGTGATATGAGCTGACCATATGATTGGGAAACATGTAACTTACAAATCCACGCTGTCAAATGACACTTTGAAAAAAAAAATTGAACACTATAGAATACAATGCATACAGAGAACAGTCCAAATCCATCTATCTGTACAAATATGCCGCAGAGATATCAATGCATCACGGCAGGACAACCAATGGCCGCAATCAGGCCACATCTCAACGGCATTGTCCATACCTCAAACCACCGTCGGACACTGGTCCGGAATCACAAATTTTCGCCTGAGGGAACCTTCAAAACAACCAATTATGCACTCATGACCGGGGTCCAATAACTGAGCTGTCCTCTCCATCTTCCACAACAATGGCGCCCTCCTCCAACAACTCATCCGGAGTCTTAACCCGCACATCCATCACGCGCATGATAGTATAGCGGTGCTTGCTCTTAGCCTGCTTAACGTGCCTCTGTCTCCGCTTGGTCTTCTCCTTGATACGCAACGGCTCCGATTCGACACCCGTCACACGAACCCGGCACTCATAGATACGCTCATCGATATGAGGAGCGCCCTTCATTGTGAAATCGCGAGATCCAAGGGCGGAAGCACGGTTGAAGCGCAGGATATCGCCCGCCTTAACGTTAGGCATGAGGAAAGGCAACCGGAGGTGATCACCTTCCGTCAAGAGGTATGGTTTTGCGTGGAGTTGAGCGACCACGTAGTGCGGCTTCTGGCCGGCGAGGTGAGGGAGTTGTGACATGAGGGATTTCGTCACTTGGAGAGGGGCGGTGAAGTTGGGCGCGATGGGTTGTTTCTCAATGGGGAGGTGGGCGCGTGTTGTGGGCACGAACCGGGGCGCCTCCGCCTCGGCCTTGGGCTGGAAGTCTTGTGCACGAGGAGTGGCGCTGAGTGGTGATTCACGGTTCGGGGATGACGATTGGGTCCGGGTTTCTTGCGAGTTCATCCATGATGTTGTCTGGTGCAGGCATGCTCGTTGCTGAAGGGAAGCTGCGGATGAAATTGTGGATGGTGCAGTCCGGCGAAGGTCGGAGGCGAGGCTCCGTAGAGCTGAGCGAGAGAACATGTTGGCTGAACCCTTCCAATTACTCAATTGGAGCTCGGCGTGAAAGTGGTTCGCGGGAGTTGGAATTCGAGACGCTTTGTAGTTGGCCCCGTAACTAGAGAAATTGTCTACTTTGCGCAAATGGCCGCTTTGCCACCCGTATTTATGTCACGTGATTTATTAACTATTCCTCGCAGGAAGTTTTACTGCAGATAAAGAGGGAATTTTACATTGAAACTTTTGTCATAGTCATAGAATAGCCTAGGCCCTATGGTACACATATTTAATATATATTTAGCACATTTTACCAACTTTCCCTATGAAAATGTCCGAACATGAAGTTCAGGAATTAGATTTACTGATAAGCCAGTCACGTGGCCTGCTATCTCTGCCGCATCACAACTTTTTCGGTCTGCAGTAGATCTTCAAGGAAATAACTTCATCTCCCATCTCAGCAGATTCCCTCATTCTGCTTTTATCATGGTATGTTTTACGCTATTATATGTCGTATTCCTGGTCAATTACCGAGTTTACTAACCTTTTTCCCGCCAACAGCCTCAGAACGAGTTCGTTCCCCGCCAGCCACCGCCCGAATTCCCCCAACTGACATCTTCCCAGGTACATTGAGCGCTGGCAGAAGCAGCATGGTAAGCGTCTCGATCATGATGAGCGCATGCGCAAGCGCCAGGCTCGTGAGGGACACAAGCAGTCCCACGATGCCCAGAACCTGCGTGGCCTGCGGGCCAAGCTGTACCAGCAGCAGCGCCACAAGGAGAAGATTCAGATGAAGAAGCGCATCAAGGCCCAGGAGGAGAAGAACGTCAAGTCCGCCGCACCGGACGAGCCCTCCAAGACCCCTCTGCCCCAGTACCTGCTCGACCGGTCGCAGGAGACCAACGCCAAGGCCCTCTCCAGTGCTATCAAGGACAAGCGTAACGAGAAGGCTGCCAAGTTTGCCGTTCCCCTGCCCAAGGTCAAGGGTATCAGTGAGGAGGAGATGTTCAAGGTTGTCAACACCGGAAAGAAGACACACAAGAAGTCCTGGAAGCGTATGATCACCAAGCCTACTTTCGTTGGTAACGACTTCACTCGTCGCCCCGTCAAGTACGAGCGATTCATTCGTCCCATGGGTCTGCGTTACAAGAAGGCCAACGTTACGCAGTAAGTTTTACCAGCGGGGATTTCCATTGTCCCAGATCTTCTCCCGTATTGGATGTGGTATTAACTTTTTTTCTTTTTCAGTCCCGAGCTGGCTGTTACCGTTCAATTGCCCATCCTTTCCGTCAAGAAGAACCCCCAGAACCCTCTTTATACCCAACTGGGTGTCCTCACCAAGGGAACAATCATCGAGGTGAACGTTTCTGAGTTGGGTCTTGTTACCACCACCGGTAAGGTCGTCTGGGGTAAATGGGCCCAGGTTACCAACACTCCCGAGAACGACGGATGTGTCAATGCGTGAGTTTCCCTTTATTAGATCCGTTTATTGCAGCAGAAACTAACTTTAAATAGGGTTCTCCTTGTCTAAATCAACCACAAACACTTCCTCTTCATTTCCGATAGGCACCAGCCTGTCTCTGATACCTCCTTGCTCAGGCAGTTCTATATTTCCCTTTCTCGATACATACGATCGATCACGATCGTTCTATTCTTGGGCGGTGTTAATGGCGCAAAATCAAGTCCATTGATTTCAAACGAAAAGTATTCTGCATGTTTGGCTTCTGAATGGACATAGCTAGTTTCTAGATAGTCAGGCATATAACCATGATTTTATGAAGACACCAATCTATCTAATTTTCAAGTGCACGTTATCCCTGCGAAACCCAAGGTCAACGGCTAGCAAATCTACATGATTTGTAAGAGAGGTACACAAACTGATGAAGTGAAACTGGATATCCAAAAATTCAAGATAGGCAAAAGTGTTCAATTAGACATTTTAACCAAATAAGGGAGTTCAAACTCCAAGACCCTATGCTCTGGAACAGTATCCTAAGAGCAAAAGAGTTGATCAAATCATATACAGGGATGCAAATCCACACGCTGCGCTGAACCGAATATCATCAAAAAGAGAAAAAAAAATGCCCACAATGATGGAACGGTAAGGTCAGACAAAACCCCAAAGGCTGATGCAAGAGAAGAAGAGGCAATGCAAAGAAGAAACACAAGCAGAAAGATATCTCGCAAATAAACCAGGCAGACCAAGAGAAAAGTAAAACATCCAACACCGATCATTAAGTCGTTCTAACCAACAACGGAACAAGGTAAAGAGGCCAACACGGCAGTTAAGACAAAAGAAATGTGATAAAGGAGCGGAGGGGCTGTGGTTATGCGTTCTCTTCTTCGAGTGCTGCTTTGATTTTTGCAAAAAAAGCCTGCAGGCCATGCGGCCAGCTCTTCTTCCCTGGGCACGCCGCGGACTTTGCAGTGGTTGACGACATTGGCCAGAATACGGCCAAGCATATCTTGAGTGACAGGGACGGCACCTTCGAGTTGAGCATCGGGGTGCAGGAATGGATCGCGGGGACCGAGCATTTCCTCGATGGTTGGTCGGAGAGTTTGATCACGCTGTAGGCAGCGCTTGAGGGTTCTGACAAGGCCAGGGGGCACTGGAACGCCGCCAACACCAAAGGCCGGGAAATCGATTTGTACACGGGGGTTGGGGATAGCCATGATGCGCTCGTAATATTTGGCGATCTTGGCGAATGGAGGCTGTCCGTAGACCATTTTGTACAGGATACAACCAAGACTCCAAACATCGCTGGGTTTGCCCAGCTTCATCATTTTGCCAACGCTTGCTGGCAGGCCGAGTGATGCATTGGAGTCGACCAAGGCTTCAGGGGACATATAGTTGGGTGTGCCAACTTGTTGCTCGCGGTGAACATTGACGGTGTTGTCTTGAATTGCATTGGCAATTCCAAAATCGATAAGCTTTAACCGGCCTTGAACCATTAGGAAGTTGGCAGGTTTCAGATCTGAATGGACGATGTTGAACTCGTGGACAGCCTGGACACATTCAAGCATCTCCTTCCAATAAAAGCGGGTGAAGTTGATATCGAAAACAGCATCTTCGGCATTCAAGCGATATGTAAGAATTTTTTCAAGATCAGACTCTCCAATCTCCATCAGCACACTTAGAGCGTGTTTGTCATTGTTGAGTTCCCAATCAAAGAGCCGCACCACACGTTCCACATTCTCCAACTTCTTCAGCAAGTCAATTTCACCCTTGTATCCAGTCAAAGTGACAGGGTCAACATCTTCAAGATTCACTCGCTTGAGCGCGAAAATCTTGTAGTTTTCCGCCATCACTCGGTAAACGCGGGAGCTACCACCTCGGCCAATGCAATCTAGTCGAGTGAAATGCTTGCCGTTAATTGAGACCTGCGTCTTCTTCTTTCGGGATTGGGAGGTCGATGCACCTCCCGTTGACGTGGCAGTTTCAAGAACTGACATTTTGGGAGGAGGAGGGGCGGCTCTGTGAGGGGTGTTGTTGCTTCGTGTGGCCAGTATCTTTCGTGCAGAGGTACCTGCTGGCGTGTCGGCGGCATCTTTCTTCTCGGTATCATAAACAACATTGTACTTGTCGGGCTTGTCCAAGACATTCAAGCCCTGAGGCTTTGTTCGCCGGAAAGTTGGCGGTGGTTCGTTTTCCTGGTCACGGACTGATGGCAGATGGGGCATTGACGGAACCTTGAAGGCAGGTTGTTCCTTGGCGCCTGAGGATTTGGATGACAATTCTGATGAAGCGGGCGTCGACTTTGATCCATACGATTTTGGTGACGATGATCTTGAAAATGGGCCCTCAACCGCAGCCGGGCGAAGGGGGTATTCAGCGCGGTGCCCTTCGCGCGAATGAGGGGGGCTGGGGTCAGCCCATGATACCTTTGGGGAGGATGGTTTAGTTGGGTTGCGAGGTCGGTATTCGGCATTTTCCTCTGCTTCCACATCCTCCCTGACACCATCGGCCGAGAGGTATTGGTGGTCCTCGTCGTTGTTCTCCTCACTCTGTCGACGCAGAACACCCCTCCGGGCGGGTCCTGTCAAGAAGCTACCAGCCAGTCGGCCGACTCTCTTGACACGCAGTGAGCTTTGGGGGCCAGGTTCCTCGCCACCGCGGCCGCGGAGTACCGAGGAAGTCCCGAGACGTGTCATGGGATCATCTTCATTTTGTGATTTGCGGTCACTGTCTGAGCGCTCGGCACTACCATACTCATCACTCGAGTTACGTTCCGCTGAACGTCTCCCTGAAGGCGAGATTGAAGAAGGAGACCGTGGGTGGCTGCGAGAAACATTGATTCGAACACTGCGTTGGCGTGGGGCGGGAGTAATAAAATCATTGGGGTGGTGGTGAGGTTCCGACTCTGCACTCTGGCTGTTGGACAACGGGGAGCCTTCGCGTGAATGCCTGGAACCAGATGAAAGCGCTCCAATACGGACAACTCTGGGGGCCGGACTACCTGTCGAACGGTCGTGGGGAGAGGAGTTGCGAGGAGATTGGCTTTGTTGACGTGACGTCGCAACTCGCGATTGGTGCGACAACGGTTGTACCTTCTGCAGATGAGGCGACGACTCTAATCCATCACCATGCAAAAGTGCCTTGACAGACGCGCTAAATTTTGGCTCAGGAACCTCTTCGTCTGAGCTGTCGCCGGCGGAGTAATGCCTTGATAGAGAGCCGTTGTTTTGAACTGCGGGTGATACCCGTCTGGATCCCGAGCGTGAAACCGCAGTTCGGGACATCGGTCGGGAAGGCTGTCCGTATTCGCTGTTGTATACGGATGGGAGGGAATTCGGGGACGCCATGGCGACGATACCTACATTGAAGTCGTGAATCAATGCAGCCCCTCCAAGTTTGTCGACTGTTTGTTGTTCTTGTAGGGAACGGCCTATCTCGAGGTTTCGCGAGTGCCGCGCTATACGGTCACGTGTTTGATGTTGCTATGGCGACGCTGGTACAACAACATGCCATAGAATCTGAAAAACAGTAATTGGGGCGTATGTCGAGGAGAATGAATGTATCGAGTCATATGTTAACTGAACCAGCTTGTTATCAGATCAATAAAATGGATCACTCTCGCTAGATCGACCCCTGTTTTGCCATTACAGTGTAGATCTATCAACCAGACCTGTGTATGTATCATGGATTGTTTTGATTCACTCGGTCTCCCATGCCCATTTCCAAGTGATAGGGTAGAGTGCCACTTGAAGCATTCGAATTGACACATTTCTCGGCATTCTGTCTAATTGATACTCCATAAGCCAGCACTGGCCCATTGAGGTTAATTAAACTGCCGAGCGCTTAGGGCCCCGCAATGACGCTCGAGTAGCTAGCGCCTAATGAGTAGTTTGAATTGAGGCTGACAGACATGATCAGTGCCCATTTGTCTTTTCCTTGTGGTGAAGTTAGCCTCGGCTTGCTATGCCAACATGCACAATCAAGGAGAGATCATCAGCTAGCATGTACCTATATTGACACCCCAAAATGCAAACTGTAATTAATCTTCAATTTGGATCTTAAGTTCTTCTTTACTTGCGAAGCTGAGCTGTGTTAGAAGAGAAAGGAATTGATCCAAAACTATGTTGTTCTTCTCAGTTTGGAAGTGGTTATTCATATATATATAGAGTGGCTATTGAGGATATCCATTCATAAATATATATGTTATGGTGTAACCCAGCAGGTAGCGCAAGGTGACACTTCAGAATAGAATAATCTAAATTCCATTATACAAGAACGTAATTATTTCATTCAACACGTTTTTTTCCATCAGTTCTTAGTTTAATGTTAGTCGTTTGTCCTTCTGTACTGTGGTCAAAGCTTCGTTACCGCCTTAGGCAATATTCCGGAAGACGCGAAAGACCAAGAGTGCGGCTCGGCGACGGGATGTATTTGGAGTTCAAGTATCTTTCTTTTTCACCTCCATCTCTCGCGAAATGGCCTCAAGTGTCGATGCCAAGCTGCTGAAGCAGACCAAGTTCCCTCCCGAGTTCAATCGGAAGGTGGACATGACGAAAGTGAACGTCGAGGTTATGAAGAAGTGAGCAAACTTCCCCGGCTTTTCGACCTTGAACCCCCGGACTGACAGATCTCCCTAGATGGATCGCCAAACGCATATCTGAGATTTTAGGCAACGAGGATGACGTTGTTATTGAGATGTGCTTTGGGCACTTGGAGGGACCACGCTATGTATGGCCATCGGACAACTATCGTCTTGCAGCTTGCTGACTTTGCTCTACGCCTAGCCCGATATCAAATCCCTCCAGATCCAACTAACTGGATTTCTCGATAAAGATACCCCCAAATTTTGCCAGGAGCTATGGTCATTGTGTCTGAGCGGCCAAGAAAACCCACAGGGTGTTCCGAAAGAGCTTCTGGAAGCTAAGAAGCTCGAGCTCATACAGGAAAAGGTACACCCCAACCCTATCTATATCCTGGATTTTTCTAACCGGACCTCGACCTAGCTTGAGGCCGAGAAAGCTGCTGAAGCGTCACGCCGACAGAAGGAACAGGAGCAAACACGTGAACGCGATATTGACAACATCAGACGCCAAGAGCGTTCGGATCGTGGAAGAGCAGGGGGAAGAGGCGGTGGCCGTGGAGGTCGAGATTTTGACAGGCGATCTCCCCCTCCCAGAGACCGGGACCATGGTCGATACCGTGAAGCTGGGCCCCGGCGTGACTTTGACTCGTACGTTCCGCCTGATAACCGCCGAGGTCGTCGGCCATCTGGGACCTCTGCGCAATCTCGCTCTCGATCCCCGCAGCAATCACCCGCCCGCCGCGACCGCGATGCGCCGCGCCAACGACACCGTGAACGCCGTCGCCGCTCCCCAAGCAATTCAACCTCCCCGGATCGACGCAGACGTGGAGGACCGCGAAGGCGCAGTCCGGACTACGGTGACCGTGCTAGATCCATTACCCGCAGTCATGCATCCCGCTCACGTTCTCCCAGAGGAGACCGCCGCAGACGAGACGCCTCTCGCTCCAGATCTCCCTCTCGCTCCCGCCGTTCAGGAAGATCCAACAGGACCCGCGACCGCGACCCTCGACGCCTGAGCCGCAGTCACAGCCGCAGTCGTAGTCACAGCCGTGACCGTCGCCGTGATACTCGCAGGCGTCGCAGTCCCAGTGATAGCCGGAGCCGGAGCCGAAGCCCGAGGAAGGACACGAAGCGTCGACGCTCAATGGATAGATACAATCCTACGGAAAGGAGCCAGCGTAGCAAATCTCCTGTATCCTCACCCGATGAGAAACGACGCAAGAAGGCTGATGAAGATGAGGAATATTCCAGACGACCTTCCAAAGCAGATGATCAAGATATGAAAGATGCTGATGAGGTTGGTCATTGAACGTTGGTCATTGAACGTCCAAATCCGCCCTCAATCTACACCTCTCTCGAGACACATTGATATCTTGTCTGATGTTTGTTTCCCAATTCTACCCCGAACACTTGTTACCTCCTTTTCGACTTGACTTTTTCAAAACTAATACATAATTGCTCATCTAGAAACCCGAAAAACCAATCTCCAAGCGGTTATCTTCAACGGAATTTCGAGAGAAATTACTCCGTGAGAAAATCCTCGCTATGCGTCGTTCTAGCGACAAGGTGAGCAGCTCACCGAAGACGGACAAGCAGTGAAAACATCCAAATCATTGACAGAGGGCTTCTCAATACGTTTGAAAACAAGTGAAACGAGTTCATTTAGCGCCGTACAATTAGCAATTGCATGTAGGAAGATTTTGTGAAATTTCGTCTTTCCAGAAAATTAGCAGTAAACGAACTTTTTGCATGATTCAATACATCTAGTAGAATTCACCTCTATAAAACAAGCAAGTAACCAAATATCAATACATGAAAGGAATGTACTCCATTAAAGGGAAAGAAGGTATATGCCAAGTCATCAAAATATATGCCAAGGGAACTTCATCCGTACCATTATCCAAGCCTCCTCTCAGCAAAACCACACATACAAGAATGATCAGGTTTGAACCTCCACAAGCAGATTAGAATTATAATAAGATATCTACAGATAGGACAGAGGCAAGGACGACAGATTCCCAAGGGGGCGAGATGTGCGCGGAGTCCATGAGACCACCCGGCCAACCACTCCCCAAGGGGGCGAAGGTCATCTTGTCATGAAAGACAGAGAAACGTAAACAAAAAGTTAAGGAAATTCTTTCTCAGTGGGTATGATTTGAGAAACAAGTGTACTGTTCCGTTTACTCGTCGCAGCCACAAACGGTGGCGGTGACGGTAGCGGTAACGGTAGTGACGGAAGAGGCCACGGCCGGGGCGGTAATGGTAGGGACGCTGCCAGAGCCAGTCTCGCAAGGAACAGTGGCGGAGATGGTGGTCTCCTTGGTCTGGGTGTAAGCCCAGCTCTCGGTCCATGAGCCGCCGGTGGCAGCGGGTCCGCTGGGGACGACGGCAGTGCCGGTAGGGCTGACGTCGGAGTTGGAGGGAGCGGGGCCGGAAGCACCACCGGAGGGAACGGGCATGCCGGGGATGACGGTGCTGGAGATCTCTCCGCTGGTCAGGGTGTCACAGGGGGTGGTGGTCTCGCCAGCACCGGGGGCAACAGGGGTACCGCTGGGACCGGAGGCAGCAGGGCCGCTGGGGACAGGAGTGCCGGTAGGGCTGACGTCGGAGTTGGAGGGAGCGGGGCCGGAAGCACCACCGGAGGGAGCGGGCATGCCGGGGATGACGGTGCTGGAGATCTCTTCGCTGGTCAGGGTGTCACAGGGGGTGGTGCTCTCACCGGCACCGGGGGCAACGGGAGTGCCGGTAGGGCTGACACCAGAGGGAGAAGGACCGGAGGCACCATCGGTAGGGGCAGGACCAGAGGGAGCGGGACCAGAGGCACCACCGGAGGGAGCGGGCATACCGGGAATCACAGTGCTGGAAACGTCAACGCCGGTGAGGGTCTCACAGGGGGTGGTCTCAGGGCCGGAAGGGGAAGAGCCGCTGGGAGCAGGGCCGCCGGGGACGGAGCCAGAGGGAGCAGGGCCCGAGGGAGAAGATCCAGAAGGAGCAGGGCCGCTGGGGACGGAGCCAGAAGGCGAGGAACCACCGGGGATCACAGTGCTGGAAACATCAACGCCGGTGAGAGTGTCACAGGGGGTGGTTTCAGGACCGGAAGGAGAAGAGCCACTGGGAGCAGGGCCGGCAGGGACAGAGACAGAGACGCTAGCGCCGGGGCCGCTGGGGACGGAACCAGTTGGGCTGACACCAGAGGGAGCAGAGCCGGAAGCACCACCGGAGGGAGAAGATCCGGAGGGAGCAGGGCCACTAGGGATGGAGACAGAGACGCTGGCGCCGGGGGCGGAGGGGACACCAGTGCTGGAAACGTACGGGGTGCTGGAAGGCAGGCTGGGGACCGAAGACGACTTGATGCCGGATGGAGCACCGGGAATGGAGCAACCAGTGAACCACTCGATGATGATGAGCTGGATGTTGACGTCAATCTCAAGGCCAGTGCAACCACCGAGGAAGGCAGCGAGCTCAGCGCGAGCAGACAGGGAGATAGACTCGAGGCTGCCACCGGAAAGGATGACGGAGAGGGCAGCACGGAGGTCGACGCTGAGGCTGGAGAGGAGCTCGGTGAGGAGACCAGTCACATCAGATAGGACACCGCTGACGAGGTCAACGGAGACGGAGGCATCAACACCGAAGGACAGCCAGAAGAGAACGACGGCCTTGAGTTCGACACCGAGCGAGCAGTCGGAGCCGGAGAGCCAGATAGCGAGCTTGGTACGAATGTCGAGATCAACAGCAGTGGCGAGCTTGCCCTTAGCACAGGCCTCGAGAGCGAGCTGGACATCGGCACTGAGGTCGGCAGAGACGTCGGCACCGAGGAAGGCAGCGAGGGAGGCCTGGCCTCCAACGGAGAGAATACCGGACTCCTCGACGTGAACGCCGACGGAAGCACCGACAGAGATGGTAGAGAGAGCAGCCTCACCAAGGGCACCGATCTCAACGAGACCGTGGCCATGGTGGCCGTTGATCCAGGCCAGAACGGAGACCTTGAGCTCAGCGCTGAGATCACAGTTGGAACCGTTGATCCAGGCGAGGAGGCTAGCCTTGACATCAGCAGTCAGACTAGTGACAACGCCACCAGCAGCGCAGGCATTGAGACCGGCCTTGACGTCAACATCAAGGCCAACAGCGGCCTCAATCCAAGCAGAAAGAGAGGACTGCAGGGACGCACTCAGGACGAGAGCAGACTCGAGGGAGGAGGCACCGAAGATACCATCAATGGTAACGTAGAGCTGACCCTTGGCGGCGATATCGGCGCACGATGGGATGTACACGGCAAGAGCAGCCAAGACATCAGCGGAGAGGACGAGCTCATCGTCACCCTCACACCAGGAGATCAGGGAAGTTTTCAAAGAAGCCTCGAGGTTGGCGTGGAGGTGCAGCCAGACCTTCAGGGCAGCACGGGCCTCGGCGTGAATGACACCAGCCTTGCAACCCAAGGCACCACCCTGAAGAGCGGCAGCACCCTCGGCTCCGAGACCAGCAAGGAGGGAAGAAGAGTGGCTGTGGTGTCCGCCACCGAGGACAGCACCTAGAATGGATGTCACGTCGACGGTGAGATCGGAAACACCGCCGAGGATCTCAGCGAGGAGACCGAAAGTACGGCGCTCAACGGCCATATCGGTAGGGTAAGCGAGAGCCGAGCCCGCCAGACCGGCGAGCAGAACGAGAGAGGAACGCATGTTTAAGAGTTCGAATGTGTCGAAATGTGTGATAACGAGTGTATAGGCCAAACGCTTGCAATATAGAAGGATATAAAGCGAAAGACCGGAAATGGACGGGACAAGCCGTCAGATTAACGATAGACTGGGTAAAAGAAAGGCGCAAAAGGAAAAAGAAACAGTGATGAATATCCAAGAACAAAACGAGTGATCGACCTTAGGTTTTATACCCCCTGGTCCCTCGATGCCTGCGCCGGGACACTCCCGGCTCGATTCAGCCACCGGGTCGGAATAGAAGCATACTGGCTCTACCCCGGCCTTGATGTCCACAATTGGAGTTATCTACCCCTTAGGCTTCAGGGATGTCGAGAAATGGAGACCTGGATCTTTCACGGCCGGGTGGATCTTGCTAGAGGCCAGTGAGAAGTCAACAACAGATTGATTACAGCATAGGTGGATCACTTCTTGGGCGTGCTATTCTTGGGTATGGAGTCAGTGTATCAGGTTATTTTATTAAATCTTGTATTTTGACTGTACCATCCTACTTTGAGAAGAGTTGAGAATGGCGGACCCATTTGGTAGTCCATTGAGCCTAAGTGGATATCTTCTCTCAGAATTGAGCATCAATTCGCCTAAAAGACAAAGAAAAGTGCCTTCCTAAAGCAAACACACCACGGGCAAGTGACATGATGCCAAGTCGAAAAGGGCAAAGACGACTGCACATCACTAGGCCATGCGTTGATCGCCTCGAGGCCGGAAAAGATCGTCCGGACCCGCCAACGGCGTATTGTTTCAAAATAGACAAATCTATTTTTCCACATTTTTAGCAATTAATGTTCCCTTTCCCCTTGAGAATACACTACTTCCAATGGGGTTGGAGTCGAGTCTGAACAGAAACTAAAGTACATACTTAGGTATAACCCAGGAACGTCTGCAGGGGTAAGTATATGCGATTTGGAGTGCCCCGTTACGAATCCACCCATGATCCACAGCCGCGGGGAATTAGACCAGGAACAACTGCAGGCTCTTGACCCTATTAGGCAAAGATAGACAGGTCGGATTTGGCTTCGCAGTCAGACAGATCTGTCAAATCAAGACTCGGCTCCCCTGCTGCACCACAAATCCAATGGCTCTAACCCGCCAGCCACTGACTAAATTTTGGTCTTGCTGATTGTGGATGTACTAACTGACTAGCGGAAGAACGAAAAACAACATTCGGGTTTATATCTACAATCGTATAAGTTAATATCTTAAGGTCCACGGTCGCCCATGGTTCAGCAATAATGTGAAGAGACACGGTTACGGACAATGCAAATACATACTCAATGTTATCAAATCACAGACAACAATATACCCGTCTGGTCTCCACCGTGGGGTGAAAGTTATGGGGAGCAAAACAAGGACAAGCAACATCTAGACCCTCGAGGTAGAGCTGCCTGCACTAGCAGTAGAGCAGTCTGCACTAGCAGACGCCACCGGGTCAGAATTGTAACGACGGTGAAAGTGTATTAAGCACAATTCAGCATAGCGAGACTCCACTTCGGGCGTGGTGCGGTGATCCATAAGCACAAATAAGAATAAATTGTATTGAATTTTCAAGTGGGAACTATTATTCAGACGCCCTAAAAAAGCGTCCCTGGACTAGCGTGACATAGTGGCGAATGGTGTGTTTCGGTAGAAAGCCCTAAGGGGGACCCACCAACCTCGACATAAGGACTTAAACGAAGGTACGGAAAGGTCGGAAGGATTTCACTGCCTACTCCGTACATGTACATAGCGCCTCAAGCTTCCTTCGTCGTACGATCCACTAACTACCATCTTCAAACCACGCTAACCAGTGCCTCTTCCCCCCATTCTCTGGCACCGGTTCGTTTAGCCAGTAGAACTCCAATCTTGACGCGATCGAGGTTTCATCTCGGGTGATCAACCTCGGAAGCCAAAGTAGGGCACATGCACAGGTTGTAACAGGCACCCGATCAGGTTGAGTATGGTCTAGTATGGATTGGGCATGTCTCACTCCACGCGAACAATTTTCACGAGCCAACCCACGTCGCAGTGCATATGGGAATGCTCGCAACTGGCAAAATCATCTTCCCCCTGTGCCAAATTGCCTCTCGGCTGGTTTTTAACAGGTCGAAAAGGAAATAGTGGGACACTTGCAGCATGCATTTGCTCTCTTAGCTGCAGGTGGCCGGGTTCTGCTGGAAGGATTTACCCCTGCACATGTTTTTATTGCGATCGATCAAGTGCAGGAGTCACATTGTGAACGGCTTTCTCGGAGATATATCATTGCAAAAGAAAACACAACAAAAGAAAAAAAAAAAAAAAAAGGCAAGACAACACATTCGCATCACTTTCCTGGCCAAAAGTCCGAAAACTGCCTGGTAAAATCTCTGCCTTGGAATTTGAGGAGCCGTTCATCCCTGAGCCCTCAACTAAAGCTTTCCCCCTTCTATTGAACAATAATACCAGCGCCACTGTCTCAATTTAGTCAATATAGAATTGAAATAGTGCGAAGAGAATCATAGAACATGTGCTCCGAGCACAATTCACAAGGTTCGGCTAGTGCAACGCGTATATCCTTGGCTGCAATAGTATTCTCCTTTTCGGAACCCTCGCCGACAGAGTTCCTCGCCCTATGGCTTTATGTTCTGCTTTAGCGTTAGCTTACCACAAAAAGAGCCTAAAAATAACAATAGCTTCGTTTCGAATGTCGAAACGTAGGGAAAAAGCTTAAAATTGAGCTACGTTCTCACTGGATCTCTCACGTGGATGTGTTCCATTCCTCGGGGCTTCGGCCTTGTTTCATGTTTATTGCCCAGCGAAAAACAAGAAAAAATTGAGCAAGTGAACTTTGAGCCCCTCCGTCCAGCCCCAGGGTTCGCACTCTGCTTGAAACGCTGCTATTTTTGACGACAGACTAATCAATCAGAGAACTGGTGGACTTCACCAAAAGCCGATGAAGACAATGCGCTCATACTAACAATGTGCGCCTGTCTTCCTCCTGTTCACGGATCGATCTGGGGCCATGGAAAGACAACTCGAAACAATGGCCCCAATTATTAGCGTGAAACACCCGCTTTCGAGATCAGCAGTTCAAGAATAATCGAGCTAGAGAACTTACCGGGGAAAATATTTTCCAATACTACCCTGAAAATAATGCCCTCATACAGCCGACCGGAGCCCTGCTTTCCATGAATAATACATTCAGAGCAGGATACAACAGCAAGATAGATGCAGGTGGGCTCAAGTGTTTACATGAAACAGTTGTCTTTGAAACTAGCGACGTCGATATTGTGCCACCAAGGTACATAGCGACAAAAGTGAGAAAAAGAGAAAAAAACGAAAAAAGAAAAAGGATGCTTGAGGCACTTTTCGAAAGGAGACATCAGAATCATTGAGTAACTAAGTAAGTTGAGCACTCGTGTGAAAATGAACAGTGACAGATCCCTGCTTTGCAAAGCAAAACTCGATCAAAACATGATGATGCATCCAAAGAAAACGCCCAAATGCTAACATAGTACACCCTCTGACGCCATGAGCAATTTTGAGAAACATTGACATCGATATACAGTAGAAATGAACCGGCCTCTTTCTTAAGCATCTGACTAGATCTCCATCCATGAGCACGACGGCTCCATATTCAGCAATTTATGACATCAATCTGCAGGTGCTCAGATATGTCCTCTACAGTACCTTCCATAACTACCACGGAATGCGCAGTCGTGTATCCACTATGAAGCAACAAGAAAGTCAAAACATGTCATGCTACAGGAGAACATGGACAGGCTCTTTCAACGACAGAATGATTCCCTTGAGGTGCCGATGTTCGTGTTCCAGTTCTATAAGTTCCAGGATAGATTCCGTGAGCTGATTCTTCAAGATATAGGACTAATACTTAGAGAGCTCCCTGCATTTCTTCTGAAGAATAACTTCTCGTTTAATGATTTTCCGGAGTATGATTTTCTGTTGGATTATCGAACGCGACCAGTCCAGAATGGGACCAAGTCCCTCTTCTTCTGAGTCATGTCCCTTGCGTTGGAGTATCTCAATGAGTGCTAACCTACCAATATTTGTGAGCTGCTTTTCGGTCCATAATAGTAGTAGAGTCCAGAGTTTGCGGATCGACATATCGTTGTTAGTAGATTGAGATGTTGCGTGGCTTGTGAGATTGTCTTTTTTACTTGGGCGGATATTTGAGTCACAATTTGGATTTGGGTTAGGATAAATCATCTCACTTCGAGTTTCCCTGTTGATCTCACTAGAACATACATGTTTGGATGCGTAAAGAGTTTAAACCAGGTGGTTGATGGCGGGCTAGTCCGGCTTGGGACCTTGCGCTTATACAACCATGGAACTCTGAACTTTGTATTGTTGAATATAGATCGCCCTACGCAGATTAGTATGAGATGACTGCTGGTGAGATGTTTCTTGTCAAAAAAAATATGAAGAAAACTTGTAATGGAAAGTTAGTGGTGGTGTAACTGCTTCATTTGTATGGGGCTATACTGATATATATCTATGGTCTGTGTGCGTCCCCCACGAGAGCGACTTGACTTTTTTGTCTCATTGTATTCTAAAATTACTCTCAAAACTCATATGGGTCTGGCAACGACCAATTTTAATTTTCTATTTACCCCGAATCAATCTGCAGCTGCTCTGCGAAATAAGACTGAGCATCCCGTCACAGAAACCTAGTTGGTGAGATCAGCCCTCAACATCAGCCAGCCTACTCCTAATCCAAGCAGCAAACGGTTTGAACAGATACGACTTTCTATGTGCTGGCCGATCACAAAATTCGAGAAGAGCTTTATACCGATCGGAAGCAGATGCAGAAGTGGCGTGGAGAACCTTAGCCAGATCGACGGGACAGAGGTAAGGCGGCTGCCTAGCATCCTCAGCAATAGACGCAGTGCCTTGCATTGCGCATGCATAATATACACAATGGTCTATACCAAAGCAATGACCCAGCTCATGGCTTGCTGTCCGGCACACCCGGCCTAGCCAGAGGTCATTAAGCGGTCGAGGAAGGAGCTCTTCGAACGGTTTGGCTTGCTGCAGAGTGCAATAGGCAGATATGGCTTCCTTTATTGGTCCATACGGTGCTGAATTTGGTTTATGCGACGCTTTGGCACTTGTCCGAGCCTTTTTCGGTGGTGGCTTGCCGTCTGATTCTTCCTCGGTGTAGGTGTTCATGTATTTTTCACAATGGGACGCAGGCCAGGGATGAACACGCTCAATGTTATGATCGTAGTTGTAGTCTAATAGGGGGTTGTATCTTGCAGTAGATACCACCGCAACTCGACTCCCTCCGTATGCACGACCACAGACGAAGTCGTCTTCGTCGTCTTCGTAGAGATCGAAATCGACAAGGAGAAGCAGGGCGTATGCATCTTTGGGTAGCACGGTAATGGCGGCGTCGAGCAGATCATCCAAGTTGAGCTGGCCGGCGTAGTCTCCTTCTGGTCTTTCGCGTATACGAATTCGCACAATCTCACCACCCCCAAGATCCAGACCCACGTACTTGGAGGTTTTCTGCTTCCGGGATGACTTTTTGTTTTCATCCCATTTCGTAAAACGCATATTATGTGACGGTGCCATACTAACAGGCAAGCCATGATAGAAAGCAGCCAGATAGCCCTGTACGACGAGTGGACTCGGTGGCTGATACTGTTCATTCACAGTTTCGAGACGCTTTTGTGGTCTCCATTCTCGGAGAAACTCAACACCATCATAGATTTCTGGAATCGAACAAAGATAAATTTTGTTCTGTTTGGGAGTCACCGGATTGCGGTCTTCATCGTCAACCCATTCTTGGAAGCTCTGCGCAGGGTAATCTGGATCCTCGGATAGATCATCCCCCGGAAGGAGTAAAGGAGCAGGGAATGCTCGATCATCTTCTTGGAGAAATTTTTCATTTGGATCATCAGAGACTTTGTTTTGTGATTTCGTGGCGGCGACACGTTGTCGTTTGGTTAGTCCTTTAAAACCTGCCACCGTCGCATGTGGGGAGGACGAAAAGCAGAGAGACGAATGGTCACATGCTGTGATCGGGGTTCTGGACATTTTGACTCAATTCAACAGCGATCTTCTTGAGCAGCGCGACAATAAAAGTGAAGGAAAGGGGATGCCGACAACATGCGGCTCTTCTGTGCACGAGCCCCGTGAAACCGGATTCGCGACATCACCTTAACGGCATTTCCTCGAGCAAACAATAAGTTGTAATCTGTAATTATACATAAAATCAATCTCTGAAATGTCTGAGAGCCCACAACGATGCCTACAAACAAGTCAAATCTCCTAATAATATCATTTCTGTCAGCGGCCCCTCGGCTACCCCGTAAACGTAGGCTGTATTGGATAAATTCGATCATCCGGTATCGTCGCTTTGAGCGAGCCAAGCGAAGTTTTGTTTGGCTAAATAGTTCCTATTAGGCAAGTATTGATGCATACAGTCAATGTCGCTCCGATATCTCCAGTACATTTCGCTGTGAATCCGCCCCCAATTACCCCACTACGATCAACCCGCCCTGGAATGAGCGAGGTGTTCTCTTAAAATACTCTTTCTAAATATACTCGCCCAAGGCAACAACCCATCTTATTTGATATTTAAATTCCAAGAACCCCCATTCAGCCCCATGGTCACGTGGTGTCGCCATATTTGGATGGTCGGATGGTCTATAACTTTCTTACCCCAGCAACTACGTGTCAACCTAGTGAGCTGGACCTACCTTGAATTGTGATAGCTTCCGTCGCAAATACTTCCACCGACTGTCTTCTCTGGAAGACAAAGCTTCAAGGGCGTCGGAGGCTTCATTACGCGACTTCCCAGGATTATCTCTGGTGCAACTAACTCACCATGGACGTGACCTCAACAGCCAAACAAAACGACAGTGCATTTTTGGTGAAACTCCCTGTGGAGATTCGATATCAAATCTATGAACTCATATTCGGAGACAAGGTAATAGCATTTATGCTCAGCGGAGGCCCAAAGTTACGACACTGTGTTTGTCCTTCCAAAGGCCGCAAATATCACTTTTTATCATACAAAATCCAAGACGGCTCGTGGTGTGAATGTGTAACACATGACAAAGATCCAACAAGCCGGAAACGGCTTCCAATTCTCTTGACTTGTCGCCAGATGTATGTTCTCATTTCTGCTTGATTTCTAATTCTATATACTCACAGGATCTACACAGTTATTCCGAATCTGTGGATATCCTATGGTCTCACAGTAGTATTCATCTCCAAATCATGGACTCATCGGATTTTCGGATTCTTTCAGATATTAGATCTGCCATACCGCCTCGGAGCTTCCACGCGATTCGATCGCTTGAAATCTCGTTCTTACATGCATGCCTCGATCGTCGGATTCAAATCCTCGATGAGGAGTGGTTTGATCAATGGACAGGCTTGTGGGATGTGATAAAATGTATGAAGGGGCTTTTGCATGTCCAAGCCTGGGTAAAGATGGACCAAGAGTCAGGGAATATGATGACTGCCGACCAGGAGGCAAGGCTATTCACGCCACTCATGGAACTTGGTTGGATACAAGATTTCAAAGTCGAGGGAACATGGCCGGGAATTGGAGGTTCTGAAAGCTTGCTTCCCGGTGCGCCATTTCAGGTAACGAGGAATGACGATCCTATACCTGAAAAACCCGAGCTGGTGATGGAAACCGTGACCTGTTCTATGCCTGTCACTTGTATTGATTGACTTGAATAATTTCTGTGTTTTCGTTAAGGCTACGGGCTTTCAAGCAATTCCAAAAGAGGATAACAGGATTGCCAATAGAAGAGGCGCTTATTTTTCCTGAAGCTGTTAGACGGCGATGACTGGAATACTTTTACAGCAATCATTGGCACACTAGGAATTCCCATATGATAGACAGCTCCAATCTTGCCATTTAATTGCCGGTTGGGTGAAATAAACAGAATCACAATCTTAACAAAATCCTTGACTTGAACCAAATATCAACCATCACGCATTCCAAGGCTTCATAACCAATTGTTCAGCTCGCTTTGTCGCCTTGTTGATCTTCTGAGCACCCCCCTCCTTGGTAAATTTGAACCCGCGGACCTTGATCATATCCACGCCTGGAAACCATTAGTAAACAGTCTAAGAATGAAAATAGAACTAGGCTCACCTGTGGCGAATAACGAATATGAATCCGCATTCATGCACCCTACTTCCCTATTCCCTACAGCGGTGCAGTCAGTCCACTTATAAGCATGATCCAAGGTGGATCCCGCATAGTCCGGCAATGCATGTGTAAACTAATATAACTCAGTTAGCAAATACAAGTTTGCCCATGGCTCAAACCCGTCCAAAGGAGAGCAGGGGCTAGGGGTTCTGACCTCGTGTAATAGAACAACGTCGAGCCGACTAGCAAATACATTTGCCTTAGGCTCACTGTTAGAGAAAGCCCGAGTAGGATCATAGCTTGGCTTGCCCGTGCGATCAGGAAGGTTATCGAGGGTTGTAAAAGGTGAGTGGCCAAGGACAGCAAGATACCAAGGGCAGATTTGAATATCGTTGTGAAGTATCTTCTTATCCGTCAACCTTTCAGTTTTGCTCCTGTAGGCCACTGTGTCGCCAGTCTTGCAACCTTTATACTCTTTGCTCAAACCCGAGACTGTTTTTCTCTCCTTGTCAAAGAGGGCTGGCTCGTCCTTTCCATCTTTCGTCTTCCTCGTTGTCTCTTCATATCGGGAAAGGTCACAGTAGATGGTCTAGGTTTGTGAGCTGGAGCTTCTTCTCGGTTTGGAGCTTCTGGAAATAGCTTACTGGTTGCATCACACCATCCGCGTCGGCTTTGTTGAGTGTTCCGAACTCTTGCACGTTGTGATAGACCACTGTGTGATAGAGGATTAGGTCAATGTATGCATCTTTTTTTCCAATGGCATCAAGATGTACTTTTCACTTGATCAATATTCTTGTCGAGGAAGAACCACCCTCTAAGCTCCTTGACATTTGGGTCATCTTCGCCCAATTCGTCAAAGGAAAGTTTAGCCAGGGCCATCGATTTTTGGACGGCCGTTTCCAACTTGGATTTGATCGCTATTTCACATATTAGCATGTTCCAAATTCCGGGAGATAAAATACTAACAATCGCATGATTTGTCAATGTTATAGGAATGTACACAAGCGAGCTGCAGCCAAAAGAGAGGAAGAAGAATTACGACCTTGGTCCACGCCATTGTAGCCATTGTGATCAAAAGTTGAAGTTGGAAAGACAATTGAAGGGGATCCTGACAGCTTTTAAGTCTTTGGGATGTCTTACAGACTTTGGTCCCTAGCTCTTGAGACATTCATCACAGAATGAGTTGGATCAGGAAAATCAGCCTTGGGATAGCCCCCAATGCAATGGAGGCATTGGCTTAGGCACAAACTGCCATCATGTATTTGCTTATGGTCATCAGTTTAATCCAGATTGACATGAGGCATTTGTTTAGGGCCGGGTTCGAGTTTGGTGCAGTATGCCAGATACTTGGCAGCTGAGGTTTTGGGGCTACTTCACCCTAACACAGGCTCATCAACTCATTTTGAAACTTCATTCACTCCAAAAATAGTATTTTCGGAAAGAAGCAGGATTGTTCGGGGGCCAACAACGTCGCTTGTATCCGAAAATCAAGTCAGAAATCTAACTAGCGGGCGAGGGATTTCCACACTACCATCATCTAGCTTTGTATTTACAGGCGACTAAAGTAATACACTGTACTATATTCACCGCATTATCTTTTGTCGGGCTATATTCAGGCCAAGCTCTGAGATGGAGAGCCTAGTTGTATCTTCACGGCGCCAGCACTCGGGGTTACGCCCCGGGGACTGACTTATGCTACGTAGGAATTGAATCTGTGTGAGAGGGAAATGAACCCTGCATCATCCTCTACCATGTCTATTTGACGAGGGCTACAAGGAGCTTAGAATAGTAAGTTTTGTATCTAATAATTCCGGCTACCAATGTTGAGCCGCAGGGTCCAAGCCATTTTCAGCGGGCGGAAAATCCTTTCTTCGCCCTGATTAGAGCCAAAGTGCCTTGATTGGATCCTGATGCTTTATAGCGCAACACTAAATGCTGACAGGGTCGTCCTGCACGGGCCAAACCTTAGCCGTGTGGCTGTGGCTTACTCCCGCCCCCTCCAACGTCTAAATTTGGTGAGTTTGATTGTATAGAGACCGTTCTGAAATTCCTCATGCTCAAATCTGAATACAAGGGTCTAAGAAGTAACAGTGTTCGGGGGCCGCTGGTTGCCCTGCACTCCTTCCTGACAAAATGGGGCAAAAACGCCTTGCACTACCACTGTCATGTCTCAGTTCAAGATGTCCAACAATGCAGAGGATATTCTCGGAGTTTAGCTTGGAGATTTCATTCCATCATATTCCCCACGGGGGGTATATATATCCTCGATAACTGCTCCCATTTAGACCTACCGGCTTAACTCACTACCTTTCTACTGACAGTCATCACCTGTTTCCTTTTCATTATCAGAGAGATGGTTCAGCTTAAACATTCTCTCCTGGCTCTTGCCTTAGCATGCCAGCTTGTATGGGCTATTCCCAAGGACTCTACAGGGCCGGGGTCCATAATCGAACAGCGCGGAGGAGGATTCAATGATCAATATGTTTTCGCTACCTGTCCAAAGTATGACACTAACTCCCCATAAGACATTAGAGGCTTCTTTACCCTGACGACAGTTGAGCTAACACTGCCTAGCCCTCCCAATAAATGTTCTACATGTGGAGGAGACAGCAAAAAGAAAGGATTCTGTGACAATGAGAGGGGTCGGGGGTGGTGGTCCGATTATAATCGATGCAAGCAATGGCACAAAGAAGGCTGTGGCCTAACCTGCGAATGCGTGTCTGAGGAGACAGGCAAGCCAGGGTAAGAATACAATTTGTTTTCTTACGGATGCGGTTCAACTAATACCATATCCCTTATAGCTCCGGTCTACCACTTATTATTCCATTCCCACCCTCACCAGTAGGGTTCATCGCCCCTCCCGCCGCAGTTCCAAATCCGAAGAAAGTGTGTAATGAAGATTACACAAAGAACAGTTGCAAGGACTGCAAACCTCTGGATGGTTGGTGTACCGTGGGCGATCAAGCTGGATGTCCCTGTAGGGAGGAATGTCCTGCGGATGACAAGAAGCCCGATTGCTCAGCCGATGACTGCAAAGGAGAGAAGGGGTCGTGTACTGTTGTTCGTGACCTTTATACGCTTTCAATTGCTGGTTAGCTACTAACATCAAGCCAGGGCCACTACAAGGACTGCAAATGTAAGGCAGAATGCCCTAAGCCGGAGAAGGAGGTGCTAGTTTGCAGTGATGATACTTGCAAAGGAAAAGATAACAAATGCACAACTGTACGGCCCCTCGCCTTGAAATTATATTTCGATTTGCTGACATGGTATTGACTTGACACAGGGCACGAACGAGGGCTGTGAATGCTATGAGCTTACGTCGGAAATCTACACCTTAGGGACAAAGTCCGAGGTTGAAAGCTTTGAGAAGGTTTTAACCAAATTGGTTGATAGCATGAAGAAACAGGACGAGGAGGCTGAGAAGCCGAAAGACCCAGAAGTCAAATGTTCTAGCACTGACTACAGCAAGGCCGTCTCAGTCGATGTCTCGTTTATGAGCAAGCTGGCCGACAAGTTCTGCAGCGGGGATACGAGCAAGAAGCGCAGTCAGGACCTGACAGCCAAAGATGTGTCGTCCTCTGCTTATAAGAACTACAAGTTCCACTTTGAGCTCGATCCTGGGAAGAATTGCAAGACTGACTGCAAAGCAGCCTTCAAGTCCATGGCTGGTAAATGTATGTCTCCTCACCACTGCATTTGATATAAATTGCCCTTCATGCTTACTAATTGTACATAGGCCAGGGCTATGACAGCCATTCCATCCAGCCAGAAGCCAGCGCCAAGGTCGATGACTGTAGTGCAAGCTTCAGCTACAAAATTACTGTACCCGACAAGCCTAAGCCAAAGCCTGATACATTCACTCAGCACGGGCTTCAAGAAAGGAAATGCCACACAGCAGATCAGTTTGGATCACATGGAGATGTTCGCGGTAGTGAGATCAGTATGGCAGCTACTGGCTGTGCTGGAATTTCCGACGACAAGGCCAAGTTGAAGGCAGGTTCGGATCCAATTGAGTTAAAGTCGACGTACGGAAGCACTAAGTTTAAGTTTACCATGTCCTGGATTGAGAACTGCGAGGGAGACGAGCAAGATGCACGGTATCCTTTTGGAGGGGCGCATAATCTTGGGAACACCTGTTGGCAGCTTTTATTGGATGATTGGCAGAAGTGTAAGTTCCTCCGGCCGTTCGTCTCTCTGCGTTGCACAAAAGCTAACATATACCATAGGCAACAATGGGGGTGCTGGTGGCTCCATCGATTATAGCTGTGTGAGATATGACTTTAGGCCTTCATTTGATTAGATAGCTTGTGGAGACGAGATCTTATGATGTTTTGGTATGATTGTTGACTTTAGTATCTGAATTTGACGCTTTCTCCATTTTTACATGTCCTCATCCTTGTGAACTCGATGTGGTAGTATAGTCTAACTGATTCGATGACCATTTGGGTGCCCTTTTGACGTTCCTGTCATATGTGAGATACAATACGATGATTACACGATTCGCAAGGAGGGGGCTCCCCGTCGCATTTGACCTGCCTAATCGGCACTCCTCATCCAAAGGAAGGACAGGAAGTACCTTTTGCTGGGAATAATTATCGCACGCCTTGACAGGCCGTTCTTAGTAGTTTGGTCATGCAAAGGAGCCATGTTAACTCCCAGTGAGGTTCCCGTTCTTCGCCATTGAGGTTGGAATGTTGCAGGTTGCGCCAAGACTACGAAGCAGGTAATAAATCGGGCGATTGATAGTGGTGCCGATAATTTATATTCGACTTATATCTCGATCTCGAATGCGAATGCAATGATTGCACCACTGATCGCGACGATTCCAGTCAGTGGACCAAGACCAATGTTTCTGGCGGCACTGACGGGAACCATGCGCATGTCTTCCGTGGTGGCTTGAATCATTGGCGTAAAGTACCAGGTCGAGGTGACTCCAAGCCATAGCATAACCCATACTAGTCCAATAGACCGTTTCCAAAGGGGAACAACCTCCTTTGTTGATGTCTTTGCTTCCCTTTCAGGCTCGTTTCGGGGTTGCAAATATTTCCAAAGCTCTTGTGCGCCATCTTCCAACATGATTCCGAGGATAAATGCGAGGTAGAATGGTATAGAACCAGACTTTTCCGTCGGAATACTCTGCAGTATATCAACAATGACGTGGAATACCGCAGAGACGAAGAAAACAATAGAAATATTTGTGTATCGCTCCAATAACGAAGATCGCGTCAAGTTTAGGACATCTCGCGAAACGAAATTGCTAATAGATGTAAAGGGCCGGCGCATAAACTGATGCCAGAACTTTCTGTATAATATGTTAGAAAAAGGCCATCCACTAATATATAATTGATCAAGCTCACCCCCAAAAATCGCGCAATGTAAACGCATCACCCATTCTCCCCCAGGCTGGCGGCCAGTCGGAGGCGGAGTCAGATCCAATCCCCACGAAAATGATTGACAAAACTCGGTATGCCAGATCACCAATCAACCGATTCACAATAAACCAGATAGACAGATGTGTGCCGATCCGTTCTACCCATTGGACCGCCGACACAGTCCATTCAATTGCTGACGGCACTGGTTCTTGAGGGTCATTTCCCATAGCCTGCTGCTGCGCTATAGTCTGAACAATATCAAGAACAAGATATTGCCATGCTGCAATTGCAAACTGCCGCAGAAGAAATCGCCCTCTTCTTGGGACCGCCATACCCCGTCGGGCGTAATACAGCGGATGACAAGGCACATTTTTGACCTGCCATGGCGTATTGACGGCGCGAGTCTGACCAAGCAAGCGAAGTGCCGTAGTTAATCGAGATCCACATGTTTGGATACCCTTCGCACCGCGCGAAATCTCTTGGCCGTCCATGGAAGTGATCAGCAAAAAGTTCAGGGCTTGCATAGTAACAATAATGAGCTGAGTTATTGCCTGACACCATTCTGGACTACCGGACGCGCCGAAGGGTCTGATAAAGCGACTGGCTACCCATACCATGCATGGTACGCAAAGATAGCGTAAGGGGGACCCTTTGCGCGTGCTGATGAGGACGACGGCGGGGACTGTTATCTGGATCACGTAGAAGCACCCGAATACCAGAATGTTTGCGACTGTAGAGTCGTATAGTCCGTACATTTTGACATTGGTCTCGACAATTTGGTGTTGGTGTCTGGGTGGAATGGGAAAAATCGATGCTTATGCTGCGATTACTTTTAAACCCCACCGCACACACCACCGAACATTCCATCGAGAAATAATGTATCACTTCGACTCATACATTACCATTTTTTAGGATTTTATACAGAGACCATTTGTAAAAACAGCCAAAACACAGTCAAAAAACATCATGAAAAAGAAATTCATAAGCCACCTATTGAGCGCACACTCAATGCCCGACCGCCACTAATGTCCTTCACCGTCCAAGAATCTGATCACGGCGCTTAAACCGCCCATCACGCTTAATCTGCTCATAGTAATCCGTCGCAAACTGCAAATGATAAGGATCACCCAACTCCGTAAACAATTTCACGGACAACTCCTGATCCTCCAAGTTTTCCGAATGATTGAAGGGCGAATAGATATATCGCCGTTGAATACTAGGCATATTCTTATCCCAGCCTTCTCCGACAGCCACTCGAGCAACAGAGATAGCTTTAGAGTCTGTAGCGTATGCCTGTGGCTTATCCCGAAAGATGTTTCGGGGTACTTGGTCAAGTAGCAATATCAAAGCCAAGGCGCCTTCGCCCTCGCCGGCTCGTGTCCATGAGTCCAGTTCGCCACTTCTTGCGGCCTCGTAGGATGTTCCTAGGTTCTTGCGGACGTAGGTGTCGTCTGCTGGGCTGCCGTACCAGAATGACTTTTGCTTGAGATAGTCGCGGGATGATTTGGAGCCGAACCAAAAGGAAAGGACGTTTTCATAAGCTTTCGTAGTCATCGTTCGATTCATTGTAACATCCAACTTTCGAGTATTGAGGGTTGTTTTGGTAGGTGATGGTCGCTGCACAGGTGAATGGGATGCCTTCGGTGATTACGTCATGTGCAGCCATCTCGGGGAAGAGAATAGACAAAGAAGTACTTATCATTCATCATTCAAATCTATGTGAGGAAAGGGCCTTTGGTGAGTTGTAAGAGTTGTAACTATGACTAATGTATAAATACTTCAGATCAGACGAACTTGAAACCGACTTTTACTGATCTCTCATCGCTGATTATGCTAGGTGACTTTCAAGCTCGCTATGGCTAAAATGAAACGCTTGCTTTGAAAACATATATGGCATATACTGTATGTTTTCAACGGGCGTGGAACTATCCCACGAGTAGGCCTCGTAACTTCCCAAGGCACTACGAACAATCTAAACTTATACACATCAACTATCAATTCCCAACTTGATTTCCACATCTGACAATGGCATCATCTCCACAACTAAGGGTTTCCCATCAGGCCCAACTCGTCCTGCATTTCCATGCAGATTTCTAGAATCCTGCACGGCCTTTCTGCCTCTCTGAAGCATCTCCTCATTATAACCAGCAATTATCTCCCCGACAACCGCAGGATCCTTGAATTTTGCACCAGTATTCATATCTCCGAAGATATTACCCAAGAGAAGTGTATCAATCAACGTATGATACCCACCTTCACCACGGAATGGGGTCATGGCATGCGCCGCATCTCCTACCAGGACGACCCGACCAACTGGCAAGCTATCCAACTCGACATCCCGCCAAACATGCGACTCGGGCCGGATTCCCTCGACCGGGGTCTGCTCAAAGATCTCGCGTAATTCAGCCGGCATGCCACCGATCGCATTCAGTACACGATCCCGTTTCTCCTGCGGACTGGCCGTCTGGAGCCAGTGGTTGGGATCTGAAACGTCACTGCTTTGCATGAAATTCCAGTAGTAGCGACCAGAAAGTCCGTCTGGCAGTGTGTAGTGCAGCCCGACGAAGGCGATGAACCCAAGGTCTGAGCGTATGCACATGTAACCGCTGTGACCAAGGGATAATTGGCGTTTGAATGCCTCCCCCGACAGGGTTAGCTCACCGACAACTGTGGCAAGAGGCACAACCTGCAGGAGTTCTTTGCTAGATCGGTGGAGGAGATGCTCTCGGACTGTACTCAATCAGATCTCCGAATACGTTCTGGGGGGACGGAGAATAGGGAAAGGGCTGACTTACCCACACTATTTATTCCGTCTGCACCGACCAGAAAGTCTCCTTTCGCAATCGATCCATCTCCCAAATGGACTGAGACTCCATGCTCGTCGTGCTCGATGCGCGTGACTTGGCAGCCCCATCGGACAGGAATGTTGGTCGCCAGCCACTTGCGAAGACGACCACGTTCCGCACGGATGATTGGAAACTGAGGAGAGTCCTGAAAAAGATCTTGAGTCAACAAAACGCAGACTAACGGTTGTCAACACAGCTATACCTGGAAACCGACGCGATCCGTCCGACCCGGTAGATACATCGCTATCTGAGGTGGAAGCTTCAAAGGCGATAGATGGTTCGTCGATTCTCTGAGATCTGGCAGATCGGATGGAACAGAAGACGATAAACGATCGATGATGCTGCTACATGTTAGGATAGTTCCCTTTGCGTTGGGTGGTGGGCTGATACGAGTGTAGGGCAATCGCCCATCCCTGGAATCGGGCATTCTCGTCGGCATCGCGCTCGAAAACCTCAAAGGAGATACCTTGTTTGCGTAGGCTCTGAGCGAGACTGAGTCCGCCTAGACCTCCTCCAACAATCAAGACGTGCATTGGGAATGGGTTCAACCACGAAACTCGAAGCTTCGAAGAAGTGTTAATGCTGAGGAGCTTGAAGAATCAACACTGATAAGTTTGGTAGTTTCAATGACGCCCCATTGATGCGAAACAATCACCTATGACCATATAACCATGAACGCCGAATAACATAAGGCCACCCGGTACATTCGGCCCCTTTCTTTTCATTCAACTGATTGCCGGGGCTGACTGCGTCAAAAGCGCCGAACGAACGTCGCCGAAGTCAGATCATCCAATTTTTCGGAGTGACAGGATCTCTGACTGTATCAACCACGGAAGCCCTGTCAGATATTACGATATTAGCGTGAATGTGTCCAGAGGGACAAAACTTTTGATATCTCTGCAGAAAACAGGAACGATAGGGTATTGATCTCAACCTGCTTCTTCATTTGACCCGCCATCCCAGGAAGCCAACAGACCAAAACGTCAACATGTCTGACGAGATGAATCTGCCCATCATTGATTTGTCTGGATACCTAAACCCCAAATCTCCAGAGGACCGGGAACACGTTATCGCACAGGTTCACGATGCTAGCCAGCAGTATGGATTTTTCCAAGTCCGAGGACACGGCGTGCCTCCAAGTCTCCAGTATGATCTTGTTCGAAGCATGGGCAATCTGTTTAGCTTGCCCCAAGAGGAGAAGCTCCAGATGTCTTTCCTTGAGAATCCATGCCGTCGAGGATACGAAGCCGCGGGGATGTCTCTTCGGGAAGGAGATCCTCTGCCAGACGCAAAGGAGGTAAGATGAACTTGTCAGTTCCAGTTCAGCTTAAGCTGTCGCTATGTAGAGCTACTAACAAAGTAACAGTGCTTCTATATAGCCCGGGATGATCCCATTATCGAGCTCTCCGGTTTCTACGGCCCAAACTTGTGGCCCAACCTCCCCACAGAGGACTTCCGGGATCCAGTTTGGAAGTATTACGAACAGACCAGCGAACTCGGCAAGACGATCTGGTCGATCCTGCTCGAGGGACTCGGCCAACCTGCCAGCCTGGTAGAAAACTTCGCGCATAGGGCCATCGTCCCGATGAAGATGATTCGCTACCCGCCACAAAGCACCACACTTCCAGGACAGTTCGGCATCGGCGCCCATACCGACTTTGGTGGCGTTACTATCTTGTTCCAGCAGCCTGGCAAGGATGGCCTTGAGGTCTGGCACGAGGGAAAGGAGACGTGGATTGAAGTCCCCGCGTTGGAGGATGTGTATGTGATCAATTGCGGTGATATGATACAGAGGTGGTCTGGTGGTAAATATAAGAGTGCCAAGCACCGTGTCATTAACAAATCCCACGGTGAGCGGTTGTCGTGTGCCACATTTTGGCATGGTGATATTAACGCCACGAACCCACTAAACCCGAATGATCTGAACAGTGAGACGGTTGGCCAGCTACTGGTCAAACGTTTCCGCAATCAATACTCCATGACCAAAGAGTCGATTGCCCAAGTTGGTGCGGCCTGATGGTGTGTTATCTGGATAGTTTCTCCAAATATTACATCTCAATTTAATGAGAACAGAGTTGCTTCTTTTTACTTACTGCTCAATTTATTACTTGAACTCGATCACTTTTCGGTTGCATAGAAAATTTTACTTTTCCCATAGTAGAACAGACACCATCCTTCGATACATATCGAGATGGATACTCCGTAGTCATGTTGTGATATCTTTTTTACTTTTTGTGCTCCCTCTTGCTATATCCACTCTAGCTGCCTACTAGAAAACGTCTTCCAAGTCTGTCACTTTCATGGCTTACCTATCGGAATTTAAATTGGCCAGGCCCAATTAGATGATCGAAAAGCGCCGATCAATAATTTGCCGAACAACATCGCCGAGTGAACCTTCACCGAATTCAAGGTCTACACAACGAGTTTACCATATGCTATTTTAGATATACAACAAGCCGCAAGAGAAGGACAATGACGTGGTTCATCAGCGCATGATAGGCAATATCCAGTGTAGATGTAGACAGACAGCTTGGACCCCTTGAGCTCGTTCGGTGGATTTCAAATCACCGATTTGATACGAGTTGCCCCGACGATCCTGTAGTGACTATAAGCTTAGATCGCAGCTGCATGGGCAAAGATCAAAATTCTCCTACAATTGTTCCGAGAAAAAGCAATATGTCTGTAGTCAGCTGGGTATCCCTCGCACTGGTCCTCGGTGGCCTATATTATGGCATTCGGATATACGGTCTATGGATTCTGGAGGTATGCACACTATCCATAGAAACACCACCCTCCATAGTCTCCTTGACTAACGCAATAGACTACGGTGTCATTGTACCTGGAAACATTTAATTCGGGCGTTTCAAGTCTGGGCAAGCCCATCTCGGGCCCTAAATGGGAGTTCCCCAACGGTACCGTAATTGAACGGTTTCTTAACGGTCGAGTCAATTCCGAAAAATGGCGACAGTATGGCCTTGTGTATCGTATCTGGTCCGGTCCTCATCCTGAAATGCAAGTCTCCTCCCGCTCCCATTCTTTAACGTTTTCTGATACATTTCCCCTAGTGTCATCACCACACCAGAAGATCTCAAATACTTTGCATCGGACTCCAATAACCATGGCAAGCCACCAAACTCCAATATGGGATGGTTCCTCGGAGAACTCCTTGGAAAATGTATGGGTCTCCTTGCCGGTCAAGACTGGAAACGTGTCCGACAAATCTTCAACCCACCATTTACGCACACAGCAGCGGTCAACCAGATTGAGGTAATTGAAAGTGCTGCCAGGAAATATGTGGAGGAGCTACCGCTCATCACCGATAACTGTCAAAAGACCTCAACTGAGAAAATTGGCCACTCTTTCACGATACCAGTCGTAAAGACATTTACTAAATTCCCTTACTTCCTCACGGCCCAATCCATATATGGTCCCATGTCAGAGAAGGAAGAGCAAAAGTTGTGGACGGTAACTGAGAACCGCCTTGCGTTGAATCCATACATGTTCGGCGGAGGTCCGTATCGGTTCGAAAGAGGCGCCAAGGGATTTGATACTGCGGCTGTCCAAAAGCTCCGAGAGTACAGTCGGGAGTGGCATGAATTTAACGATGGCATGGTGCAGGTGCGGCGTGCACGTGGCGAAAAGGCGGCGATTGTCTCGTACTGGGAGGAATATGAAAAAGGGAACCTGACATTGGAAGAGGTGAGTTTCCTATTCCATCAAGTAGAGAGTGGTGCTAATATGGGTGACTTCTTATCAGCTGTTGCATACATTGGACGAGCTGCTGATGGTTAACCTTGACGTTTTCACGCATGTCATATCCTGGTTTATTACCCTTGTCGCTGACCACGAGGCGATTAAGCGAGAGTTGCGCGATGAAGTGACGGCAAATAAAGACAATATCCTTGGATACTTGGCTCAGACAGACACACACTTACACCGATCCTTCTATGAATCGATGCGGATTCGACCATTCACGAGTGAGTCCTCTGAACAGTGAAGCTTGAATTCCCGTCTCAAGCGCTAATTGTCGGCAGTCTTCACTATTGGAGAATGTGCATCTACCGTTAAGAACTTCCACGGTATCTTGGTCAAGCCTAATGTGAGTGGAAAACCATTCAATTTCTAACATGCCGTGCTAATAAATAATCCAGACGCAAGTCCTTGTAGATGTATTGGGTATCAACATTCGCAACCCATTCTGGGGTGCCAACAGTGAGGCGTTCAACCCATCTCGGTTCAAGACCATCAAGCAGTCTGATGTACGTATGACTCCATCAGAACACTGGTACCTTTGAAATTTCATCGCCGAGACGCTAACATTTATTCTACAGCTTCGATACAATCTCCACGTGTTCGGATTCGGCAGCCGCAAGTGCATGGGCCAGTACCTGGCTGGTCATATCGCTAAATCGCTGGTAGTTCATCTCTTCCACCAGTATGAAGTCTTAGTGTCGGATGGTCGTGACGGAGCCAATTATGATACGGATAAGTCGAGCTGGACCCCTAAGGCGGATGCTTCGTTGCAGTTGACTAGACGAGATGTGGTGGAGAGTATCTAAGTTGGGCTTTCTTAAGATAGGGAGTAGAAAGGATGCCTGAGACTTTACGACATGTCCAAATAGAGAAGAGCAGTGTACTGATTGAGAAATATCAATTTGAATATTCAACTAAACAGAGCCACATTGTGCTGCTCGATTCCTAACAGGCCCAAATCCTACGTACTGCGCTAAAAAGCTACATGTAAGAATAATGCGGGGGCCATGCAGTAACTCGGGGCTGGAAATACATGCATGTCTCTGGATCTGCGTTGAGACAATTGGAAAATCTATGCAAGCTTGGACAATTCACCGAACGCGTGGCTGGCCCTCGGGTTACACCGCGTAAACTCGTGTCTGCATGAGGCCTGAAGGATGAGCCTGTCGGAGCCCTGGTGTCAGCAAAGGAATTAATTTAGATCAGGCACGAATGTCGCATTGTGGACTAAAAATACGCAACTTAGCTCGGTAGCATTTAGGTTTAATGCACCGAACTTCGTATTTAGGCTATACGAGCTTTTGCAAGGTACAAAAAAAAAAAAAAAAAGGGGAGAAAAAGGGAATGCTAATTTCTTTCCGTTTGAATAATCGTAGGTAGTCTAAATTTTTGTAATGAAACAGCTCTTCATCCTGTATAGTACTGTAATCAACTATGTAGAGTACGCCTCAATCGCCTCAGGAGTTGCCGGAACTCCGATTCCAATTCGCTCAAACCCTGATCGGCCGAACCTGTTGCTTTCAATGCAAGATACGTGTGCAAGGCGTTTCGTAAACGGTCCACAAGATACGAACTCAGATGAACGACAAGGACTAGGCGCATATTGGCAAGTACTGATGTCTGGGGTGTGTCTTCGTCGGCCTCTCTGTCCAGCTTACCGGTATTTGGGAACGACGTTGATTCGGCGGATAGTTCTGCATCATGTTGTAAGGCGACCAACAGTGCACTCCACATTCTGAGCACCAGGCTGTAGCAAGCGATGATTAAATGGCGGATGACGGTACCAGAATGCTGGCTTCCGCCCGAGTCGCGCATACCGCCAGAAGAGTTGGTAGTCGTAGATGAGAGGGATGATGATCTCAGTCGTGACGTCTTTTGGATGCCCACATCCTCGTCGAGGTCGGGATATGGTGGCCCTTGGGTGGTGGGAATCGAAAGCGATTGTAGTTGATGCAGGACCTGCAGAAGGTAATGGGAGGCTGATAATGTGTTGATGAGGGTGTTTTCGGGCGTTGTAGGCGTGGATAGCGGTCCGGCTGCCGGTCCTATCAGGGCAAGAGAGGGTGATCTCGGCGGATAGGTATTGATATTGATATTAGGGGCGGATAGCCAGGTTGTTGCGGAAATTAAGGCTTGATCATCAAACAAAGGAACCCGTCGTGACTCTGGGCCGCAAGACCCGATTGTCGCTGTTAGGTCGTAGCTAGCACGATATAGGGTATAGAGATGAGAGCTCAGTTGGGACAGCTGAGCAATGCCGTCGTCAATACATACGAGGTTAATATTATCTCGCGTATACTCTGGGGGTGTAGGATTCTCCAGAGCTTGACGGGGACGATGCTCATGATTCTGACTCCGTGGTCGAGAGACAGGTTCCTGGTCTGTTGATATTCCATGGTGTCTGAGATAAACCTCTTTCACTGATTCTTGTTCCGACCAGGAGCTCATGTTCTCGATGTCGGACATATGTATGTCTTCGAAGCCGGTGCCGTTGAGAAATGCCTCAAAGCCAGTGTGGCATTGTGTTTCGCTGACATCCGTTCCATGTGTTGTCGATGTTCCCATTGCATCCAAACCAAATTCCACGTTTTCCAGCCATGCCATGCTACGGAGCGCTTCGTGGCCGGTCTCCTCGAGTTGCAGAAAAGAAGGACGGGCATTGACGTTCCGATGCTCAGGGATCGGCAAGAGAGGTGTTCTAGCGGCAGATACTGGCTCCGATGATGTTTCTGCTGGTAGCTCTGGTGCCAGGTTGGGTGAGTATGTAGGTGTGCATGTGGGGTTCGCTCTTGCAGATCGTGATGTAGGAGAATCAGATGGTGCGCCTGCATTCCCCGCATACGTGCTGCGGCGTCCCTTGGGTAGACTGAAGCTATACACGCAAGGGGCTCCCTGACGAAGACACCGGTCGCACACCCCGGTCGTACTGCTGCTACCCTGACGGACGCATCGCAGCTTCTGTCTGTGACATCGATCGCACGATTGGCGCCGGGGAAGCGCGCTTCTATCTATTTTGTTATTCATCCTTCCAATCTTATCAAGGGGAACGTGTGGGATCTGACAGTTCTTAAGGTCGACATAGGAGTATCAGGCCCCCAAATGAATGATACCTCAGCCAAATTGACATGGATGATGGTTACCGGAGACCACCAATCAAGGGACATTAATGCTGCGGTATCGATGAGATACTCGGATACGATATAGGATTCGAATCCTTACACCCGCCCCTCGCGTATCAAAGGGCGCTCTGGTTGGCGAGACTCAATGCTTTCAAGGCTCAATGCTTAGTTGATTCCATCGCACGCATGCACATAAGAGTCTAGGGTGGACGTTAATCCTTCCACACTGCCTGACTCGGGACATGTAATACGCAATATGCAATATTCAAAAAGGGAAGTAGAAGAGCGAGAGAGAGAGAGAAGAAAAGAAAAGAAAAGAGGACGGCTATTTTAAGCTAAGGTTTCCTGCAGAAATAATGTTATTCGTGAGCGAGTTGCCTCCCTATTAATTATGACTACCATTAAATGCTTTATTGAAATTGAAGCTATTCAGACCTCGTTCGCTGTGGTTTCCTCTTACCGGCCAAAATAGGCGTCGGCAGTAGGCCCCCGGCTTAGTCAAATACCGCAATATTGACTTAACCTGGTCTAGTTTCCACAACTGATAGACTACCTTAATAAGAAAGAGAATACTTTAAAACGCAAGAATAATGCGTGGAGAGGCTACTCGCTTACATATGCCTAGGCCACTCGCTTACAGAATATATTCGTTATCAGTGTAATGGTAATTAACAATGGTGTCTTCAGTAAAGACCCCACTACGCCAGAATTGACCGTGTCAGAAAGAACGGAGTGTTGAAGAGACGCAAGGCAAGGTCAGCCCCCTTTTTTCGAGCACGCAATTGTAGCGCGTCGGGTACATAATGACAACAAGTAACGTAGGCTACCATTATATACATAGCTCGTATATTCGTCTCAGCCCCCAAGCCATCTAGAGTCTGGTTGGTTTGTCTCCGTGTAGTTACACCATGTCAGATAATTCGTTAGGCCCGGATTTTACCGGCTTTGGGGTTGCAGTTCCAAGGCTCTTTAGCCAAGCTGGAATCTAATGGGCTTATTCTAGGTATGGTAGCCTAACTAGGTGGTGGCCTACAAGATGAGTATGTGACGAATACGAGCCAGAATTAGAATTGCTTGGCCGATAGGATCATCAATCGATTTTCTGTTTTGAGATTTAGCCAGAATTTATTTCCCGAGCCGATCACTAAGCACACTAGACTGAATAGACCAATTTTGACCCTGAAGGAGCCTGGCTGCGAATAAGAGCAACTCCCTCGATTACCCCACCCCACCCACCGGCCATGATCTTCGTTGGGTGCGTGTCGATCAAGCCGCGATCAAGCAATGCCTGGACCGCCGCAAAAGCCTTTGCCCCAAATCGACGATATTCGGGCCGGGCCGGGCGCCCGTAATCGCCATCAAGGGCCACTTGGTGGCCGAATAGCGACAAAACCATCAGCCAAGACGGCTCCACTGTGGGTCGGGTCTGGGTGACTGCAGTACGGAACGGCTCGAGGGAGACATAGCGACCGCCCGCCCGACCGATGGCTTTGTAGCATAGTTCTGTTGTGTCCGCCAAACTGACACAGTCAAGTGCGTAGGCTAACTGGCCCCCGGTGTAGGCGCGAATGTTCGAGGCGCAATCAACAGAATGATAGTCAAAGACTTTTTCTGCGCCAAATTTGAGCGCGAGACCGAAATGTGCAGGTGAACAAGTCGCGATCGGTCGTAAACCGGCACTGGGAAAGGGTCAAATATTTAGCCACCCCTGTCACACCACGTAAGTGATTCACTAGAAATACTCACAGCTTTAACAACTGGATCGCGCGTGTTCCTGTGGCAGTGCTTCCACCAGCAACCAAGACAAACTCGCCCTTCGAAGAATCCCCGTTGGCTTCAGCCAGCTGTTCCAGAGACGCAGGGATACGCAGTTTATGGAACAGCCCCAAGGCGGCTGTTCCCACCCCGACGCCCAAGGTCGCCGCCTCCTCGAAGCTCAGCGAATCAGGGATTTTCAGCAGGAGATCAGCAGTAGCACCAACGTATTCGGCGAAGGCCCCGACTTCAGGCTGTAAGCAATTCATCCCATGTACGAAGCCCGCCACCCGATCCCCCACCGCCAGTCCTGCGCGGGCATTTGAACCCAATACAACGACGGTTCCGGCAAAATCATAGCCATGAATGGCCCCCGTGGCGGCCGAGTAGTCCAGCATCTTTGCATCGGCTGGGTTGATGGCCACGGCGGCTGTCTTCACCAGCACCATGTCGGGGGCTACAGGGGAAATCGGCACATTGTGTTGAATACCAAGCTTGCCGTGGCCTTGAGCCACGACGGCTGTTTGGAATTGAGGCAAGTGAGGGGATTCCACGAAAGTCATGTTGAAATCAAAGAAAAGCGGGAGGGGATCTGGCTAGCACTCTGCCGTGTTCGCTGTATTTTATCCAAGACCAACCACCACATAATCTCGGCGCTGTGGGAATGTAGAATGTCCATTTTCTTTGTTTGAACGTTCGGCATCGGCGCACCGGTCTATCAACTTTGGAATAGCGCCGACGGTGACAAATGTAATGGTCCGAATGTTTCGAGCGAGAGGCTGTGAAAGAGCCAAAGAATGAGAGAAATTAGTGGCTCAAAACCCCCGTCATTCCCCTTTCTATACCCTGTCAGCCGGTCCAATCTTCCCCCCGACGGCGCAACTTCCCTTCCCACCTTCGTATTAAATTCATGTCTTGTTTGCGTCTGTGATCTCTGGCTTTCAAATAACAAAAATAAAATGGCAGCAATGGTTATGCGAGTATTCACGGCGTTCGGCCCTCCGAAAGTCGAAAAGAAGAACGACGCTATCCGTTTTGGCGTCCTGGGGGCGGCCCAGATTGCGTGAGCCGCATTCAATGCTTAATCGCGCTTCGCTGACATCTTCAGACCTCTCGCCTTGATTACACCCGCCCTCTCACATCCCGAGGTTATTGTGCAAGCGATCGCCGCTAGGGACCATGCTCGTGCCTCAGAATTCGCCAAAAAGCACAACATCCCCGATGTTCGCACATCCTATGACGGTACGTTAGACTCGCTTACTAGAGAACCGCGACTCACTGTGAACAGAAATCCTCGAAGACCCCAAGATCGATGCAGTCTTGATCCCTTTGCCCAACAGTTTGCATTTCGAGTGGGCAGTGCGCGCCATTCGCGCCGGCAAGCATGTCCTTCTAGAGAAGCCTTCGACCTCCAACGCCACCGAGGCCGAGATTCTCTTCAACCTACCTGAACTGTCACTGCCAAATGCCCCCGTACTGCTCGAGGCCTTCCACAACCGGTTCCATCCTGCAGTGCACAAGTTCCGCTCCTTCATCACCCCGGCTGATGTCGTCCACGTCCACACAGATTCCATGATCCCATGGATGTTGCTCGACAAGGACAACATTGGGTTCAACTACAAACTCGCCGGCGGCAGCATGATGATGCTGGGCACATACAACTTCGGCGTCATCCGCATGGTCTTCGACGACGACCCTGTAGAGTGTCTAACCTGCGAACCTGGCATCTTCGGCGACGGCATCCACGACCAGTGCGACACCGACTTTAAAGCCAAATTCCGGTTCCCGAACGGCGGTATTGCCGAAGCTTCCACCACCATGCGCGGGCCTATCTGGTGGAAACCGTCCGAGGCCCGCGTCACGCACAAGGAAGTCGTCGTCGATGATAAGTCCCTCCCAGCAACACAGGAGAAGCTGCGCACCCGGGTAGTGACGCTGCACGGTTTTATCCACGCTTTTATCTGGCACCGTATCGATGTCAAGGATACTTTCATTATCCGTAACAAAGGTGATCGCACACCGCTCAAGACTTGGACCGAGTCCAAATCGCACAAGGCTTACAGTTACAAGGAGGCCGGGGGTGAGTTTGCGAACCTCCCCGGTGAGGACTGGTGGATGTCATATCGGTACCAGCTTGAAGAGTTTGTCAATTGTGTTAAGGGGCGTCCCACGCACTATTGGGTTGAGGGTCAGGATTCATGGGATCAGATGAAAATGATTGACATGGCGTATGAGAAGAGCGGGCTGGGATTGCGGCCAACAAGTGAGTTCCGGTGATTAAGGCGTTTTGGAAGAAGATCAAATTTTCGTTTTGTGTTGTCTTTTTCTTGTTGGTTCCGCAGGCAGGGTAATACTATCTATCTTTACTTGCCAGTCAATAGACTCCACGGTCTTGCTACTATAGGCTTCAAATTCTTTTCATGGACCCGAGCGATCATTCTATTTGGGTAGCTTCACAAGAGTGGATATGTAGTTCATGCCATGTTTTACCATATATCCTAGCAGATATTTTCCTTGTTGTTTACTATATTGGGAGACACGCGCGCTCCTATAAACTGCCGTAAGCATCACCATAATCAACGTGGAAATGAACTCCATTCCCGTCACTTCTCGCTTCTGCGCCAACTGTACTTTGATCGATTGGTCTGAACACTCTGTCCCCTCTTAGAGTGATCAACGCCGATATTGCACAGGGGACCGTCCTCTGCTTTTCGTCCGGTCCGGGCTCGGCCGTCTTTGGTCCATTCAAGCTTCACCTGCCGTATTTTCGCACTCCTTGATAATTTTCTAATTTTCTACAATTACTCTATAATGCCCCTTCTTGAGCTCTCTCGAATTATCAATCTAGCTTATATGCTTCTTTCTAAAATTTGATATATTTCTGATAAGGAAAATGAGCTCGACTTTCTAGAAAGCTTGATCGACCTTATGCATGGTTGTACCATATATACAACCCGCTATATATAAACTCCTGAAGGCAAATATCATGACGCAAATTCTTCTCTCGCTACCCATCGTACCACACATTACTTGAACAGCTTGAAAGCCCCAGGAACGGCGGTCTGGAAAAGGCCCTTGGGGTCGTATTTCTTGCTGACCCTTCTAAGCGTGGCCAACTTCCCGTAGGTGCCGATCGGGTCTTGGTTCGATCCGGCGTAGTTCAGGTATGTCCAATCAAGGAAAAGGCCTGCTTTCTTCAAAATCTGCACGTGCTGGTTAAATATCTTCTGCAAAGCGGCCTGAACAGTGGCGTCGTCGGCCGCTCTGTTGTATGCCGCACCAATGTCAACGAGTACCAGGTCCTTGACGTTGGGTTCGAGACCCAAAGAGTTTGTGCCATTTGTGACCGGAACCGGTTGCATGAGGAAGTCAAACACCAGGCCTTCCACATTGGAAAGTTTATTGACCGCGCTTTGGACAGTCGTGAACAATTGCGAATACACGGTTGCGTTGGCGTTCTTGAAGGAGTAATTCATTTGCGTTGCGCTAGTTCAGGAGTCATTGACTCAGCAGTGAGACACTATGCTTTGGAAGCAAGGAACTTACCGAGAAACAGTGGAGGGGACGAGGACTCCGGAATTGGTGACGACTGTAGTCATATTCGCCACAATCAGAGTATTCGCAACTTGACCGGGGATATCAAAGAATTCCTGGTAAGCTGATGGCGTGGGCTCCGGATCCAAGTAGTAGATCGCATCGGAAAGAATCCACTTTCCAGCCTGGTAGACCAGATTGAACTCCATTGCGGCCAGCGGGTCGAAGTTCTTAGGGTCCATATAGTTACTAAAAGCCGTAGCGTGGTTGTCTAACACCTTTTGGGTGGCGTCGAAGACAAGAGCGCCGCCCAGCAGTAGGCCTTGAGGGTGAGTTGCGAGATCGAAACGAGTGACAATACCGAAATTGTTCGAACCGCCCTTGAGGGCAAGCCAAAGGTCCCGGTGTGAGGTCGCAGAGGCATAAACAACCTTTCCTGAGGCCAATACAACTTCATAACCGTAGACTTTGTCACAGGAAAAGCCATCTCTTCTTCCGAGGAAGTTGAGCCCACCTAGAAAATGTTTAGTACGAGACCTTGTATAAATTGATGATTATAAAACTCACCACCAGTGACGAACCCACCCACTCCTACTCCAGGGATTCGGCCTCCGGCGACCGTAAGGTTATGCTCCTCAAGGCTGGTGTACACGGTGTCACTCCAGATGGAGCCACCGCCAACAGAAGCAGTCTTCTGATCTGCGCTCAATTCGAAGGAGTTCAACGAGCGCAGGTCGATAGTGACCCCATTGTTGATATTGGCAGCACCGGCGAAGAAACTATGTCCTCCACATCTGAAGGCAAATTTGGGAGAAGAAATGTCCCTCGAGGCCACCAATTTGACGAAAGCAGAGACGTCCGCCGTATTACTGGGAGTGAAAACGCAGCCTGGGTTGAGCTCACGCTCCTGGCCAGTATAATAGTCCAACTGCGACGAGCTGTAAGCCGAACTACCTGCATAGGACACTTTCCCTGGGAAACGAGAGTCAGCCAGGTGGCATAGACTGCTTTGGTTGGACGGCAATCGAGAGGAGATCGCCAGGGGTAAAAGACACCCGATAACTTGCAGCGAAGATCGGACCATGTTGAGATAATTTGAGATCTTGTTATTTTGTCTACACCAAGATTCACTGTAACAGCGCCTTTCTGTGGGCTCTTATACTAGGCATCGCCCCTTGAGACGCTAGGTCTGCCTCGCTAATTTGGCCCCCAAAGGAGTTCATCATTAGAGAAGGCATGAGGGTATCATACGAGCCCAAAATTAGATCAGCTTTCAGATGTTCAGCCTTCAGAGATGCGCCTGAGATCGAAGTGCGTGCGTTCGGTCCACACAGCCGCCTGATCCTGCACCTAGTGTTCGGTGCATATAGTTGCGTGGTTCGGCGATTTGGACAACATAATCCATTCGGCGCTGATCTGATTTTCCGGCATCGGAGGATAGGGAATCTTACTACATGCAAAGTAAGACATGTCGGCTTGGATAACGGAGGCTGCAGAGCAACTTCCTGAGGCTAGATCAGGACTATGTTTTGAAAATCACAATTAGCAAGTATATAGACGCCTCTTGTAGCTACCATTGGGGAAAGTCTTCATTCTATCCACCACTTTTAGACGTTGTTTGATAGATCACATCTTATACTTTCTTTCAAAATGAACGAGCCAATCGCAGTCGTGGGTAGCGGTTGTCGCTTTCCAGGAGGCGCTAGCTCACCCTCTGCTCTATGGAAGCTGCTTGAGCATCCTCGAGATGTATGCCAGGAAATTCCCCCCGACCGTTTCAATACTACGGGCTTCTATCATCAGGATGGTGCCAGGCATGGCGCAACAAATGTGAAACATACCTATTTCTTGCAGGAAGATGTACGGGTATTTGATGCTGCATTCTTCAATATCAGCCCTAACGAGGCGGACTCGATCGACCCGCAACAACGTCTGCTCTTGGAAACGGTGTATGAAGCCCTCGAAGGTGGTGGTCATACACTCGAAGCTTTGCGTGCTTCCGATACGGCTGTTTATGTTGGTACGATGGGTAAGTACATCTCTATCTTCGCAACTTTCCCTCGCGAAAATGGGCTGATTGAATTCAGGCGTCGACTATCACGAGACACTACTTCGAGACCTCAATACTATCCCAACCTATTTTGCCACCGGAACTAATCGTGCTATCATATCGAACCGAGTCTCTTACTTCTTCGATTGGCATGGGCCGAGCATGACCATCGACACGGCCTGTTCCTCTAGCATGATTGCCGTACACCAGGGAGTCCAGACACTACGAAACCGCGAGTCACGGGTCGCCGTGGTGTGTGGCACGCAAGTTATTCTGGGACATGAGATGTACATTGTCGAGAGCAAGCTGAAAATGCTCTCTCCGACCGGTCGATCACGCATGTGGGATGCCGATGCCGATGGCTACGCTCGTGGTGAGGGCGTCGCCGCCCTTGTGCTGAAAAGATTGAGTGATGCGATTGCGAATGGTGATCATATTGAATGTGTGATTCGCGAAACTGGCGCCAACCAGGATGGATTCTCAAGCGGCATCACGGTGCCCAACACGGACGCCCAGACCGCCTTGATCCGCCAGACATACGCGAAAGCCGGCTTAGATCCTGTCAACAACCCCGACCACCGTCCTCAATTCTTCGAGGCACATGGAACGGGCACTCAAGCAGGAGATCCCAAGGAGGCCGCCGCTATTTATGAGGCTTTCGGTCAGCACATCGATGCCGGCGCCACCCCTCTTTACGTAGGGTCTGTGAAGACCGTCATAGGTCATCTAGAGGGTGCTGCTGGTCTAGCAGGTGTTCTCAAGGGTATTAGTAGTATTCGAAATGGGTCAATCCCTCCGAATCTACTTTTCAATCGCCTGAACCCACGCGTGGAGCCCTATTACAAAAACCTACATATACCCACTGAGCTGACACCCTGGCCGACACTGCCTCGAGGTGTTCCCCGGCGTGTTAGTGTGAACAGCTTTGGTATGTTATTTGACCTTCTCCTACTCAAACAGATCCTCACCAAATATAATAGGTTTTGGTGGTGCCAATGCCCATGCTATCTTGGAAGAGCATGTGCCATTGGTTGCTCGCCCCAAGGAAGACCCTTCGAAGTCATCATCACTCACGCCGTTTGTATTTTCAGCTTTATCAGAGCAATCCTTGGTCGCCCTTCTGGAGCAGTATTCCCAGTATTTAACCGCCCACCGAGATGAACTCGATGCCTCCGATCTAGCGTGGACTCTGTATTCGCGTAGAAGCCAGTTGCCCGTCAAAACAGCCTTCTCCGCGCGTACCATCCAGCAGCTGATTCAGAAGATTGACAGCAAGCTTGCGGCTGCTAAGGAAAATGCCACCGCAACTATTGGCATCCGCTCTAGCGGTAAGCCCGCAACGCCTCGCATCCTGGGCGTCTTCACTGGCCAAGGTGCCCAGTGGCCAGCCATGGGTGCTGCTTTGATTCGTTCCTCTCAATTTGTACGTGACACAATCCAGCGACTTGAAGAATCCTTGGCCACAATTCCGCCTGCCGATCGGCCAGAGTGGCGGCTTACAGACGCGATCCTCGCTGGAGCAGATACCTCCCGGATCGCCGAGGCAGCAGTATCGCAACCATTATGTACCGCAATCCAGATCGTGCTTGTCGACCTTCTTCAATCAGCTGGCCTTACCTTTGCATCTGTTGTCGGACACTCCTCAGGCGAGATCGCCGCGGCATATGCCGCTGGTTTCATCTCCGCCCATGATGCTATCCGCATTGCGTACTACCGTGGATTCTATGCTCGACTTGCTATTAATGATAATAATGGCCAGAAAGGCGCGATGCTTGCGGTTGGAACGTCCTTGGAGGATGCACAGGAGCTGCTTAGCTTGCAAGCTTTCACTGGTCGGCTGGGTCTCGCCGCCCACAATTCTCCAGCTAGCGTGACGTTGTCAGGGGATGCCGATGCCGTGATTCAGGCAAAGAAGGTGTTCGATGAGGAAAAGAAGTTTGCAAGACTGTTGAAAGTCGACACCGCCTATCATTCTCACCATATGTTACGATGTGGTGATCCTTATGTTGCCGCCCTGCGAGCTTGCGGGATCCGAATCAACCGGGACCGAAACAGCACCTGCAAGTGGTTCTCGAGCGTGAGTCCAAGAGCGGAAGCAATGGAAGCTATCCCGGAGCTGCAGGATATCTATTGGAGGGATAACATGGTCAATACCGTGCTGTTCGCAGATGCAGTCAACAATGCCGTTACTGGCGATGAGCAAATCAACGTCGCTGTTGAAGTTGGCCCTCACCCAGCCCTCCAAGGCCCAGCTAGCCAGAATATTGCCGAAGTACGCCTCAGTGCCTTGCCATATACCGGCCTCCTAAGTCGTGGAAAGGATGACGTCGAAGCTCTCTCCGATGCTTTCGGCTTTATCTGGACCATTCTTGGCGGCAAGGGAATTGACTTGCAGGCTTACGAAAATACATTGACCGGAAACCTACATCCCCACGGGCTAGTGGTTGGTCTCCCATCCTATCAATGGAACCACGGACGAGTCCACTGGACGGAATCTCGTAAATCACGAAAGATTCGTGGTCGAAAGCAGGCTCCACATGAACTACTCGGTTCTTTGTGTCCAGACTCCAATCCCCACGATATGCGTTGGTCAAATTTGCTCAAGGTTTCAGAGATTCCGTGGCTTGAAGGTCATCAGCTGCAAGGTCAAACCGTCTTCCCTGCTGCCGGTTATGTCGCTATGGCCCTCGAGGCGTGCCGGAACCTTGCGACGGAGAAACCGGTTGAGCTGTTTGAACTCCACGATCTTTCCATTCCGAAAGCCATTACCTTCGAGGAAGGCGATACTTTGGGTGTCGAAACTCTTGTTACGCTGACCGGGATCGAGCACCGCCAGGATAAGACTGCCACTGCCGACTTTTCAATTTATTCTTGCCCCAATGTCAGCGTTGGTTCAGATCACGACATGGAGCTCATGGCGAGCGGCACGGTCAAAATCTCGTTTGGCACACCTGACATTGAAGCATTGTTCTGCACTCCAGTAGATGATTACAACATGAGCGCAGTTGACCCGGATCGCTTCTATGCCGCTCTCTCCAAGTTAGGATACGGCTATTCCGGCTCATTTCGAGGAATGTCTTCGATGAAACGTCGACTAACCCAGTCTTCTGCCCTGGTGGACACATACCCTTATGCCGATAGCGATTCAACTTTCTATCTCGTCCATCCCAGCATGCTTGATGTCGCATTCCAATCCTCCATGCTGGCATACTCGGCCCCAGGGGATGAACATCTCTGGTCTCTCCATGTTCCTACCGCCATTCGGAGCATTCGCGTCAATCCAGAAATTTGTGCATCGCTTCCAATCTCTGGCACCAAAGTGCCAGTAACTGCGTCCCTCAATGGGGAATCCGAGTCTTTCTCTGCAAGCATCGACATTTTCGGCGAAGACGGTCATCAAAGCATGATTCATGTAGATGACCTTGTTATCAAGCCTTTTGCCCCTGCGAGAGAGGCGGACGATCGGCGACTATTTTCGTACACAAAGTTCAGTCATGCGTCTCCCGATGGCTCCTCCATTTTGAACTCGATCCGTCCCACAGAGGCCGAAGTTGAACTAGCTACAGCGTGCGAGAGGATCTCGTATTACTATGTTCGCAAGTGGAAGTTGGAAATCACAGATGACGAATGGGCAAACGGCCAACCCCACCATTCTTATCTTCGTGGTTTTGTGGACCACACACTCGCTGGCGCGGGAAGGGGACAGCATCCAACCTTGAAGAAGGAATGGGCGGACGACACTTCGGAAGACATCCAGAAACTGATTGCCCACCACGCCAATGATATCGATGTTCAACTCCTCTCAGCAGTCGGAGACAATATCCCAGCTGCTGTGCGAGGCCGAACAACGATTCTGGAGCACATGTTGCCGAACGGCATGCTGGATAACTTCTATCGGCACGGACTAGGGTTCTCAAGGTACAACATGTTTCTGGCAGATATGATGAAGCAGGTGGTCCACCGATACCCGCATGCAAGGATTCTTGAGATAGGTAAAATACCCAGTGCAGCTCCCACAGGTGCCTATTTGACTGACTGTTTCATGTATCAGGTGCCGGAACAGGTGGAGCTACAAAGTCCGTCCTTGAAGCGGTTGGGGGCACCATGTCCTCATATACTTACACCGATATATCAGTGGGCTTTTTCCCAAGAGCCTCGGAGATCTTCAAGGAATACAATGATCGGATGACGTTCAAAGTTCTAGATGCCGAGAAAACACCGGCGAGCCAGGGATATGAGGAGAACTCATACGACATTGTCATCGCTTCCAACGTCTTGCATGCGACAGCCAATCTCCAGAGGACCCTGGAAAACACGCGCCGACTTCTGAAGCCAGGCGGATACCTTATGCTCCTGGAAATTACGGATAATGATCCCATTCGGTGCAGCACCATCATGGGTGGTCTTCCAGGGTGGTGGCTTGGTGTTGACGACGGCCGCAGATATGCGCCCACTGCTTCTCCTTCGGTCTGGCACAAAACACTGCGCAAAGCTGGATTTGGGGGTATAGATGCAATCACTCCCAAGGTTGACGGCCCAGCCTGGCCTTTCTCCATCATTGCCAGTCAGGCTGTGAATGACCAAGTTATGTTCCTTCGACGACCGCTTTCATTGCCCTCTTCTCCCATCGCCATCCAGAGCTTGGTTATATTGGGAACCGAGAGCTTGGAAACTGATCGGATTGCTGAGGAAGTTGCGGACAGCCTCGGACGCTTCTCCGGCAAAACAACTGTCCTTAATGGACTGCCCAGTGAAGCCGAGGCGCGAACAATTGATGATCAGAGTACATTCATCAACCTGGTAGATTTGGATTTCCCGATTTTCAGAAATATCACGTCGGAGAAGATGAATGGGCTGAAACGAATGTTTGAACGGGCGAGACACGTGCTTTGGGTAACCCGTGGTGCCCTGGTGGAAGAGCCGTATCATATGGCCAGCTCAGCCTTTAGCCGCTCTATCCGGAATGAGGCAACACATATCAGCTTGAACCACCTCGACATCTCTTTCCTTGACGAAAACAGTCCGAAACTCATTGCGGAGCAACTTCTGCGGCAATGTGCCCTCGAGGAATGGGAGCACCAGAAGCTTCTGTGGACCAAGGAACCAGAGACCTTCCTGGAAAACGGAAAACTGAAGATCCCTCGCCTTTTGCACGACGTGGAAAGGAATGCCAGATTGAATTCCTCAAGGCGTCCCATCACCAAGACAGTTTCGGTCGCAGATTCCAAGTTCTCTATCGAGCAGAGTGCAACATCTCCTCTTGCTCTAGTGGATGACGCCACTTCTGTTGCAATGAAGGACGATCAGCAATCTATCCAAGTTGAAACTTCAGGTTTGATGGCATTACATGTTGCATCTGGTGCATTCTTGTTCCTGGCGACCAGCAAATCTGATGCAGATACGCGCATTGTGGTTGCGTTGTCAACGACAAACTCATCGACGGCGACACCTGTCGCATCCACCACTGCAGTTGTTGACACAGTCAATACCTCTTCGGTCTGTTTGCACATCGCAATTACGGCCGAACTTCTCGCCACGTCATTGGTTGACAGCCTACCTGCGGGAAGCAGTCTCCTGGTTTGCTGCTCCGAGAGATACCGGTTCCTCGTCGCTGCTCTATCACGAAGACTTGCGGGAGGTAACGATCTCACTGTCACCTTTTTATCTGACACTAAAGAGAGCCAAGGCGCATCAGAATCATCATGGATCCGGTTGACTGCTCGAACATCCAGACAGGTGGTCCGGAAAACGGTGCTTCGCTTGAAACCCACTCATTTCCTCGATTTGACAGCAGATTCGACCATTCCTCCAAGCTACCTTAGTCTGAACATTTCAGAAACCTTGTCCCCAGGATGCAAGCAGATTGCACAATCAGATTTGTTACAACAACAGGCTGTGCTTCCCCTATCACTTGACCAAGAACAGCTCGAGCTCCTACTAGCAGATGCCGTCGCTCGTGCAACAACATCGGCGGTATCTATCAGTCCAGACAGTTTGCAGGATATTGTCATTGATGTCAGCCAAATCTCGTCTCGGTCAGCACCTCACCATCCAACGACTGTCGTTGACTGGACCGTACGTGCAGGTGTCAAGGCCGAGGTACGTCCCCTGGACGCCCGAAAGCTCTTTTCTCAGGACAAGACATACATCCTCTTTGGTCTCAGCAGTCAGCTCGGACAGTCGCTTTGCGACTGGATGGTTGCTAACGGAGCGGGCGTTGTGTGCCTTACAAGTCGTAAGCCTAAGATTGACCAGAGATGGTTGGACTCGTTCCAGCAGACCAAGGCGACTGTCAAGGTGTTCGCGATGGACGTGACCGACAAAGACAGCGTGGCGAATATCGTGAAGACCATCCGTCTCACTTGTCCCCCGATCGCTGGAGTCACCAACGGAGCTATGGTACTCAGTGACGCCCTATTCACAGGAATGACGTTTGAGGCTATGCGAGACGTGCTCCAGCCTAAGATCGACGGATCCTACAACCTAGACCAGGAGTTCTATCAAGATGAGCTTGACTTCTTTGTCCTGTTTTCTTCTGGTGCTTGTGTTGTTGGTAATTCGGGCCAGGCCAACTATGCGGCAGCCAATGGATACCTGAATGGTCTGGCCAGACACAGGCGCAGACGCGGCCTGCGTGCCTCGACATTTGACATTGGCCTTGTGGCTGGTATTGGATACGTCGAGAGTGCCGCTCAACATGTCGTTGATCAGCTGGGGAAATATGGTATGACTGTCCTCTCTGAGTCGGATTTCCGCCGCGCCTTTGCGGAGACTATCCTCGCTGGATATGTGAGCGCGCAAGATAAGGAAAACTTCCCTGACGCAGTTCTGACAACCGGTATTCGAACCATGACGGACGACGAGACCAACGTGGTTTGGTATGCCAACCCTGTCTTCTCTCACTGCATCCTGCACGCCAAGGCTTCCGAGACCGATGCGAATAATGAGAGTGAAACGAAGGCCAAAGCTCTCCCTGTCACAGAGCAGCTACTGCGGTCGGCAAATAAGGAGGAAGCTCTCGAGCTGCTGCAGGGTAAGTCTGAAAGACTGATATCGGGTCATGTACCCAGGCTAACACAATCCTATTAGAGTCATTTTCAGCGAAGCTACGTGTCATTCTGCAGATCGATGACCAAAAAATCGAGTATGACGCCCCTCTAGTTGATCTCGGAATTGACTCACTCGTCGCTGTTGAAGTGCGGTCATGGTTCCTGAAGGAGCTTAAGGTCGATGTCCCGGTGCTGAAGATTGTTGGCGGAGCCACTTTGGTTGAGATTTGTGAACAAGTCATGAAAAAGCTACCCGAGCAACTTGTAGTTAAGATTGAGACCGGGAATACTGTTGCAGCCCCTGCGAAGTCTGTTTCGAAGTCTTTACCCGTGCCATCATCGTCGGTATCTTCAGCACCCTCTCCTTCATCAGCAAATAGTTCTACCTCAGGGTGCGAGGCAACTCCTGGAACAGAAACCCCAAAAAGTGGAGGCACATCTGACTCTCCTCTTACGCAGGCGCTGACAAGCATGGAGGACTCTACGAAAGCCAGCACTGCGTCTCCTGCTCCAATTCCTCCCGCCCTCGACTTCGTGAAGAGTGAACCCATCTCACTCGGGCAATCACGATTCTGGTTTCTCCAACGCCTCGTCACGGACATGACCACATTCAATGTCACCTTCTACTTTATGATGACTGGTCACATTCGCGTCGGGCACCTTGAGCGCGCCGTTCAAGCTGTCACGGCAAGACACGAAGCACTCCGTACATGCTTTATTGGATCAGACACCGAGCCAGACGTAGCTTATCAGAACGTCATGGCTGATTCTCAGATTAAGCTGGAGCGCAAGAATATCAAAAAGGCTGAGGATGTTGCCGCCGAGTATGCTAAGTTACGCGCTCACCAGTTTGATCTTGCCAGTGGCAAGTTGCTACGACTTATTCTCCTGACTTTGTCGCCGACTTGCCATTATCTTTTGGTCAACTACCATCATATTGTTATGGATGGCGCTAGCTTCCAAGTTTTCATATCTGACCTGGAAAAGGCTTACAATGGCCAAGCTCTCGGTTCTGCACCCCGGCAATATCCTGACTTTGCGGCAGCTCAACACAAAGCCTTAGAGAACGGGCAAATGAGTGATGAACTCAATTACTGGCATAGTGTTTTCCCCGCTACCGAGGAGCCACCGGTCTTGCCACTGCTGCCTATGGCTCGGACTACTTCCAGAGTGGGCATCACAAATTACAAGGTTCACCAGGTTGATACCCAGCTAGGAACAGAGGTACTTGCGAGAATCAAGTCGATATCCAAGACGCAGCGATCAACACCCTTCCACTTCTTCATGGCAGCGTTCAAGGCGATGCTATTCTCCTTCACTGACGCCCAGGAGTTGACTATCGGCATTGCAGATGCCAATCGCAATGACAGTGATGTAATTAACAGCATTGGCTTCTTCCTCAATTTGCTCACCCTTAAGTTCCATCGCCAGCCCGACCAAAGTTTTGCCGACGCTATTTTGGAGGCTCGCACAACCGCCTATGCAGCGCTGGAGCACTCGCGACTGCCATTCGATGTGCTTCTCCAGAAGCTCAACGTTTCTCGGTCTTCGTCCTACAGTCCCTTTTTCCAGGCATTTTTTGACTACCGACAAACGCCTCGAGAGAAACAACGTCTTTGCAACTGCATATTCGACTTGCAAGAGGCACACCCGGGAAGATCAGCATATGACATTGCCTTGGATGTGACGGACAATACCACCAACGCCCATGTTGTACTTCGAGTGCAGAAAGGGCTTTACGACAAGACGGCAGCAGATCTGCTACTGGAGACATATATCCAATTTATCACCGTTCTGTCTGAGGACATTTCTCTCCGATTGAAGGACACCCCGCTCTTTAGTGAAAAGCAGCTTGCTCATGGTGTTACAGTTGGCCGCGGTGAGCTTAATACCCACATAATTCTCTGTCTGAAAATACATTTCACTGACCTGCTGGCCTATGTGCATTAATCAGGCCCGGACATGCTCTCAGATTGGCCGCCAACGCTACCCCATCGCATAGATCAAATCGCCCAAGAAAATCCCAACAAGACTGCTTTAATGGACGGTCACGGTAGCAGTCTCACATACAAGGCAATGATGGATCGTGCTCAAGCCATTGCTGAGGCTCTCTTATCTGCTGGAGCTGGCCCATCCTGCCGGATCCTCGTTTTCCAACGAGCTTCGGCAGACTGGGTCTGCTCTATGTTGGCAATCATGCGCATTGGAGGTATATATGTGCCGCTGGATCTTCGAAACCCCATTTCACGTCTCTCATCCCTAGCAAAGGACTGCAAGCCCACTGCCATCTTGGTGGACGGTAGTTCCTCGGGAGATGACGTTTCCCAGCTCAATGTTGCTCTCACAATCGACATATCTCGTGTACCAGCGACACCGTCGGCGCCCGTCACCAACCGCGCACAACCCGACTCGCCAGCGGCTATTCTGTATACCAGTGGCTCGACTGGTACCCCCAAGGGCATCATGGTCAAACATTCCGGTATTCGAAATGAGATGGAAGGTTATAACAAGACCTACAATCTTGGAGCGGAACGAGTCATACAACAGAGTGCCTTTACCTTTGACTTTTCTGTTGATCAGATCTTCACAGGCCTTGTGAACGGCGGCCTGGTCTATATTGTGCCATGGAGCAAACGTGGCGATCCAATTTCAATTACGGAAATTATCCGCGACCACGCTATCACGTACACGAAGGTCACTCCCTCGGAGTACTCGCTTTGGATGCAGTACGGCGCGAAGAATCTATGTCAGGCAACCAGCTGGCAGTTTGCGTTTGGCGGTGGTGAGCCGTTGACCAAAACTGTTCTCCGACAATTTGCCGACCTAGGTCTGCCACAGCTGCGTGTTCACAACTCGTACGGTCCAGCTGAAATCTCTATTGCATCCCATAAAATGGAGATCGAATACCGTTTGCATGGACCTGAAGAAGAGGGACCTGTCTCATGTGGCTACTCTCTCCCTAACTACACCACTTACGTTCTGGACAAGAACTTGCGGCGATTGCCAGTTGGTATGCCCGGGGAGGTGGTGATCGGCGGTGCCGGTGTGTCTGCAGGTTATTTGAACAATAAGGAGCTGACTGCCCATCACTTCGTGCCAAATCCTTATGCAACTCCAGAGTATGTGTCCAATGGCTGGACACTGATGCATCGCACTGGCGATATTGGCCATTTGCAACATGATGGGTGCTTAATTTTCCGAAATCGCATGGCGGGCGATACACAAGTCAAGATCCGCGGCCTACGCATTGAGCTGCGTGACATCGAAACCAATATTATTCAAACTGCCGGCGGTGCTCTCAAAGAAGCCATTGTCACCCTGCGACCAGGTGATCCTGAATTCCTCGTCGCACATGTCGTTTTTGCCCCGCAGCATGACGTGAGGAGCAAGAATACTTTCCTGGAACACCTGCTCGGTCGTCTTCCAATTCCTCAATACATGATTCCTGTCCTCGCAATCCCGTTGGACGAACTTCCTCTGACTAGCCACCACAAGGTGGATCGGAGTGCAGTCAAAAACTTGGCTCTTCCTGAGCGAGGTGCAGTTAATACTCACGATGAAGGAAAGCTAACTGAAACAATGGTCCAACTGAGACGAGTTTGGCGACAGGCCCTGGGGAAGAGTCATGAGAAACTCGGGCTTTCCATCACTCCTTCAACCAGCTTCTTCTTGATCGGTGGAAACTCCCTTCTAGCAATTCGACTTCAGAGCCAGATACGCTCAACCTTTAACGTTGTCATCCGTCTTGTCGACCTTCTCAATGCGAACACGCTCGGACAAATGGCAAGAGAAATCGAAAGCAGCCCCAACGTTGGGCGCATTGACTGGGACCTGGAGACCGCTCCACCACCTATTCCTGAGTTCCTTGTCGATGCTGCTGGTGCTCTCTCGGCTGTATCTGATAAAGAGAAAGGCACCAAGTCGGTACTGATTACTGGTGTCACTGGTTACATTGGACGCCACCTTCTCCCATTGCTGTCCGAACAACCCAGCGTTCACATGATTCACTGTGTCGCTGTGCGAGACAAGACCTGTAATAAACTGAGTAAGCTGATTAGTTCAGCCAAGATTAAAATCCATGGAGGTGATCTCTCCGAGCCGCTACTGGGGCTGACAGAGGACGAGTTCCGACGCTTGTCTGGCGACGTTGACGTGATTCTACATCTTGGCGCCGTACGCTCATTTTGGGATAATTACAACATCCTTCGTCCAAGCAATGTACACCCGACTACGGAGCTAGTCAAACTGGCTGCCACACGCCGAATCCCCATTCATTTCATCTCAACTTCAAGCGTTTTGGGCGTCTCTGCGACCGTCCAAACTGCCGTTTCAGCTGCCTCTCAAGAGCCACCAACTGATGGCACTCATGGCTACATTGCAACAAAGTGGGCGAGCGAGCGTATTCTCGAGCGTTCATCCCGGAAACTGGGCGTCCCGTCATTTATCCACCGCTTCCACCCGTCTTTCCAGCCGCAGACAAGCGAAGCGAAACATGCGGTATTGGATGAATTTGTTCGCTGCATCGACCTTGCCGGCGCAGTGCCTGATACCACTGGCTGGGACGGCCACATTGACTTGGTTCCCGTTCAGCAGCTTTGCAAATGGCTATGTGAATCTATTTTATCTGAGCGCCCAGGAGCTACAAACGCTGCTAGTACTGCCATGTGCTCAAATATCCAGTTCACTCACTATGAGAGCCCCATCAGGATTGAAGTTGCTGAGCTCAAGAAGCATATTGATGAGCAACGAGGTGGCCGTGGCTTGGAGCGATTGCAGGCACTCTCCTGGATGGGTCGAATCAAAGCTCTTGGTTTTGCGTATGTTTTGGCCTCCCAAGAGACGACTGTCGAAAACCTCCATGGAGCGGGCGAGGGAGCCAAGTTTACCTCGCGAAGGTGATTGAGTTATAGTGGCCTTTTTAGATGTTAGAGATGTACAGCTAGGATATCATGAGTTACATGCTCGGCATGTCAATATTGTTTCAGGCTTTCAGTTTCTTTTGATTTGGTTTTGGTTTTGGTCTTTGGTGTTCTTGATTTGCTTCTGGATTTCTTTTATAGAATTATCTTCAAAATGTGAATTATCTATCAATTTTCCAACTAATTATTCACTGCATGTTTCCCACTGCGTTTGATCTCAGACTGCGCTGCCCTTATAAATGTCTCCCAATTACCAAAGGGGTTGTATGTTGAGATTTGAAAGCCGCAGGTAAATGGTCGCTGTCAATCTCCAGAGTGTCCGAATACCATTCTACATCGATGGACTGATTTCACTTCCCTATCTACATTTACGGACCTAATATACCCATACCAGAGAAAGGAGCCAAACATGCAAGCAACGTGTAAGTTCACTGGTGGCAATTAGGTGAGCATGGAGGTTGTTAGGCCTGGCGGCATTCAGTATCACAAATGGCTTTGGGTATAAATCCCAGTTCTCTGTGATCCATGATTCACACATAGAATATACCCCCTCCCGTATTGTGCGACAAGAATTTTAATCGCCCAATGCAGCGTAAAACCGCAGGCCTTCATTTTTCCCGATCACTTTCACTTGGGAGTTGAAAAAGAAAAGACACCGAAGCAAAGTCCCGGCACCGAGCCAGTGGCCCGAAGTAAGCCCCGAAGATGCCACCGAACAAAAGCCCGAACAAGGTTGATCCAATTAGTGATGGGAGCAGCAACCACAAAAGAGATTAAGTAATGTAAACCACATACTAAGAAGTCTGAGAGAAATTCTTTCGGACGATTTCACATTCACATCACATCTCTTCCCTATATCAACATGGCCGCAAGCGTGGAAGTAATCGAGCGCAATGCCGCTATCAAAGCCCGTCTCTCACAAGTGACAGATTTGATAGAAGAGCTCTGTGACCTTTCTATCGCTCAAGGACAGGACCCGACACTGGACGAAAATGGACAACGTAACCAGACTCATAGAGCCGTCGTGGAAGAGGTTTGGAAGCTTCTTTACACCATTCGGGGCCCTGTGGATTCCATTTTCAGCCATTTTGAGAATGTGAGACTTCAAAGTTTTTATCACTTCCATCAGCTGTGCTTACCCTGTCAATATAGGCAGCCCACACCAGTGCGCTTCGAGCCCTGATGGAAATGGGGGTCTTTACTTCTCTGCCTCAAGATGGCAGTAGTAAAACAGCCGACAGCTTGGCTCAAGAGTTGAGTGTGGACAAAGATTTGCTCGGTCAGTTCCAATATTTGATCTTTGTTACCGTGTGCTGATGGGATATACCCAGTTCGACTCCTTAGGATCACCACAATTTGGGGTCCATTCAAGGAAGACGATATCGAGACGTACAGTCACACACCTTACTCGCTTGTTTATCTCATTCCTGGCCTCCAAAGTACTTTCAAGCTAATGTTAGATCAAGTTACCTAACTTATGTGATTATATGAACTAACCGCCTTATATAGGGCGGATGAGGGTCACCCGGTCTGGGTGCAATGGTCCAAGTTCTTCCAAACCCACGGATGGGTCAATCCTGTTGACAACGTAAAAAGCCCATGGTCATTCATTCATGGAACGGGGGACAAAACAGCCTGGGAGTATCTCGCGCAGTTCCCCGAACGTTTCCAAGCCTTCAATGATGCTATGCAGGCGCAGACCAGCGCCACTGTCTGGACCGTGGAGTTGTATCCATTTGCTCAGGCTCTTGCGGAAGTCCCATCATCAGCTGATACGCCTTTGGTGGTCGACATTGGAGGGGGAAAGGGACTCGCTCTACGACGGATCCGGGAGCTGGTGGGCAAAGATGTCACTGGTCGATTTATTCTTCAGGACCTTCAGGTGGTGCTGGATGATGCCACAACCGAGGAAGTGGCGGGCCTCGAAGTCCAGGCAGTGGATTTCTTCCAGCCACAGCCAGTGAAGGGTATGTTTCTGATTTTGTAGTTAAGGAAGTTTCCGCTAATTTCGACTTCACAGGAGCTACGGTTTACTATGTACGTCGAGTGCTACATGACTGGTCTGATGAGGTCTGCGTCAACATCTTGCAGAACATCGCGACGGCCATTACCGATAAGGTCTCACAGCGAGTGGTCATTGCCGAGAACATTATCCCCAGCAAGAATACTGGGGTCGAGGCCGCTTGGCAGGATATGACTATGATGGCTCTCGGGGGAACTGAAAGGACTCTCAAGCAATGGGAGGCGATGCTGAGCAAGGCTGGATTCCAGCTTCATCGAACATTTATTGCCCCAGGGACAAACTATGCTGCCATTGAAGCTTTTTTGATATAGACTAGACGGTCCGATTAACCGAGAGTACCCTGCGTATCTAGGTGTTCGAAGAGGAATGTGGTCATTTAAATCCTAAAACGCGATACCTTGGGTGTTCCTATACTTACTGTGAGCGGCAAGCCTAAGAGAGGAAAAGGATCTATTCGTATAAAGACACTAAGCTAGAGAGGAAGGAGGCAGACGCGAGCAAAACTACGACATGTAACCCCGTCTTTCTTTACCGCCTTCATGATTGCAAACAAGACAAACAGGGCAAACTATTGTCGACGTCGGACCAATGGGAATCCTCGACACCAAAGGCGGTCAGTACCTCTTGGTCACGTGCTTCATAATCTCCGAGGACGGCGGCGGTAGCCTAGTGGTAGCCTAGCGGTATCTGACGCCGTCCTCGCCAGGGTTCAATGCCCGGCACTTGCAGACCGAAAAGAACAACAATCTTTGGAACCCGGAGAGAACAGCTGCTCTCCACATTTCTTTTTCACTGTGCTTGTCTTTTGGACCCAAAGGGTGACCATGCCCTTAATCTTGAGCCTCAAGTGGTATTCCACTCCCCACAGATGTGCCCGGGAGGTCTCACTTCTATGCACCCGTTGGCTATTGTATGCTGCTTCATCGGAGTCAGGATTTATCAGAAAATGCTAGCATTAACTTTAGTGACTCTGTCCGACGACCTTTTATAGCTGAAAGAAGTGTCCTAGTTCATATATGATGTTCTGAAATAACTGAAAACGTGTAGAAAACCAAGCAATCACGACTAATTCTATTCTCCGGTTTATATCAGCACTAGCTCCTGGACTTTCAGATGTAACCTATACGCAAATCTGTGTCAAACCTTATGGTGTTTAACACGGTGAACATGGAATTTACAAAATAGACCGGTTGGTCGGGACATAGGATGAGGTACATATATATCGTGAAGCTTTCTAGGGGATTTCATATCTTTTCTCTATATTAATCGAAGTCAAAGCCTAGCTACAAGGGTCGCAAAAAAAAAACCCCTAAACGATGCGAATAGAACCATCGAGACACACGAATGAACATCTGGCCAATAACAACACTGGAAATGATAAAGGGGGCTTATAGTGGATCCAAATTGGTCAATCACAACACCTCTCTAATTTGCCTTTATTGCAACCTCTCGGCTTCCTGCGCGTGATTGCTCTTTCGTGTCATGCTCGTTTTCTTCTTTGCCTCTTCCACTGCTGATGTTCATCAGATCAGCCGAAATGCCCGCAATGCACCAACTCTCCAATCTTCTTAGCCTCAATTAAACAAATGATGCCGGACATGCAATCAGATTTAGGCTCAGACTGCGGGACCCTTCGGGAGTCCGACCGCGATCTCCGTTATCAAATCCCTGAATATCAGCCGCTCCTAGACGTCCTGCCCCAGTCAGACACGAAACGTGTCGACTCTCACGGAGTTCTCATTATTATATGCACTATTTGCTCATTATTCATTTGCTGTGCCCTGAATGGATTGCTCACGCTCAATATCGCGCAAATATCGTCAGAACTCAAATTAACCCCTGGTGTTGAATTATGGTGAGCGCCCACCCCCACACTATTATCTAGTGGTCATAGGCTACAATGAATATCCCAATCTGATCAAACTGTTAGGCCAATATCCTTGTTCTTTCTTACGCAGGGATGCACCTTCATTCTGGCGGGATCATTGACAGATGTCCTAGGCAGCCGAAGGGTGTTCCTATCAGGTTGCTTCCTGCAGACTGTTTGTTACCTGACTACGGGGCTTGCTCAAGGTGGTGCGCAGCTCATTGCTTCTAGAATTGTGTCCGGCATGGCATACTCAATGTGCCTCCTTTCCTCCATGAGCATTCATAGAGAGAATCTGCAGGTTGGGAAGTTGCGTGATTTAGCTTTTTCCTCTACCACTGCATGCCAATATGTCGGCCACGGTGCGGGAATCATACTCGCTGGGCTTCTTTCAGTGACTACCGGCTGGCGATCAGGCTTTCATTGTGCTGCAATCGTTAGCCTATGCGGCTTCCTTCTCTCGATATGGACTATTCCCAAACAAGCTGAAGAACCCAAGGGTATTCCATGGAGGGAGTTATACGAAGATATTGACTGGCTTGGGACTTTGCTAGCCAGCTTCCTCATGGCACTTTTGTTCTTTGCGCTGGCGTATGTATACCCAGCTACCCCCATTGACTTTCGGAGACCACATTGTACTGACGGCTTGGATAGTGCCATTACAAACCATGTTGCGGATATCTGTAAATCAGGTCTTTTTATCCCTCTCGCTCTTGGGTGGCTTTTCCTAGTGGCGTTTCTGTTTTGGCAGGACTGCTGGGATAGAGACAGCACACAAGGTGTCCAAGATTCACTTTGGACGAAGGGCCATTTCATATGCATCAGTCTGGTTGTTTTCTTCGTCTACTTCTCTTTTCACTCATCCTCACAACTTGTTGTTCTGGTATTTGAACGAGTACAGGGTCTCTCGGTTCTTCAATCTTCTTGGAGATTCCTGCCAGTTCCAGTTGCTGGCGCATTAGGCGGTCTGATTACAGGGAAGTTCCTGCCGCGCCTTCGCGCCAACAAGATCCTTGAGATTGCAATCATCATATCGAGTCTCCCGCCATTTATTATGGCTATCTTCAAACCTACGTCGTCGTACTGGGGATATGAATTCTTTGCCGTTTCACTTGGTTCAATCGCGCCGAGCGCCACCATTCTTATTTCTAGCATGATCATTGCTGAAAGTCTGCCTTTCGAGACTCAGGGTTTGGCGACAGGGGTCATTTGCACCGTTGCCATGGTCGGATCGTCTATTGGCATGTCGTTGGCTGGATTTATCTCATATGATGTGACCACGTCTCAAAGTCGAGTTCCTGGTGAAAGTGCATCTTTCATGGAGTCCCCAGAGGCAATCATGGGCGGCTATCGAGCAGCCTTTTGGTTTTTGTTTGTAATGAACATAGTCGGTCTCGGTATCACCCTGTGTTGTCTGCGGAAGATTGGATACCTGGGACGCACATTAAATTTAACATAGCTAGTCCATCCAACCTTGTTCAAATTCGGCTATCCAATGGCATCAATATTACTTCGTTCTCGGACGTTCATCTCTCACGCAGCCGGAGTAAACCCATGCAGTTGACATGCGCTCTCCCACTTCACAAGAATGCTTCTGGACCCGGATACAGCCTTCACCAGCAATTGGCCATAAAATCACCCTTCAACTACTACCTTCCCCTCCCGAGAACATAGGAAATGAATGACAACCCTATATCTACCCAATGACATTTCGTCTGAGTAACCATCCATCGGCTAATATGCCTGCCTAGAGTACGACAACGCAATCTCGTGAAGAAGCAATCAGATTACATACATTACAAAACGCCCATCATTTCTCAATCCCGGCCGATGGAAGTCCCACTTGAATCAACAACCATGACACCCGCAATCCAAAGTATCCTATTCCTCACAAGTCCCGAACACGGGCAATCAAACGTGGGACTCGCAGTAGCAGAAGAGTTCCTCCAGAGCGGAGAGTACGAAGTGCATATAGCGTCCTTCCATCCATTAGCAGCACGCGTCCAAGCAATCAACAATCAAGCTGGTTTCGACCGAGTTGCACGCTTTCATACAATCGCAGGTCTGTCAATGAGTGAGCTCGTCGCTCGCGGGACACCTAATATATGCCATAAGCCCGGGATTGCAGGTACGCTGGATGGCTGTGAAAAGATTAACAAATCTGTTCTTGCTTGGAGTCCTGAAGAGTATCTGCGATCGTACCGGAGTTGTCTTGAGATTTTGAAGGTTGTTCAACCAGTCGTCGTGGTTGTTGATCCGCTCTTGCATCTTGGCTTGGACGCTGCTCGCAGTGCTCAGATGAAAATCGTCATTCTTTGGCCTGTGCCATTGAAAGATGTGGTTATTATGGTACAACCCAAGCTTGGGATTCTGTGGAAATATCCTCTGTGTGCCACCATGCCCTACTTCAATGAGTCAAAGGATTAAGCTGACTTTTCTTGTTTAGCACGGGGTCAGGCTACCCTTTCCCACTCCCTTGGCACTTAATTCTCCCAAACACCTACATGGTCCTCTGTTTCGGTCTTATTGTCCGCCTCGGCAAACCAATGCGGGAGCTTTTGAAATGCCGCAAGAAAGCAGGGATCGTGACACCATTTCCTCATCTGCTGCCCTACTGCGCAGAGCATTTACATCTATCGCCCTGCTTTCCAGCGATGGATTTCCCGCTACATGTCCCCGAGAATGTGATTAGCTGCGGACCAATCCTCCGACCTCATTCATCACTAGCAGCAAACGACCCCTCCCTAAACGCATGGTTGACAGTACCAACTATTCTGATATGTCTCGGGTCCCACGTCCAAGCCCTAGAAAATGATGCAATGCAAATGGTACGGGCTATCCAAACGGTTTTCAGTAAATACTCTGATATCCATGTCCTATGGAAGCTGCGATATGACTGGGAAACTTCACCCCGAGTTAAAGCCATTCTTGGACCACTGGTTTACTCTGATAAAGTGAGAGTGGTCTCGTGGATCCAGCCGGAGATTATATCGCTCTTGGAAAGCGGGAATATAGTTGCCTATGTGCACCACGGCGGGGCAAACTCGTTCTTTGAAGCTTGCAAGTAAGTTTTTGTTAGTTTCACAGTTGACCAAGAAGATATAGCGCTGACTACCATGTTCTAGAGGAGGCATTCCACAGGTTGTTCTGCCACAGTGGTTCGATACGTATGATTGTCCGTCGCGGATAGAGTGGCTTGGAATTGGCGTGCATGGGAGTCGCAATGTGGCACCGAAGATAGGGGCGTCGGAACTCTCTTCGGCGTTATTGCGAGTTCTGAAAGATAAAGGGATCCAGAGACGGGCTAGGGCCATTGGGGATCTTTGCATGGCGACTGAAGGAAGGGTTGTTGCTCATGATCATATTTTACAGTATTCCAAGGAAGATATCGGAGCATTCGGGGGGTTCAATCGCGCGTTGAAATATGGGACCTCTGTATAATTGTTGCAGGACAGGGGATTCAGAAATGGAAATAATGACAAAGTTTCAGATTAACACCAACATAATAATAGTAATATGACCAGCCAGAGAGAGCCATCGTTATCCATAAAGTCAGTCGTAGAGGTCATACAAGAATGCAATCCCGAGCACAAAACACCCTTCCAGAGAACACGGTCACACAGTCGATAACTCTCTTAGAACACGTCGGACATCCTCGCGAGCACGGCTCAGCTCCTCATCCACTGTGCCATTGGCGTGGCGTGCTTTAACTTCGTAATGTAACTCAACCAGCTCCTTTGCACGACGGAGATCATCTTTATCAGTTGACGCGCTGGAAGCCTCGGCAGATTCTGAGCTTGCGATATTTTTATGCACATTGACTAAGGCGAGTGCCTCATTGTGGCCCTGTAGGATGTTATTAGATTTGTCACTCTGTGTGGCTCCTGTCTCTGGAATACAGCTTGCGCGCGTTTGTCGGCATGTGGAGCCCCTCATCGAGGCTCTAACCCGGAAGAGTGGCGGGAACACTTACACAGACGCGGAGGGAATTTATGTCTGATAGGATTTCTGCTACTTGCATGATGATGTGGTTATTTGGCAAGTTGTTGACGAGGGGCGGTCAGGTTGCGATGGACTTGCCACCAAATATGGATGTTATCTTGGCAGACGCAAGGTCCGTTGTATAGAGTGGCTTTTCAGGGTCAAGGACCACAGCGATCGTTGTTTTAAAAGTCTCAAATATCAGACCTGATTAGTTAATTAACACTTAGAGCACCACTCCTTACTAAATTTACAGATACACGTTCAGCTACGAATGTCGCAAATCGCGTCCCGGAGCGTGCCAGGTGGGTCCGGGTCAACTCCGCAACCTCATTGGCTTTTTGCTTGTCACTTCTTACAGCGGAAGACGCGTTCAGGCTGAGATATAAGTTTATCGACCTGCCTGGAATCATCGCTCTCGATAAACTTCGCGAAATTCAAATATGGTTGCAAGCGCAAAGGCAATCCAAGCATTGGGGAAGTTCGCGTCTTGTGACGTAAGCTCACCTCCCACTACACAACCCCAGATGGAACATAGTTATTAACCCACCTATGTAGATTGGAGATGCTCTCGTGAATCTGGGACTCCGTCATGGAGGCTATCTTTCCGGTCTCAAAATGTATAGCCCTGGCTCAAGCGGCACCGTCGCCAAGATCTTCGGACCAGCATACACAGTCCGGATGGTGCATGCATCGGACAAAACCTCACCAAACCCACCTCACCACTTCGTTGATGCAATCCCAAAGGGAAGTGTGGTGTTCATCTCCCAGCCGAAGGGTCTCATCAGCGCATGCTGGGGCGGTCTAATGAGCACGCGAGCAAAGAAGCTCGGCGCGGCCGGTGTTGTGATTGATGGTCGTTTCCGGGATATTGCTGAACATCGCGAAATGAATATTGGGCTTTTTGCTCGTGGTTTGAGCATTCTTGGTTCGAATACGTTTACCCGTTCATCGGAGCTCGATGTGCCGGTTGAGTACGAGAATGTGGAGGTTGATGAGAAGGTTACTATTACCCCTGGTGACTATATCCTTGGTGATCAGGATGGTGTTGTGGCTGTGCCTGTCAGCTACATTGAGGAGTGTGTTCGTCTCTGCCAGGAGCGATTGGAGATTGATGAGGAGACGAAGAAGTGTCTCGATGCTGGTGAGGAGATGGGCCCTACTATCAAGAAGCTGCGGAAATAGGAGTCTCTCTCCTCTATGAACTTTCTATAGTGTCGGAGCATGACGCCCCACCCAGGAAGTCCAAGCTGCGAATTTGACACTATACTTACTTCAGCTCGGCACGTCTTCCGATCTTCGGAGCACCAAGCCGACATGACGCTTGAGTCATTTGCGCCAGTAACACAGGGTATTTAGTCAGAAGTTTGTCAGACTGGCAGTAAGGTAGCAAATACTGGTGTTATCTATGTCAAATAAATAGTCTCAGATGAAGTCTATCCTAGGGTAGGCAACATCGCTGTCGGCTTTAGTATCATTGTCTTTCTCTATTGAGCTCTAATTTAAATCATGGATTGATGAATGAGTTTGGAAATAATCGGTTCATAGAAAAATATTACGAATAAACAAACTACTTCCAACGTGAGCGTTCTATAGAGCTGGGTAAAGATACAAGCGGTCGGTGCGGAAGCCGATGACAGTTTCTCCGCATTGCGCTCGGAGAACACCCGACGTCTAAAATTGACCTCCCTTCCTCTCCAGTTCCCCGACGACTTCTCTCCTCCTCAATCGCAGTTCCCTCCCAATCGCACAACCTCAATATCCTACACAATGGCTTCCATCCGCGCCAATTGCCGCAAGATCATGTGTATCGGCCGTAACTATGCGTGAGTGTCCCCGCGCCCAGTCTCGGAAGTTCCGACAGCGGCGCTGGGCGTCAGCACTCTGCTTTGGCAAAATACTAACATGTCTGGATTAATGCAGCGATCACATCACCGAGCTGAACAGCGCAACCCCCAAGCAACCCTTCTTCTTCCTCAAGCCCTCGTCCTCCATCCTCCTCCCGGGCTCCGGACCCGTCCTCCGTCCCAAGGGCGTCAGCCTCCACTATGAAGTTGAATTGGGTCTGATTATGGGCAAGACCGTGCGGGATCTGGATCCGAATGATGAGCAGGGCGCACTGGACGCGATTCAGAGTGAGTACAACCGCAGCCTCTGAACGGCATGCACGATAGCAATGACTGGGACACGAGCAGAGACATTGCGTTAGACCAGCAAATCGCTAACGGCTTCTCCACCAATAGGCTACATCCTCGCCATCGATATGACAGCCCGCAACGTGCAAGACGAAGCAAAGAAGAAGGGTCTCCCCTGGTCCATCGCCAAGGGCTTCGACACCTTCTGCCCGATTTCACAGGAAATCGCCAAGTCGCGCATCCCCAACCCGCACGACGCATTCCTGCGCCTGAAGGTCGGCCAGGTTGAGCGCCAGGCTGACTCGACTAGCCTGATGCTGCACCGTATCCCGAAGCAGCTGGCTCAGATCTCGCGCGTGATGACCCTTGAGAAGGGTGATATTGTTCTGACTGGTACGCCGAAGGGTGTTGGACAGGTTCAGGCCGGTGATGTTATGAGGGCTTCTATTGAGGTCGATGGGAAGGAGATTGAAGAGGGTCGTATTGAGGTTGAGGTGCAAGATCGTGAGGGGCGTTACGAGTTTAAGGAGACTTAGATTTGTTGTCTATGTTAATTTAAGTTGTATATACTGATCAGAATATAAAATTATCAGATGCGTTCATGTCTCTATGGATGCTACTGTGTTCATGCCATTTCATACGTGATATGTGATCAACTGTTATGGTTTTAAGACTCCAAACGGCTCCACCGCCGCCTCGGTCACTCCACGTCACCCACACCCAATATCTAAGACTCGGCCTGTGGGCTAGATCTTTCTCCACAGCTTCAGTCTGTGTCATTGTTCCGGTTTGGGACATGTTTGATATCCTGGCCGTCAAACACTATGACTTGGCCAAACCCTGAGTCATGACGCAATTGACCTAATACCGTGACTCCAACATATCATCTGTTTCTAGAAATCAATTTATAAAGGCCGTATCAAACACATCAGAATTATCAACTACCATCAACTAGATCATCATGCCATACCTCAAACTCCGCGATGGAGCCGAGCTCTTCTACAAGGATTGGGGCAACCGCAATGGCGCCATCATCACCTTTTCCCACGGCTGGCCCTTAAGCAGCGACAACTGGGAAAACCAAATGGTGTACTTGGCTGACCACGGCTACCGTGTCATCGCACACGATCGGCGTGGCCATGGACGATCCACTCAGACTTGGCACGGAAACAACATGGATACCTTCGTCGACGACCTTGAAGAGTTGTTTGCGCATCTTAAGATCAAAGACGCAGTCATGATTGGACACTCCCATGGAGGAGGAGAGGTCACTCACTATCTCGGAAAGCATGGCACGAATCGCTTCAAAATGGCCGTTCTTGTCGGTGCCGTGCCTCCTCTTATGCTGAAGACTAGCGCCAACGCCGAGGGGCTCGACAAGTCGGTTTTCGATTCGTTCCGACAGGCCATGCACAAAGACCGTGCACAATTCTTCCTAGATGTCCCCAGCGGACCGTTCTTTGGGTTTAATCGACCTGGTGTGCAGAAGAGCGAGGGACAGATCCGGAGTTGGTGGCAGCAGGGAATGAATACTAGTTTCAAGTCGGCTTATGACTCCATCAAGGATTTTTCGGAGACCGATTTCACGGAAGATCTTAAAAAGATCAATATCCCAGTTCTGGTTCTTCACGGCGATGACGATCAGATTGTTCCTATTGGGGCTGCTGGACTCAAGTCGGCAAAGCTTTTGCCTCAAGGCAAGCTCAAGATTTATAAGGGGGGATCTCACGCAATTCACAACATCAATGTTGATGAAGTTAACAAGGATTTGCTCGACTTTATCAAGTCATGAGTACTGAGTTAGGGCAATAAAATTCAAGGTACTTTCCAGTGTTTACACGTAGAATATGAGGACCTGTGGAATTGAGCCGAAAATGGCCGCTTTCGAGGCTAGAAACGGCCGCCTTTCCAAACGTAAAAAGAACACCACTATTCTGCATAGACCTGGCTGTGACCCGCGGGTCGCCCTCACGACCCTCGGACCGACCCTCACTTTGGGCGGGTCCGGGTGCAACCCAAAGTGGGGCTGGGTTGGATTGGGTTCGGTCCGAGTCAAATTGGGTTTTGGAGAAGTTTAAATAAAGGTGGCAGGTGAGAAAAAGACGGCGCCTCTCGGCAGAAAGTGGTGGAAGACAACATGATTACTAAGACTGCCCGAATTGATGACGGTCTGATTCTGTACTTTTGCATGTCGTGATATAAGGTCAAAAGCTTTCTCATTTTGGACATTCTTTGTACCATGGTTGGTTGTCTAACATAGCTAGCAAACCGACTAGTGTGTCAGACTGCTGTAGACAGAAGCCATGTATGGCTAGGAACTACAAATAAGCACGAGATAGGTAGCAGGGGATCTTTCTGACAACAGATAGCGAAAATTTTCCTTTCCTTCGAGCTCTAATCTGCGAGAGGCCAGATCCAAATTTCTTCTTGTGATGTCGGAGACAAATCCTGCAGCAAAAGAGACTTGACATTCACCAAAACCAACCGATGGAAAGACATATCGAAATCCAAACAACAGAATCACCAAAAGGGAGTCCTCACTGTCAACAGGTAACGAAAAGGTGACACCAAGATCTTGTTTTAAGTGACTTTCCTCCTCCTCACTTTGATCAATGTGTTTGGTGAGGGAACAGGGTGCTCCCCCCATATGTGGTTCAGAGGACGTTCTTGGAGGGGTTGAATATCATAGTGTACAACGATATACGCCAAGACAAGCTTAAGATGGTGCGAGGCGAACCAACGACCTGGACTGCAGAAAGATCAGCCAATTGACCTTCAGCTGTTTTGGAACACAAATCCTGTCACCAATGGAGAGAATACGCAGAAGAAAGAAACCTACCAAGAGTGACGCGCATATCCAAATGGAAGAAAAGTATCACTGGTCATAGTCAAAATAGCTGGTTTGCAATTCTCAGCATTCGTATCGTCCCCTTTTGCAACGTTTCGATCTTGCAAGCTGCTAGGAACGAATCGGAAAGGTGCATAAACTTCCGGTTCATGATAGTAACGTTCGTCGTTGTGGATTCCCGGAACAGGGACGCCGAGCCAAGCACCTTGCGGAAGGCGCTGCCCGTTTGGAAGAGTGACGCCGTCTTTTGGCATTACTTCCCTCCAGAGACCTCGCACAAGAATGGGGCTCCTCCTCAAGCTTTCTCGTATTGTACTGTCCATATGCCGTAATTGCAGCAGACTGGCTGGACGCGCCCAGTGATCTGTTGTTGGGAAGACAGATTCGGCCTCCGAACGAAGTGTCCGATAGTAGTGTAAATTTAAATCAGAACTTAGTACGTCAATCAACATATTCGTAGCGGTCACGGATGACGATGAGATAGCACCTGATGTCTGCACCCTCGAACAGATGCTATTAGCTAGCTGATTTGAAGCAAAATGGAAACAGCGATTGAAGAAAATTACCACAAGTGTAAACCGCTTTACCAGCGGTCTAGGGCTTTCAATGGTTGAGTCTTTCATGTCGAGAGCCGCGCGGAACATCCAAGTAATGAGGTCATTTGGCGCATTATAATTGAATGCCGGGTCGACTCTGTTCCGCTTCATCTTTTCCAATCGGTCGGCGAACACCGGCCAAAGGTATCTCGCGCATATAGCCTGGTAGTATGCCGTTGGAATAACAAACAGGCAGCCAACTACCCTGCGAAAGAGTCGGGGAGTGAGTTGACCCACACAAAGCATTCCTGCGCCAAATATATCCCCAAATCTTCGCATCGACCGCATAAACCTTTCATTACGGCAAAGAGGCTCTCCAAACAAGAGAAAGCCGCTGGAATTGAACACGATCGTATTCATGGCTGTGAAGAGGTTGACTTCAGTCCAAGTCTGATCATCCACTCCGAACGTCGCATCAGTAACGGAGCGAATTTCTTTGATTAGGTCCCCTTCAATGTTCCCAAGATTGCGAGTCAGATGAAGACGGATGGCGGTGATCAGCGCTATATCTGTGGTGTAATCGAATCCTGGAAATAGATAACGGAGCCCCAGCTTCTCACCATGGACCTGCCCGTGGGAGAGAATGTCTTCTGGCTGATCGACCAGCCATTTGATATAATCCCTGGGCAGCATAATGTGCGGCTCAAAGCTTGTCGTAGGCACAACGAATGGCCGCCCTTTTTTCGAAAACTAGTATAAGAAGCTTAGTATATCGTTGATTTTAGGTTAGGCAAGGTAATTACGGGGCATCGAACCATTTTATAGCCTGATGCAATAGTCTCCAGGTTGGATGAAAACTCGCGGAAGCAAGCTCTGACAGTTCCGAAAGCCTCGTTTCGGAGTCCAGCCCACTCAATGGATGCAGGAATTCGTTGCATCCTGATCCATGATTGAATAAACACATACACCAGCGTGACGGCTAATAATGTCGCCACGCAAGCCTCTGTAAGGAACATAATAGGGGCCGTAATCTTGAAATTCGTATCCCAAATTGACTTACAAGCACAGCTTTGAAAAATGCAAGATATAAGGGGCACCCCTCGAAGGGATTTCTGGTTTATCGTGCATAGACATAGGCTTGGAAACGCCTGGAAACGATAATATATGGCAATATGTGGCAGAGCAATCTCGAAAAATTGGCACAACCGTGTCATTTGATCATATCCTTGATGTCACGTCGTGTACCGAAATCCAGGCCCACGCGGTAGAACCATACCGTCTGCCAGGAGCATTCACTTTCCATTAACCACAACCACGCTGATGAATGCAAGTCCAGTATATCGGAAGATGCATGACGCATTGAGTTTTCAAGACGTAGAAGTAGACAGAGCGCGGAGATCATCTCCGGTGTGGGGTCAATATACTTCCTTGATCTACAGTGGTGTTGCATAAGTATTTGACCTCAAGTACTTCGGGATCCAACTTTCTAGCCTGACCGCCCTTTATACCGCCTACTTATTAGTATGCCAGAGATCGCTTGTTTCAACGCGCTCGCATGTACGCAGCCTTATATACCTACTAAATAGCAAACCTACGCTAGCTTATAGGGTGGCTGGTGTCATTAGATATAAAAGATGGCATACTAGCTACTAAATTGGATTGAATTTCGGAGGTTTCTGCGTTTTCTGCGTCGCAGTATTCAAGTGGGTCCTAGGCCGAAGTATTCGAGGTCAAATACTTATGCAACACCGCTGTAAGAAGAGTGTACTGGTCAGCACGCACGGTGCTATTTCTCAGCTATTTTGGCTCGCATCGGCTTCAACGTGCCACTCGAAAGAGTCGGTCTTGCTTAAACCTGATATTGATATACCGTGAGCCCACCAATCATGAGTGTCCAATCGACTCCTCAGGTATGCTACTTTGGGGCCTGTGGGGCCTGTGGCGCAAAGTTTGTAAAAAGTTTATGATTAAATCACCTCCGAAGCTTAAAGGTATCATTGCGAGTTGGCAGCTTGCAAGCCTGCGAGTACTTGTGAGTTATTTAGATAGCTTAATATTTCCATATCTCGGATGGCCAAACTGGTCGATAGTGAAAACTCTAGCCCGAAATCTTCTCCTCTGGTCGCTAAAGTTTCACTTATGATTAAGTCGGTAAATTAATGACATTACCGGTCCTCACAAAAGAGAGACTTTACTCCAGGATATCAGGCTGAGTACGTGCCTCTGATAGTCGGTTTTCCGAGGGCAGTCGTTAAGATGGCCGTTCAAACAAATACCACCACAGATGAAAAGCACTCATGCAAGACCCCTGCCTTGTCTATTACTCCTTACTATAGGGATGAGTGGCTCGTCGACCAAGTTCGCTCTTCACTCCAATTGGCCACCCGATACGCCTTTAACCGCAGGCACAATGATGGCCATTGGTGTGGCGAGCTCAAGTCCAATGCCACCATCACCGCTGAATATGTAATGATGCGACAGGCTCTGGGGTTAGATATGTCGTTGGACCGAGATGAGCTGGTCGCGTGGTTTTTAGCGGATCAGCAGAGGGACGGCTCATGGGCTATTGCACCTGGATACCCCGGTGATGTTTCAACGACAACGGAGGCGTATTTCGCACTGAAGCTGTTGGGCGCTGAGTTAGACATGGCACCCTTGCGTCACGCCCGCGAATACATCTTGTCTGCGGGCGGGGTCGCCAAAGTCCGCATCTTCACCCGTATCTACTTGGCCACATTTGGTCTGTTCCCATGGAAAGCGGTGCCAGAGCTACCGGCAGAGCTCATATTGGTGCCCGCGATAGCGCCCATCAGTATTTACCGACTGTCTTCGTGGGCCCGCAGTACAATTGTCCCGTTGCTGATAGTGAGCCATCACCGTCCAATATATCCTCTCCCAAACGGGAAATCGGCAGCAAATGATTTCCTAGACGAAATATGGCAGGACTCCAGCAACAAACATGTCCCATACTCCCCGTCGCTATGGGGGTTGTGGAAAACGGATGCCGTTGCCTTCACGTTTACTGCACTTGACATTGCCCTTCATTGGGTCGGTGGCCTACGATCATCCCCCAGTCGTGCATATGCCCGAAGAAAATGCGTTGAATGGATTCTGGAGCACCAAGAAGAGGAGGGGGACTGGGCAGGGATCTTCCCCCCGATGCATGTTGGCGTTCTCGCATTGTGTCTCGAGGGGTATAAGCATGACGACTTGCCGGTATGGTCCGCACTAGAGGCGATTGAGCGGTTCGCCTGGCTCGACGGCGGCAAGAAAAGAATACAAGCGTGTCTGTCGCCAGTATGGGACACCATATTAATGACCATCGGGCTCTGTGATGCAGGATACAAAGGCCGACTATCAACAGCGATAGATTGGATTACCAGTCGTCAGCTTCTAGGGACGGAGGGGGATTGGCGGATATACAAGCCGGATGTTCCGCCTGGTGGCTTCAGCTTTGAGTATTTCAACAGATGGTACCCGGATGTCGATGACACTGCCGCGGCCATTTTGGCCATGCTCAAACAAGATCCACAATTGAGGAACTCCTTGCCCGTAAGAAAGGCCGTGGTGTGGATCCTCGGCATGCAGAACTGCGATGGGGGGTGGGGTGCATTCGACGTCAACAACGACAAGCTCTTCCTCAACAAGATTCCATTCAGCGATATGGAAAGTCTGTGTGACCCTTCAACAGCTGATGTCACCGGCCGTATCTTAGAGGCGTTCGGCCTCATCATGCAACTCTCCTTCGGCGATCCCAGCAATCATTCGCTTGACGATCTAATCGACCAGATGAACCTTGCTTGTTGCCGTGCCATTTCCTATCTTGCCCATCACCAGGAGCCTTCTGGGTCATGGTACGGCCGCTGGGGATCCAACTACATATACGGGACGAGCAACGTACTCTGTGGCCTGGCGTACTTCTCTGCTGGGTGTACCAGTACAGCGCAAGGCGACGATGCTGTTAAGGAGCACATAGATTCCGCAATTCACTGGTTGAAGTCGATTCAAAATCCCGATGGCGGGTGGGGCGAAACGCTCATGTCGTACAAAGACGCAAGACTCGCCGGTCAAGGCCCTTCCACGGCATCACAGACTGCGTGGGCGCTCATGGGGTTGCTTTCATCTCTTCCCCCCACAGAAAAGGTGGTACAAGATGGAGTGAGGTATCTTTTGCGGACACAAACAAGAGTCGACAATGAAGGCGAGGCATCCTGGCCCGAGACACTGTACACCGGGACTGGATTTCCCAACCACTTTTACCTGGGATATTCATTCTACCCCCACTATTTCCCGATGATGGCTCTCGGACGATATGTACAATTGACAAGGCGACCGGCTCCACAGGCTTGATGGATTGCACTCGAAAATTACATGAAACTTCTGCTGAGCTTATTGCGAAGATAGTAACTTTGAAAATCAATAACGATTAGACAAAGTGCGTATACGGCGACCAGTTGAGTAAACTGCGTGTGCCTTCAGAAGTCCAAAACAGTAAAGGTTTTGCCGGACTGACACCATAGTAAACTATATAAACTCGGCCGCGCTCTGGGGACAAGGAGTGGATGGAGCGACCGGCTTGAGTTGTTAGTCGGTGAATCGAAAGCCTGGCTGTCGTACGCGCCAGGTGCAGCGCTTGGCGGGTTGATTATTGATGGCACTATGCCGCCAATCAACGTCATCATTCTGGAAGACAATATTATCAACCAGAAGCTGCTCGAAAAATTTATGAAATGGCTGAACGTGCGTTAGAAGTGTGCGGCGGACGGCGAAGAGGAAGTGCGGAAATGGAAATAGGGCGGTTTTCACCTTGTGTTGATGGACATCCAGTTGCTAATCATGGATAGGTTGGATGCTACAGGGAGGATCGAAATCAGCTTCACCAATTGCACACAGAGATTCTTTCTCGAACCCTCTTTCGAAACACCCTATGCCTATAACGGTTAGCCTGCCCCTGAGCCCCGTTCTTGGCAGTATTCTAGTACAGCCGTAAATTACAACTTAAAAATAGCTCCTGTATTAGACTCGTATGTTCCCAGGGCTTCTTGAACGTTGATCCGACAAACAAGCCAAATAGATAGATGCCTGCTCGTTTGGAAACGTGACAGGAATTGGAAACCCCATTCTGTCAACCACTTGCCCTCAGAGTGACCACGGCGAACAAGCGAGTTGTATACAGATAGGACCAGCAAATGGTGTTTCTATGATTCTTGTGACAGGGTTGGTCTTTCAATAGAGGAAGAATATCCGTTGGACTGACTAGTCGTGATAATGCCGACATTGGGTCAGTTAGAGACATGAAACGAAGACGATGACCGCTAATTCTCTAATACCCATGACTTTCAACCGCACAACCTTCATTAATTAACAATTGGAGTCCGAGTTCCTTCACTACGGGTTAATTTTTGCCGATGTTCAAATCCTTTCCTATGGAGATATTGCCAGAGCCCGAGTTTTGAACTCCTCGACCGCGAAAGATAGATTGCGCAGCTAGACCGCTGTCGGTGAATAAGTCAGACCTATGCCGACTAAGGGCTTCAGTCGTGGTGGAAGGCTGCGGCAGGTCGACGTATGAAAGGAGCTCTTTAGCGCAGCCAGCAGCGGTAGCGGCAGCATGATACTGCCAGGCGTCGTTCTTGTGAGAGTCTGCATAGTCAGAGACGCCCCGGATGGTGATGCACGAGTATTCCGTCGCGATGCCCGCCGCTTCCATTTCGAAGCATAAGATATCACCACCTACCCTCCTATTTACTTCTGCCGTATTAGACGCGCTCCTTATGACTTGATCTCCAGAAGCAATGAGCCCATAGTGAATCTTGGGAATCGGCTTCCGGGGTTGACGATGGACCAGTTTCGTCTTGTCACAGAGCTGACAGGTTGCTTGGTGAGAAATATGACGATATTCCGGCTGGAAGAGCTCATCCGGCTCTACAGGCCGCTGATACGAAAGCCGAAGTTCGTCGGTTTTCTGAAACAGAGCCGATATGAACTCGGGGATCTTGCTTTGCGAGATCCTATGATCAGACCGCATAATAGACACAGCACTTCTTAAAATCTCTGATGGCGGCCAAAGGAATCCTTTTAGGACGATGCCATCGTCCGTGCTCTTACCCAAGTCGTATTGAACCACACCGCCATGCTGGCCATCAGGCATACTCACAACAACGTCGCCTAAGCGGATATCATTCTTTACGCTCGGTACGCCTCCCCCGATTCCGACCATCAAGCGTAGCTCGATCGATGGAAACGTACGCGCCATATCCTTCGCGACCGCGGCTCCCGCGCTCTTCCCCTGACTGCCCGGAAGGCTAGCAAGGATCACATTGTGGCCACTGAGCTCTCCGAGGATATACAGAGTTGAGTCGCCAAGCTGTCTAGGCAAACGGGCATGCTCTTTGTCTAGCATATAGCGGACAGCACTCATCTCAAATTCTAGAGCGCACACGATCCCGACAGTGTACGCTTCATAGCTAAGAACTGCACGACTGGTTAGATCACGGTGTTTCTTGGCTGGGCTGCTGTGACATATCTACCTTCCATTTTAGTAGCTTTGAATTGTCGTAGGACTTGTATCTGGGAGAATTTGGAACTTCAGGATGGTGTTCCCGATGGTAATCATGACACGCAGGATAGCAGCTAGTATAGTTGATAGGTGTTAGGGGGAGGCTTACATTAGGCAGAAGTCTCAGCTGATGCGAGATGTGGAGAACCAAGGTGGTCTGTGCGCAGTTTTGGTGCCCAAGCTAACTCCCCGTCGAGTTCACCTCCTGTCCTCCTGTCTTTGTGCTTGGCTATAGCAAAGAGCTCGAGGATAGTCCCTCTTGAATGACAAAGTCATGAAGCGCCGGGCTACCGAGGAATCACCAGCAGAGACCAGACCCGGAAAGCGACCCGCAGAAGCGGTGGACACTGCTAAATCCTCCTTTTATGGGCATGGATTACAAAATAGCGGAACTGGACATATCACAGTGGGACGGGATATAAATATAGGTATGGTCTTACCTGTATTATATATAATCTCTGCTGACGGACTGCTAGGCAACTGGACGGAGAAGCGCTGGGACTGTCAACGCGACCTCTTTGTGACAGATCCCTATGAGGATAAGAAAGCATTAAAACGCAAGAAAGGAGGCTACGCTCCCGGAACCTGCGAGTGGATACTCCGCACCAAAGAACTAACAGCTTGGCTTGGTTCTGGACCGACGGTCGACTCTGAGAGACAGGCGCCCCAGGTCCTATGGCTCTTTGGGAACCCAGGAACTGGTAAATCAATTATGGCCATGTACCTTACGGAGGAGCTGCCTGAAACTTTTTGCAACACGGACGGTGAAGCGCTAATCTACTTCTTCTGTGACTCTGGCTTCGACAAACGGAAGACTGCGACCTCGATTGTCAGAGGCCTTCTCTATCAGCTGGTTGGGCAGCACCAGCAGCTTCTTGATTACCTCCTGCCTAAATACTACGAGCGTGGGGCTGAGCTCTTCATGTCCTTCGACGCCCTCTGGGAGATATTCATGGCTATGGTGGCGGATCAGAACACGGGTCGAAAATACTGCATTATTGACGCGCTGGATGAATGCGATCGAGAATCACAAAAGACTCTTTTACACCAGTTTGAAGAGACCTTTCAGAGCGAAAATATCTCGCCTAATATCCGGATATTGATCACTAGTAGGCCATATACCGAGATACGTGAAAGCTTGCAAAGCTTCCCGCATAAAGATTTAGCTTCTTTCTCCGAGAGACAGGAGGACATTGATCTTTTCGTCAAAGAGAGAATTAGCCAGTTGGCAAGAAGAAAAAACTACACCGAAAAGGTGAAAGTCCAAGTCCACGAAATTCTCAGAGACAAGGCCGAAGGTACTTTCCTCTGGATTGGCTTAGCGTGTGACGAGCTAAAGGATGTCCCTTCAAACCACGTCATCCGTACTTTACAAAACATACCAAAAGGGCTTAATTCAATCTATAATAAGCTTCTTGAGACGGCCCTAAAACAGAATGAGATAAGGAGCGATGATATCCGACGCCTCCTAAGCTATATGGCTGTTAGTTCGCGACCACTGACTGTGTCGGAGCTCTGTGAAGCATGCCAAATGTACCAGGAGGAAGAAGATTTTGAGACAAGGATCCAGTTCACACACGACAATATCGACTCTTGCCGCTTGTTAATCATCATTCAGGACGAAAAGGTTCTTTTATTACATCAATCAGTGAAGGACTTCCTGGTTGGGGCTGGCTCGGGATATTTTATAGAAGTGTCCGAAACACATGCCCGCCTTGCATATCGCTGTATTGATCTCCTCATTAAGCAGTTCTACAGCACAAATCAACCGCATACCAGCTTCTCCGATTATGCGACTCTAGAATGGGCTAACCATGCGCGCATGGCTAAGTCAAATTTTAAGGTCCAGTATTCGCAAGCGCAGTTTTTCCAGATTGATTCTCCTTGTCGAGAGCGTTGGCTACAGGACTTAAGGTCTTCCACTTCTATCTACAAAGTGATTCCAGATGATTTCTCTATCTTTCACGTGGCTGCGCAGTGGGGGGTTTCCGCTTTAGTGGATTATGCCTCTGACTTAGAAGCTCAGCTATCCGACACAGAGAAGTCGATTAATGTTGTTCATATTGATTGCATGGATAGTGAGGGTAGCATTCCCCTTGAACGCGCTGCTCGGTCGACATATATAGATGTCGTTGTTGCCATTTTGGGTCGGGGAGGGAAAGTGACCGCAGAAGTGGTGGAGGAGGCGGCTGGAAATATGCACAATGGCAAAGAAATGATGGCACTGCTTCTCGATCGCCGCCGGGACCAGATCACTACCACCAACGAGGTGGTGACGGCTGCGGCTAAAAACGATGTGAGTGGCAAAGATGTGATGGCACTACTTCTCGACCACTACGGAGACCAAATCACTATCACCGAGGAGGTAGTGAGATCTGCCGCTCAAAACTGGGGGAATGGCAAGGAATTGATGGCACTACTTCTCGACCGCTACGGAGACCAGATCACTATCACCGAGGAGGTAGTGAGAGCTGCCGCTCGAAACTCTGGGAATGGCAAAGAAGTAATGGCACTACTTCTAGACCGCTACGGAGACCAGATCACTATCACCGAGGAGGTAGTGAGAGCTGCCGCTCGAAACTCTGGGAATGGCAAAGAAGTAATGGCACTACTTCTAGACCGCCGCGGAGACCAGATAACTATCACCGACGAGGTAGTGAGCGCTGCGGCAGGCAATTGGCGTAGTGGTAAAGAAGTGATGGCACTGCTTCTCGACCGCTGCGGGGACCAGATCACTATCACTAACGCGGTAGTGCGGGCTGCGGCTGGAAATAGGCTTAATAGCAAAGAAGTGATAGCACTACTTCTCGACCGCCGCGAAAACCAGATCAATATTACCGACGAGGTAGTGACGGCTGCGGCTAGAAACGAAGAGAGTGGAAAGGAAGTGATAGCACTACTTCTTGACTGCTACGGCGACCAGATCAATATCACTGACGAGGTGGTAAAGGCTGCGGCTAGAAATATGCACAATGGCAAAGAAGTGATGGCACTGCTTCTCGATCGCCGAGGAGACCAGATCACTATCACCGACGAGGTGGCGATGGCTACGGCTGGAAACGAAGAGAGTGGAAAGGAAGTGATGGCACTACTTCTCGACCGCTACGGAGACCAAATCACTATCACCGACGAGGTGGTGAAGGCCGCGGCTAGAAATATGCATAATGGCAAAGAAGTGATAGCACTGCTTCTCGATCGCCGCGGAGACCAGATCACTATCACTAACGAGGTGGTGACAGCTGCGGCTAGAAACGAGGTGAGTGGAAAGGAAGTGATGGCACTACTTCTCGACTGCTACGGAGACCAAATCACTATCACCGACGAGGTGGTGAAGGCTGCGGCTAGAAATAGGCTTAATGGCAAAGAAGTGATGGCACTGCTTCTCGATCGTCACGGAGACCAGATCACTATCACCGACGAGGTGGTGACGGTTGCGGCTAGAAACGAGGAGAGTGGAAAGGAAGTGATGGCACTGCTTCTCGACTGCTACGGCGACCAGATCAATATCACTGACGAGGTGATAAAGGCTGCAGCTGGAAATAGGTCTGGCCAAGAAGTGATGGCACTGCTTCTCGACCGCCGCGAAAACCAGATCAATATCACCGACGAGGTGGTGTGGGCTGCGGCTGGAAACGAAGAGAGTGGAAAGGAAGTGATGGCACTACTTCTCGACCGCTACGGAGACCAAATCACTATCACCGACGAGGTGGTGAAGGCCGCGGCTAGAAATATGCATAATGGCAAAGAAGTGATGGCACTGCTTCTCGACCGCTACGGAGACCAGATCACTATCACCGAAGATGTAGTGAGAGCTGCCGCTGAAAACTGGGGGAATGGCAAAGAAGTAATGGCACTACTTCTAGACCGCCGCGGAGACCAGATAACTATCACCGACGAGGTAGTGAGCGCTGCGGCAGGCAATTGGCACAGTGGTAAAGAAGTGATGGCACTGCTTCTCGACCGCTGCGGGGACCAGATCACTATCACGGACGAGGTGGTGATAGCTGCGGCTAGGAACGAGGTGAGTGGAAAGGAAGTGATAGCACTACTTCTCGACTGCTACGGAGACCAAATCACTATCACCGACGAGGTAGTGAGCGCTGCGGCAGGCAATTGGCGTAGTGGCAAAGAAGTGATAGCACTGCTTCTCGACCGCTACGGAGACCAGATCAATATCACCGACGAGGTGATGAAGGCTGCAGCTAGAAATAGGTCTGGCCAAGAAGTGATGGCACTGCTTCTCGATCGCTACGGAGACCAGATCAATATCACCGACGAGGTGATAAAGGCTGCAGCTGGAAATAGGTCTGGCCAAGAAGTGATGGCACTGCTTCTCGATCGCTACGGAGACCAGATCAATATCACCGACGAGGTGATGAAGGCTGCAGCTGGAAATAGCTCTGGCCAAGAAGTGATGGCACTGCTTCTCGACCGCTACGGAGACCAGATCACTATCACCGACGAGGTAATGAAGGCTGCAGCTGGAAATAGCTCTGGCCAAGAAGTGATGGCACTGCTTCTCGACCGCTACGGAGACCAGATCACTGTCACAGAAGATGTAGTGAGAGCTGCCGCTGAAAACTGGGGGAATGGCAAAGAAGTAATGGCACTACTTCTAGACCGCCGCGGAGACCAGATAACTATCACCGACGAGGTAGTGAGCGCTGCGGCAGGCAATTGGCACAGTGGTAAAGAAGTGATGGCACTGCTTGTTGACCGCTACGGAGACCAGATCAATATCACCGACGAGGTGATGAAGGCTGCAGCTGGAAATAGCTCTGGCCAAGAAGTGATGGCACTGCTTCTCGACCGCTACGGAGACCAGATCACTGTCACAGAAGATGTAGTGAGAGCTGCCGCTGAAAACTGGGGGAATGGCAAAGAAGTAATGGCACTACTTCTAGACCGCCGCGGAGACCAGATAACTATCACCGACGAGGTAGTGAGCGCTGCGGCAGGCAATTGGCACAGTGGTAAAGAAGTGATGGCACTGCTTGTTGACCGCTACGGAGACCAGATCAATATCACCGACGAGGTGATGAAGGCTGCAGCTAGAAATAGGTCTGGCCAAGAAGTGATGGCACTGCTTCTCGACCGCTACGGAGACTAGATCTCTATCACCGAAGATGTAGTGAGAACTGCCGCTGAAAACTGGGGGAATGGCAAAGAGTAATGGCACTACTTCTAGACCGCTGCGGAGACCAGATAACTATCACTGAGGAGTGGTGAGAGCTGCGGAGTAGGGTTAATCCCGCTTCCATTTGGAAATTATCAGTTCACGACGCCAAGATATCAATCTACTACGACACCGATTGATCAGGCAAAGTAAAAAGCAATGGCGGTTGAACAACTAGAGTCCCTCATCAAGTTTTGAAGTAATGCTGGAATTGGAAACGGAGTTGGGTGTGAATTTGAATGCCTCAATAGAATCAATAGTTGAATTTCCCACGATCTGCTGACATGCCTTGTCTCCTGTTTTGGTTACACAGAATAAGCATCATATCATCTACGGACTTGGTATGCGCTACGTGAAAGTGATTGACCATACCACTTCGAACTTCTTCACCAATAGTAAGGACTGGGATTGTGGAAACAGGTCAATAACCGAGGAATCATAGCGGTTCCCAAATTTTTCTTCAGATCATATATTAACTTTGTGCACGATACCAGAAAGAGATTGAACTGATCACATTTAGTGAGTATCGCTACCAACTGATTGAGGATAAGTAGAGTCGTCAACGAGTGACCCAAGACCTGTGAGATGCCAGTATTCTCAGCAAGACTATTGCAAGTAATTTAGAAACCTTCTATCACGTGACAATGACTTTCAATACAATTCGGTATCTGAAACCGAGCTAAGTCTGAACTAGATTAGCGTGTTTTGATGTAGGGTTCCAGAATGATTCTATGAAAGGAAAGTGGTGAAACTGATTTCGATCCATCCTGTACTAAAGAAATTCGGCGGCTAGAGCGATTAGATGGTATTGGCGTCTTCTCCAAGACAGATTCCGGTCGCTCTAGTAAGTCTCCATCGACAAAGGGACCAGGATCCCAACGCTGACTAGCTGAAGGAGGATACTCTGGCTAATGCCTCTTTGCTTCGTGACCCGGTGGCTGTTGTCTCGTTGACAGCTAGCAGCTTGCAAAGCGATCGTCATAAAGCACTAGCTGCTAGCTGCAACGATTTCTTAACTAAGGCACGTCCTCATAAATCTAAACCCCTCTACTCCAGTCAGTACTAACTACAAAAAGGCCCGTGAGATTCCTATGGCTTAAACAGAAGGTGACGGAACGGGGCTGCGTACAGGCACTGACTGACTTTAAGGGCTGGCGGAGATGGCGCGGGTTCATAGAAGCGCCACGATCCGCCTCCCCCACCAATGTCAGCCCGATGCATGTAGATTCATAATTGCGAGATTCGAATGACCCACAGAAAAAGGGGCGTTAATCGAGCCGTATCTACAGTCCGATACGCACTAGGCGCTTTTAGCACCACCTTTGACCATTTATGGCTGCTATCCTATACACTGCTATCCACTTCTATTAGCTGTCGGCCCTGTTGCGCGTGGTCATACAATGCTTCGTGTCGATTCCGCATGGTCATTTACCGTATCGGTTTAGGTTCATACGTTCTAAATGTAGCGGATATTCTCCACTTCCTTCAATACCGCATTCATTATGCTTTGCTGCTTAATTGTTTAACGTTTCTAGTTTCTTCCGACAAATTCAACTTAGTACATATGCCAAAATATTAATCGGTCACGAGAAACAATAACGTTTCCACATAATGAATAGCCCACATTCAGCCAACATAAAACAGTATCGCTCCAGGTCTTGATCCCAAAGCCACATTCATTTCTCCCCACTCGTTTTGATCCTCACGTTTGAAACCATCTGCCGATCCATCCACATTCCTAGTCACTTTCAAATCCCGTCCACCGAGGGCTATATTTCCACTCCCAGTTCGGGCATGTACGTTGCCTGCCCATGCTTAGGGGTATTCTATATTTATTCTTCTATCATGTGTAATGTGACGAGCCTGTGGTTTGATAAATTGCCCAAATCCGGGGATTGTTATCCTAAAAACTGTGTTTGGTGGTGGTTGGGGGGGGGTAAAGTGGTTTTGATAATATACGGGTTTGTCGCTTGAATATCCTGACTTCCTGAACTCGTCTAGGTCAGATCTGATGCAGTATTTGCTTTGGTACCAGGCTTGCACTGATGCTGCCGCTCTCGGACGAGAGACGCGCCGAGGTTGAAAACATAAACTGTCCTGAGATAGATCCACTTTCTGTCTCGACGTCAAACTCGTACGGACGAAACCGAAGAAATCGGCTCACGGTGCAGTTTTCGTGTTAGTCGTTAAGATTTAGATTGGAATTATCATCTAACTGGAAAACCGCGTCCGGGACGGCAAGTGAGACGGTGATACTACCTGATTTCGTTCGAGCCTGTAGCCGTGCCGGCTCATCTGGGTTCTAATCACCCGCTTTCGATGTGAATGACAGTCACTTTGACTCTACCCGAGGTAGTTGACAGTGATAGAAGGTCAAACAGAGGATATCTTCCTACGATGGAATCGGATGCTTTCTCAATGACGATTTTCCCAGTGAAGGAAGCCCTTAAATCTCTGCGGGTCATTCCATATTCCGAGTTTGGCACTGATGCTTCGTCAATATCTTTGTTGCAGATAATATCCGACTATATATCGAGGAGGCTCACCGCGTGAAGCACTGTTTCAATACCCTTATAGGTCAAACCTAGACACCATAGGAGAAAGATCGTACCGATCAAAATATGAAGGCAAGAGCCCCTCGTATACTTCTGCCGGTGATATTCGCCGGTCATGTTGCTTAGATTACTATTATTTTCAAGAGCTCTATAATTGGCACTGGAGGAATTTGAGTCGTTCTTTGCAAACTCCATTGACGTCAGTTCATTAAATTCCGGCGTTTCAACAGATTCTGCCAGAGGAATAGCTCTAGACTGGGAGAGATGTCTCGGATGGAACATTATCGCCACTTCGTTAGTGGTCAATTACTGCCATTTGGCAGAATAAAACGTGATTACGCCCACCTTTTATCCCTTTAGACTCTAAGCCACGCCCCAAGTTAGCTGCGTGAAGTCGTTTAGGCATCTGTGGTCGGTCGATTTTCTGTCACATAATCAAGGTCAGCTAAAATAAAAATGTATGCCTTTCCATATATCTCGCCTCCCATCTTGCCCTCACGTTGCACTGTAATATAGCCGCTACTAGGGGAGTTATTGAACGTGTTTAGAGAACATGCATAGCTACGAATCCTATGCCAACTCCAGTAGATCCTGAGATGGGTCACGGTTATGAGGAGCCTCGTATTACACGGTGATCTACAAGGCGGACCGATTGTTCACCCGTTCTCCGGCCCTTGGGGGCTGCTTACCACCCATCATCCTCGGAAAATGAGCAGAGCGGAATTGATAGTTATCTACCGAGGTTAAAGTCCACATGAAATATTTCTTGATATTTCTTGGATTGATACTACCATGCGATCAGGTGTTTCAACATATTTTTCTTAACACCACTACTTGAATTCCATTTCCTTTCCGATTGATCCCAGGGGATTTACTGTGTTGCTTGCCCCGAAATGCCAAATCCTACTCTGCTAAACGCCGCCGGATATGGCTCTTTACTTGTTGCTATAAAGCATGCTGTAAGTCCTCCTCAAAGACCCACACAAGGCGATGTAATTTAGGGAAATCGGCTAATTCCCTCAGGCTTCTGGAAGACAATTCCAGCGACTTCCTCAATATCAAGCCTTGCCAAATATTGCATACACATGTAGCACGGTTGGATGGTATCAGGGTAGCGGCTATTTAATCCTTACTGGTATCTCTCTTTTCCAGCTACTGGAACATGAAATCTCTTTTCTGACAAGCTCGGCTTTAGCCTTACTTAATTTTCAATGGGCTCGGAATCCAAAATCTTTGGAAGATCCACTCAATCGTGCTATGGCTGCTCTAGTTGCTATCATTGCTTGGGCTAGCTCTGCCTGGTACATCGGAAGGGGCTTAAAAGCGAGTGGAATCGTGACGGCGGGTGCTGCTATATTCCAGGCCTGGGCGACTCTCCGCTAGGATTTTCTTTAATGGAATTTCAGAGAATATAGCAGCTGGCTGTGTCAAACCGGGGATATGTCTTCAACACTACCAATTAGGAGGAGATCCGGCTTGACCGGCAAAGAAGGCTGTTGCACGGGTACTAGTACCCGATCAAGGTTATGATATCGCTATCTCAACAACTTTGCAAACTATTTTAGTCACTTAAATGTCTTTTATCGGCAGAAACGTCTCGCCTAGAGATATAAATACGTCTTCCTGCGCCGGAGGTCTTGTGCATGTCTTCTGGCACAGGAGCTGCTCTAGTGATCTCCAGACTTTCGCTATTCAATTTCCAATATGCCAACATCTCCTCAACCAGACAATGTTTCCAGTGCACGCTTAGCTCGACTGGCTCAATTAGGCACTGACTTACACGCAAACAGCACGGAGACTGCCGTTTGGCTTGCACTAGAACAGACATTAGCCGACTTCTTCGGATATTCTTTATTCACTGTTCTAGCGTTTTCGAAACAAGGGGTCGTCACAAGACTTTACAGCACCAACAGAGACCTGCATCCGCTAGGAATAAGAAAGGAGTCCCCCACTGCGGATTATGACAGAGATAACGTTGGAACTCCATCTCCACCACCCTGCCGCGCAGTATGTGTCCAGCAGGTCTTGGTGGAGGGAAATATTTGGCGTGGCTCCATGCCCGAGGATCTAAAGGCAGCATTTGAAGACTGGGAGCAACTTTGACAGGCAGGATTGGGATCAGTGATGAACATTCCAGTCCGTCTGAATGGTGTCACGATAGGATCACTCAACATCCTTGACAAGGAGCATGGGTACGATGCGGCCGATATCAAGCTGGACATCCTGATAGCACAAATTGTGGCATATTTTGTTCATCGAGTGGCAGAAGAGACTGTAAAAAAGCAACCAAGCAAATGAGTATTAAGATTTTGTCTTTATGAAAGATCATTATTATTGTGGAAAGTATCCAATGTATTACCGAAGCACATATAGTGGACAAGACACTAAGACAAGGTCCCCCAAATCTTAACTCAAGACACACTACATGATGCCTGTCATTGGATCTGAGCGGTAAAATGAGAGGATTAAAGAGCGTTGATAGTTTGACGAGCTAACAGTGGCAAATGCGGTGACCCTGGCTGGGTGATGACGGATGTTCATGCTACTGTCTGCAAGAATACTTCACATTAAGGTCTAAACTACAGGTAGTCCAAGTCCTCACAGTACCACCCACCCACAACGCTCCCGGATCTTATAAAGAGTATCGGATACTCTTATTCTCCCAATCTGTCTCATCTAGGTCGAGCTAAACTGCACTGTCTTCGACAGCTTGTTCACTTGAGCTGGCCTCAGTGCCAGACTCTTGATCGCGCTTCTTGTTCCATCTCGCCATCAGCTGTCTCATGATTATAATGATCATGACATTAAGAACGAAGCAAGCAATCATGATGTTGAACGCAGTCTGATATATGTTACTACGCATTCATGTTATATTTGCCACAGAACGGAACACGCCACTGCGAACTCACCTGGTAAGTTGGGGCTTCTCGCGGCAAAAAGGTAAGTGGGCCGACAATGTATCCTACACAGAAGCCAGCAAAGAGCATTGCATTGACTGTCGACTTCTTAGTATGTCCAGTGATGTTGCTTGACACGAGACTGAGAATTGTAGGAAAGGAGCTGGCGTAGGCGCTGATCAACCATAGTCCCCCAAGGCGACCCAGCTTGTGCGACTCTGGGAGCAGTTTGATCATCAAGGCCCCTGCCAGGGAGATGACGTTGAGCAGAGCGATAGACACGCATCGGGCGTTCTTGAATGTCATTGATATACCCACGGTGAAGACGACAAAAAACAGGAGAAAAGCGCCTTGTGACATGGTGAGAAGTTGGGTCTGCAACACGCTGTAGCCGAAGCTCGTCAGGATAACGCTTCCAAACTGCAAAATAGTCTAATTAGCACTGCTTCGGGTTGGTTGGATGTATGACTGGATTGGAAAGATAGAAGAAGCATCTGATGATACTGCACTGCATACCGCCGTCATGCCACCACCTGGGAGAGTGGTAAATACACAGAGTAAGAACAGCAGCCAGGATCGAGGATCCATTAGTGCTTCCCTCATCTGCCCATGGTTCCACTGCCTGGTCTCGGCTGAGCGTCTTGCACCTTGCACACGGGCAAAAGCCAACTTCCTTTCCCTCTCACTGAGAAACCATGCGGTTTGAGGGTTGTCCGGCAAAAGCCACAGAACAAGCAGCCCCCAAACAAAGGTAGCGGCCCCGAAGATGATAAACAGGAACTAAGATGGCAGGTTAGCTACGGGCTGAAGCGGCATTTGGCTATCACCACTCAAGACCTTACATACCTGCCAGCTTTTGATCGCACTGTTAATATGGGAGATGCCATATGCAAGAACGCCACCGAAGATGTAGGCCACACTGGATCCTCCGTACCATAAGCCATGCCGCAGAGCATGTTCGGACGGTTTATACCACGTAGATGTTATGATCGTAAACCCTGGGTTCACTGCAGCCTCAAAAGCCCCCAGCAAGATGCGCAGGGCAGCAAGACTCCCAAAGTTATTGCCAGCTGCCATACACATCTGTATACCCGCCCATATCAGTCTAGCATATAGCCAGCAATGTTAACGCTGCGATGTGTTCGATCGGTTTTTGAAGAGCAAACTTACACTGTGACTACTACGACTTTCGCCACCGAGAACTTGACCAACAGGATTGAAGCTAGAGGGCTTGCTGCGAGAAATCCCACATAGAAGAAGCTGGATACCCAGGAATATTGCGTCCCCACAAGTTTCTGTGATAATGTCAATATTGCTCAACGATCCTATTGGCCTGAGTAGTAGGCAGACTTACTGCGTCCTGTATGATGCCCATGATCGCGGTATAGCCAAGGGATGTCTTGTCGAGATATTGGAACAGATACAGAACAAACATCAGCGGAACCAAACTGTTCCGGTATCAGTCCCGCAAAGACCATTACGGAACGTTGCCCAATTACTTACTGTAAGTCAATCTTCCGGACGAGTTTTCGCTCCTCAGCAGGGGTCATGACCAAGTTTGACTCTGCCTCTCCTGTACTAAAATCTGGGGTTGCAAAATCGATTGAGGTCTTTGCCATGATGGAATTGTTCTTTTCAGTTGAGGCCATAGCGAATGACGGGTGAATGGGGTTGACACGATACGAGTTTCTTCGAATTGGATGTTCCAAAGTATCATGAACGTAAGTTATTGTCGAGCAGGAGTTGTCTTGTTCTTTATGAATGACCCAGGGCAAGCCACAGTTGATAATAAATAGGCAGTGATGTTCTGTAACCCAAATATAATGCGTGATGAAGATCTTGTAGTGCTCAACAAGCCCATGATCTAAACCGATAAGTAATGTGGTTCTCGAAACTCAATTGTAATCATCGGATGCACTTAGCAGGTATGTATACCAGTGATTACCTCGTTATACCATCATGCTGGGGAACCCCAGTCGTCGGGTACTCGTACCCGACTCGCAGAAACCTATTTCTCCACTCGACCCCGGACGTCGTTTGCTACGAGACATGGGCGTGCCGATGTTCCCCACCCCAAATTGAATAACGTTCCCCCACACTAGGCGGGTACAAGTACGCGAAGCAAAGGTTGTTTCTCCGGCTTTCTACTGCCGTTTGCGGAGGTTATTGCTCATCCCAGGCTGGAAAACGTCTGGAACCTTTTCTTTTCCATATCTCCCAACTCAACTTTTCTCAACTCATTGCTTTTCCTGCAGACTCTAAACTTCGAATCCAACGTGCTATCATGGCAGCAAATATGACCCCCATGTTACCTGACGAAGTCACCATTCCTTGGAACCTCCCTCCGCGGCCGAGATATGTTTTTACAGGAGCCAATCTCGTTGACCCGGCGAAAGGCGAGGTGTTGACCAACGTGACAATCCATCTTCACGACGGCGTCGTGAAGTCTGTCAATGGCAATCCTGACGAATGGGAGGACGATTCTTCCACGATAAAGCTCGATCTGGAGGGCAAGTTCGTTTGCCCTGGCTTGATAGACTGTCATGTTCATTTGATGGCAGTTCCTGGAAAGAAGGGACTTGAAGAGTTGAAGAGTATGAATCCATCCGTTTCACTCCTGCGCCAGCCACAGGTCTGTAGGTCCATGTTAGAAAGGGGCTTCACGACCGTGAGAGATTGTGGAGGTGCCCTGTTTCCTCTGAAAAAAGCCATCGAGGAGGATGTGCATCCAGGCCCAAGACTGTTCATTGCCGGACATGCATTGTCACAGACGGGAGGTCACGGAGATATGCGTGGGCTACTGGATAATTATGAGTGTTGTGGCGGAACGACGCAAGGCGTCGGTCGGGTCATCGATGGCGTGCCCGACTGCCTGAAGTACGCCCGAGAGGAGATTCGCCAGGGAGCAGACTTTCTCAAGATTATGGGTGGCGGAGGAGTAGCCAGCCCGACAGACAAGATCGAAAATATTCAGTTTTCGGACGAAGAAATCAAGGCTATCGTCACAGTCGCATCAAACGCAGGCACATATGTGACCACACACGCCTACACACCCCAAGCTATCCAGCGGGCGATTAAACAAGGAGTGCTGGGAGTTGAGCATGGCAATCTACTTGACGAAGAAACTGCAAAGCTCATGGCCGAGAAGGGGGCTTTTCTCACGCCAACCCTCATCACTTACGCCACGATGGCAAAATTTGACGGTTTCCTTCCTCCAGCATCAGCAAAGAAGAATAAGGAGGTGTTGGAGAAGGGATTACACGCTATCAAGATTGCCGCCGAAGCTGGCGTGACCATTTGTTTCGGGACGGATCTACTTGGCAAGCTACATTTCGCGCAGTCTCAAGAATTCGGTATGCGGCGTCAAGTTCAAAGTTCCCTGGAAGTCCTGCGTAGTGCTACGGTCAACGCTGCCCGAATGCTCCGACAAGACAAGCTCTTAGGCCAAATCTCCCCAGGCTTTGCAGCTGACTTGTTGATTTTGAACGCGAATCCGTTGGAAGACATCACCATTTTGGACGTGCCCGAGAAACACGTTTTAGCAACAATCAAGGACGGACGCGTTCATGCGTCGAGATGGTCAAAGCTTGGGACCGATCTGCATCGGACTGTCAATATTGCTTAGCAGATAGATTGAAAAATAAATTTCGATGCGTAAAATGGCATCTTCGTGTCACAAATCTTTCGTCTGACTTCTCCAAATATGACATAATCGTGAGAGTAAAAGACCCAAGACTATCACCTTAAGGTCATGGGTTCCTTGGCTCCTCGGGAAGTCGTGCTATGGATACCATCCTGTCACTTACACGGATAGTCTACTTTCCCCAGCTGATTTTCCCTCACGTGATCGCCATTGGTGGCGTTCTCCTATAAAGACACTCTCGCAAAGTCAATTCTTAGTCCATCAATAATTCCTCTTCACAACGATTTCTCGTCGTCATTTCCTCATCAAGTATCTAACAAACCGCATATGATACTCCATTATAGTTCATTGTATCTCGATGTCTCACTGATCTGGTCATCACGCTGACCAGATTGACCGGGTCTACCATGCCTTCTCCACCGACACGTCCATCAAAGAGATACCGCCCTCACGTACCTCTAGATAAGCGTAAGAGGGCCATACGAGCATGTATAGCTTGTCGGAATGTCAAGAAGAAGTGCGTTCTGACTTCAGCAAATCAGTGCCAAAGTTGCACTCGCGCCGGCCAGGTCTGCATTTTCGAAATGAAACCGAACCACCGGGACGACACACTTTCACCGGAACCACTTAAATGGAACAAGTCAGCCCATCTTCTAGCTGCCCTAACTAATCATTCCAATTTGTGTGGAAAGTGCATTCACTAATCTTTTAGCATGTAGCCCGGTTTGGGAGGCGGTAGCCATGGATGTCTCTCGGAGCTTCCATGAAAGATTTCCTGGAATCAACTTGGATTCTGAACAATTTTCAATAGTTTCAAAGCTTTTCCAGGAGGCTGTTCAAATGAATGAACAGGATTTGGTCCCCGAGATCGATATTCCTGGCGGGAAGTCATCCACTTCGCTTCAACGGATCTCTCGACCTAGAGCCAATATGGAGCCTCAACCCATTGATCCATCAGCTACAGTAGTAGTCGGTAAGTATACAAGAATAATTTCTTGCCAACGAAAAGTATCCGCTGATTGAGTTGACAGATAGTACGCCTTCGGCATCTCATGCCAGCTTTCTAGCGGCAATCTCGGACACAATCCCACCAGTACATACCAGGAGCGAAGATGTAAGTAGCGCTCACCATCTTGTGGCCTCAAAGCTTTTTTAGAAGGTTCTGGCTAACCCTGTACACAGAGTCCTGTAAACCTAAGCAGTCTTGCCCAAGAAGAGGACGCTTTCGTGCCTGTCACTATTCTCAACCAACTTCCACCTTACGAAGATGCTCAAGTCCTTGTTGACGTGTTCTTCACATTCCTCGAGTCCAACTGGTACTATTTTGACGAAAATTGGTTTCGCAATTTGCTCACAGAGATGTACATGAACAAAGCCAGTGCACCGCTGCGGAAGCAATGCACCACAATTTGTCTTGTGTTCCTCGTATTGGCACTTGGGAGTACGTTTGAGCATATATTCCGGCCGGCCGACCTGCTATTTAGAGACCGAGGGATCCCAGGTAGCACATTCTTCGTGCAGGCCATAAAGCTAATCCCGAGAGTCATTGCGGCTAACTCTGTCGAGAGTGTGATATGCTGTCTTTTGACGTCGTTGTACCTTCTTGGAACCGAGGACATTTCTCATCACCATACATACCTAGGGCTGGCTTTGAATTTGGCCACCGGTCTCTCGTTGCATCGTATGGGAATGGAAAACGACGAGACGGCTCAAGCTCATGAGATGAAAGTCCGACTGTTTTGGACTATCTATAGCATCGAGCGGTACGACAGGCAGCGCCAGTCCCGAAAAATGCTTGGAACTAATAGCGTATTTAGTCAGACATCTGTTATTATCGGACTTCCAACCATGCTGCAACTCAAAGACATCACAGTCTCCCTCCCGCAAAAGCGACAGGACCTAGATAAAGACGGTTCTCAACGAGTGGATCGACTAGTCGCATTCACCAAGCTAACAATGGTAATGGACGAAATCATCAACGCCGGGTACGTAGCAGAGACACCAGACCTCACGACAAGTCTCACATTTTCTAACATGGATACGTAGCCGCATTGAACAAAGCTCTACGACCTATGATTGGGCTTGGTGCAAGCTGGAATCTTGGAAACAATCTGTTCAGGCTCACTTGCTGTTCACCCAAGAGTCTTCATTTCGAGCGAATGCTCACCTCGATATCATGTATAACATGATTTGGGTAAACATTGGTCGCGGAGCTACACTGCGTCTTGTTCGCAGACGACTGTATCCTGTTGTCGCAGACTCAAGAAGCTCCGAATGCGATGAGATGTATCTCCGATCCCAGAAACTGGCGGAACGATGCACAGAGTCGGCCACAATAGTCATTGACTGGATTGAACAATTGCACAGCCGTAATCTGCTCGCCAGATTTTCTTTTACAGACTTCCATACATGCAGCTCGGCTGTCATTGTACTGCTTTTAAACGCTTTACTCCGAACTCCCTGTCATCAATTGCTGCCCATCGCTCGTGGCATAGAGGCCCTGCGCTTTATGGCGAACGGCAGCACGTTGGCGATGAACGCACTGCGACTTGTTGAACGCCTGCAAGAAGGAGTTTATAAGACTACTGGCGTGATTGGTAGAGGAGGTATTCTTGATCAGCAGCTATCATCTCTACAGCCCCCTGGTCAGAACTTTTCGCAAAGCGATACCCTCAATCTTGCCAGAGACATGCCATACGTTACTGCTGCGAATGATACTGCTTGTGACGACGCCGCCCCTGATATTGCCCCTCTTGACCTGACTCTTTTCGCGGACCTGGAGCCATCGCTGCTCGAATATTCTGAGCAATATCTGACGCTATTCGGATTTGACGGCTTTGGCTCTACGTTTGATCCAAATTTTCCAATGTAGGATAGAACCAAGGAAAGTTTATTTTTATATCGAAAGGGTCTTGCGCCTTCGCAATTATACTCTGCATCCACGCGCTCGACGAATGCGGGGAAGAACGAGCTGTTGTTTTGGTTAGATATTTCAAAACGTTTACTTTCAATTTTCCTGTTGTCGGATTGTCGTTTCAGCATCTGCTTCTCTTGTCATTGTTACCCTATCTTAGAGCTCCACGAGGGATCGATTATCGAGCTAGACAGAAAATGGAGCGGATATTGCGAAATCGTTACCAATACCTATATCAGAGGTGGGGGACTTCTCCCGGCCTGTTTGGCTCGTTTGCGAGGGAAATTGTCCTAGACAACGTATGGCCCATACCAGGAATACTGGCAATGGTACGGGAAGGGGTAAACTAACTTACTTAGGTATAGCGTATACAAAATAAACGAAGAAGATATTTGGCTTTAGAAATTACTTGAAACGCCCATCCACTAGTTAGATCCTGGCGCATTAGTCACAGTATTTATGAAATACGTGGTGAATGTGATGTGATCTTAGGGTTAAGGATTGCGCTAGCGTCTCGCGCCGCCGCGGTCTGGTGTAAAATGATGCACATCATATGCCTCCTAAGACTTCCTGGTCCGTGCGAAGACCGTGTCTCTCGGGAGCTGTGTGGGGATATATTTGGAATGTAGAAAATCGTCGATAAGCAAAAAGTTTTGGATGTGGATAGATGACTGTCCTGGAGCTTGTTTACTTTGTCCAGAGTATGATTCTTTGCGGTTACGAGTAGGCGTGGGCAACAAGTTAACTAGTGTAACTCGAGGTTTTATAGGCATCGACCGAGGTGAAATACTCCCTTGAGGAAAGGGCCGGTCATGTATCGATCGTGTTACATAGCCGAAAACCCGGCTGTGCTCTGATAAGAAGGAAAAGCACTCTTTGATGATCAAGACTGTTGCTGGTTCAAACAGCTTTAGAAGAGTCCTGTATAGATAGATAACGGTTTTCCAGACTTCTCTCTCTGTGTGTGCACTGGTTTGTTTATAGTTTGCCTGGTTTGCAACGAATCTTGTAGAATCTCGGTGTATGCTACAGAACAGTTATTATACCGCATTTCCTGTCTCATAACGTCAAATACAATAGGTAAAATATTTAATTGACTGTCTAATCCTATTATGGACTAGCGTACAGATATGGCGCTAAGAAAGAACGAAAGAGTGTCTATCTTGCGTCGCCTGCATTGAGAAACACACGCCCCGTCAACAGGATGCGAGGGTTGTCGGGTCGCTGCATGACGCTCGAGGCTTGAAGAGCGGTAGCCAAGGGTTTTGTGGAAATGGAGACAATGAGTCCCGTTTCAGGGACCATTCGGGAGAGAAACACCATAGCCTCGCCTGTGGTATCAAACATGAAGTCGATAGAGCGAGGCAGAATGATATCTATTCCTTGGTTCTGGCAGCTACTGCATGCAAATATTGGTGGCACCGTCTCGACGGGAGATGGATGACGCGCATGCTCGAGGCGTGTCGCTCGATATTGGGGTACGGAGTCTTTGGAACCTACGGTGGATCGAGTGGCGCAGAATATTTCACTGGTTAGGGATCGGGGTCTTGTCAATCTGTTTGCATCTGTTGTGAGTTGCCTACTGCCAGGTGGTATATATGTTGTGAATGATGCTGACGTATGCCATGCGTGTCTTTAAGCTGGAACTCTCTCACCTTCGCTTCGACCCCAGTCGTCAGTTATGTATCAGCTACGGTTACAAGCGACTTCCAGGAAGGGCATGATTGGGCCTTGGATCCTCTCCCAGATTGGCTTTCTAAATACGAATCTACGCACGACTGGACCCCAGTGCTCGAGTTGTACTCCCAGATGACCAATTTCACACGCCTGAGCAAGCAAGACTGCATGCTTGAATATATCGACCCTCTCACACCTAAGAAACCCTTGGTTGTTGTTGCATCCAATATCACAGCTGCTGAAAATTACGGCAACACTCTTCTTAGTGGTTTGATCACAGGGTATAATATTTGGAGCCGGTCGCCCTGGTGGATATGTCAAGCTTATAACCCTGGGTTCAAGTCTTTATGCTCTGAAGAATGGGCCGATACCTTTATTGACGACTGGGTAGTCCTCACACATACGCATGAGGAAAAAGGTCAGCCTGGTGGCCTTTCCGGGTTAAGGTCGATTATTGCCTTGTCGGTGCCGACAGCGCCATCAGCCCTCGGTGTGGCCTGCACTATGGAACACAGGTCTTCACTGTCGTGAGTGTATGCACGTTGCTCCAATGCTGCTTTATTACGCTTGTCTGGTGTTTCTCTCGCAAGAAAGCTGGCTTTTGCCAAGGCGAGCGCACCATGGTCTTGATGGGTGATGCTATCGCGGAGTATTTAGAGCATCCGGGAGATGTGTCAAGTTCCCAGGCCGTCCGTATGCATCCACAGGTCTGGTGCCCCCAACGCCGGCTTTTGTGGTTCAAAGCTGTTAGCCGCAACGTATGGGCGATGTCCCTGACATTGTAAGTTTTACGAACACTCCATTTATGTATAGAAGCTAAAGGTTAATGGGTGAAACACTAGACTTATCATCGTAATAGCGGCACCAATGGCTATATTGATCGATAACGTCATTTATTGGAAGCCTCGGGGCCTTGATCTAAGCATACCGACTATTTTCAGGCTAGGCTTCGGCCTAAATTCTGATTTTATCGGCCTGGGTAGTGAAACACGCAACTATACCCTGATACAGTGTGTTTTTCTTGCCAACGCTGTCCAGCTTATAGTCAGTTTTCTTTATCTATTTTACAACAATATCTTGACGCATCAACTTGTTGGCGACCAGTGGGTGCGGTTTCTACACCCAAACGGAAAGAAGTCACTGCGCGTATCCACGCCGATTGGGATGCAGCGCTCGTCCTATATACTCTCCCTTCCCCTCACATATTCAATCGCCCTCATCATCGCTATGATATTACTTCACTGGCTTGTGTCCCAAAGTCTGTTCGTTGTACAAACTATAGGTTTCGATACCAACGGCAAGCTATTGAATTCCTCGAGCTTCAATGGCTCAGTGGTCGGATACTCAATACTTCCCATTTTACTTGCGACCATATGTGGAGGTGTCATGGTGATAGGGCTGCTTGTCAATTCTATGGTGCGAAATCATCAAGACGTGCCACAAGAGTTTTTGAAATGGGGATCTAGCAGTGCCCATATCGAATCTCTGTGCCATAGACCGGACGGGGATTTTGATGCGCATCTATTCCCTTTAAGCATAGGTGTTGTTTCAGATAGCCTCCCGGGAGGCATTACTGGTCCACCTCGACTTTCATTTTCAACAGATATTCATTTGCGCTTACCACAGGATGGAGAGATATACATGCTCCCTGCAAGGAAAGAAAAACCGAAAGCAACCTGGCCGTAGGAGAGTTGAGTTATCTCTCCAGGTGCTAGAGCATGTACCAAAGCAACATTTGAATATTGAATGAACCTGCCAAGAATGAGAATTCTATTTTTGAGCTCCTGTTCATAAGGTTGACATTGGGAATGCCCTGTCTCCCCGGTCTCACGGCGTACTCTTCCTTCTATGAAATCGGAAGACCGAAGATAGGGGATACTATTTTCGACTCCTTGCCAGTGGTGCTGTTGGCCAGATTGTGGCGCAGCTGGCGAAACACGAGGGACTTTTTATCATTGGAAATGTTGGTTCGGATGAGAACTTGAGCTACATAATGGAGAAATTGGGCTTTGATTATGGATTCAATTACAAATAGGAGAAGCCGAGAGAGGCTCTTGCCATCTAATATGACAACATCAGTGGCGAGCACCTTGAGGCTGCCCTTGGCGCGACGAAATATTTTGGACGCATCGTTGCCTGTGGTGTGACTTTCGATTTCAGCAGTGCGCCATATGTAATCAAAGTCTTGAATACCGTTATCACAAAGCGTCTCAGTATGCGTGGGTTTATTGTCGCAGACCTAAAAATTTGGTCAAGCCTATTTCCTGGTACACCAAAAGAAGATGCAAAAATGGATCAAAAAAGGTTCTATCAAAAGCCTCATTCACGAGACCGTGGGTATTGACAACGCTGCCGAGGGACCGTGGGGATTTTTGGAGGAAAGAACAAAGGGAAGGCCCTGTTGAAGTTCTAAATAGTGTATATCGACAGAATGGAAGTGGCAGAATGTGCCAATTGCACGCGTATCAGGATGCGTGGGTACGAATAGATCGATTTATTCGTGTGCAGGCTTTACCTTTCTAAATTATTTCCATTGAAGATTCAGCTTCATATATACCATCAACAGGTGTGAAATATCAGCCAACCTCTGCTGCTTGATCTATACAGAGATTGCATGGTTTCTATGACTCATTTAGTACATAGAATATCGAATAGGTTGTATGCGTAAGGCTCATACGGGTTCAGGCCTTGTTTGTTTGTTTGTTTGCTCGGTTGTTTACTTTCGGAGGCTAGGTATAAGTAGATGACTATGAGCCCACAATGATCATGTGTTTTTGTTCCTCATTATATATCTCTATCTATAGCATTGTTATAATAGGCCTTTATTGGTTTCTATTCATATTTGTACATTGGTTGTCTCTATGGGAGGGTAATAAAATAATCATTATATGACATTGTTGCTATGTGGCTGGCTCTGCACAACACTGCGTCAGGTATGTTTACAAGTATACGTTATGGACATTGTGACTTACACCAAATAGGCAATTTGCTCATCCTCATGTAAAAGGCTTGACATGTGAAACACTTCTACACCAATACCTTATGAGTACGTGTCCTCCTACGTTCTGCATCCTCATTTCTCGTATCACTTTTCTCGGTTCCTACTGTCTATCAGCATGTAAATGCCTGCTCGTAATTCTACACACATTCCACACGTTTAACCTAGCTCACATCGAATGCACTAATGCGTCTTCAAGTTGTCCTAGAGCGTTTGTCAAAAAAGATCATGATCACAACAACCCCAGAGGTCCACGCATGATAGATGGCCCCCAATCGCACTAAAATGGAGACCTATGCGATTTCAACCGGTGCTGCCCATCGATGCCCCGGGTGGGAAAAGCTCTTCTATTCCCAGCAGTAATTAGTGCATGGCATGATTGCCTTGGGGGTCAGGGCTCCTTGGTGAGTTTACCCCAAGTTAGTCCATAGGACTAGGTAATCTGCTACTCTGCCGTAGAGAATCATCATCGTCTTCTCCCTCTCTCTCCCGTAGAAGTTCTTTGCCCGCTAATAAAGAAAAAACACATGAATTAACATTGATGTTTACGAGCATGAGGTGCAATCTATACCTCGGTGCTAGGGTAGAGTGCTGGCACGTGACGTTCTCCCGCTGGACCGTGCCCTAACACTTAAAAGTGATCGAAATTGTCAATAACTTATACCATTCGTTGATTGTATGATTCTCTTTATTGATATAACAAGATAACAACTGCCATCTATTCATATGCTTTTATGGGGGAGAAGTTGTTTTGGGCCACGAGGTTGGAAATATATATTTGAAAGGTCTATATTGATCATATTCAGACTGGAGGGTCGGATGCCTCAACAGTTGTAGGCAAAGGTCATTAGTACCGCCAAAAGTGAGAATATCATAAGAGAGATGTAACCACTAAATGATTAGGAATTCGACTGCAAGAAAGTGTGCTGATGATTTCAGTTCGGTAGATTCCTGAGTCCTATGAGCTCATCTTCTCATTCCTTCATTCCTGTCTCTTTGAGTAAAAAAGATTATAAAAAATAATAGATAATTATAGAAAGCTCGATACAGACGAGGAGTAAGCCTCGTATGAGAGGAAATGGGCATAATACGGCTTCAGGAGGGGGTATAAGTTCCAATAAGGAGGAAGATCCCATAATACGGGATGGGTACAGAGTTCAGCCCTCAGAGTCCTCTCATCTAGCCACGGAAATTTGAAGGTTAAAAGGCAAGCTTACGGGCTAGGAATCCAAGGAAAAGAGAGAAAGGTAAGTGAGCGAGTAAAGGTTGAATGAAGACAGAAGGGAAAAAAAAGTCCTACAAAAGACCCAGCCGACGCCTGATTAAGAAAACGAAACAAAACAGTGAAGGTCGCTCAACGCACTGATAAAGGAACAAATCGAATCATCAGATCCTACACCAACAAAATCTCCAGAGCGACTTTATTAGACCACGACGCCATCATCACTGGCGGTATCAAAGTGCTCGCGAAGGCTATCCCAAGTCCAAGGCCCACCATGATAGAACGTGCTCCGTTCATCTTCATCATCCAAGCCAGCAAAAAATACATTAACATGGCGTAGATCAGACCACCGGCTATCTGGCCGCGTGACGGGCAAGGTGAACTGCCACAAGCGAAAATCATCGGCAGCCTCAAAGTATTCGCGGGTAGAGCGGCCGTTTTGGTGCATGACCAAGCTCGTGGCGAAAAGGTTTAGCTCTTCTATGCATTCACGCATCCTGTACACATCCTCATGTGCAGAGTCGATGCGTTTGTTGGCGCGTTTGAGATCTTTGGTCAGGAATTCATTTTGGCGTTGGAGTTCGTGGGCCCAAAGCAGCATAGCGGCTGGGCTGAGTCCGTCTGTGTTGGCTGAGGCATTGGGAGTGGTGGTGGTGGCTACGCCATTGGTAATTGGGGTAGTGAGAGGGTCAGAGTTGGGAGATGACATGTTGATGGTCAATCTTGAAGTAATGGAATGAGTATGGCTTTCTGATCTAGGGGAGATATGAGTGATGGAAGATGATGAGAGAGAACGAAATCGCGTCGAGGAGAGAAACAAGAGGAGACGCGTGCAGGCATTGAGATCACGAGGGTGGAAGACCGCTGAGTAGTGGCAGTACATCCATACCGCTGTTGGTGACCAGGCGATGAACATCTTAGACCGCTGGGGGTTGGCAGTATATAGCACGTGCGACTCGTTGAGCATAGCATGCCCTAGGAGAATGGAAATATATAGACTAGGTGTGTGTAAGGACTATAACCAGCGTCTATACTGAGCAGCAATATATAGCAAAGTCACCAGACAGCTAGCATCAGAGCGATTGCTAGCAGTATCAAATAGCGAGAGAACCTACAATTAGTACTGTGACTAGATAGGTCATTGGAACACATAAGTCATATCCAAGGACAACGCCCTGAGAAACAAGTCACATTTTGGCCCGATCTATTGATTAAGTACGATAAGAGCAGCATCCTTAACCAAGAAGAGCGGACTAGATACAGACGAGGAAAAGGAAACGTGGGAAAATGCAGGAAAGATAGAGAAAACCGTAGTAGCAAAAGGTAAACGCACACAAACATGTCACATCTCCGTTAGTGCAAGACATAGGAAGCCATAGCAGCAGGTAAAGAAAACGCGCCAGGGCGTCGACAAAGGTCAACTCAATGCGCGGAGACACAGCCCTGGATCGCTCCTCCCAGCCTGACTGCGGGCGGAAATGCGAAAAACGCAGAAAGCCACTTTTAACGCAGATTCTGCGATCGTAATTCGCATCAAGCCGTCAAGGGGGTTAAGGAGTTTAGATGAGGTCAGCAACGTTCATGGGCATCTCCTCGACCTGGGTGCTGTAGAACTGCTCGATCTCACGGAGCATGCGAACATCGTCGGCGGTGACGAAGTTGATGGCAACACCCTTACGACCGAAACGACCACCACGACCGATACGGTGAATGTAGTTCTCGCGGTTGGCGGGAAGGTCGTAGTTGATGACCAGGGAAACCTGCTGGACATCGATACCACGGGCCAAAAGGTCAGTGGCGATCAGGACACGGGAGGAACCGGAACGGAACTCCTTCATGATAACATCACGCTGGCCCTGCTCCATGTCACCGTGCATGGCGGAGACAGTGAAGTCACGGGCAGTGAGCTTGTCGGTGAGCCAGTCGACCTTTCTGCGGGTGTTACAGAAGATAACGGCCTGGGTGATGGTGACGGTCTCGTAGAGATCGGACAGGGTGTCGAGCTTCCACTCCTCCTTCTCAACAGCGATGTAGAACTGCTTAATACCCTCAAGGGTGAGTTCCTGCTTCTTGACAAGGATACGGACGGGGTCGCGCATGAACTTGGTGGTGACCTCAAGGACATCCTGGGGCATGGTAGCGGAGAGCAGGGTGACCTGGGTGGACTGGGGAAGGAGCTGGAAGATGTCGTAGATCTGCTCGGTGAAACCACGCTGTAGAAAGGAAGTTAGACCTGGTTGAGATACGCGATACCAATTGTATATCACTTACGGACAGCATCTCGTCAGCCTCGTCGAGGATGAAGAGCTTCATGGCGGTGGTGCTCAGAACACGGCGCTGGATCATGTCTTGGACACGGCCGGGGGTACCGACAACGACCTGGGGACCGGCGCGGAGGGCGTTCATGTCCTCACGGACGTTGGTACCACCGATACAGGCGTGGCAGTCGAGAGACATGAAGTCACCGATGGCGACAACGACCTTCTGGATCTGCTGAGCAAGCTCACGGGTGGGGGCGAGGATGAGGGCCTGGCAGGCCTTGACCTCGGGGTCGATCTTCTGGAGGGCGGAGATCGAGAAGGTAGCGGTCTTACCGGTACCGGACTGGGCCTGGGCGATAACATCGTTGCCTGACCTTGTTAGGCGCAAATTCCATAATTTTAGGAATAAAAGGTAACTCACCCTTGATGATGGGCATGATGGCACGCTGCTGGATAGCAGAGGGGCGCTCGAAACCGTAGGCGTAGACACCTGATCCACCGGTCAGTATTTTTCATCCACCCCACCAGATAAGAGTTTAGGGTCACATACCGCGAAGCAGCTCGGGCTTCAGGTCCATAGCGTCGAATGAGTCAGTGACCTCATCGTAGTTAGACTCGATCTGTCCTGTGGAAGCGAAAAAAGCGACGTTAGCCTCAATATTCTCCATGTCGTCTCTCTGTCTCTTGCCCACGCCACCAGTCTGCCAACCAGTGCCCCTGGCTGCAGACAGCGAAAAGCGAAGAAAGGCGATAAAGAGGCCAGAAACCTGCAAAAAAAGGCGCTGCACATACCCTCGGGAAGATCCTCAAGACCCTTGTCAGCCATGATTGCGGTTGTAGGAGGGGATCACAGGTATCGCTGTGATCTGTGGTGGGGGGTTTTTTAAGCGAACTGTGGGGTGTTCGCTGAGCAGAAGGCTAGTACTACAGACTCCTTTTCCAAGAAGTCTTTGAATACTAGAAAATAGAGAAAGTTGATGTATGTGAAGAAATCACAAGAATGGTGGGAGGAGAGAAGAGAAGGGAAAGAAAAATCGGATGCCACCGTGCCGCCTCATTTGCTGCAATGCTTTTTTTTTTACGGGTCACGAGGGCCTCACCGCCTTCCTGTCAGGGCTTGGCCCAAGCGAGGAAGTTATTCTCTACATTGTCGCTATTGTTCTTGGTGTACTTGATGTTCTTGATGTGGCGCATTTACTGGCTTTGACATTTCTGGTTCTCTTCATTCGCTTACTCCTGGTCCCATTGGCTTGGTGACCTTCTTTCGTTGGGGACCCGTGAAAATCTTTGAAGCCCTAACATTGCCACTCCAGATGCCAGACATCACATCCTTAGTGAGCCATCCACCTCAGGATGCAGAGGCTATACGCGAAGCTATCCCCTCCCATCCACTAGGAGTCAAACCCAGTGGAAATGCCCTGTTGGCAACGTGGAGTCTACGCGACGCCATTGGCACTTTTCAACATCTGCCAGATGAGCTAATCCTGTCACTGTTGGAGACACTTGATGGGGCAAGTCTTTTGAGCATCGGACGGACATGCAAGGCTTTCTATGCGTTTACCCGGGCAGAGGAATTGTGGAAGGCGCTGTTTGTTCGGTAAGCCAAACCCCAGCCCCAATTCCGTCTTAAATATGTAGACCGATACCGACTTTCGGTGTTTTGTCTCTTATATCCATAGCATCAATATACACATTGTTCCAGATCTTGTACTAAGTCTTGCTCCAGGGATCCAAAGGAGAACTTCACATGGCGGGGAACATGGCGAGGAACATATTTGAACCTCCCGGCCACCAAGGTGCCGATGATTGACTGCTCTCAGTTATTCTCTGATGCCCTCTACCGGCCCTTCAACTGTGCACACATCTCACTAGACCCGTATGTGGCCAAGATCCCCGCGCGGAACCAGATCGCCCGCATGCCAGATCTGTCGCCAGAGGAATTCCACGCAAACTGGACAGACCGACCCTTCATCCTCACCAAGCCCGTGAAAGCCTGGCCAGCCTACAAGAACTGGTCAGTCGGGTCCCTACTCGCCCAACATGGCCAGAAAAAGTTCCGCGCCGAAGCTGTGGACTGGGCTATGCGCACTTACGGCGACTATATGGCAGACAACTCTGACGAGAGCCCGCTATACCTCTTCGACCGATCCTTCGTCTCCAAGATGGAACTTTCGGTTGGACAGCCAGAAATGACACTCGACGCAGCATACTGGCCGCCATCCTGCTTCGTCGAAGATCTCTTCTGCGTGCTCGGTGATGACCGTCCAGATCACCAATGGTTGATTATCGGACCAGAGCGTTCCGGTAGCAAGTTCCACAAAGACCCGAATGCCACGAGTGCTTGGAATGCCGTGCTACGCGGTCCCAAGTACTGGATTATGTTCCCGTCTGGTGCAAAGCAGGCCCCACCACCAGGCGTGTTTGTATCGGATGACCAGAGCGAGGTCACTTCTCCGCTAAGCATTGCCGAGTGGCTACTGGGCTTCCACGCTGAAGCACGCCGGACACCGGGATGTGTAGAAGGAATCTGTGGCGAGGGTGAAATCTTGCACGTTCCTTCTGGGTGGTGGCATCTGGTGGTGAATCTGGAGCCGTCGATCGCCATTACGCAGAACTTCGTCCCTCGTGGCCATCTCGATGCTGCGTTGGATTTCTTGTCGAACAAGCCTGATCAGATCTCCGGGTTCAGGAAGAACGTGGCTAATCCGTATGAGCGGTTTGTGGCCGGCATGCGCGAGTCATACCCTGACTTACTGGAGCAGTCTTTGGAGGAGCTGCAGAAGAAGACTGACGGCAAGAAGCGTAAGTGGGAAGACATTGTTCATGGAAAAACTGAGGATACCCCAGATGGAGATGACAACGGAGGAGGTTTCAGCTTTGGGTTTGGAGATGACGGGAGTGATGTCGAAGTCCCATGAGCCACTACTATACTTCGAGGTGGGCTGGAAAATCAGCTCTACAAGCCAACGTCACATCCAACAAAAGGCATTCAAAATCAACAACTGCAATGTGATACCCAGATTAAAGATTGGTTCAAGTCTCGTTATCCTCCGCTACTGCCCTGCGGGCCTGCAAGTTTATCAACGCTGGGATGCTTTAATGACACGCAATAGTCTTGGAAGCTGGAGTTCCCTCCGAGAAAGCCAGGTATCCAACGAACGCGCCCACTGCGACAGCAATCATTACTGGGCCATTATAGGTCATAAACAGAAGCCTAAAGCACCAAATCAGCAACCCAAAAAGCCACGATGATTCTTCGACACCTACATGATGAAGAAGCTATAGAACACCTGAATGGCATACAAAGCAGCCATGGTAACCTTACCACGACGCGCCAGCGCCGCTCTGTTATCCCTTCCTACAAGCAGTGGTGAGCCTTCGTTGCGGGTGTGATGGATAGCGTCCTCCAGGCCGTTGGCAATGATAGGGTCGGCGATCTCATCGTCTGCAGAAGCAATGCATCAATGAGAAGCTTGCTCAACCAGAGTCCGCCACCTCCCCGTCACCTCTCAAACAGCGAGCTTAGAGCTCGAACATCCCAGGTAGCACCTAGCTACCTGGAATGCACCATCCTTGACAAGTACCTTGACCCATGGAAAGAGTAGAAGACTTACCCCCTGTATTGGCCGAAGTGGCCACAAACGTAGCCAGACGCTGGGCATGAGTGGCCTCGTATTTCCGTGTCACTGATCGGATTCCCTCGTAGCCAGCGGTGAGGATGACGATCGCAACGAGTGAGAACAGGAAGGAGAAGGGACCGGTGATGCGCCAGCTGCGGAAGATAATGCACAGGTTCTCGGAGGACCAGTTGAACAGCATCTAGTGGTTAGCAGAGATTAGCGGGATCCAACACAGGTATTATCCCGGGGCTCAGAGCTATATCTCACGTTCATATTGCATTGCCCGCCCATATCCATATCCCCATGGTCCATACCACCATGGCCGTGATCCATATGCATCGAGTGGTCCATATTGAGTGGTGGGAATAATAATCAAAGAAACAACAGAAAGTAGTGGGCTCCCAAACACAAACAAATAAGCGGAATGTCAAAGTACTCGCAAGGAGCTGGGTTTTACGAAGAGACAAACAACACAAGTAACGTTGACGACAAGAGAGGGGAATGCAAACACGTCAAACACGATAAGATCTCTCCATTTCCCAAACGCGGTCATAACGAACTCCCAGCTACGGACGCAATTCTCTATCATCTGCTCTCGCATGCCATTCGCTTCGACTGTTTAAATCACTATCACTTGATTGTGTGTTCCCTTTCACAATGGCAGACACAGCTCCAGCTCCAGCAGCCGCACCCGCGACCACCGGAGCTACAGCACCCACAACCGGCGCAGCAGCCAGCGCACCGAATGCGCCCGCCGACGCAAATGCCGGCAGTCGCGGACTCCCATACTACGAGAAATTGCGCCGAGAATTGCGAGACACATTGCAAAAGAAACGGTTGATGGACAAGAGCATGGTGAGTGGACAGACCAGTCGCGCGTCCCTAACTTAGTCTGGGTTACGTTCTGCGCGAGAATAGCGTGCACGAAATGCTTCCTCTTACCGCGAATCTTTGGCTTTCCAATGGATATTACAAATTGTCTCTCTCATTGATACCCTGCTAATACACGCACTCTCTCCCCTCTCAGGCCCAACTCGAAGACCAAATTTTCCGCTTTGAACAATCCTACCTTGAAGAAACAACCGCCGGAAATATCATCAGAGGATTTGACAATTACATCAAGGGTTCGGCCAGCGGATCAAGTCTCGGCGCTTCGGGCCTTGGTCTTGGTGGCGGCGTTGCCGGTTCAAGGCGCAAAGCCCAAGTCACAGACTCGGATCGAGTGTTCTCGCGCAGTTCGGCAAGTTACATGATGGTATGTGGAATAATGCAGCAAACCCAACAGACGCAGGTGCAGACATTGCGGGTGGCTTCCGATATCTCTGGTTTGAAGAGTACGACTAACGAGGTACCTTTTCGGTGTATTGCAGGACTCGCCCGGCCCATCCTCCGCACAAACTACGCCCTCCCACGCGGCGACACCGACATCTACAAACGGGAATGGCTCGTTTAGTAGGAGTAACGATTCACTTAACATTTCCGCCGCTGCTAGCGGGATGAAGGTTTCGAATGGTGCTTCGAAGAATAAGAAGAAGGCGACGGGCGGATCGAAGAATACCAAGGGCAAGAACCAGACTGAGGATTTCTCTGATGAGGACAAACCTTCTGTGAAACGATTGAAGATTAGCTATGGACGGGATTGAAAATTTAACCGTGTCTGTCACTGTCGTGCATTCTGCTCGGGGTTTCTCGGGTTTGGAGTTGGGTGGGTTTATCTTGAATCTTTTATTCTATTCACGGCTTCTGGGGGGAGTCGTAATATACGGCGCTGTGGAAAATGGGGGTATTTCTTTGATGCGATATCATGTACATCACGAACTTATACAGACTTCAGCGGTTGTCGCTTACAACATTTGCTTGATTCTTTCAGTGTTGCTAGGTATACTGCTAGGCACAAGCTTAATAATATCTCGACTTTGGCTTAATATTGCTCGCGAGCAAAGGGCACATTGTTCTACTCTCATATTCAGAATAATAGGAGAGACTGGAACAAGACAGTCCTATCCTGTCTGCTGAGAAACACATCGATATCACAAATCAAAGCTGCAGTCGGAACGTAGCGACCTCAAAAGCCCTCAACTCAATATCAATATTGTGCATAGCACGATCATCAGTCCGCTTTAGATCCAAAAGATCTTCATTATCCTCCAGTACATTGCACTTCCAAGCCTTCTTAACGGGCAAAGAAGTCTCAATAGTACCACGGGCCTTACCACCCAATGACTCATAGATGCGTAGGATAACACTCTTCCCAGGACGCGTAGGAACGCCATCCCGAGCAACATCTTCATCATCCTCGCCACGCTTGACAACATCCAAAATCAAAGATGGCGCCCCCTTAATAGAAACAGCCTTGAAAATTGCAGCGGCGGTTGATGCCTTGGGCCCGGCTTGCTCTACAACGAGTGGGTTATTGAAATTGAAGCCTGCGCGGATTGTTCGGTCGTCGAGAGGGCCTGCGTGTGGAAGGATTGCGTAGCGGATGTTATGGCGGCCCATGTCGGCGTGTGCATCTGGTGCTTTCGGGGCGCGGAGCAGTGAAAGGCGCATTAGGTTGCCGCATGTGGCGAAGCCGTACTTGGAGTCGTTGAGGATTGAGACACCGTATCCGTTCTCCGAGAGGTCGGCCCATTTGTGGCAGCAGACTTCGAATTTGGCCATGTCCCAGCTATATCAGGTTAGTGTTGTGGTGGTTTTAAGATGCTGTGAGTAGTACGTACCTTGTGTTGTAATGGGTGGGGCGTTTGATGATTCCGTATTGAGTCTCGTAGGATGCCTCGGTGTTGGTGATATCTACGGGGAACTCGACCTTGAGGAATTTCATGGTCTCTTGCCATTCTACCTCGCTCTCCATTTCCACGTAGGATGGTTCATTTGTCGATGATCGCGACAGGCTGATGGTTGTCTTGATCCAGCTCTTGTCGCTGATCTTCGTCTCGGTCATGACACTGACCCGATGCGGGTTGTTTTCAGTAATGACAGTCTTTCCAGAAGGTAGTTCTTTGCGTGATTCGAGATGGAACACCTCGACATCCCATGCTTGCCAGTAGAGAGGCTTATCATCAAAGATGACTAGCTGACCAGCATTACCGCCCTTTGCGACGACTTCCCTGTCTGCTTCAATATCGAAAAGGGAGATGATGACACCATCTTTGACATCGACTTTGAGGTTGTCATTCTGCAGACGGAAGACACCAGGCTGGACTTCCTTCACAGTAACCGCCATGCCCGATTCGTTATCCTGGTTGAAGTTAATCAGTCCAGTGGACCCGGTAGCCACGGCATACTCGGGCCCAGTCGATGTTGACAGCGCAGAAGGGACCTTGACGACTTCCGTTCGAGGCCACGGCAAAGTGTTGAGAGCCACCATTTCACAACTGTTAGACTTTCCAATAATACCCAAAGCCTCAAGAGCATCCTTCCGCAGCTTTGTGCCAATCTCAAAGATCTTGGCATAAAGTTCATCAGAATCATCATAGCACATCTCAATCGAGCTGCCTGGCAGGCAATCATGAAACTGGCAAAGGAGTGTGCCCTCCCACATCTCATCAATCTCCTTCTTGGGATACTTATATTCGCTATTGGAATCATGAACAGTAGCCAAGGTTGCGAGAAGCTCAATTTCACGCAAAAGGAACTCCGCTTTTCGGTTGTTGCGCTTGTTGTTCGCCTGGGTTGTGTATGTACCACGGTGTAACTCGAAGTAAAGCTCTCCGTACCAGGTAGCAAAGTCTGTACCATTGGCAGCTTTTGCCTCCAGACCAGCGAAGAAATCATCAACAGACTCGCCCATCTTCACTCGAGGAAGTGAGCCGACTTTGTCGCTGAGTCCACGGCAGCGACGTAATTTCTCGAGGTGTCCGAAAGTCGGACCGCCACCTCCATCACCCTTTCCAAAGACAAGCAGGGATGTCTTATCTTTGTCCATGGATTTGTGCTGAGTGACACTGCGCTTCACATCACCGAAATGTGCTTCGGCCGTGTAGGTCTCTGCTGGGGCCATGTGGCACATTACCTGGCTACCATCAAGTGCAACCCATTGGAATGTAGTATGGGGGAAGTTATTGATGTTGTTCCAGCTGAGCTTCTGGGTGAAGAATCGGCTCATTCCAGCCAGGCGGCAGATCTGGGGGATCTGAGTAGAATATCCGAAGGTGTCCGGCAACCAGAAGGTCGTGGCTCGCTTGCCAAAGTTTGCCTCGAAGAACCGCTGTCCGTACAGGAACTGTCGGACTAATGATTCGCCACTTGGCATGTTTGTATCGTGCTCGACCCAGCTGCCACCAATTGGCTGGAAGTTGCCTTTCTTAACCCACTTCTTCACGCGCTCAAAGACTGTTGGATAGTACTCCTTCAGCCATTTAAACTGTTGCGCTTGAGAGCAGGCAAACCGGTGTTCAGGATACCGTTCCATCAGATCACATTGGTTTGACCATGAGCGTGCAACCTTGCGCTTTGTTTCTGCCCAAGGCCACAGCCAGCAGGTATCAATGTGGCAATGGCCAATAGCATAAACGATCGGCTGAGTGTCCGTGTTGTAAACCTCGGACGAATCCACCTTGTCACCGAGATATTCCCTAGCAAGTTTCCGTGCTTTTTCGATAGACTCGTTGCTTCCATCGCCGGCGATGAAGGCATCGATCATGGAATTGGCCACCACGTTAGCTTCATGCGCCTCCCACGAATCACCTGGGAATTCTCGCGCAGCGTCCCCAATGATCCAGAAATCATAGTAGAGAGCTCGAGCAGCCAGGTTCACAGCTGTAATACGAGCCGTACTGAGAGTGAAGTACTTGTTAGGATTGGGCGGCTGAATCGAATCGCCACCGGGAGCATTGCCAAACATGCCATTGCAAGCCATCTCAATGTAGAAAATATGAGTCTTCCCATCACACCACTCCTTGGGAAGAATAAACTCAGTCCGCTCTCCACCACCAGTCAAACCCTGCAGCGGGCGACCATCTTCCGTCCAGATCAAACCCTCATTATTGGCATCCCAGTGGAACTCCAACCGCTCCCGGTCAAGCATGTCCTGTGGGACTGTAAGGTGAATGCGGAACCAATGTGTGGACCAGCTAGGGCCAAAAGAAGCGCCGATATGGGTTGGCTTGAACTCATGGGAGGTTGCATCCTCGAAGGTCGGTCGCTGTAGGTCTGGGACCGAGTAAACAGAGAGCTTGACATGGTCTTCGTCGGAGTTTGTGGCTTCCCAGTATTTCGATATAAGGTTCTGGCCTTCGTACTGGCCGCTTGAGGTGAACTGCTTCAGCCGATCGGTGTAGATGCTGTTGATGCGCTGACCGACCGGGCGCTCAGCTAGCCGGGGTAGAGCTGGGGGAGCGGGGCGAAAGGGAACTTCCCCACCCATGCTTATTGTTCTGAAGGTATGTGAGTGGAAAGGAGTAGAAAGGAGTAGAGATGAATTGGAGATCTTAAATCTAGCAGTGTACAAGTAAGTAAGGCCAAGAGAGTAATGTGCAGGTTGAGATGAAGAGAGAAGAGAAGAGAGAAGAGAGAAGGGATTCCCAAATGCGGAGGCATGACGGAATGTGGAGACGGATCGACACGATGTGACTATACAAATGCTCTCTCTGTTTTGTATACCATTGTTTGTTGATAAGATCAAATCACTTCTAACTATATATTTACCCAATGTATGTCGCATGTCTACCCTCGTCCGCCCTCAGTCGTCGTCTCTCAAACAAATGGCAATAGCCATCTCACCAGCAGGTGACCTAGGCATCAAATACCCCAAACTCTCAAAAGGGATAAAGTGCGGTCTTCCCACAGACTCAGGCTTCCCCAATTCAAGATTAAAGTCCAGATCTATAGCAGTTAATCCTCGACCAAGAACTAATCATAAAATCCGACGGAATCTGAACAGTTGCAGTAAACGAAGTTTTGGTCTTGTCAGACGGTCGACTAAGGAAAGTAGCCAAAGCACGCATATTAAACGCTAGGTCATTGGTACTCGGGTCGAGCTGGGTTCGAAGCTGTGCAGCAACCACTCCTAAAGGTTCTTCGGATATTGTCTGAATCATGTCTCTCGCAGAAATTTCAATATAAGCCCAGGTGGATTTTTGGAGGCGCAAGTTGTTCCGAGGCAGCATCACTGACACTCCGGGGGGGAGGGGTGGTTTCACAAGCTGATGATCGAGTTCAGGACCTGGCTCGTATGCATAATCCACTAGTGAGATGATATTGCTCCGGTCTATATTTCCTGTGGCCATTTCCTCGCTTGTGAATGACTCATTGTGGCAGGCATTGGACAACATATTGACGATGAAGTCTTGTCCAGTCATGTCCATGACATTATGCTGGGCAACGAGTGTGAGCATCAGGCCGCCCTTGACGGAATTCGCCTGGACACAAAAGACCAACGCTGACTCCGTGATGATTCCCGGCGGGGCACCAGGTAAATTGATGGTCGTGCTAGGTGCAATGATGTTTTCGTTGAGCATGGTGAACGGGTACTTGGCCTGGCGAAGGTCATCTATTGTTGGTGCAGAGGCGTCATGTTGTAGATCTTTCACCACGAGCTGGATCTTGTCAAGAGGGGTGATTTTGAAGACGCCGGTGTTGCCATCCCATGCGCCATCGTTGAAAACTTGGCCAGTAAGCCATGGGAAGCCTTCTGCCAATCGATCAAGTCCGTTGGTCAGAGTTGTGATAATGTTGTCATGCGAAGATGTGTCGGGAACTGAGTAGATCAAGCATATTTGTGCGTATAGCTTGTAGAGGCCTGGCATTTGGCCTATCACGTCAAGAAATGTGTCACCATTGTATATGTACAGATGTATTCCAATGCACATACGTACGACGTCTCTTATACCTCGTGGTTCGAGCGGATGCACCCGCCTCTGCCCCCCTACTCAAGATGCTTCAATATGAGCCAACCTTGCTCACAAGGATTGGATTCACGTCTAAAATCCTGAAACGAGGTCATTTTAAGTTTTGTCTCATTAATACGAGGGTGCTTGTAATGTTATTGTGCAGTTTTGGGTCTCTTTTCCATATCATCAATGTGATGATGAAACGTGAAGAGTGCTCGGGCCTACAGATTACAATCGGCACAACCAAGCTGAACGACTACCTCCAGGTAAATGTACATTACAGGAGGTCCTAGTTACCATTGTAACACTTTGTTTCTCGTGCGTATCGCGGCTGTATATGAGAATCACTCAGGCTGAAGAATATCCATGTACATATTCACTGTCTAAAAAAGAAAGACCCCTGACCAAGTCAGATAATAGACCCAAACAATATTTCGAGATAAGATTGACATAAAGCCAAGATTATAGATCCCAACTACTTATTGGTCATGAAGATTCAACAGAACAGGCAACCCAAACAAGGCAAAACGCTAAAATAAGATTATGCTGACAAGCTCGTCGCATATTTGCCGCGATTGGCGTATTGTACATCTTTCATCAAATGCCATTTTATCATCACACTCTTCTATGAAAACATTGGGCAGCCACGTGCCGATCTGTGACAGATATTTTACTTTACAACGCCGCGCGACAACATCACATGGGTACGAGAAGAGCGAGGTCCGATGAACATAGCTCGAGAGTATGAGGCAATATTCTCCACTTCTCGTCATTGTGCCAGCTCCGCGGAGTTGACAATGATGTGATTGATCTAGTTGACGACTGTGCCTGACCTAGCAAGCGCCACGCGTGGGGCTGACTGACATTTACGTGGAATAGGTATAGGTCAGCCTTTGGAAATTTATCCAGGTGTGCGTGACGCAAATACCGATTCATTGGGACCATCCGGAGATCAAATGTGAGATTAAGCCAGTGACATCCCACTTGCATTGCAGGTATGGTTTGGGATTTTGTCTTTATATATCAGCAGATGCTCGTAAGTAGTATTTAGGGCGGCAGGAATTTATGATTTGCCACGAGGAAATGTTTATTTGTACAGAACAAAGCAAATATATAGACGCGTCGATGGGCCACGGCTATGAGATTAATACGCAAGATATCCATGTCAAATTTGTTGTTTCAATTGATAGCTTGCCAACCGTTGCAACACTTTTAGTGCTATATCCTTTAGTGTTGGTCCCTTCATGACACTAAATGTGGAAATACGTATAGTCTGGTTAGGAACATCCCTGCTTCTCGCCAAGTAGCCCCGAAGATACCTTATAGGTTGCCTTGAAATGTTCAGTCCCAAAGGCAGGAGATCAACACACCCCTGCAAGCTTGTGTAGGGGTCACGAACACCGACCCGATAACAACAAAACGAAGCTCAACACGGGCGCATTATTATACGAAGATATCCTAGAAGAGATATGCGCAATTACCGAACACGGAAGAAGCCAATTGGGTATAGATCACGCTCTCCAAAAATAAATTTACTCTAACTTTCCCTGAATATCATGAATCTGCTAGCCGCGGTCACCTCCAACCATATGATGAACACTAACCCTCTCATCCTCAGCATCATTATCTAAAAGAAAAGAATCAACCGCACTAGACGACAAAGCCCTACCCAGCTCAGCCTCCTCATAGCGCACATCATAATCAACAGTATGTACAATAGCATTATCGCGCAAGATCTTCTGGCTATCCACACGCTCCACGCCGGGACGGTCCCCGTGGGACACGGAAATTGGACTTGAGGAGTGGGTCGCAGATCCTGATCGTTGCCCAATGCCACTCCCAGACTTGGATGCCGATCGATCCTTCGAGTTCTGGCCCGAGACTGATTGCTCGAAGAAGTCTGACACGGTTCCTGCCATCATGCCTGTTTGGAGATCGGCAAGCACGCGTTTTAGGGTTGGGATGCAGGTACATAGGATTGAAGAGCTGAGAATTAGCTGTAGCCAGATTGCTGGCATTAGAGCGTGCCAGGGTCGGTCGAGAGGCTTGCAGTTGAAGAGTGGTTGGAGGGAATGGAGTCCGGCTATTGTTAGTGCTATGACTCTGTTTTGTGTGTTTTGCGTTATACCAGGTTTCTTATGGAAGTCAATGGGAAGTGTACTTACAGAACACGCATGGCGAATAGAGCTGAGATGTGATGGCGCTTCCATTGGATGATCTGGACCTGGTGAAGTAGAGCCACTGGTAATCCAATAATGCACACATCCAAAAACATGTGAAATGCGGCTAAGCTGATGTATAGGGCATGTTGGTCTAGGCATCGTTCAGGGCTGGAGCTCCACGGATGTGGTTGATCACATTGTACACCGAGCGCCACGAGCGCGGCCAGTGTCCATGCACCAATCAGTCCCAAGGTAATTTTGCATGCCGCGGAGATCCTCTCGAAAGGCTTCAATGATAGAACAAGGAGGACGACGGCAGATTTGGAGCATGCCAAAATGAGGACGGCGAAGAGTTGGCTAGCATAGAGAGCCTCCATGTTGTTAGCAAAGTCCGTTCCTAGAGAATATAGTTACTCACCTTGCTATATGTTTCAAATGAGGAATCACTCAGCGCGTGTCGGTGTTTGCCAATACCATGAGAACTTGCTATGTTTATGCATACAGTTTGAGGGACAAAAAGAACCTAGTTAATTGGTTAGATCACATCAAACATCAGGGCAAAGGTAGATTACACAACTGAGAAACACAACCGAGTCACTCCAGGATACTTTGCGCAAGACACGGAGGCGGGATATCAAGGCAACTGTGGTCGCCAGAATAGTTATAATCAGTAGGATAGTGCCCACAGTTATAACCCAAGCTCCATGATCATCTGGAGTAACAGGCAAGAGAGGCGGCAACAATTCCCCTTGGCTAAAAGCCATTGCAGCTAACAGGACTCAGTGGGATGCAACATACAAAGCCTATATTCCTAGTTGCAACAGACAGGCGAAAGCGTAACATGATATAATGCAAACCCAACTCCTTCGCCTAAACTGAAACGTAAGATAAGATCACTAGCATGCTAAAAAGGATGTAGGATGCCCCGCTGGGCTACTGATCCCAGTTGATCTAAGGTTCCACCACTGTGCATATTTGGCCCCGTCTCGAAACCAGACCGGGCTCAAGATGCAGGTTGCGCCGATCCCCTCAGCCAAGAGCATTCCGCTGTAACACCTGGCTCCTGATCCTGGCGGACTTTTATTAATGCCATCCATGCCGTTCGTGCCAGTTTTGCTTTTTTTTTTTTTTTTCTTTCTTCCTCCGATCTTCCTTCGGGACTTTTGTTTGGTATTCTGGTTTTTCCGTCTTTCTTGCTTCTCTGTTTCTGTCTGCTATCATGGAGCACCATGAGATGCATCCATTGAAGATGGGAAATCTTAGTATTGACCGCGATAGTATTGACCGCGACGTGCCTGTTCGGGATGTCAATGTCTCGAATGCCTATGATAATACCAGCAAAAATGGTTCCACAGAGACTTCGCCGAAGGTATTAATCTCCCGAGTCAATAGAAGGTGCCAAGCTAAGATTGTATACAGCGACTGTTCAATTTTACTCAGATCTTCTTCTTTTCACTTACTTATTTGTCTAGCTGGGAGACCCAGGCACTGTAATTCCTTCCTCTCGGTTTTCATCCATGCAGCATTAACGTTCCATCCTTATAGAAACCTGAGTACAGTCCTTACAAACGGCGGTCCTCAAGCCCTCGCCTGGGGAATCGTGATTGTGGTATCTGGTGCAATGGCACAATCAGCATCATTAGCAGAAATGGCCTCGATGCAACCAATTGCAGGAGCCCAGTATCACTGGACTAATTACCTGGCACCCGAAGGCCAGAAGAAGTTTATTACCTGGATGCAAGGTTGGTAATCAGTCAAGGTCTATCTGAGGCACGGTTAACGGATAAACTATACAGGCTGGATAACCTGGTTCGCATGGATCTCGACACTTGCCGGCGTGGCCAACACTACTGCTACTATGATCCAAGGTCTAGCGAGCGTGAATTACCCCGAATACGAGCCAAAGCAATGGCATTTGACACTGATCATTGTCGGAATGCTCGTCGTCGAGGCTTTGATGAATATGTATACCTTCTGGCTCATTCCATGGATTGAGATGTTGGCCGGTATCCTACACATCTGCCTTCTGATCGTCTTCCTGGTTGTCTTCACAGCACTGGCACCTCGTCACACACCGGAGTTTGTTTTCTTGCGTATGCAGAGTTCTTCAGGCTGGGCGACCTTTCCCGCATGGAACATCGGCCTACTGACTCCTGTCTGGGGATTCGTTGGTAAGTAAGCTGAAACCCAATATAAGACAGCTTTTAAGAATTTAGGCTTCGATGGCGCAGTCCACATGAGCGAAGAAGTCCGCCTAGCAAAACAAGCTGTGCCTCGCTCAATATTCTACACCGTTGTCACAAACGGCATCCTCGCCTACGCCATGGTAGTCTGTATGCTCTTCACAATGGGGTCAGTAGAAAAAGCCCAAAAATCAAGTTTCCCAATCATCGAGATCTGCCAACAAGCAACGGGCTCTGTGAAAGCCGCAACAGCAATGGTATCCGGGTTACTCGTAATCTCACTGTCGGTTAACCTGGCAAGTATAGCATCGGTCTCACGACTAACATGGGCATGGGCGCGAGACGGCGCCCTGCCCCGTTGGTTTGCTCATGTATGTATCAAATACTAAGTATCAGTACCACGAACAGCGTCACACAAAGATCCATACAAGCTGACAAGACCCACAGATCGACCGACAACACAACGTCCCCATCCGAGCCGTATGGCTCCCTGTCCTCATCGTAATGGCCCTAGCCTGCCTCAACATCGCAGACACGGCAGCGTTCGGGGCCTTCGTTGCACTAGGCTCGA